ATTACTGCCTGGAATCTAAAGTCAGGTGTGTGTGCATGTTTGTCTGTGTGTCTACTGAATATTCTTTTAGTCAATTATTGAAAGATCACACAATCTTGTTGATTCAATTAAATACATTTACATTTTGCATCCAGCAATACAAAGGCCAGTAATTGATATTTAACCTTGTGTCTTTGTGCTATCAATGCAAAGTTTCTTGATGTCTGTAATACAAGAAACAAATGAATTGCATTATCTATTTAAAGACCCACTCTAATGAAAATCATGTTTTTCTTGTTGTTTCTACGTTTATGAGGCATTTTTCTGATGCTAGTGGACATATCATGAAGAAACTAAGAGCCAAATTGCATTTCTGAGTATTCTGATCGGCAAGTTCAGACACAGAGGGATTTTCCACATCACAAATCCAAGCTCCACCCCTGGCCCCCCGCTCTGCAGGCCAGACCCCTAGAAGTAGAGAGGATGATGGCGGAACAAGTGTGTGCGGTTACGGATTGCAATACTCGCAAGTAAGCTAATTACGATATTAGCTTTCGTCACACCCCTGAAGACATTAGTGTCCAAGAGCTGAATACCTCTTATATTTCCTGCTACTTCTGCAGCACCAGCAATGTAACCCCCAATTTCCACTACATCCGGAACGGCTACGAAAAAGCTGTATCCGCCCATTGTAGCTGATTGTACCATTCAAGTTAATGTGTCAATTTCAGCTGCAGTTGATCGCAAGAGTTCTGTTTTTCTGGACGCTGGAGCATGCTGGATAAATTTAGCACAGATTAACCCATGCTAGAAAGGAAGTCGCACATAGGCACAAAATAAAACATTCACACAATGCAAACGGGTGGGGACTAACAAGTGAAAAGTTTTTAGACAGCATTTTATCCTGATGATATCATAGATGAGGGGATGCTGATTTTAGAAGTCTAGATATAGATTTCCTCCTCTGGAAGGAAACAATCTACTGCTTATATGGTCAGCCTATGTGGCTAGAGATGACTTGTTGTCGCGCGATTGCACGTGAACCCGCCGGTTCCTGTGACCTTGTGATCACCGTTGTTCCGGATCAGAGCTGTTTCAGATGCGGTGAAAATTGGGGGTTAGGCTGCAAGCTAGCGCTAAGAAGAGTGTGCAGAGCAGCGCTGTCTCCGCCCACGACTCAGAGGCGAATTGCTAATCAGCTACTGGAGCTGTGTTGAAGAAAAGCCCTTAAAAATGAAACAGGTAACGTGATTTTGGCTAAAAACTTTATAATCACAAAAATCAATCGAAGTGAGTCTGTAAAATAAATTCAGGATTGTTTTCGTTTATGCTTTGAGGAAGTTCAGAGCAAATATCAGCTATTCAAAGTATCTGGCAGGAAGTTTGGCACAGGAAAGTATCAGCGAGCTTTTTCAATTACACAAACTGCAAAGTCAAAGTTGATTTTGTTTATCAAAACAAACCAGAGGGTTTTTTAAAAAACAGATCCCCACAAGTTAGAAAGTAATTCTGAGCTAAGTCATCGTCTGCATGCATCCAAACGCTCTGCCAAAAGCATTACCAGAGCAAAAGCAGTGTTTATTTATTGTTCTCATTTTTAAATTGTTAAAAGACAGGATTATAGTTCAGTCCATGAGGAATTTGCCCATGTGTTTTAGATTATAATTTTACGCTGCTTTATTTTTGACTTGCAGCAGTACACAGTTTGAGTCTTCTATTACAGAACTGTTGCAATCCCTTTAAAGAAGGACAGGACCATAGCTTATTGGATAAAGACTTACCCAATGTTAAAAGATTACCATAGTATATCAGCTCCATTTTGACATGTGGAAAAATGCCTGTTCCAGATATAACGCAATGATGCAAAAGGCTCCCTTCAAAGACAATGAGGAATAGATCTGTGGATAAACAAATGTCCTACTGAGGTGCACAATAAGTAGTATATACTCAAACAAAGTGTATACTTAAAGGTGTACAATTGGAGGATACACATCCCTGGAAAAAGCACATCTACTCTAAGAAATGAATGCTTTGATTGTTAATACTAATACTAATACTAATACTAAAAATCTCAGTGTAAACTTAGAAGAAAGCTTTCAGCCAAAATGAATCATTAAAGTCCAGTGAACAAAGTGCACATTTAAGAGTGCAAGCTCATAAGTGCACAAGAACAGAGTGAATTAGAACAGGTATAAAGATTTATTTGTGCACACTAAATAGTGTACTGTGAAACGGTGTGAACAGATAAAAGTGTGCGCTATACATCAAGGCCTCCATAAATTGGAAACTCAAAATGGTACTTAGAAGTTCACAGACAAGGTGGGAAATTGGAAGTGTAAACTCGAGGTGTGTTCTTAGTAGTGTACACTTGGAAGTGTATACTTCTGAGAAGTGCACACTAAAAAGTCATGAGTATCTCACTGAATAATTCATCTTCTATGCCCTATCCCTCTTGGGGTCACGCGTGGGCTGGAGCCTATCCCAGCTGTCTTCGGGTGAGAGGCGGGGTACACCTTGAATTGGTCACCAGTCAATTGCAGGACCACATAGAGAGAGAGACAGCCACTCACTCACGTTCATCCCTAAGGGCAATTTAGAGCTACCAATTAACCTAATGAGCCTGTTTTGGGTCTGTGGAGGGAAGCCGGAGTGCCCGGGGAGAACACACGTATGCATGGAAAGAACATGCAAACTTCACACAGAAAGGCCCTGCTGGACCCAGGGATCGAACCGGTGACCTCCTTGCTGTGAGGCACGTGCCAAAGTGCCAAAGTGCCACCCCTCATTAAGTAAACTCACTGAGAAATATCTAGGAATTATATTTTCAATTTTAGGTGCTATTTAGGTATGAAGAGGCTTTTTGGTCAAGTCAACTTACCAACAAATCCACAGTCTTCTGTCATTGACTCATCCTTGGGTGGATTTTTATTTCATTCATTATGAGCAGGCCATCATGCAACAAGATATTCTTGCAGAGCAGAGTCTAAATGGTTGTAGATGGAGAGCTCAATGTGATTTTACGGAAACAACTGACTGAACCATCATCACTGCAATGTGGTTAAAATCCATTAGAGCTGTAATAAACTTATGATGTCGTCATGATTTTGTTTTTCGCTCATGACAATTTAATTACACCGAAAAACATACTCCTCCAACACTGACTGGGAACCAGCTCATACTAATCAAACATTTATATATTCTTTCTTTTGTAAACTATGCAAATGTTAAAATTTGAAGCTGAGAAGAGACCATCAGAAGTAAAAGGCAGATTGCCAGCATATCAAACTATTATTGTTGCATGAGGCTGCATGATGCTCTTATATCTTGCTGCTGATCTCACACACAGGCTCACAGTCATTTTTTCTATACTCCAACCCTCATATCTCTCCTCCTTTTTTCTTGTAACTAAGGATCATAATGTCCCCTTCCTCTTGGTGTTTTCTGCCTGTCATCTACCTCTCCTGTTCCAGCTTCAGTCACTCAGAGTTCACTGCAGGCGGGCTGCTCCTTATCTCCTGAATGTCAGCTTTTTCTTGGCATCACAGTTCATCTCTCTGCCAAGCAGGTTGCTGCTTGAACTGTTACTCATCACAGCTAGGTGTCAGCTCAGGGGCTTCTTAGTCACTGGTCATTTCAGACCACCTGATGAGAGGACTCCCTTTTTCTCCAGGCAGGAGGACTGGAGAGAAAGTTAGAAGGAGGAATGGGAATGTTAGTCAACAAACATTAGGGGCCTGATTTACTGTGTAACAGACCAGTATTCATTCCATTTCCCCATGCAAAGGAATACATTTCCATTATTTCCTTGAGATTTTGACTTACCAACAGATTGTAATTAGTCATATCAGATTTGCAGAAACACTAAAAATCAAAAACAATCCCACTGATCATTTTTTGGTCTAAAAGAGGTCTAATAGACGTCTAAATGTAGCCTAGATGGTCTAAAATCAGGCTACCACAGGTCTAAAAATGAAAGTTTTTTAGACGTCTAAATTTAGACCAAGTTTAGAGCATGTCTAAATCTGGGCTATATCTATACTACACTTTATATTGCTCAACAGCTATCATAATTATTTTGGTTAAGTACTTGGAGATCAGGTATGCAACTCACAGTTGCTTTTTGAAATAAATAGTTATCGAATGGTGGGTTAAAGTGCAACGTCTAAATTCCATCTAAAAATATACAGAATCTAGACGGTTGAAATTAGGTCTAAAAAGAAACTAGATGTCTAATAGCCATCTATTGCTCAGTGGGATATCTCTTTTTTGTCTTGAGAGATACGAAATAAATCATCCATTATTGTGGGATAGCCCAAAGTGCAAAAAATAAGTCAGTATCCTAAGATGTGGTCAAGTAAAATGCATGAGTGCATGACTTCTCAGGGCTTCCGTACAACTAAGTCATTTGGGAAACAACAATATGATGTATGATTTTGCCAAAGATTCAGATATTTAATGCCATCTCTTAGCACTACTTATAATGGTGTAGAAAACTTTACTTGACGCCTTTAAATATATTATAAATATATGTATAATGTGTTATAATCATGTTACAGCACTGTATAACTATAGTTATAAACACTTATAAATGATCATAACGCTTTATAGCAATAATCATAACACATTATAAAGCATTTTATCATGACTTACAAGGTCAGGTATTATAATGTGTTATAACTGTTAACAACTCACTGACAATGCCCACATAGATAATGCATTATACATATATTTATGATGTGTTATAATTTGTAAACTTGTATAACTATCATTATAAATACTAATTGATTATAATAAGGCTTTATAAAAATAGGCCAAACACATTACACATGAATACTTCTTTTTTTTTAAGAGGACCTAACAAAACCATTTTTATATGCCTGTTACTACACTGTTGATTTATTTTTTATCCCCACAATAAATCATCCTCTTTCCTCAAGAGCAGATCCAGACAGCAGTGTTGAGTATTCAGATCCAGATTAGATCACCAGTGGAAAAATTAGTCATACCCAGAGGGAAAAAAATCACAGCAGCAGTTTTTATTCATCCTGTTCAAGTTAACAGCAGGCACATATAAAGAAACCTAATGGTGATAAACTGTACATCCTGCACCCTGTCCTTTAATTTCTTTACATCCTCCACTTCAGACATGCACTTGTCTCTTTTTCTTCTTGTCGCTTCGCTCTCGTCAACACTTGTCCTATCTTCGTGCACACTTCTGCTGTTCAGAGCTCCTCAGAGTGGAAAGCTGAAAAAAGAAGAAATCAAGGCCGTTGTTAATCTCAGTTATTGCACACATTAAAATGACTTTGCTTTGCCTCTGGATGGTGGAATAGTAATTTTTATATTTTCTGTTTGTCTGTCTGCAGCTGTTTTGGCCTTGAAGGTCTTCATTAGTAATTAATGCAACTTATTTTCACGGCTCAATAACTGTGACTAAAACATCTTTCTATCAGCCTGATGAGAACAACTATAAGTGTCATTGAAGTATTGTGAGACACATACACCAGTGCTCAAGTTCAAGTTTTATTACACTTAATTAACATTATTTTGAATGCAACGCTGACTTTGATAATTGGATAAGGAAGATAAAGTGAGAAATGTATTTTATGCCTGATGTATTTCAACAATTAGGCAGGTTAAAGGGCATCAAACTCATTATAACTTCATTAATGAGTGAGTAATTAAGCTTTGACAGCTCCTTCATTATTATTTTCTGCATAGTTTGCATGATCATGACAAGCTTTTGAATAACAAACATCTGGCATCAGAGTTAACATGCTTATTAGTCTCTCTAAAATCAGAATATTAAAATGTATGATTACACATGTAAATGTCATGAGCAAGATGCTTGAGTAGATCAGCATCTTTTTTCTTCTTCATGCTGTTAGTTATCATTCGTCTCTATATTTAGATGTGTTATTAGTGTGAGATGATGGTTCTTACATGTGAGCGTTTCAGTTAGCTGGTGAATACCTTCCTCCTCATCTTCAGGAGCCACCAGACTGGCTGCAAAAGTCCAAATCATCTCCAGCCAATCAGCGCTCTCCTGAGCTGTTAAATCAGCTGGAGCTGCAACACGGCTCGCTTTCGTTGGATGAATAGCAGCTACATAGAGAGGAGAAAAGAACAACAAAGTAAAAAAGTGAAATTATTATAAAGTATTTGGAGCCAAGATATGACAACTTCGTACATCACCTAAAGACTATTTTGAAAGCTCCAGGATCCAATTCCTACTTTGCAGACTTTTACTGATTTTTATAGAAGAAGCTAAGACATATAACGTTGCACCTTTTCTTTGCTTACCTCGTACTGTATCACTCATGGGTAATTTTTGCTGTGAAAAATGAAACAAAATTTGGTTTTGGGGGGGTTGTAATCCTTCTGTCTCCGTCTTTGTGGCAACAGTTTCAGTCATATGTTGATATTTCTCTTTAGTCTGATCACCCAAAGTGCTTTTACATTACATGCCCGACTCACACCCTGATGAAAGAGGCTGTTATATGTAGAGACCCTCAGTTTTTGGCTACTCCCAGTCACACACCTGGGTGCAGCCAGCCGGGGCAACTGAGGTCACATGTCTTGACAAAGGACACTTCGGCATGTGGACAATGGGACCTGGGATCAAACCCCTGAACTTCTGATTTGGAGAAGACCAACTTTACCACTAAGCCACAGTGGCACCTTAATATAAATGACGTAACTTGTTCTTGTGCTGATCATTAAAAGGTTATAAAACATTTAATGACCATTTTTAACCACCTTAAAAATCGCCTCACTAACATTTACTTTTTATTTTACCATTTTTACTCACTTCTCTTACTTTTGCAATGAAATGATTGCCCTTTTTCTGAAAAGCAGTTCAACAGTTTTACAACTCTGTATCTCCTCTTGAGAGAAATGATTATTTGCCAGAACCTTAAAGGGATATTCCAGCGTAAAATTAAGTTAAGTTGGCTCTCTGTATTTCTATCTGCGTTAGTTATTAAAGTTGCTATAACTAGAGAAGCAAGCGGTCGGCAACATTCATCTCTTGACGGGGTGTCCAACTTGGTGTGTCGGTGTGTTTGACCCTGACTTAATTTTACGCAGTATACTTCGACAGTATACAGACAAAAATCATGTGTAGGGTTTGCAGTCACAGTCATCTGCCAGAGAGAACAATAATGTAAAACATAGAGAAACAGTTAAAACTGTCTGTTAATGTGATGTGTTTGGTGGTTATAATATCATGCTTGCCTCTAGCTCTCATTCCTCTCTTGGCGATGGCAGGAGGAGGAGGGAGACCTGAGGAAAAGAGACAAACAAACACAATATGACCAACGGCAGGAGGAAAAAAGAGACAGAAGGAGACAAAGAAACACAAAATATACAATTACGAGTGTCCTTTACTGCACTGGAAATTTTTAACTTTCAAAACCTCCACAGCCACAGACAAAACACAGCAAACATGCGCTTCATAATAACTCAGAATGTGAAAACTTTCTCTCAGTCATGCAGAGGAGGTGCTGAATTAGGACACTGCAAGGGACAAGCAACACAATCACATTAGTGACATTATCCGTCCCTGATAATGTCTGTCTCAATATAATAAGAAACTTTGTACCTTGGAAGTCAGATGTCCGAGCTGGGAATGATGTTGCACCCAAGTTCCCAGCGTTTCAGTTACTAAGTCGGAAAAAAGCAAAACCGGAGGCCTGAAACAAGATGGCTACATCTACGAAAGTTATTTTAACGCTTGCCTTATATTCGGACAAGGCTAGCGCTAAAATAACTTTTGTAAATGTAGCCATCTTGTTTCCGCCTCCAGTTTTGCTTTCTTTCGACTTACGCTGGTAACTCGGATGTGATGTCATTCCCAGCTTGGACCTCTGACTTCCGAGGTAACTCGAACGCAGCATAAGATAACTCAAAACATTTCAGTAAAAGTTGAACCAAGCGACAAACCAATGTTGTTGCTATTGTCTGTGTTTCTTCTTCCTCAGGAGTGTTAACGCACTTGCAAGTTACCACAGCTTTTCAACACTGCTGTTGTCAGATTTCAGCATCTAATAAAGTTCGTCAAAGTGATGGTCAATAAACTAACAAGTTCAAATACTCGTCTTAGTCCTGTTCTGTTATTTTGAGCTGTCTGTGCGAGCCACAGTGGCTTATTCACAATATGTCCCAGTGGCTGTTCTCATTATGCATGTCTTTAATTTGAACTCTCCCTGGTGGAGGAAGCTCTGCCTGTTTGTTACCTGATGTGGAAAAGTCGTACAATAGATCCTCATAAACAGCTGATTAATTCACTGACATTTCTTTGATCGGCACTCCAGACAAAGAGACAGAGAAACCAGGAATAAAAAGCTCACATTTCCCCTCATGCTCTTTGTTGGCTTTCCATCTTCTTATTCATTTGTTTTGGCTGTCTATCCTTTCTTCGGTTCAGGGTTTCTCTTCTTTTCTCCTCCTGATTAAGGTCCTCCGTCTCATTCCAACATTTCTACTTTTGTTGTTTTTGTTTTTCTGTTCGGTTTAAAAGCTACATAAAAATTAAAAAACATAAAACGAGGAGAATAAAAGAACAAACAGTGCCTCAGAGAAGGAAAAAAAAGAAGTCTGGAAAGGCTGTGAGAATAGAGGAAACATCAGATGAGTTTGTCTTTCTTGATTTTTGTCTCTCCTTCCTTTGCAATCAAAAATTCATTCATTTTTTCTCTTTTTATGGTTTCTTACAAATTTACTTCCTTTGAACTCTTTTTACATCCTGATATTTCTTTCCTTCCTTCTTGCCTCCATCATTCCTTCCCTTCCTCTCTCTCCTGCCCTTAGAACTTTCTTCCTGCCTTCCTTCTTCTTGCCTTATTTACTTCCTCAAATCATTTCTTGTCATTCTTCCTTCCCTTTCCCTTCCTCTCTCATGCCGTCTTTATTTATTCCTTCATCTCTTTATGCCTTTTCATTTTCCTTCCTACCTACCTAATTCCTTATTCATCTTTCTTTCTTTCTTTCTTCCTTTCTTTCAGTCTTCCTTTATTTATTTGTTTCTTTGTTTGTTTCTTTCTGTCTTTCTTTGTTTCTTTTAGTCTTCTTTCATTTATGTGTTCCTTTCTTTCTTTCTTTCTTTCTTTCTTTATTCCTTTCTTTCTTTTTTCTTTCTTTCTGTCTTTATTTCTTTTAGTCTTCCTTAATTTATTTGTTCCTTTCTTTCTTTCTCTCTTTCTTTGTTCCTTTCTATCTTTCTTTATTCCTTCCTTTCTTCTTTCTTTTTTCTTTCTCCATCTTTCTTTCTTCCTTCCTTTCTGTCTATCTTTATTCCTTTCTATCTTTATTCCCTTTTTTCTTTTTCTTTCTTTATTCCTTCCTTTCCTTTTTTCTTTCTTTCTTTCTTTCTTTCTTTGCCATTCTTTCTGTCTGTCTTTCTAACTTATTATTCCTTTTTTCTTTCTTTCTTTCTTTCTTTCTTTCTTTCTTTCTTTCTTTTCAGTTTTTTTTTTCAGTTTCTCTCTGCTTTCTTACTTCTTATTTGTGCCCAAGTCTCAATAGTGTCTTTCTGTTCAAGAATACTCCCACTCATAAAGAAACCGTCTTCAGCCTCTCTGTTGGAGAAAAAAAGGACAATAGGTTTGATAAGGTGAATGATTAAACTGCTGGCTGTGCTGCCTCCTGGTCTCACCTCCACCTTCGCTTTTTGTGTTCTTACATTTCTGCAGCTTCAGGCTGTTTCTTTAATCCCTCCACCTTGATCTTGTCTGTATTATTGTATTTTTCTGTACAGTATATCGGGGTGTGTGTCTGTATCCCACTATTTCTAAATGGGACTCCTTTTCTCATGCTGCTTTCTCTGCCTTTCTCTGCATACATACACACAAAGCAATTGCTGCTTTTTCACGACAGGAACAATTCGTCCAAAATTCTTCCCTGGTTTTTTTTTTTTTAAATCAAGTATCATGGTGGGAGGAAAATGTGATTAAAAATGCAGCTCCAGTAATTTGTCAATGTTATCTTGCAAATATTTGCCTCAGAAAATTGAAGATAACCACAAAGAACAGTGGACATCAGTGTAGCTTTTTGTATGAATTTTCTACAAAGCTACTGCTAAGCTAATAGAACTAGATCTTGTCCTAGGAAAGGAACACCTCAACAGAAGTTTATGGCTCAAGGTGCACAAAGGGGGAATCAACCCTGAAGCAGTTAAGCTAAGCATAGTAAAAGCTCATCAGCCTTTCATATCAAGATCACGTTCACAAACACTTCAACAGACAATTGGATGGTCAACTGAATAAGAGACATCATGCATTCCAAAAACCCCTGGGTCAACAGAGTTAATTTGACTCATGATCGTGGGTTAAATTGATATATACATTTGGGGAGCTTTTTTTGGGAGCTTTGCTTTTACAACCTGTACCATTTGAGCTGGCATGGCTTTCAATGGCACAAACGCATGTTTATGAGGTGGGCCATAGCACTAAGGACCTTGCCAAAGGACCCATGCTGGTAGATGCAATTCACTCCCAACATATAATGGGGTAACTACTCGGATCTACCCCAGTATATATAGGGCAGTTGAGGTAGTTCAGCAGGTAGCGCATCTAGTTCCCAACCAGGAGGTACCCCAAACTACCCCAATATATATTAAACAATATGATATAAACATATATATGTATATATGATATTGTATATAAAATCAAGGTCAAAGTTCCCAAGGTCACCAGGTCACTTTAATTGCCATTGAGTTAATCAAACCCAACGTTTTGACCCAATTATTGGGCTACTCTCAGAAAAATAACCTATAATTATTAACCCATTCAAAAAACCCTCAAATTAGGTTACAATAGAATCCATATGACCCAAGAAATGGGTATGGGTCTGTAAAATAACCCAGAAATTTAACTCAACACGTAAAACCCAGGAAATAACCCAAGAGTTTTTAGAGTGTGACGTAGTTGTAAAATGCAAGGCTGCTGGTCCACAGATCCACCTCATAGCATACTGCCATTGGCTCTATTAAATATAGTAGTCAGGATTTAAACTGAGTTACTTTTCATCTGACTGCTGGTATAGAACAAATCATATTGGAAGCAACCATATTTTTAACCGAAAAGGACCCCTTTTTTTGCTTTTTTTTGAACAGACTGTTCTGACCTTATTCAGTTTGAATTGAAGCGTTTTCATGGGAGGAGAACCTGGTTAAAGCTCCAGGCTGAGAGGGGCCATCGCTCTAAAGCCAGGATCTGTAGTCTTATGGGGATGCATAAGTGCCCAAGGCAAGACAATCACAAACCACGACCTGTACACATTAAAACAGCATGGCTCCATAGCCAGAGTCCTGCTGCTAAACATGGCCTGCCTGCAGTTCTGACCTGTCACCCTGTAAAAATTTTGATGTATCATGAAACAAACAAAAAAACAAAGAAGACCCTGAACTGTTAGACAGCTGATATAAAATATCAGGCAAAAATGGGACATCATTTTACTTTGAACACTCCGGAAACTTTTCTTTCTTTTTTCAGCTCAATAGGGGACAACAGTGCATGATAATAAACATGCCCATTCTCAAACTATTGTTGTTGCTGGCATCAAATTTAAATGGAGCATATATTTGTCATATAATAACATTTTCCTGTTCCATAATTGAGTGTGTTGTTTTTGCAGTGTTTTTGATAATATGTGTCTTTTTGATTTTAAATTGTTTTGTCTTTTTGATTTTAAATCATTTTATGTCCTTTGATTTTAAATTGTTTTAATCTCTCCTATTTCATTTTTTTTTGTAAGGCACTTTGAATTGCCTTGTGTTTGAATGGTGCTGTACCAATAAACTTGCCTTGCCTTAAACGCTGTTAAACTTTGACCACTCTTTCAGGCACTTACTGTAACAGATCCAAAGGTACATATTATTCTCTAAAAGAATAAAATAAAATCAGCAAGTTTGTGTGCTTAGTGCAAATGGGTCAATGAGTCAGATTTGACACCTTTATTTCTCTCCCAGCTATTTTATTGGTCTGGATATGCATACAGTAATAATGTCTAGTTGTGAGTAGAAAATGCAAAAACAGAGTAAACTTGCACATCAGGGCAAATAAATAATTTGTTAGCAGGATTTTGTTTTTGAGATGCAGAATTCACATTTCATTTTTCTCATGAAAGGATGTCCCACCTAAGGTACATAACATTAAAAAACGTCCACAGTCTCTAAAGTCTTTTTTCTTCTTTTCTTATAAATATAAAAATCTCTACAAATCTCTGACATGATCCTTCAAGGCATAGAAGAAGCTCTTTGAAACTTTCAAACCCACTGGATTCATCCATGATAGCAGGGTCATGTCTGGCTTTAGGAAATCGTTACAACCAACAGAGAGCACAGATTTTCTGCTGCCTTTTTGTTTATTTAACCTTCAAATTCTAAATTCTTGAGTCTCTGCTTTTCATACACAACACATACAGTATGAGACGGGGGCATGCATATTCTCTTTTCCTCTGGTCTATCTCATGCAAAGCTCTTGTGCAAACAAGAAGTGTAGCCAAACTGTTAGTGGATTTGCAGTTTTTGTTTTACCAGGAGATAAACACACGGGGTCGTCACAGTATGATGTGTACTCTTTGGATTGGATGGCGGGTGATTGGTGGCATGAGGATGGAGAAGAGGTGATGGGGGGAGGAGAGTGAGGAAAGGAGTTAGAGATGAGTGTGTTGGATGTGAGAGGCAGGACACGATTTGACACCTTTATTTCTCTCCCAGCTATTTTATTGGTCTAGATATGCATACAGTAATAATGTCTAGTTGTGAGTAGAAAATGCAAAAATCAGAGTAAACTTGCACATCACACCAGGGCAAATAAATAATTTGTTAGCGAGGTAACTTTGAGGATAAGTTCGGGGTTTCCTGTTCTACGACGCGGGTTCACCTCTTAGCGAGGCGAGTCTCCATAGCAACATATGCTGAACGGCTAAACTGCTCCGGGGCAGGTTAAGTTCCAGATTGAACTCACCGAGTATAAAAACCCCGACCACTGACCAATGAGCTCTCTCGAAAAACGGCTTGTCCGTTCTCGGAGGATCCTGTAGATCTCGGTGCTCGCATTGTCCGAGGAGGAGCACTCCGGCTCGCGAGAGTTTACAGGGAGAGTTTTCTCCGGATGACCACCTTTATGAAAGGCTCATATGGCTGACATATTACACAAAACATGTAAACACGATAGGAATGAACAAATGAATGATTCATCTTGGGAATGAATGGGCATGGGCTGCGCGATCACAGACAACATCTCGGTACTATTTAGAAGCAGCGCACGCCCCTTATAATAACCCCGTAAATACTGTTGTTCAGGACTGCTTACTTGTGCTTCCTACCCACTGTAACAACTGTTGTTTATGCCCACATGCAACATTTTTGTTCTCATTCATGAAACGCTTAAATCGGGGACATTTTCGGGGACAGCTTTAGCCGGGGACAGATCATCCAATTCGGGCACTGTCACCTTAGTTAAAAGTGCATGTTGAACAGTGCTGTTTCAGGGTGATAATGGCATCAAAGATGCATTTTCTGCCAGCATTCCCTCCGTGCTTTTGCAGCGGCGACGGTGTTGCTTTTGAGGTTTATGATAGCTTTCAATTCATGATCTCATGATCGTCTCCTGTTCCTCGTTTGTAAAGTCCGCGGTCCTTCACTCTCCAGCCTGCTGCTCTGACGCTCCAGACTGATCCATGTTCGCGATTGGTCAGATGCGACGGGCTCCGCCTTTTATGTGTGCACGCGCTCATAGCAGAGCTGGATCCACTTATGAGGTTGATAACCAGCGTCGTAAAACCGCTTAGCGAGACCGCTGGCTACCGCGCTAAGTTGAGCGAGGTAGCTCCAAGGCTACCTCGCTAAGTTGAACCTGCTTCGTAGAACAGGCCCCAGGACTACATGATCATTGAACAGTACCGACTGACAAAGATGGTTCAATAAAAACATGATTCAAAGGCCAAGTTCTCAAGAGTCGGAAGCCAAGGAGTAAAAGTGCGTTTTCAAGTCAGTGTGGGGGACAGTCGGACATGAAGAGGAAGAGCATTCAGAGCTTAGGCGCAGCAACGGAAAAAGCTTGGTCACCCCTGAACTTCAATCTTGACCCAAGGACAATCAGGCACTGATCAGAGGATCTGGAGTCCAAGATAAAATATGGGTTTTAAAATCCTAAAACGCACAGAAAGCAAGTGAAGAGAGGCTACAATGGAGGAAATGTGGTCATATTAAGGGTGACCAGATAAAACACAAGCTGCGGCATGTGGAACCAGCTGTAAGCGATGAAGAGAGGTTTGGCTGGCACCAAAGTAAAGTGCATTACTATAATCAAGAAGGGTTTTGATAAAAGCATCCATAACCTTTTCAAAATCACTAAAAGTTAAAAAGACTTGATTTTGGTTAAAAGATGGATATGATAAAAACTGGCTTTTACGACTGTATTCATCTGTAGATCCATTTCAACATCCCACTGAGTTTCCAATGTGGGTTTAAGTCCCATATGGTCTAGCGGTTAGGATTCCTGGTTTTCACCCAGGCGGCCCGGGTTCAACTCCCGGTATGGGAACTACACATTTCAAATCACGTCTTGTGGGACGGATAAAGTGACATCTTATCTTAAATTGCCTTGGAATTTGTCTTTGTGCAACCAATAATTGTATATTTTAAGAGAATCGTTCAAATGGTGATGCAAGCATGAAATTTGGCACAAATACTCTCTGAGGGCCGCTTTTATGAAAATTAAGTTAGACACTTTAAAATTCCTAATGGCGGCCATTTTTCCAGATGGCCGCCATTTCTATAAAATGCTCATTATTTCAATAGTTCAAATGGTGATGCAAGCATGAAATTTGCTACAAGTACTCTCTGAGGGCTGCTCTTTTGTAAAAAAAGACGTAAGACACTCCAATATTCAAGATCAACATGTTTGTTGTAGGTGCTCTTCTTGTATATGATATCACAATGTTACTAGTATTGTCATCTCTAAAGAATCTCATCATAATGTATGCACTTTGGCAGTAGCCCTCGTAGCTCCTTTAAAATTCCCCAGAGAGAATTTGGTAGTTGTACATTTCAGTTTTTAAGATGATTAACAAACATGAATGACTTTCATGAATGGCTTTTTTGTTTTTTTAATGAAAACGATTACTGAGAACAACCTTTGATTATTTCCAGTGTGCAGATTAGCAGGAGATGTCCTTTCAATCTATTCAACTGGTATATGAGTGTTGAATGTCCTGGGTGAACATTTACGAGTATTTCTTTCCACTTTTGAAGTCTGCTTCAAAAATGTCTGGATGGTTGTTAAAAGATGTTTGGGTGAAATGTGGCTGTATAAATGATCTATGAAAAATGAACATAAGGGAGTGGAAGAAGTGTCACAAATATGATACAACATTTCACATTTGAATAACATTATGATTATGAATATGATTTTATGTCATTGATGGATGGTAAAAACGACAACAACAACAATACATTTCTGAATATAATTAGGTTACATTTTCCCCCTAAACTTTTGTTACCTGCCAAAGTTTTATAGTCAAGCAGATCAAAAAGAACAATGGCGACTCCTGACCATGTGATGATCAAGGCCACGACAAGCAACCAGGCCATCGGTGAACTGAAGGTCAAGATGACATCATCCAAAAATGTCCTCTGATTCGTCTGAGGGGGAGGGCCTGCCTCTCCGCCATTTGTTTGACTGCTCATTGGTGAGGAAGGCTGAGAATGAGAAGAGTGAGATATTAGTTATGTAGCGAAAGTGAGAGCCAGAGAAAGTGAATAACAAGAGGATGTTTTTGTTGTTGAATGACAATGAAAATGTTCAGCCTTTCAGCCTGCAGATTAGCTGACCTCACCGTTAAAGCGGTCAATTTCTATAAACATTGGCAGGACTTGGAGGGCAGTGCAAAAATGATCTCATTTAGAAAAATGTTATTGAAAATGGATCAAAAAAGGGTTGAGCCTAGTAATAGGTTTATGCAAAAGAAGTTTGTCGGGAGAGACAACTAGCAAGCAAATTATGGTTGCTAGCTGCTCACTATTTCAAATACACCAAGGAAACTCTGGAAGTACTCTCAGACCTCTTTTCTGTCATCTGCACCTCATATGTGTAGTATCTATAATTTGCTGCATGCATGCTACCATGTCTACTGATCAATGCACGCAGCATCCGTTTATTCACATGAATTTCAGTGACTCATTGCTTGTATGTTGAGCTCTTCTTTGTGAGAAGATGAGAAGAGGAGGGCAGAGAGAGTAGAGAAAGAGAAAAAGAGACAGGGACAGCCAAAGGCAATGATATGAAATTTCATCCCACTGTGAAAAGATCTGCTCTACAAGACAAATTTCTTCTCTAAAGAAAGTTTTGATCATTGTACAGCATTGGAGCTGTTAACACTCAACCACTCATGTTCGGTTGTTTGTGTTCATTGTGGGTGTGCTGCGACGAACACCCAATATGATTTAGTTTCTCTGCGTGTCTGCCTCACAGCTTATCTGCAAATATAAAGTGATAGTAACACTGCAGTGGAGATGTGATTAAAATAGGAATGACTTATTTGGAGGAAAACGCCCCTCCTCAAGGTTATTAATGAGGCCCTGAAGGATGCGGATCCACATGAGACCTGTGTGCTCTGTGTCTGGTGGTCTGGCTGGAACATTTAGCAAAGTTCATTATGACAAACCTGATGACACAATTAGGAGATAGTCTCCACTCCAATAGTTGTCTTACTAACTGTCAATTAAGGAGGTAAGTATACGTTAGTGACAGTTTTCCTCTATATGTGCCAAAAAGCACACACAGTTACTTAGATAAACATTCTCATAATTATGAGTTTAATCAAATAACTTGAGAAAATAAGTCGCTATATAACCTGCTTTTGTCAGTAACCTTACTACTCGCATTCATAGCAAGATGTGTTTGACAATTAATGCACTGACAAGATAGCAGATAGATTGATAGAAGGTAGATGGATGGATGGATGGGTGGATGGTTTTTCGTCTGCTGTGTCCTCCATCTGCCTTAACTGTCTAATAAACACACATTACAGTATATGAGACACAGCAGCTAAATTATATGCGCTTACAAAGCAGAATTTCTATGCTGGGCATACAAGTGCAGCTAATCAGTCATATGTCAGCAGAGTACGACTTCAGACCGCTCAAAATGTCACAAACCTGTGGATGAAACTTATTCAAAGAGGTTGACCACAAAGCTTGCTAAGTGGATGGCAACTGATGGCAGGTCAGTTAAAGTCCCACTCCGATTGTTCTTCTTTTTACTACTTAAAGTGTTCTCAGTGGTCTTTAAATTGTGATTATGAAATTTTTAGCCAAAATCACGTTACCTATGTAATTTTCAAGGGCTTTTCTTCTGCAGAGCTCGAGTAACTCAATAGCAATTCGCCTCTGAGTCATGGGCGGAGACAGGGCTGCTCTGCATACTACTCCACGAGTTAGCTAGCAGCCTAACATTGCCGGTAGTAGATGAAACAGGTAACATAGGAGCTATTCAGCTCTCGGACACTAATGTCTTTCGGGGCACGATGAAACTTAGTTCCATAATTAGCTTTCATTCAAGCATTTCGATCCGCTAACACAGACACTTGTCCCGCAATCATCCTCTCCATTTCTCCGAGCCTGGCCTGCATAGTGGGGCTCTGGGGGCGGAGCTTAGAATTGTGATGTAGGAAATCTCACTGTATCTGATCCTGCTGTTTGGGTCTGCCAGAGACTCACAGCGATTTGAATGCAGAAATATTCAGAAATGCAATTTCGCACTTAGTTTTCTCATGATATGTCCTCTAGTATCAGAAAAAAGCCATATGAACATGTAGACAACAAGAAAAATGTGATTTTCATCAGAGTGGGTCTTTAAAGTTGCGGAGAAGTCAGGTCTGCAGAAAACGGTGTTATCATTAAAAAAAAGAATTATGGATTAGAAAATATGGATCATTTGTCTTGATGAGTAATGTCTCTTATCTCTTATCAATGCCTTCCATGTGCAATGACGCCTAACATCATAAAAGGCAGTCGACCAACGAATAACCAATGATGACTGACAGAAGATAAGAACAAACCACTGTCGTAAACCACCTAACATGGCTGTTTTGCAATATCAGAATGAAACTAGGCATGGACTTTCTGTTAAGGTCACCGGTTCAGCAATGCTGGCACGTTGCTAAGGATATGCTCTGTTTGTTTCTGTGATACAGCAGCTTTTCTTTTCGATCCTACAGAGAATATTACTGTTTTTTTTTGTACCAGACTGGATTTAGGTAGTAGTTTTAGTGATATCCTGACACTTCTGCAGCCTACCCTTCTCTCATACAAAATACCCACAGGAATTTATGAGAATTTATGAAGACCTAGATGAATAAATTGACTCACTAATGGCATTGATGCTTCATCCAGTCAGGAATCATCTGCATGCAGGTCCAACTAACAATTCATTTTGCTAAAAGTCTCCTGAGTTGAATTTCTTTTGACCTTATCACTTGCCAGTTGTGCTGTAAACAAAGGCAACTCAATGAAAGGGAAGTCTTGACCTTAAGTCTTAACACTGGCTACTCTGCAAGTCCTGAAAAGTTGTCCATCCCTTCCTGAGAGTTTTTCTGTCATTAGACACTAGCCAAAGGATCCCAAGAATGCTGCTTCAATATATGTCCTTGTCCTTGGATGTAGTGCAAGTGCCTATTCAGTAAAATGGGAATGGCCTACCTGAAATCTTTACTGCAATACTACAAAAGGCCTTCAAAAAAAAACTGGAAGCAGTTTTTGTGTGCCAGTGGAGCTGGTTTTCAGCAGTACTTCCAAGCTTTGTCTATGAATTTTAGAAAGTGTTTTGGCGACAGGGTACATAGATTTTGTGCTCAAGACAGGTTTGAATTATAATGCAGTGTTAGATCCTATGAGTCATCCCGATACAGGAGGTGCTGGTCCAGCTCTCTTTCCACCAGGCAAGAATTCCTAGTCCAAGTTCTGATCTAACAGTCTAGAAGAAATCTTTTAAGAATTGTTTAAACTGGATGCAGGACACGCGTCTGCTTGTAGATCCTGAGGGTATTGTGATCCCTCTTTAGTTGCCACAAAAGAGCTGGACGGCCCTGTACAGGTCTCAAGATTTGTGTGAGTTAGAGTCCCCTGCCCCTGAATTGAGATTAATTTGTAATCCACAACTGAGGGGTGGGGAGAAATTGTTCCATTTTGTCAGCTTGATTTCTTGGAGAAAGTTCAGTTGCAGATTTTTCTGCCCACAAGTCTCTCCTGCTTATATCCTCCAACCCCAAACTTATTGACAGGGTGCAGCCTGTAAATCAGATCCCCTGAGTAGGGGTCTTTTTCTCAGACCCAGTCGGTGGAACAATCCCTAATAATAATGCTCTTCTGTGCTCTCATTTCATAGAGGGGCCTGCTGTCTTTTTTGTGCAGGGGAACATTTACAGACTCAGTACTATGATTGACCATGGATGGCCAAAATCAGATCAGAAATAACTGTCATCTCAAAAATAAAATGTCCAATGATTCCTTTAAAGAACACAAGATTCAGCCTTAAGATATGTGTGCCAGCTTCTCTGCAGTTAGACCTTCAGAGGGCTAAGTGCAGGCCACTCGTTCCACTTTCCCTACCCACAAAAAGTTCCGGATCGCAGGGCTTTTGCTGCGTTCGAGTTGAGCTCGGAAGTCAGGATTTCCAATCTCCAAATCATGAATTTATCTGGAAGGCCCCCCTAAAGTTAGATTTCCGACTCGGAAAGTCGGATGATCCTGGTCAACCCCGACTTGACGACAACGTCATAATTCAAGATGGCAGCGCAGTGTATCAACAGTAAAGAGTAACAATAAAAGCTCTCGCAATGTATTATTTATTCGCACTTCTGTTTTGTTTTTGTGAAATTAAATAAATGGTATTTGTTGTACTGCCCAATGTCTAACTGTGAACACTGTGCTATGGTAATTGTAGAGTAAAATACTGTGTTGTTAGTTGTTAACAACTGGTATAACTAACAACAACAACAACAGCTGACAACCACTAACAACGACTGAACGGCTTACGACAGCTGATAATTGTAAACAACAGCTAACAACGGCTAACTGTAGGTGTCCATCTTGGTTTTCCGACTTAACTGGAACGCCGTCAACTCAGGTGTAATGTCATTTTCAGCTCCGACATTTGACTTCCGAGGTAACTCGAGCGCAGCATTTATCTCACACCTGTTTGGCTCAAACTCACACTGCCACGCTGCCTAACACACAGGGCAGATTCTGTGATAGTTATCCTGAGATAGTTAAGATAGAAATTTGGCCTTTGTTTGTCAAAACACTAAATCCAACAATCATGGCTATGCAATTTCAACTCATTCTAACCTAGATGCTTAAAGAGAAAAAAACAAAACAAAACATTTATCCAAATTTGCTAATGGTGTTCGAAATGGTGTTTGAAATTCAACAGTGGACGTATTATAGCATTTCCTGTTAATTTAGACAACATTTAACCACATACTGTGAATATAATGGCTGTGTGTCACCCGGGTCAGCTGTATGATGAGAGGAATTGATGCTTGTTGAATCAGTATCTGGTCTCTGGCTGACCTTTTGCGGCTGCATCCAGTTAACAAACTCTCAAATCAATCAAACATAATTCTGCTCATAGGCATACAAGAATGTTCATTTGTGTGTTCCTTTGATTCGAAAATGCCGGACATTGGTCCAGTGAATAACAGCTGGTGTGTGTGTGGGAGTGTGTGCAAGTGAATGATATAAAGGCTTGTCATTGATCTAGTGGAGCGCTGGCAAATGGCCGGTCAGGTCAGAGTATTGATTCACAGCAGGTAAAACAGTCCCAATGTTACAATGATAGAAGATTGGCGGCCTTCAAGTCTAAACGTCTTACAGCAGTTTAAACAGAACTGAACAATCATCCACTTCTCCAATTTTCTCCAAAACGTGTAATTTCAGGAATCTCCTGTAACACAGACCTTCTTTTCTAGCCTATGTCCTGAAGTGTTCGTCACAGTCTTTTCATCTTACATTTCCACATGACCCAGCCCACCTGTTGTTACCACAAGTGCTGAGCTGATCCACACACACTCACACACTGATAAAGACACAAACAGACACACAGATACACAAGGACACCAGCAGCTGCTGCTTCAGCCACAGAGAGAGAAGTGAACCAAATTAAGAAGAACTATTCACAGCAAAGGTTTTTTTGAGATCTAGTGGCATTGAATGCTTCATACTTTACAAGTGAGATTAAAAAAAAAAAATTCCTTGCATGAAAGATAGTCTTGCTGAATATCTTTGTCAATGGTTCAATGTTAGTAAAACTGAGAGTGCGGTAACCTTTGTACTATATATTAAAGCTCCTCTACAAAACATTTTTTGGTGTGGATTTGGTGCCCCCATGTGGACAAAGTGAAACCACTTCGTTCATCCTTGATTTTGATTTAGACTTTGAGACTTAAATAGCAATAGCAAGTCTTCATACTGATAGTCATGCTTGTCATTGTAAGTCACAATGTGGCACCAGTTTAAATTCAGTCTGTTTCATAATCATTAAAACAAACCGACAGGAGCTTTAAGTCCTTTGTACTTTTACTCATTAACATATTGTTATTATTAGTTGGTAATATTTAAATTTTTTTTTGTTTTCAATTTAGAAAAAGCTAAAAAGCTACTTGCTTCTTAAGCAATCTTGAAATACACCCATTATGTATGTAAAAGGGAACATATTGAAGCTCGTGACAGTAGTAAAAAACTGTCTCTGCTTGCAAGCCTTGCAATTTAACATAATTTTTTCTCTTTTCATGTCGTTTATTTAAAACTAAAAAATATTCTGCCACTCAGGGTCTTTCAATGAAACAGACATTGAAGCGTTATTTTCTGAAGTTGTTGCGTAATGTGAGATTATGTGAACTGTTGTCTTTATTGTTAAAAGATTGGCATTGACAACATGAACTTGTGAATTTTATACAACTTAGACTGAAAAATAAATTGAATTAGTTAGCATAAACTGCCGGTCTAAACAAACCGAAGAAACGAACAGAAGAGCAAAGCTTCAATTATCGAAATTGACATTACAGGGGATTTTTGGTGCTCTGTAATAAACATTTAACTTGAAAATAACACTTTTAAAGCTAAAACATGTAATGTAAAAGGCACCCTGATGTTTTAAAAAGAAATCATTTCAATTTTCGAATACACGGCTTTGCTTTTTCCTGTAAAGTCAATCATCTATTGATACTTGAAGTTATCTTCAAGTTAGAAACCCCAGACCTGAATTGCATCATACTGAAAAATGTGGTTAATTCACATTTGTCTTAAATTCAAAAAACTTTTTTCCCATTAAATCTGTTCAACTTGTTGACTTCAGACTCCTTCACACAGATTAGAGAAATAGTTAGAGGAGCTTATGCTGTTAAATCAGGCCCCACAGTTGTCTTATCTGATTGACTACTTTAATTTGATAACTTTTGGGTTCACTGTATGAATAACGCTTAGGTCTCTGTTACTATGATTAGTTAGCGGGATTTGTTGTGAAGTGTCTTTGTCTTGTCTTGTCCAATCCTTTGCCCACATTATGTGTAAATGTGTTTTGTACCTCTATTCATTTCTTATTCAACACTCGCCCAGGTGACAGAATTAAATCTTCAAAAGTTTAGTTTATGCGCTGAAAAAGAAAGCAGGGAATTAATATGTCTGCTCTATTCCAAGTTACTTAAAAAACTGTATGGTTGCACTCACTGTAGAGGAAGATATAACAGAAAGAAAAGAAAAGGTAATTGATTTTTTTCCATCAAAGTGAATATTTTCCTGAGCTTTAGGCCTTTTGAGATAGTAATAATAAAAGAGAGAGGAAAGAATAAAACACTGTATTTGTCATGATCATGTGAATTTTTACCAACTCTTTTAGCCTTGCTTAATAAGAAATGTTAACATTTATTTCCATCACTGCAAAACCGTAAAGTTTTAAAAAAAAAGATATAATATGCGAAGTGCTCTTCCAAATACAAGGATAAGAAAAATTATGAATTACCTTAAAATTATGAACATACCTTAAAGCCTCAGTCATTGACTTCTCAGATGAAAAACCATAAGGATATAATTCGGTGCCATTTTTTAGAAGTTTTGCAGCACACCATTGGTGGATTTTTTAAAGTTATATTAACTGAGTACAACAATAACTGTGTAGACTGTGTAAAAACTCCAGCATTCAGTAATGGTATTGGATCATTATTATGAAGTTGAGTCAGTGAAATAGATTTTCATTGTACCTTGGACGTTTGAGTTCGCTGGATGCTCAGTGATAACCTTCAGTCCTTCAAAGGCTCAGGAAAGGCAGTGTTACCATAGAAACAAGCATGTAACTCCTTCGTCAAATCCTCTTTGGCCCCGGTTGAATGTGAGAAAAAAAAAGGGGAAAAAAAAAACAGTCAAAACCAGCAGCAAGGGCAGAGCAGTTGTGATAAGCTGGATCACAGCGGGTCTAAAAATACTCCTAAACCTCCGCCGCCGAGGAAAATACAGGCAAATCCAGGGGAAATGTCTCTTTTTCTGCTTTTGTTCAAGCGCTAGTTAAAGGTGTCAGTCTGTGTCCCAGAAAAAGCCTGAGTTAAAGTTTCTGAGATTAAGTTTGTAGCAGGCTAAAAGCAAAGGAAAGCAACACGGACAAAGAGTAAAGCAGGGAGAAAGTAGGGGGTGACCTACCCAGAGTCACCCTGCCCCCTCTGGGAGTCCAAAATAGAGAGATAGTGGAAGTGTAGAGGGGGGGTGAGGAGGGGAAGCGGTGAGGGAGAAATCAGGGAGATTACAGGAGGGAGAGGAGAAAGAGAGAGGAGGAAAGAACAAAGTGAAGGTCTAAAAGTCTCCTACGCTGTGCCAGAGGAACACCGAGCTTATTTATCATGTTATAATGATGGTTGCAGCATGAGGCAGCCAACAGCTGGTATTACATCTTTTCTCTGACTCCCAGAAGCCTGCCACTCCACCTCCCCATAAACGGCAATTAACTAACTATTGATGCGTGATTTCATTAACTTCCATTGTCTAATTCATTATAATTACAAAACATCTGAAAAGAAGACTGAACACACTTAATTTGTGTCACCTATAAAAATTAAGACTTTTAACCTCTAAATCTTGTAACCATGCTTTTACTCCCTCCAAATGAAAACATATTCACCCTATAACATCCTGTCTTGTCATTTGGGGGTCAAAATGAGGAGTAAATAAGTGGATAAATATCTAGTCGGGCCAAGATGTTAGATGTTAAGGCCTGTCAGAAGCTTTTTTTTAGGCCTAGTTTGAGAACTTGTGTGTGTGTGTTCATGTTAACACTAAAGAGGGGTGGGAAGGAGTAACCTGACCCCCAGTCTTGCCCTGGTAGCCAGCACTGCAGAGGCTATAATTAGAGGTAGAGAGCAGCTGGTCTTAACATTGGACTGGACTGCTTTATATGTAGGGCACACAGAGGACTGAAGAGACACAATCACACAAATGCAGATACAAACACAAATACATGTCATGCCCTCATCAAAAATTTGGGTCTCGTGTTCTATAGGGATAAACTCTAAAAAAATGCAGCGTTCAGGTTACCATGGAAGTCAGATATCGGAGCTGGAAATGACCTCACACCCGAGTTACCAGCGTTTCAGTTACCAAGTCGGAAAAAAGCAAAATCGGAGGCGGAAACAAGATGGCTACATCTACGAAAGTTATTTTAGCATTAGACTTATTCGATTATAGGTAACTTCTGGACAAATATGCGGTCCTTCTGCAACATCTTGTCTCTGGCTTCGATTTTGCTTTTTCTCTACTTGGTAACTAAAACACTAAACTCTAGAAAAACGCTGTGTTGGAGTTACCTCAGAAATCAAATGTCGGAGCTGGAAATGACCTCACACCCAAGTTACAAGCGTTTCAGTTACCAAGTCGGAAAAAAGCTAAATTGGAGACGGAAACAAGATGGCTACATCTACAAAAATTATTTTAGCGTTTGCCTTGTCAGAATATAAGCAACTTCTGAGGATATATGCGGTCCTTCTGCAGCATCTTGTTTCCGCCACTCATTTTGCTTTTTTCCAACTTGGTAACTGAAACGCTAAACTCTAGAAAAATGGTGTGTTCGAATTACCTCAGAAATCAAATGTCCGAGCTGGGAATGACGTCACACCAGAGTTACCAGCCTTTCAGTTGACACACACGTCATGTCCAGATTAAATATTTAGGTCTAATGCTTTGTAGGGAAAAACTTTAGAAAAATGCTGCATTCGAGCAAAAATCGGAGGTGAAAACAAGATGGCTACATCTACAAAAGTTATTTTAGCGTTTGCCTTGTTCGAATATAAGCAACTTCTTGACAAATGTGCGGTCCTTCTGCAACATCTTGTTTCCGCCTCCCATTTTGCTTTTTTCCGACTTGTTAACCAAAACGCTGGTAACTCAGGTGTGACGTCATTCCCAGCTCCGATATCTGACTTCCATGGTAACTCGAACGCAGCAAAAGTTTGGGTATGCTAAACTGTTCTCCTCTCTTCGAGGTAATGAAAGGGTTCAGGGGCAGGGATACAACGATGATTTGTTGTCCACTGCGTGTGGGAAGCCACCTATTTGTGACATTACTATTCACACAGCCCACGATTAGTTTTTTTTTTGAGAGGAAAGTATCTATTTCCTGATAAACACAAAGATACGTGTCCCTGTTATACACACCTTAAAATCAATGGATCACAGAATAGCTATAATAGAGAGGAGCAGCCTACAGCTCCCATTTGCTATGATGTTGATTAATCTTCAAATGAAGGAGAAATTAGGTTGCTTCGTTTGGCACCTAATAAATATCTACCGTCGGCTTCATTTTATGTGAAACTTAGTCATCTGTAATTTATTTTTTGTCAGGTAGCTGCTGTACACACACACACATAGACTCACACAAGTAAATGAGCGCACCCATGAGAGATGTTCTGATGAAACCAACCATCCAAAGTAATTCTGATGAAACTAACAGCAATCAACAAGAACAACACACAGGTCTGCAGTACAGCACATTGTGTTGTGAGTGTGTGTGTGTGTTTATTTTTTCTAACTCAACACCGATTCTTGCTTTCTGACCAAACATGAAAAACTTGGCCCGGATTTAGACTTGGCCTGGATTTCAGACAGCAGCAGAGGGACGCTCAGGTCCTGCAGCTCTCAGGTCAGCACCTCTGACTAAGAACAAGCGCTGTGAAGAGTTAGATCTCTTCAGAAAGAGGAAGCGGTGTCATCTAAACTCCTGCACCTCCAGGAAAAAAGACACTTACCATTTACACTGTTCACCCTTTTATCTTAAAACCTTAGCCTTTTATCTTTTATGTCTCTGGCTGATATCCTGACTTCATGCCTTTTTAATGAAAGACACTGAATATTGTTAACAGTCTTCTTTAAATCCAGCTTACGCTTCTCTGCATAGACGGTTGTATAAATTCTTTTTCCCTTTGTGATTTGCTGCCTAATTTTATATTGATTGATTGATTATAATCCACTTTTAAAACCACACATGGGGGGCTTTACATAACTTGGTGGGTTTTGATTGGCTGTCAGTCTTTCATCCATCTGATAGCTCAGAAAGTGATCTTAAATTTGTCATTAGATATGGAGGGTTCGGAATTGTGGCGTGGACTCTGCCCTTCACTACATTTAAGTTTTTCTTTAAAAAACATACTCTACTTTTTGTTGTAGTTGTTAAGACTGCATATAATTACTCTGAAATTCACACAGAACCTCGAATCGGCCCTGAAAACCATGAAAAGTTTTTAACAAATTGTGCAGACTCAAAGACTGCAAGAACAGAACTTGTTACTTGCAACATAGCAGGTCTTTATGAACCGCTGTGATGAGGTGATATAAAACTGTTTGAGATTGAAACTCTCTGTTCCTCTACATCTGTGGACTCTGTGGACTGTCTGGCTTTCTAACTATATGTCCTCTCTTCCTCATCTTACTTTCCCTTTTTTCCTGCCTTTGCTTTTTTGTCCTGTTCTGTCTTCCTTTTGTCTCTGGTTTCACCTCTTCCTTTCGTCTTCACTAACCTTTTCACTTTTACAACAACAACAACAACAACAACAACAACAACAACAACAACAATAATAATAATAATAATAATAATAATAATAATCAAAACTTTTATTTATATAAGCAGCAAGATAAAAAAACAAACGAAAAGGAGAGAACCTAAAACCAGATCAAAACCCAGAGACCAAGGGGACTCAAGTTTTAAAAGGCAAGTTAAAGAGAAGGACTAAGAACTGAAAACATTGAAACTGTAAATGAAAAATAAATGTAAGACGACATCACATTTAAGCAAGTCTATTAAAAAAAAGAGTTTTAAGAAGTGAGCATGCTTTATCTCCTCGATGAGATTGTTCCAAAGTCAAGGGGCCCAGATGGTTACAAGTCTCGACTTTGGAACGACCAACCGAGGACCTCAGGGTGCAGGCTGGCTCATAGGGGGTTAAAGTTCTGTTACATAGATTGGAGCCAGACCCTTTAGTGCTTTCAAAGTAATGAGTAAAATCTTAAAATCAATTCTTAAACTAACTGAAAGCCAATGTAAAGACACTTGAAGAAGGGTGATGTGATATCGTCTGTTTAAACCAGTTAGACATCTAGCTGCTGCATTCAGGACAAGATGGGGAGTGAGAGAGAGAATTCTGGGTAATACCAGAAAGAGGTGAGTTAGAGTAATCTAGGTAGGAGAAGATGAGGGCGTGGATGGTTTTAAAATAATGTAGAAAATAAAACTGGACCTAAAACCGAACCTTGCGGTACACCACAGGTAAGAGTAGAGGTGAAGGTGGAGTGGTTATAGTGATCACAAAGGTTCACTCTAAAAGATAACTTATCTCTATCTTTCTCTCTTGTGTTGTATGACGCTGTCTTTGTCTCTACCCCCTATGTGCACCCATCCTCACACATACATTCCCACATACTCAATTCTTTTTATTAAATTAGTAATAATGTCACTATGCTCTCTCCCAGGGGGCTGGTGTTATTGACTTCATTATGCAAATGTAAACCAGCCCAAAGCTATCCTAACTAATGGAATATGACACACATACACACACACAGACGCACACACTCACAGTTTGTAAACCAACCATGCTGGCCAGGGAAAGATTCTTGCTGTTTGGGATAATTATGTCAACCAGTGGAGTTGATGTGTGTATTAGGTTGAAATCTGCAGAGCTGAACGTGCCTGGGGCTTAGTATATCCCTCATGTAGTGACAGTGCATTAGAAAGGGTATACAGACAATAGAAGCTCATTATGTTTTCTGTGTTATCAATCATACGAACATCATTTGGATTTTTTAAACAGACAAAACGTTGAATTATTACTTTTTTCAAGATTCCTTTCTCAGCATCCATTATGGGTTCAAAGTCTTTGTTATTACCATAGACTGTAAATAGAATGGACAGCGTCTGCCCTCTTGCTGGTTGAAGCCACTCCGAGAACAGCACCCTCTAGTGACGGGCTGCAGTATAGGTCATAAATCCCACCTCCGCCAACAAAGCTTATGAAGCTGTGGACAAACTTTAGAAATTTATTACACAGAACGTACATTTTTTCCCCCCTGGCTGCGATGTTGACATGTAGTTATTGACTAGTTAAGACTGGTTTTTGCTTAAGTCCTCTTTTATTTCTGTACAGCTCCATTTTTAAAAATTATTTTGGGGCTCAAGTTTTCTATGATTGGCACCTGATACAGCCTATGGGCGTTCAAGGATTGTGTAGCTCACCCGGGAATATGCTGTTTGAGCCAAGCCAAATGCGTGCAATGCTACTGCGCAATGTTGGTTTCAGGAAATGGAGAGAAAACGCAGAATTACAGAGAGCTTTTCGGCTTCAAACCCATATATTGGCGGAAAGTGGAACCAAATTGTCCACAGTATATACAGTCTATGGTTATTACTCAAGATGTTGTGAAGGTATTAACTACCAAGTCCTCGAAACGGCACTTATCCTTTTTTATCTTAAGCTTAAAAAAAACAAACAAAACAAAGAAAAACATGGAAAATAGTCCAAATTTTGCATAAATTCTTAAACAATAACAAACAAGATCACAAAGGCAGCAGGTTAACCATATACAATTGGTTTGCTCAGTGTGGCTAATGTAGAGATGTAGCAGAGCTAGCACCTCCAACTGTCTCTCTTATTAAAGTTCACATGCTTGCACTGACTACATGTTGTTTTTTTGCAGACAACTTAATCTACATTTTACATGTACCAAATTGCACCGTGCTACAAGATGCCATCTGTCATCTGTGCTTTTTTACATTTGGGTAGCAGGAAAAATGCAGCTCTGGTTAGAAATAAATGGCTGTGTTGTGAGATATTACGGTATTTTACAACAAAAAAGACTCATAACTTGTTTGACCAAAGCAGTGAACACCTCTCCACAGGAACCAGGCTGACGGGAGTGCAGACCAGGTGGTTGTACCTGACATGTACCCGGACAGCCCCTGTGCTCCTTGGACAGTTTTGTCACTGTGGCTTGGCCAGGAAGGAAAATTTGTCTTATCTTTATTCTGTTCTATCAGGCTTGTGTTTTTTTCAGTCAATCTGGCACTCGCCTCTTGCCATCACCGTTGCCAAACCCTGCTGTGTTTTGATGCAAGCTCACAGACCTGGAAACATTCTTGAGGGTGTACAGTAAACACATTTGCACGCACATGCACGCACGGATACACATTGTTTCAAACAGCATTGGCAGAGGAAGGCCAGACAGATGGAAAGACAGCAGAGAGCGGTGAGGAAGTGGAAATGAAAGTCACAGTGTTAGGAGGGACAATTCTAGCTCGAGGACTAACATCACATTACCACAGAATGACTAATATCAGTAAAGCAAGTAAATATGAGGCCATTTATCACTAAACATATAGTATCTTTGTTCAGTCACTTGTGGATGGTTCCATTCAAAAATATGATTAGAAAATATTATTTCTCTAAAAACACAGAAATGTGAATTTTACTCGAATGAAATAACAGGTGTAAAGGGCATTTCCTATACGTCTGCTCATCAACACTGGTTAGTTAAACTTTTAAGCCTGAGCAGTGATGAAAGTAGGATAGGGTTCTTGCAGGTACTGTACCTGTAGGCTTTGTCCAAGAGGAGCACACCCAAGTTCGACGAGGAGCCAACTCTGATGCCACAGTATTCTTCATCTGCTGCATCTCTCCTTCTCTTGAACATAAAATCAAATTTTCTCTGCATTTTGTTTTATTTCTGCGTTAATATTCTTCTTCTTCTTGTTTTACAGCAGATGGCAAACAACGTTAGAAGTGCATTACCTACCATGCAGGAGTGTGAGCCAGAAGTTCCTACTCCCACAGGAAAATAAATTCATATTTACTTTAAACTAAATTCTGTTTATTAGTTCTGTTTGTTTTAAAAAACTCAAACACTGCTTTATGCTCTCCTTTTCCCCGACTACATAAATTCTTAAGGTTCAACACTCTCATCCCACTGAACTGTAGTTTCCTGCATTAAGATTGAAGCAGCTGTCTCTTAAAAAGTTCCCTCCTTCCGCAAAAGGCGGGCCCCAGCGCCTCGGCAACCAGCGTCCAATCAAAAGTGCGCACTGAACGCTCCCACAAGTTTGATTTGTTTGTTTGCGGAAGCAAATATGACTCACTCTCAACCAGCATGGTCCCTATGGATTACTACGGTTACAATGGAGAGTGCAGACTGACGTGCGGTAACACGGTAAGTAAATGTAGCCTTCATACATTGGAGGGGTGAAAGTTTTGCTTACCGCTGCGTACCGGATGTAAACTTCTGTTTATATCTTCCCGGTACGCCTTACCGCTGCGTACCGGCTTACTTTCACCCCTGAGCATGAGGTTTCCAGTCTTTGCATCCTGCACTAGCACCTTGTATATAATTTTGATGGCAATTGAGCAAAATTGTCCCAATTTTTCAGCAGGAAAAAAACTTTAGATTACCACTCTATCTTCCCAGCAAGCAGCTGTTTTGCCACCCTGTCTCAACTATTTTGATTGTTTATTATTTGAATTTTATGCATTAAACATTTCTGAGGCATAAAAAAATATTTCAAATCTACATCTACAACAATTTAAACAAGTCAGCTCTGCTTTGCAACAAATTTGAAAAGAAATTGACATTTTTTGTGGGGCAATATTGCTCACGTAACTTTTCATCTAGATTCAAAATCAGGGCAAGATTTACATAGGCCTTTAATTCTTATTTTAACGCACGAGTGAGGATGGGATACTTGTCCTGTGTGCTGTTTTGTCTCTTTAGGCACACAGTAGGGTTTTTCTACTTTGTGCCGTCATTATCATGGAAAATAATGTCACCACTGCTTTTTAAGGGTGTACTTCACTCTTAAAACTCCAAGACGGATCAAAAGTGATATCTGCATTAAGTCAAATGGGATTAATTACCATTTTGCAAGATACCACATATCGCTCAGATACAGATGCAACTAATAAAACTGCTGTAAGGTTGCAAGAGGACTTCCAGAGCACCACTGTGGGGTGTGCGAATCGCTACAGACTCATTGAAATTAAACATCATTTGACAAATGGATGGTAAATGACTGCATTCATTTGACTCCCAAAGAAAAACAAAATGAGGATTCGTAACATTATAAATATGAATTTAAAACCTGCTTTTAAATGCAAAACAGTCTATATGGTTTCAGATCAAATAGGTCAACATAACTAGCAATAATAGAAGAAGCAACTGAGGAAATCACAAATGCTATTGAGCAAAAGAAATATGATGTTGGAATATTTATTGATATTCAGAAAGCCTTTGATAGAATAAATCATATTATTAAGAAAACTGGAAAGACTTGGTCAGAGGTATTGTATTAGACTGGATTAAAAGTTATTTACAGAGGAGAAAACCGTTTGTAAAGCTCGGTGGTGTTTGTTCTCAATGTTTGGACATTGTTTGTGGTGTCCCCCAGGGGTCAGTGTTGGGCCCTAAACTCTTTATTATGTATATTAATGACATTTGTGGAGTGTCACAGGTATTGAAGTTGGTGTTTGCTGATGACACAAATATTTGAAAAAGCTGCTGGAGTAAATTACCATAGAAATGAGTAAAATGAAAGCATGGTTTGACAAAAATAAATTGTCATTAAACTTAACTAAAACAAAAATGATGTTATTTGGAAATTTCAGAATTAACATGCAGGTACAAATACAGATGGATGGGGCAATGATAGAAAGGGTTAATGAAAACAAATACCTTGGGGTTATAATAGATGAGAAAATGAGCTGGAAACCACATATCAAACATATACAGGCCACGCTATCAAGAAGCATTTCAGTTTTAAACAAAGCAAAACAGGTTCTTGATCATAAATCACTCGTCATATGTCATGACAACAAACCAGAAACGGTTTACGGTCCATTTCAGCTTTTAAAGTGACATATTTTGATGCTTCTAAGTAACTGAGGCTACTGACTGATGGGCCTGAGATTGATGAAGTTACCGACCAAATGGCTCATAGTGCTTTCTCTTTGCCCGTTTCAGTGCCACACAAACTGACAGACAATGATATAAAAAGTCATTAAACACATTAATTCAGGGGGAAGATGCTTTTGCTTCAGACTGTTGGGTCAGATGGCATTAGAAATGAGGAGCTGCACACCAGACACTTCATGCATTTTTAACCAATCGATATCCTCTTCCCTACATCTTGCTCTGCTTTTCTGTCTCTACGTCTCTCTCTGATGCTTTTTGGTTTTTGCTTTTCATCCCATCATTCTTTGTCTTTTCTGTTAATTTGTATTTATTATAATCTTTTTCTATTTTCTTCTGTTGCTGCCTTTTGTTTTTAGCTGCTCTGAAGTTGATTAATTGGTCTTGTCTGTCTCACCTTAGTCTCTCTGTACTCTCAGTTCATGCCTTTCCACATTATTTCTCTCATCTCAGTCTCTTCTTCTTCTCCCTTTGCTTTTTCCACTTAGTTTGTCTTGCTCTAGCTGCCAAGCTCTCTCTGTCTTTATACTCCACGTCTCCTCTGCTTCACAACATCATTAAACACAAAGGTTGTAAGCACTTGCACCATTTGACTGACTTAGGAAACTGTCCATCTGGCTACACTTTGTCTTGATTAGCAAAAGAACTTTGTCTAAGCATCACAGCACAGACTCCAAAGTAACTAATCTTATAAAGGCATCACTATAAACTACTTAAGTTCTTTTTGACCAATAACATCAATAAGTAATTGTGTTTTTTGATGTTCACTATTCATATCTAGCCATGCGGATACATTTAAACTCTCACTGTCCAAGTGTTAAATCATCTGTATATTTATATTTCATCTCTGTGGGCTCCTTTCTCTCTTTGCTCCAGACATGCAGTGCCCGTCACTAACAGGGATAAAACCATCCCCCATGACCTCGATTGATTCTTCCCTTTAATACTTGTGCCAATGTGGGAAAAGTCTCACCAAGGGGTGTGATAACTTGGAAGGCCACAAGTGTCAGCAATCAGAGAGAGGACCCACAGGCAGAATAACAGGCCTGAGGGAGGAATGGAGTCAAAAAACGCTTGACAAGGCAAAAAAAACAAAACACAGATAGCTCAAAAAAGTCAAAACTCAAGAGTCCAAAAACTAGATCAGGATGACAAGGGAACAAACAGGAAACAGTTTCACAGGCTGAGGTCAAAGAATCCAAATACAGGTGCTCATACTCACATCTAGCAGGGAACAAAGGAAAGTGACCAGTATATACGCTGAGGGGTAAAACTGAGCAAACATGGTGCAGGTGTGTGATAGAGCAGCAACAGCAGGGGGGGGCGGGGCTTAAGGGGAGAAGGAAGCAGAAGGAGAGTCCATAACGCAAGTACTGCACATTTTAATACCTTCATATCAGTAGGAGTAATGATGGTTCACTGACAGGGATGGGGATAAAGAATTGGGTCTAGTTACGTGGTTTGAGTCATCATCAACATCACTGTTCTTCCTACTAAATAGTTCCTGCTCTGATACTTTCTGCACGTGTCTCTCAAAATGTGTATTTGATGCAATGCAAGAGGCAAAAATAAAAGACAGGAGTGTTACAAATTTCTGTCCACCAGACTTGATATTGTGTTTACAACTATCTAAAAATAGAACAGTATGACGTTAATACTAAGTCAATGAGTAAAATCCACTTCCCACAGAGAAGATCAGTGTATTTGAGAGACTGTGTAGATTCTATGGAGGTAATAAGTGATCATTTTTGCACTCATTTTAGTAGAAATATGTGATTTTTGTTGTTAGTGGACTGTGCTATACAGGCAACCTTTTTTGTTCTGTTTCTCAAAACAAAAATGGTTAGCTGACCTGAAAAGCTCTAGGATAAAGCCAGGCATTCTTCATCATAAAATTTATCAAAAAGAAAAACTGTCCAAGCCCTTCTTTTGTCCTCTCAGAAACTCTGCTGGAATTGAAAAGAAAATCAATGAAGAATAAGATGAGCACTGTTATATAAACAACATCTATGATGGCAGTGTCATTAATAAAATGTTATTATTTCTCATACTTATTTATATATTGTTCAAATCATTTAAAAAAGACCCATCCATAAATTTTATGTCTAATGGGGAAATAAAAAACCTCTTATGCTTTGATAAACTCTTACATTGACGGCTTCAGAAAACAACCAGTTTTGGACTCAAAAAGAGCATGAAGTTGATACATCATGGCGCTAGTGCATAAAATATTAAAAGGCGAAGAAATACATTAAATTCTTCAAAATGCACTTTGTGTGTGAATACCCACCTTTAAGATTGGAAGGATAAAATCTTTTTTATTAAACTTTTTAAAAGTCCTGTAACTTTGACAGTACGCATGTTGGGGTTTTTGAGTAGTGACGTGCTCATGTGGGCTCAAAAGGACGCATAACAGTCACTTCTCTGAGGGGAAAGGACTCCTTGATAAACTAAATTCGGATCCGTTATTTAGTAGTGCTTTTGTATTTGCAGTGATAGTCTCTGTCAAACGATGTAGAAAGGCAAAAGTAAGATATCAACATGTGTTTAAAATGATGTTTTTAGCAGTATTTCTGCTTTATTTTAAGTGGACTTGAAGTCAGTAACAGAGATTGATGGAAGCTAAGCTATCCTTGAGAGTATAGTTTGTCACTGATGCAGCAGTATTATAATTACAGAAAGAAAAAGGACCCGGGGTTTGATATAATAATGGGACCTAAAGCTTGTTGTGATTTATTTGAAACTCTAGGACTCAGCTCTTGATAAAGATGACAAATGCAATGAATTCTATGGCCCTGCAGTGACTTATGACTGCAATACCCATTATCGGTACCACTTAGACTTCTACCTCTTACATGTGCATGCACAGACACACACGGATACACACACACAGCTCTAGCCAGCCCTGGACATCGCTTTCTCATACACACATAAACACATAGAAGCACTCTGTTTTTCCTTTTGCCTTTTTTACAGTCGCTGATGATGTACACTTGTGTAGGTACGCTTTTTGAGATGTAATTTATAAGGACACTTCTGCTGTAGTTGTGTTAAGAGCTGCTGGTTCTTTCTTTTGTATTTCTGTCCTTTTTTGCAAAGAACAAGATGAACTCAATGCAAAGTTGAAGGCCATTATTGACTCGACTCCTCCGCTCTTCGTTACTTCAATGTCAAAGAAAGAATAAACGCACTGTCACTGTTGAAAAGTCAAGCAAAGCGTGGTTGGTGGAAGCAGAAAGCTTACTGTAATCACCCTTTTATTTTTTTATTACACAGATAAGATATCTTGGCTCAGTCAGAATATGCTTAAGGTAAAAAAAATAATCCTGTATTTGTGGAATTAATGGCAATCTTTTAAAAAGGTAGAGGCAATGATTCATAATCACAGTAGATTAAACTCCTTAAGATATTTTAAATGGTATGTTAATCACTGTGTATTGCTTCTTTGGTATTCAAAGATGATAAAATAATATTCACATGTCTCTGTGATGTGCAGTGTTTTGCTTGTGAAAAAAAAGATGAATTAAATCTAAAACCTATTATCTTTTCCTATGTGTAGGTTTATGTAATAAGAGTAAGATACCAGCATGCTTCTTTGAGGACCTCGACACAGATGGCATCCAGGGGTGTGTGTCCAGACCAGGTAATCTGCACGCACACACACTCAAATAATAGTATTTACTTTTCGAGTTGGTAATGGAGATTTTAATGGGCTATAAATCACAGTCAACCATTCACAATCAAGTTAAAAAAACATATACAGTAGGTACAGTAAATGCTCTTCAGTCTAGAGGTGGCATAATAAATGACCACGGGTAGGTTCAAAGGAATATGGCATCTATGGCTTTATTTAAATGCCATGGATGCTGCATATCAGGACATCATTCAGGGGACGGGTGCACCACTCCAGGAGATTTTTATCTGCTGAGTATTACAATGGAAAACATCAGATGAGATGTTGACAGAAATCTCTGGCTAGACCAACAAAATCAGGTGAAAAACTATTGTGTCATACAGCAAAAAATAGAGCAAAAGATCCATTTTGAGTCTATTTTGAAGGAGAGTTTTTAATTTTTTACAGTTACTAAAAGAGTTGTTGTTGAATGGAAACCATAAGAGAACTGATGACCTTGATGTCCTTCAGTGAAAAAGCATGTTTCACTTTTTTCATCATACGGCTCATATGCATGCATAAAAATGAAAACTTCTTTGTGTTTTTTTAGAATAATTTAAAGCTTCCTGAGAAAAGTTTTGTTGAAAATGTCTCTGAACTCTCCTTTAACAGTAAATATTAAAGTGAGAATAATATTTTCTTCGGTCTTGAAAGCATAGAACTATGAAGCTGAACATGCTGAACTGTGTTGAATAAACCTTTGTGTTGAGTTAACCTGTAAGGAAATGACATTAACAGCATCTATGATAACACTGGGTTTTGTATCAGTGGATTCCTTGTCTACTAGGGGGGAGCATGATGCACTTTACTGTGCTCGCTGCTGACAGAGCCAACACTGTTCAAGGAGACACTGATGCTTAGAGCAGGGTGTATGAAAGTGCTCAGCCAGTGGATAGAAGCTGCTTTTTTGTAGCAAAAGCACAAAAATACATTTTCAAAGAAGTTACTGAAATGTTGCTCAGTCTTTGCCTAAAGTTTACTATTAACTTAATAAACGATACACTGCATCAAAAGAAGGGGAGACAGGAAGTAGCATTTAGCTGTTCAAGCTTCTTAAGCTATGTGCAGGCCAGTCTTAAGTCCTCTTGTCTTGAATTTTTCTGTTTTTTAACATTAAAATGAAATGAAGGTTATTTTTTGTCACAGTTAAATCCTTCTTTTACATTTCTCTGTCATTTTTCTTCTACGTCTACCTCTCTTTGTCCGGATTTAATCTGTCTTTCCTACTCTGTAAGCTTAAGATCTGAGCTTTCAGTCACTCTATTTGATGTTCAGCATCTATTCAAGCCTTTACCTGGGACTAGACCAGGACTGGGTGTAGGAGGTACAGCTTGTCAGAGTGGCAGAGGGCCTGTCTGCTTTCTCTGTGTGTGTGTTTGTGTGTCTGTGTGCATGTGTGGGCTGAGATGGCAGGCAGAAAGAGCAGCAGGCATCTGGTGACATCTGGTCCCAACAGATAAAGTAATAAAACACATACTATCTCACTATCTGGAAAGGAGGCGCAGCCTATCTCTTTTCTCCACTCCTTTCTTCCTCTTTATCCGTCAGTGTCCCCCTCCAACAAAATCCATTTCAAGTAAGCATTATTGACACGACAGGAAAACAGCATTTGTTAGGAAGGCATGTGTATCTTTTTAAATGAGGTATGAAACTACTATATCAGCTGTGCTCTTTTGTCTTTATTTTTAACATGACATGAAACATAGTCTTTCCAGTCTCAGGGAAAGAAATGAAACTTTTACAGTGTAAGTTTCATGTGTATGACACCTAGACAACTTGATCTGCAGAGGAGAATCAAAACAATCCTAACTTCAGCTCTGCTCCTGTGTGTAATTTGTGGATTTGCAATACGATGCACCGCCACGGTACCTATCTTCCATTAATACAAAAGACTCAACAAATCAGAGGGATTCAAAGGCTTATTATTCACCAACTTTAGTGTCGAGAAATGCAATACGACGTTCCCCAAACACAATGAGTCAGTCCCAGAAAGCTGTGCAGTTGTGTTTAAGTGAATTCACAATTATTCAACCAATCTCTGTACCCTTTTTTTTCTTTACAACATAGCAATATCAATATCTGCAGCCTTGCGTAAATCCAATCCATCTTATTCCCCCAGTATGTACCGTCATGTTTACCAAGTTCATGTCTTTGCTTTTCAAAACAGTGAGCCCCTTGAGTCTGACATCATGTGAAACCATTAGAGGGGATGATTTACTAAAGCCCCGGTGTTTGTGGATTGCTGCATGTTTACTTGTCCTGCTGTTTTTCTGACTTACTAACTATATTTTCCATTTTTGAGACTCGATACAGTAAACATGTAATTACATGGATGATTCAAACATGTCTCTCTATGTTTATTTATTCATCTATATTTTTGAAAACTGTTTGCCATCATATTAGTTGCATATTGATGCTGAGTCTGTGTCAGGCTGTGCTCTTCCCAAAGGCTCTGTTACAAATGTGGCTCAGTGGTTGAATGAAGAGTGTTTGTACAGTGAAACTGTGGTCTGTGTGACTTTTCAATGATTTTAATGGGGAAGTATTGGAATTAATGATTTTATTTGTACGTGATATTTAAATTCCTATTACTGTCTAGACTTAAGGTAAATTACATTACATTAATTTTATGAGTGTGGCTGATATTGGCAGAGCTAGCACTGCCTACCTTAGGTCCTCTCTGCGGTCAAACTCTTACATGCTTGTGCTGCAGCAAATTTTTCCTGGATTTAAGAGATGTTATCTGTATTTTGCATATGGGCAGTCGGACATTATGGCATTATCACAACAGTACTCATTCATGTGAGCAACAGACCTGGCTGGTGGCAGGCAGTATCACTACAGTTTAGATAAAACATATGACAGATAAAAGATGAAATTGTATCTAATCTAATCTTATCTAATCTAATCTAATCTAATCTAATCTAATCTAATCTAATCTAATCACCTACAAGATTGTCTCCAGGCTGACGATAACCTTCTCTGCAGTTGTAGAAGTCAGAATGTTGTACTCATAATAGCAAACTTAATAGTCAACAATCACTAGTATGGAGTGATTGGTAGGCAGTGGTCCTGGCAGGTCAATTGCCACATCAAGCCAGGGCATGTCTGGTAAGGGTGTAGGTCTTAGTGGCTCTGGCGGCTCAGATCTGACTTCATTTTAACAAGTGTGACATGCTTAACAATACTTCTCAGCCGCTTTGTCCATGCCAGGCCATCAAACTTAAGTTCTGAGATGTTCCTCATAATCTTTGTGTCCTTCGTGAGCTAACTTACTTGCTTGTGCATGCGGCTTTTCTAGCGTGCGATTTCCCTGTAGCACTGTGTATCTGATTACACATGAATTATTTGCAATAGTTGCATATGCATTGCAATTGCCAGAATGTCCATATGTCCATTCATGTGATAAACAGTATCTGTATCTAACCCTAACCCACTTTTCTTCATTTAAAGATATACTGTAGCTGTCCTCAGCTCTCTCACACCATGAGGCCAGTTCAAGTGTGTGGGTGTGCGTCAGCCCATGCATGCCCTTGCTCCAGTAACTTTCTGCGGACATAGTCTGATATACACTTGCTTAGAAAAGCATCCCTTATCTGGTTGTCAGTGTCAGCTCAGTCCTGTGCTGTTTGTTTAGGACGTGTTGTAAATAGTTGCACAATTTCATCTTGTTTCTGATACAACTTGTGAAACATCTTTGCAAACACTGCATTAACTTGGCGAATGAAGTATGTTTTCAGTGCCTCCACCATGTCTATGTAGTCCATTGTTCCTTCCATGTTCGGCAAAGTCGAAAATATATTGTGGGCATCTTATCTGGCAAGATGCAAAAGTAGAGCATGTCTCCTGTGTCTTGTAATGATTGTGGCATCCTCATTGACAATTAGTCCTTTCACCATTTGCATATTACTCAAAGATGTCAGCCATCATGCACATCTTGGTCCGAGTGTGGCTAAGACTGTGTTGCATAGAAATGGCTGGATATCTGACTTTTCAATGCAAGAACATAGCAAGCTTTTTTGGCTTTGTAAACCTCTTCAGAAGTCTGACTTCCTTGTTGCCTTTGCTGGAACTGCTATCATCGTAGCTCATATTCAAAGTAGCAGATTTACACTCATAGACCGAATTTATCATGTCTTATCCTCAAAACAGGCAAAGCTTTGACTAGTAGGGGCCACGTTTAAGTAAAGTACATGCCCAGTTGGCTAGACCAGACCTGAGGCCTTTTTGTGAGAGTGGATTATGTGTGACAAAGAGAAAATGAGAGAGGCTACAGATATGACAAAGATGAAAAGAAAACAGCAGAGAGAGATACAAAAAAGATGAGGAGATGCTGATGGCAGAAAAAGGAGAAGTTGAAGAGAAACATGGGCAGATGGGGCGACGGATGATTGAGTAGGTATGATGATAAATAAAAGCAGGGATGGATGCATGGATGGGTGGATGAACGGGTGGATGCTTTGACACATTGCCCCAGGGAATCAGCTGTTAAACATGCAACTGCCACTCAAGATTAGCAGCATAATTAAACTCCTGCTGCACTGTGTGTGTGGTTGCAATGTGTGTATGTGCATTTGTGTTTGTGTGTTTGAATCTGTACTCCTGGTTGTGTGTGTGGGAGTGGTGGGCTGTGACAGAGATTGATGGTAAAGGAAAAGGAGGCCATTATGTGACATAGCTAAGGCACTGATAGCCTCTGTATCCTTGTGTCTGTTTTAAACTGCTGGCCAGTTTACAGGAATGGCACTGGTGACCCCACGACATACACACACAAATAGAAAGCATTCCCTTTTCAACTGGGTGGATGTTTTGGACCCTGTTTGTTTAAAGCAGTGGCTGCTGGTGAGAAAAATAGTAGGTGGGGTGGGAGGTTTGGAGACCAGAGCCCTGTAGAGGGGTCCGGGGATATCGAAATTATGAAATATTCTGAGGTGAATTTTGACGCGCCTGACTATACACATTAAGCCCGATGCGATTTTGCGACTTTCTGGGGGGGAAAAGACGCATCCTGGGGAAGACTTTTGCCGGGGAAAGTCCCGCCTCCTTCGCCTCTGATTGGCTAGAAAAGCTGGAAACGTCATCACACGCTCAAGCCAACTATCAGCACTTATAGACAAACAAAAGGAAACAAAACACAGGAAACAAAAAAGGGCTTTACTCTTTGGACATCCAGTTAGCCATGCTATTGAAAATGTCTGTGTATATTGTTCGCCCTTCTCAGTGGTCACTTGCTGAGCGGCGATGTCTGGTCAATCCAGACCGAGCTCTTTCAGCTTAAGTTTGTCCTGCAGAGCTCTCCTCTCTTGCTTGATGGACAGCATAGCGTTCTCCAGTAAATCACTTGGTAGGGGGTTTGCGGTAGCCATTCCCACGTCTTCTGTCATTAGCAGCCAAGCGCAGAGTGAGGGGCGGAGCGGCTCCCAGTAGAGCAGCTAGCTATGTCAGACGCATATTGTACCTATGCGTCTGTTTGTGACCAATCTGGTTATGAACATGCTTACGTCATTCAAATTAAGCATGCTTGGGCACTGGTCCCTGGCGCCCCTCAAGGATTTTTTTTATTTGGCTAGGATAAGCTAACTTTTTAATGCAGAACTGTGATTTGAGCACGTGTGAGAGCACAGAAAGCTTGGGCGCTGGCCCGTGGCGCCCCTAACATTAATGCACAACTGTGATCTGAGCGTGAGACAACAGACATTTCGATTCCGCCCTGACGCTGGGTGGGGAGATTGCTAACGGACTGAAATACTCATTTAATGGAATGACTATTAAAATAGCACGATTTCCTTATTTTGATAATTTTCAGATAGACAGCAGACATATCTTTTTGCTGACGCTGGCTCACACAGCTCAGGCGAGGCTTCGTCTGCAGCACCACTGGTTTAAAGTAGCATAATTTGGCTGTTGTCTTCAGCAGTGATCCTGTCAACTTTTTGGACTGTGGGGGCAACACAGGGCTATTAAGCTAAATTAAGTGTCATTCATAAACGAGGCTATTACCATCCCAAGTGTTGACCCAAGGCCCTTTTCAATTATTGATGGATGGTTGAAAGATTCATTTAAATATATTAGTTGACATTTTAAAACACACCGCCCTGCTATTATGTGGACGTATTCACTCCAATAGCTGGTCATTTCGAAATTGTTCACCCTAAAGTGAGTTAGTGAATGAAATCATTTTGTGATTGTATGACCGACTCAAGGCAGGACTCCCCACTGAGAGAGAGAGAGAGAGAGAGAAGGAGAGAGAGAGAGACTGTAAGAATAATGGTTAAAGGGGCCATGTACACAATCAGGTTCACGCCGACTAAAGCTCCGTGTCTTCCCCGTTTAATGTTTGTGTGTCTCTAGGAGTGAAAAGAACCCCGCCGCTCCCCTGCTGGGCGGAACATCAGCCTCATCAAGTGAGCCAGAGGCAGCAACATTAGGGGCGGAAGTCGACTGCTGAAGCCTTCAAAGTAAGAGCCGAGAGAAGTCCACAGAATATGAAAAAAAGTGTAAATCACCAAAATCATATTGTTATTTGAAAACTAGGCAATTTAGAAGTAGGGACATTTATTACTCACCTTGTACCTACCTTAAATTACAAACAATGACAGCTAGGTGCATTTTTTCACGCAAATGTAACCAGTAAAGACAAAAATTCCCTAAATGTTACTTGGAGTTAGCCTAACTCGCGGTTTGATTATCTATTCTCAAATATCTTGGTGATAAAACGTTCAAATTAATCAAAAGACGCAGAGAGATTTACATTAGTACTTTAATTTCGCCCTTTTTCTTCTTTCGATATGTGGACTTGAATTTGAAAGTCCCAACCGGAACACTCTTGTTGTAACGCGGTGGTTGACTTGACAGATGGCAGGCAATAGACGCTCCTCTCGGCTGTCTCTCTCGGTCCGTTGGTCCATCCCGGTTCCCATTGTCTCCTCTCCTCATCCCTTGAAGACAACCCCGAGACGGCAAACTAAACTTGGTTGTTTATTCCGCTCGCAACGCCTCCTGGGCATCCCGTTTGACGACTAACTTCGACCTGAAATGTTACGTTGTACCCTCCTTGTGTGAAACGTGGACATATTTTTCTACCCCGATTCATTTTTTCAACGTTGTAGAGATTTATTACCGGAGCAGGAAGTAATTGAACCAACCAACGGCCGAGAAAACGGCGGTTATGTTGTGGAGCTGATGGGAGAGGACTTCAACGGGTGACACATGACAGCATCCTAGCAACAATATTACTCTCCGTTTTCTGAGTGGATAAAACACCCTAAAATTAAAAAAAGGTGGACATATTGTGTAATCTTTACGGTTTTGGATCTTACAAAGGCTGTGTTTCGTGTTCCTGGAGTGAATGAACCTCGGAAGGATGTTGCCGCTACATGGCCGTTCCATCCCCTGAGAGGAGAGAGGATCTGGTGTATGAAAGGAGGAGGCAGGGGAACCACTTACACTTGTTTTCTCCACCCTGAAACAAATTAGGCGGTTTATATCTTCCCCCCTCTATCCAAATGCCTGGATTATTCAACAAAAGAGCTGCTAATCTGGCGAATCTATCTTTGTAATCTCACCAACTCTGTCTGCTGTTAAATCTCTCAGCCTATTGAACCGTGCAAATTTAAGGATGCAACTAATCAACGTGATTTTCTTCTGGACTTTATAATCCAGTTGGAGATTATCTGAGCATATCTAAGGAAACCTACATGATGTTAAATCGGAATAAGTCCTGTCAGTCAAAAAACACCCAACTGCTTGATTAACCGAAGTACTAAGATTGAGAAAAGGATTTGTCTTTATTTTTTTTCTCACTGCGACAACTATTATTGATACACCAAGAACAATTCACAGTCTTGAACCCTCATCAAGTCCTGGGTCCCATCTTTGATCTCTGAACCCTAGCATATTGTTCGTTGGAAATCCAGAGGACCAAATTTCAGCCTGTTTACCCCGACAGCAACCCTTCTTTTTGAGTGAAGTAGTATCCTTTTATTCTCCAGAGTTCCAGCGAGTACAGGGGCTGCTCTCTGTTCTCTAAGGCCGAGCAGCAAGCTGTTCTGCCTGGGCTGCCGGCCAGCCAGACGGGCCCTTTGGGAGCTACTTGGATTCTCAAGGTCCAGCTGGAGATTTTGGGAGCTTTAAGCGAAACTTTAAGATCTTTGCCACTGACCACTGGAGAGAGGGTGGAGAACACCATGGGGTGCTGTAGTGGCAGGTGCACCTTGGCCTTCATATGTGGCATGCAGCTGGTAAGTGTTAGGATTACTTTTGATCCAGTTCAAGGGTGGGTGAAATGGTTTCTTAAAAGTTTGGAAGAGTTTAACTTAAACAAGTCATCAGAAAACACATCATTACTTGAGTGACAAGAAATGAGTGGATAGGTGGATGTAAAGATGCAGGCAAAAGATGGATGACTTTTAGTTCTCACAACAGAAGGTGATTGGTGTGCAAAGGTCATGATACGAGATAAGCTCTGGTTTGAGGGGCAGACTGACAAAAATGCTTGTTGACAGGATGAATGGATATTTATGGGGACTTTAAGAGTCCAACAAGCACTGATGGATAAGTGGAGGTTGGGAGTGACATATTGAGGCAGTGGAGCTAAAGGAAGGATGGATGAATGTCTGTCTGGAAGGATGGCATGGATATATGGTAGAGGCAGGTATGGGTAAAATGTACTGATGAGGGGATGGAGGGAACAGCTGCTGCTTTGCTTCTGTGTCTTTCTGCCTTTGTATCACACCCTCCCATCATCTCTGTTTGTGTCAATGGGATCCAGTGCCAGACAAGACAATGGGGAGAGAGGGAGGCGTGTATGTGTGAGTATGCTTGAGTATGCGTGAGTCGGAACATTGGCGACGCCAGTTTATAAAACTCTGATGTACTGTAGAACCCTGAAATGAGATGGGTTAAGGTGAGTCAGGTGGTCTATATTTACCATAAAAAAATGGCTAAATGTTGCCTTACCATGTTTGATGAAAACCTTCCTGTTTTACCTTCTGTTCAGACACAAAGAAAAGTTTTATTGCTCTATTTTTATTTACTTATCTTTTTTATTTGATGGGGGGCTTTTCTTTTGTAAGCCTTGCAAAGTAAATGTTTCTGCTTGTACATTAGAGCTGGCTTGTACCCCCCCAGCCACCCCCTGCTGTGCCTTAGTAGCCGATTTTTATTAAAATATACAGTAAAAGACATACAATATTACAGTCAGTGGATAAACTCAATTGTAGACATCATTTAAAATAAACACAAAATGCTTGTTAACTAATAAAAGAATGAGCGCTCAGTGAGCTCACCACCTTCCACCTTAGTGCTTTTGCCCTCCTGATAAGTACAAGCCTATAAGATGGTCCAAAGTGACCATTGGAACCCCACTGTACTGTCACTAGGGATAGATACTGACCAAATTCCATCAGTGCCACCAAGTACCAAATTACATAAAGTTAAAAACATGTTTTGGATCCTAAACGTATCCTTGTGACTGTGAGGGAGTGGAAGAGTTGGCAATTTTCAATGTGGGACATAAACACAGCATTGCACAAGGATGGAAGATAACAATAAATGTAGTTCTGGTATTGGTTCAAATGTGAAAGGTATCCATTCCTAATTGCCACACACCTGGGTGCCATTCATACAGGGTGTTGGCATTGACAGCGTTGATCCTACCTACCCTGCTATTTAGGTGTTACGGACACCAACCATACCCAAACTCTGAAACTAAAGGGTCAGCAAGAGCAAAAACATGGTTTCCTGCATGGTTTCCCCCAACCCACATTAAAAAAAGAATAAAGGGTGAGAAGCACATCTGGGCCAGAGCTCCCCCACTATGGGCTAGGGTGTCCATCCCTCTTTTTTCTTAAGCAAAAAAAGAAGTAAAAAAAATACAGGGATGAGAGATGTTACAAGAGGACTGAAAAGGCAGAGCCAGGGTGGGAGGTTAAAGAAAAAAGGTCAAAAGGCTACAATTAGTGTGAATATTAGACTGAAACAATATAAAATACCACAATTTTTCACGTATATATGGGTCTTTTGCACAATAGTTTGCCCACAGTCAATGACCAAAAGAGAAATGGGCTCAAGCCCCAGGGCTCATCCTTCCCAGCCCCTATAAAACATGATATATCTCAGATCATCAGTGATACAAAACAATGCCCATAAAAGCTGTAAAAGTAAAACCAGACAATTGTGCTGTGGGAAGGAAAACCAAAACAAGGAGATGAAAGGTGCTAAAACACTCACTAGCGCATGAGAGTACCACAGAGGTGTGTTAAAAATCTGTGAGAGTTTGCCAGAAAATGATTAATGAGGTTTCCTATTACAAGTTGTCAAACAGCTGTTGCTTTTTACTTGGAGTTCTGTCATCTCATAGCACCTCCTGTAACCAAAGGGGCATTATAACCATAGACTGTATAAACTATGGACAACTTGGTTCCACCTACCGCCTGTATACGGATTTGAAGCCAAATAGCTCTCGGTATTTCCGGGATTTTCCTTCATTTCCTGAAACCAGCGCTGCGCAGTAGCAATGCGCACATTCAGCCGCGCAGTCACAGAGATCGCTGTGATGACGCTCTGCTCAATAGAATCATAGAAAACATAACCCCCCTATTAACTTTCAAAAACAGAGCTTCACAGAAAAAAGAGGACTTGAGCACAAACCAGTCTTACAATAACTACATGTCAACATCACAAGCAGGGAGGAGAAAAAATTATGTTCTGTGTAATAAATTTCTTAAGTTTGTCCACAGCTCCATAAGCTTTGCTGGCGGAGGTGGGATTTATGACCTGTACTGCAGCCCATCAACAGAGGGTGCTGTTCTTGGAGTGGCTTCACCCAGCGAGAAGGCAGACTCTGTCCATTCTATATACAGTCTTTGATTATAACTCAACACATTGCCACACACATCTTCTCCAAAAAAGAGAGGAAAAATATCGGCTGGGATCTCTGAGGGATAGGATGAGAAATGATGGAATAAGAGTCTTCAAGAGAGGCAGAGAGATTTAGGCAAATGTCATGTGTGCAAAGTAATTGATGCTAACGGTCCTTACACACCGGGGCCGATGCGAATATGGAACACGAAATATTTGGAGGAGAATTTTGATGCACCTGACTATACACATCAAGCCCAATGTGATTTTGCGACTTTCCGGGGGAAAAAAAACGCATCCCGGGTGGAAGCAAGATGACTGAGACAACAGCAGACTGAGTGTTTTTCAGTTCTGATTAGACAGTGTTGAGATGGCTGTCTGTCATGGCTACTGAGTCGGGGCCAGTAGCAGATAAGCACATTAAACTATAATCCATGAACGTAAGGTAACAACCGAGACCTAACGGTGCTGTGACAGCAACACGATTGAGTTTGAGACAGTGAAAATACATATGGTATGTTGTATCTGAACAGGTTAGCTTACGAGCTAAAGTTACTTAGCACAGACAAAAGTTAAAACAAAGACGTTTAGCAAACTGTTAAAGCACACAAACTATCGTCACATTAGAAATCCAACGCTATGACTCTCCACAAGTTGTCCTTCAGGTCCTTATCTTTGTAATGTTTGTGTCTTTTATCAAAAAGCTCTCTGTTCTCCGACACGTAAACAATTAGCCGGTCGGCCATGTTGGATATACTGGTGAATCAGACGTCACAACAGCACGCAATCTGATTGGTCAGAACTGGACACACAGTATACGAAACTTTAGAAAAATGGACCACGATCCGAAAAAAAAATGCCACAATAGGAAAACGTCACTGATGTGAACGCTTGTATTGACAGGATACGGGTTCAAAAAAAAAAATGGCGTCCGAAATAATCGCATGACAAAAACAGTCCCGGTATGAAAGGACCTTAACTACAAACTAAATTCTGCTTGTCTTTAAGACAGATTTATGATGTGCAATGTGAGGTCTTTGTATGCATTGGAACTGAGGATGCACTGTGATGTAGAATGGGACATTGTTTGCCTGCCTTTGCACAGATGCATAAACATGAAAATAAGTGCCTGTGCCGTAGCATTCTCAGCTCATGGAATCACTTACAGTAGGCTTGTGTCGACTGAAGACCCATTGTCATGTTGAATGAGATGCTGTTACCGACCTGATCCCACGTGTTCATGTGTTGTGCTCTGTAAGAAAAGGGCGCAACATGGGAAAATAACCCCAATTTGTCATAGGATATTAATGCGTGACCATTGCTGTGTGACTGGATGGTTGTCAAAGCTGTATTGAGTTATGAAATTGCACATTGGAACACAAAATTAACAACAGAGCATGCCAATTAGATTGCCACATGTGCTGTACATACATGAAACACGCCATTGTGCCGTAAACAAGGATGTTGAGAGCTTCCAGAGGGAGAGTGTGAGAGTTTGTGTGTGTGCTTGTGAATGAGATGCTGTCACAGTGATAGTCATTGTGTCTAATGCGGTGGAACTAATGCTATGCCTCAGTCAACAACATGTTTTGCTCTGCTAACTGTTGTAATAGCTCAGCCAGCTGATACCACCACTAGCAGAGCTTGAGGACCAACACTGCTGTACATGTTACTGTTTGGCTGTGCACAGTTAGCTCCGTCTTCGTTAGACAAAATGTTGGGGGGAAAAAAAGGTTCTCCATGGGGTGTTAAGATAAAGACAATAAAATAGACCTTTAAGTGGGAGCTACCCACAGGAAACCTCACTGCCCACAATCCTCTCTGCTCAAAGCAACGTAATTGACCACAAATTAAAAGACAGCCCCTTCTCACAGCAAGCCTCTCAGCTGCTAACCCCCCGTAGGAGCTAATTGCATCTGCTATGTGAGCCTCCAACTAATAGTTGACCTCTTGGCAGAGTGGGAAAACAATGCTGTTGGTGGTCAGCGTGTCTGATGTAGTGGAACTGATGTCTTTTGTTACTCTTTACAGCAGTTTTATCTTCTGCTTCATTAGCTAGGTTAATTGGTAAGATCAGTGATGTCACTTTATCCAAGAAGAGATCAATGAGCTGCTGAAGATATGTCTACTTTACAGATGAGTTCACTGGGTGTCAGGTGCGATCAGTCCCCCTAGGTTAAGTTCTGCCAGAGTGTGATCCAAATAGGAGTAGATGTAGCGTGTGTTCTTGTGCACTCACGGTGTTAGTCACCTTTATGGTCGGCATTTCCTTTTTAAATATCTGAGGATAATATAAGGATACGAGCTTCCCATGACCTTCGAGGTAATATACCTGGTAATATAACAGATACTTAGTTGAAATTCCTGCAGCATCAAAGAAGGCAATTACAAGGAACTGTTGTAATGAGAACCCTCCCAATCAGAAAAACTGGCGGGAAGAAATCGACAATATGGAGAAATTTACTCACACTTTATTGCTCCAGTAAAAAACAAACACCCAAAAGTGGGAAAAATGGAACAAATATAAATCTGTTAACAGCATATAAAAAATGACAACTTTTTAATGTGCTCCTTGTGAAAAAAAGTCTTAGTGTCAAGCCCTGATATGACAGAGTGCAAGCACCATATAAAAAAGTAACAATTTTAGGAATAAAGTTGTAAATATTGTGAGAATGAAGTCATTACAATGACCTAGCATTATGAGATTAAAGTGGTATTATCAAGAGAATGAAGTCATAGTAAAGTTATGAGTTATATGGCCCCATAACTCTGCCTCAGTGTTTGAATAACTTAACCAACTTTTGAGTCACTTTATTCTCTACAATCACTGCATCTCTCTATCTGTAATTTCCCTTGTGCTGTTGCTGTGAGTGACGGTTGGCTTTGGTCCTAAGGGGTCCACTCACTGTGGAGACAAATTACAATGTGCAAATAAATGCAAATATTATCATTCAAAAGTACGACCTGATGTATGATGCAACCCTTTAAAGATGTACTCCAAGCTTAGCTTTATTTTGGCTGTTTCACTTTCTGGAGTCTGGCTGTCATTTTGAGGTTGCCAGGCAACAAACGGAGAATCCTATGAGGCTTTCAAACAGCAACAGTAATATTATACTACAGTACTGAGAGGAACATAAAACACATGCAAACTGTAAAGTGTGTCATAGAGTACTGTACACAGAACAGAGAGAAAGCTCATAGAGTCAGATCGTGCAAAAACAAAACAGAGCTAAAAGGTCATAGCAAATCAGATGGTGTTACACACACAAACACACACACACAAATGCACACATGCACTCTCACATGGATACACATATGCCACCGGTGACTCACTTTCTGTGATGATGGTTGAGGTCCCTGTTGCTATATCAGTCTACACACCCACCAGCTGCTGTCACAAAGATGATGACTAAATCATCCAATGGCGTGATCTGTAACGAGATGGCTTCACGTTATTGGCTGGTTCAGCAGAGCGTGTGTGCAGACAGTTGAAGGGTGTTCATTTTGGTGGGACATTAATTATGTTGCCGGTGGGCCATCTAAATGAATAGTACAGAGAACAATCAAAGCTTTGTGATTGAGTGTTGGTCATGACTACAGTGACATGATAATTAATGAACTTGTAAAATACATACACAGTTGACCCTTCAAAATAAAAGTTAATTTTGGTTGGTAGTTTGGGAAACTGTCCTGAAAAAAAATCTGAATTCAGGGCTTGACGGCGTGTTGCTGTTCTCAAAAAAGGCTGTTTTCCTTCATGTAACTTGACCAATTGACTTAAAATTGATTTCAAATAATAGTACTTATGTCGACCAATAACACACACCTCTTCATTTCCTTAATTTGTCCTCATACATTTTTTTGTGTTAAATTTAAAGGCAAATTTTGAACATTGGCTTCAATAGCCTCCATGTCATTTGACTCAAAAGACCTGAAATTGATTTCAAATAATAGTTCTTATGTCGACCAATAAGAGAAATATTATTTGATCAGTTTTCATTGTGCTCCTAAAGTTCTTTGTGTGCTCCTTACTTTTTCAACTTAAGAGCGCATGTGCTCCTTGTGGAAAAAGTTGATGTCAAGACCTGGAATTATTTAATCCAAACTGTTGAAAATGCACAACATTTTGTGTATGTGCTGTAACAAGTTTGGACAAATGGCCCACAGCTGCCATAGGCTGTTTGAGACAAAGTGTTTGTCTGTCTTCGGCACTACATTCTAGTGACATTTCCACCATGGAGGGATGTGATGAATAATTTACCATTTGGAAGCTGTGACATGAATGCAGAAATTGTTTCTCTGCATGTGAGCTGAGTGTGTTACCTGATTGCAAACCATTGCTGATGCAATCAGCCATACCCAGAGGCTATTATGGCAAGGATGAATTAAAAGGAATACAGTTTATTAAAGGTGATGTTAAACTGTCCTTGGAATCACCTAAAAGTTATTTTGACCGTAAATCTTATCAAAAAATAATTTTAAATCAAGTAGAAAACTCTGACTGGTGACTTGAGCTGAAATATTCCACTCAGATGGGTTGCACACCAAAAGATGCCATCCATTTAAAGCCCCACATCACAGTTTTCTAGATGCACTCTGCCCAAGTCCGGTTCACTTGTTGTCGTATGGTTCTCAAAGTGGCTCAGACATATACAGGATGTGCATCATGCTGTTGGTTTTTCATCAATTTGAAGCAAATCCACTCTGCGGATGCTTTGATTGAATATGAACTGATATGAACTCCTGCTCTCTGCCTACAAGCATAATCTTCAGACCTCTGTCCTCATCGCCACATCTCAGTGAGATAAAAAGGCTGTGCCGTCTTTTATGTACAAACTCCGCTTTCAACAAGGACCACACACCACCTAGGCTTTTAGTTTATGGATTTACCATCACTTTTGTTTTTCCTAGCCTCTAATTTGTCAGTCCCTTCTCCCCTTGGTCTTCTTTTTTTTTTTTTTTTATTCATACACCTTCTCTATCTCTGTGTGTCTTTTTAAGATTTTCCTTGCTTTGTCTGCGTGTACTTTCTCTCTCAACCTTCTCTGAAAGGAGGAATACAACCACTACAGCAAGGCCCTATGACTTGACAGGCAATTCATTTAGTGTGTTTGAATAGTCTGTGGACAAAACACACATTCACCCGCTGGTTCTCAGGTATTGTTACATTGTTAAAGACCCGCTGGATCAGTCCAAGCTGCAATCTCATTGTGAAGGTTGTTCTCTGTGAAAAGGGAGTATTGTACTTTTTATATATAATAGTAATCGGTAAAATACTGTATTTTCAGCAGTGACATTTTACATTTTTGATTCTTAAAACAGTTATTTCTTTTAAAATCCCTAGAAAATATTGCAATACAAATTTTTTTTTAGCATTGCTCCATTACCATTTAAATTCAATACAACGATACAAATGATAAGTGAAGAAATAAGATTTTGCTATTCTGGAAGCTGTGTGTGGGTTTAGTTGGTTGAAATTACAAATAGGGGGTCTCAAAAGGCCAGTACATAATCTAAGGATGAAGTAAACTAAATCAATTTGTCAAAAAAAAAAATAGAAAGAAACTGAAGGTTGCAGAGTGTATTTTGTAAATGCTTATTTAGTTGCTGCAGTCTGTGTTTTAATTTTGAAGGCGTTTCAGAAACAAGACAAATACACCACCAGTGTATGTCTGGGCAACATTGCATGACGTGATAAAATTGTGTGTCTATGTTTATTTCCACAATTGTTGTGAATGAATAAGTTCATTATTTGCCTATTTGAGTTGTGAGATTTACACATGAATAATTTTTATTTCCCTTTTTGTACTGTAAATGAAATCTTAAGTGATTGGGTTGTTGTCTTTTTTATGAGAATGGCTGACTGCTTTATTTTCATCCACCAGAGACTTTATAATTGTGTGATAAATTCTTACCCTCAGAATTATTGCTTTGCTTCAGCAGCCCTCCCTCCTCACTCACTAGTAACATTATTATTGTTTACATGCTGCTAGGCTATAACGCTTTGTGCAGAGTGAATGTAGCTAAATATTTAAGCCTGCAAGAAACAAAGTCTTTATGAGACGTTCAAAAGAAATGATCCAACTGTGAAAACAGGGCACAGAAAGAAAATGAAAACTATGACTTAATCTTACTTTTATTTCTTTAATGCTAAACCAGTGAGTCTTGTAGCTGAATACCAAGAGTATAAGACATCATGAGGCAAAGCATGGCACTTTTGAAGTGGACCCAGACAAACTCCCCTTTTCTTTGGCATTTCGTGTAGCCTACCATGGCAGAATGCCGACTATCAAAAAGCATATTGACCATGTTTTATATTGATATTGAGGGAAATCAATTTTCGATATATTATCGTTTTATCGCCCAGCCTTACACAGAACTAGCTTAAAACTTGTGTAAACTCAGTAAACTTAACTTAAGACTTCCAGATACTGTCCCTGTGATAATGAATACAAGCCAGAAAACTAACAAGCGAGACGCCAAAAGTCTGAAAAATGAAGATACAAAAGTAGCTACCAAGCAGCTAAGACTAGCCAAAGCCATGCTATTGAAAATCAATGGGGATGCTAGCAGTGATTCAGAGATGCTAACAGAGGTAAGGAAACCTCTACAAGAAAACAGGGTCTTTCCAGGACATGAAAAGCCCTCTAAGTAGAGTGGAATCATCTATTGGTGAGATAAAGTAGCAGATGGAGGGACTAGATAAGAGACTGACAGAAATGGAGGCCAGGGTGAGTGCTTCAGAAGATAGAGACCTACAGCAGGAGAGAGGACTCAGCTACCTGTTGTAGAGAGAAGCTAACTTATCAGCTAAATGTGATAACAGACTATATAACAACAACATCAGGCTTTATGGAGTACCAGAGAGCCGAAACAGAATGACATGGTAATGTTTGTGTGTGACTTTGTGAAAGTTTTAGTAGACCAGCATTAAGAATTAGATATTAAAGTAGGGTGACCATATTCTGACTTTCAAAAAGGGGACACAACTACGTGGGGGCAGAGTCACGGAGTCACACAAAGTCTATTTTGAGAGATTTCGGGTCGGACAAAGTGTCTTTTATGTGCTTCCAACTCTGTAAGTCCATGCGACACAAAATTTAAACTCTCGTACAAAACCGCAGACATTTGAAGGATTTCATTAACTTCCCCAGACAAAGCCGGACAAGCCTGGACAGCCTTCCAAAAAGTGGCCATGTCAGGGTAAAAGGAGACACATGGTCACCCTAATTAAAGAAGAGCGAGCACACAGATTGAAATCAATTAAATCAATGTCAGAAAAATAACAATATATATGTGTTTGCCTAATATAAATAGTCCTGATTATGGCAGATGCAAAAATGTCAAAAACTTGATTTGAATAAAAAATTTCAAAACAAAGACTGGAGGCTCTTCCCAGATGTTCTCCTTATGCTGCATCTGATTTAAGTGAATCTGTCAACAGTAAAAGTTTGAACATCTGGAGAGACTGCGTTATTAGTCAGAAAAGAAAAGTAAAGAAATTAAACTGGTCAAAGGAAAAATCTGGCTTGGTCTTCTTGTGCTGTTTAGTCGTAAATATTTGCTGTGCTGGAAAAACAAAAATCCTTCAGCAAGAGAAGTCTGTCAAAAAGCTGTCAGCACATAACTCTGCTCTCCCTGGGAAGTTCAACTTCAATCAATACATTAGGTTTTGGAAAAATACCAACTTTTGAGGTGGAAAATGTGCAGTAAGGTGAATTTTTTGCTGGGATGTGTTCAAAGGTCAAAAGCAGAAAGCAGTTAAACACCCCCATCCTAGATAATGGACGAGTGCTGCCGTTACTAAGGGCTTTAATGAAACGTAACGAGATGTGTAGTTTCCTCCATCTTTATCTCTAACGATGGCTTGGATAGAGTCACAGAAGTGTTGAGGTATCTGAGGCCCCTTTCTTAGCTCTGTGTGTCATGTTCAAGTTGTTGAGCCTGTAGAATAGAAATCTGTCCTTATGGAGCCTGTGTGCACTGTTTGCATCTATAATTCAATGCAATTTTCTACGTTTATTAAGACTGGAACTCTTTCAGGGGTTCTGCCCGTAAATGTAAAGTATTACAAACAACCCAGAGAGAACCCAACTGAGAAAATGGTCAACTCATTCTTCTTCGTTTCAGTCATCAGTCAGATATCTGTCAGCTTCTAACGATTTCTATGGGGGGAAGGTAGAAACCATTTTTCAAACCAATCATGCAAGTGCCTCTATGAAGCTGCACTTATAGGCACAGCAGTGCCTTGAGCTAAATGCCATCATCTGCATCCCGTCACCTGAGCTCACAGTGAGAACACCGATGTGGAGTTTGTAGCATTGAATATGATTTAATCTGTGACACTATAGCTGGAAACATAATGGATTTTGCAACTAATTTCAGTTGTTGATAAAGTTTTCTTCTTAGTATGATGCAGACGCTTCAGAGGGTATACATAAACATTGAGTCACAGTAAGATCTGTGAGAAAAACTACATAAAACAGAATCTCTGCATTACCCCAAGAGTTGTATGTTTTTAAAACATCAGCCCTAATAGTATGTTTTAAGCAGGTCAGTATAGACCAACCATATCGGTTTAAAAGGATGTGATGGATGTAATATTTTTACTGAGTGCAAATTGGCATATCACGCTCCATTATTCTGCCTTTTTTACTTTTTAGGGAGGTCTTTATGAACTGCAGTCTTAGTCTCTAGCTGTTTTCATTGTTCAAAACAACACAAGTTATTCTTCCAGCAGAATATAGCATGTCTTATAAAGGCATTTTAAGGCTTGCTTCAAGGGTACAAAACCATGGTGTTGTCCCAGTCCCAGTGTCATCATAAAACAGTCTGTGTGAATGTGGAAAAGGGAGGAAACAGTAAAAAGTGAATTTTTTTTTGTTAGAGTTAGAAAAGCTGATGCAATCTATATCCTTCCACAGCCTAAACTGAACTCTTACACAGGCAGTTTATTAGTTCAGTAGGCTCAGTGATACTGACAAGTATGGTGTGAAATTACTTCATCTGTATAGAGTGCAGTTGGGACTGTACTGTATGTATGCCTGTCCAGGTGAAGTCTTAAATCAAAGAACTACTAGTGTGTGGAAGAATGACCATTGTACATAATTATGATGTATGCTGAGTGAGGATTTATTGTTTCATGACATTAAATAGTTTTCCGTTTTAATAGCCATACATTCAGACTTTGCTATGTGTTTGTCATGATTGTTTACAGTGCGATAAAAATGACATTATGATTTGTTGAGCAGTACTGGTTGCTTGTTGTAAAAGTAATTCCCCCCCCTCCTATTTTTTAATTATATGCATGTGAAAGCTTTTAATAGTGCAAACCCAAAGTAATTGAGAGGCCTCTAGTTTAAAATAGTCTTCCTTTTATTCTTAAAAGGCTGTTTTTGTAATTAGAAAGAGCACAAGTGTCAACTCCATTATTTACAATGGCTAAATTGAATTTCCCCTCAGGGCTCAAAAAAGTTCTTCTTATGCTGCGTTCCAGTTGACTAAGAAGTCGGATGTTGGAGCTGTGAATGACGTCAAACCTGAGTCGATGGCGTTCCAGTTAACAGGTCTGAAAACCAAGATGGACGCCTACTGTTAGCCGTTGTTAGCTGTTTTTTACAATTGTCTGCTGTCAGTCGTTGTTAGCAGTTGTCAGCTGTTTTAAGTTGTTGTTAGCTATACCAGTTGTAAACAACGCACAACACAGTATTTTACTCTTACAAACACCATAGCACCGTGTTCACAGTTAGACATTCGGCAGTACAACATATACCATTTATTCAGTTTCACAAAAACAAAACGGAAGTGCCAATAAATAATACATTATGAGAGCTTTTACTATTACTCTTTACTGTTGATGCACTGCGCTGCCATCTTGAATTATGACGTTGTTGTCAAGTCGGGGTTGGCGAGGGTCATCCGACTTTCCAAGTCGGAAATCCAACTTCAGGGTTGCGTTATAGATGAATTTCCGACTTGGAGCTCGGAAATCCTGACTTCCGAGTACAACTGGAACGCGGCATTATCTTAAATGTAGGGATGCAATGATAAAAAATCTGATAATACAATAATACTGTGATAACAAGTCTACAAATATGTCATGAAGCCTAACCATCCATGGTGATGGAGATGAGGTGGGTTTGGGACCTCACTTTACCTGAGGAACTGTCTTTTGTTGCATCCTCATCAGTTTGATGGACAGCCCTTTGTAACAGAATAGATAGACATTAAGGAAACCTATGTGAAATATGAATTCATTCTAGGGCAAACAGTTTGCTTCTTTACCAAACAATTCAAATGCTGATATTATGTCTGTTTGAGGAGAACAAAACTATACCTGCACTGGAAGAATAATTAACCATTGGCAAAGCTTCTGAAGCATCATCTTTTGATATAAATCATCTTTGATGTTTCCTCCCATGGGAGTTGCAGAAATCTCACATGGAGAACCAGACATTTTCTCACACAAATCTCATACCAATGCTATGACTATCATGCGTTATTATCTGTGAAGAAAATAGATAGGAATTAATCTAATGGGATCTACTCACAAGTCATTACTGTCTGTTAGCCTCCCTTGAGTCTGTGTGTCACCAACAAAAAGTTAATTCTCAGTAGCATTCTTGTTTATTTCATCTGTGGTGGAAGAAACAAAAACACTATATATCAAAAGTTAATGGAACATATGGCAAGCGTTAGAAGGTTGCTACACAAAGCACAAAGCTCACTAAAAAATAAAACATTTTTGTTGATTTTCTAAATAATTGCACATAATGTTTACAATCCTTCAAAGCGATCTTTTGCGGATGTCATAAGAGTTTTTATTAAGCTGCATTTTTGTTGTATTAGAAAAAAAATCAACATCTTTCATCTTAAACTGCTGCTGTGGAGGGCACTGACAGCTCTGCCTCAGCTAGTCACTTTAAATTGCTTGTTTTCATCGAAGCAATCTGGCAACCAATTTCAATCTCCCTGCATCATACCCCCGTGTCCCCGCCGCATCTTTGAAAATCGCCGCTGGTTTCACATTGACACTCAGCGGCGGAGATTGAGAGGAAAGTGAGGCGACGACATGCAACAAAGGTCATGCACTGGATTTGAGTGAGTGATATAGCGGGTGTTTGTGTGTGTGTGTGTTCCTGCTGAGCTGTGGCGATGTGTATCGATGATGCTGAGAGCTGACCTTGTGCACCTTCAGCACTGATGGATGTTCTAAGAAGCTGTTGGCCAAATGCTGCTGCCTCACTGTTTACACTCAGGCGAAGAGACCGAAACACAGACAAAACTTGCTCTTCTTTTTGTGTTATTTTAATAGACTTCACACTGTGTGCTGCTGACTTCCTGATGCGTTGCTATTTACCCCTCAAGGTGAAACACTCCCCTATTCTTCTCAGAGAATTCATATCCTGTTGGTATGGCTGTTGCTATTGTTGTTGAAGCCATGAATCCTGATACTCTTACTGCACATTCGTTTTGATCTCAATAGATCAAAGGAGAGCCTGAATTATAATGGTGAGTGACTGTAAAGCGATGCCTCGAGCTTCATGACACACAATTACTGAATGCAGATATGACTAGTGTCAGATGAGCAATCTCCATTGAGAGTAAAAACAACTGTGTTTCCAGGGTGACACTGATAGTACGCTGAGTCTGATGGTTATTTTGGGAGAGTAGAGAAAGTTGAGTGAGTTGAGTTTTCTGAATTGAGAGTTGTTGAAAACAAGAAATTTCACAGCTGTAAAACTGTTTCATTTTGCTGTTTCAGATAAAAGCGATTCCACAGACATCATTTTCTTAATACTGATTCTGAAACCCATGTATCAATACCTACAGTTAGAGTTGTTCCTGTATGGATATAAGTGTTGGAACTGTCTGTATGGAGTGTGACCAAGTATATACACCAGTGCACTATTTTTTGCCCCTCATCAAAACAAAAAAGAAAAAAGGGGGCAAACACATAATGTGTCGATAATAGAGAAAGACCGATGCTGCGTTCGAGTTACCTCGGAAGTCAGAAGTCCAAGCTAGGAATGGCGTCATACCCAGGTTACCAACGTAAGTTGGAAGAAAGCAAAATCGGAGGCGGAAACAAGATGGCTAAATCTACGAAAGTTATTCTAGCGCTTGCCTTGTCGGAATATAAGCAAGGACAAGGCAAGCACTAAAATAAATTTCGTACATGTAGCCATCTTGTTTCCGCCTCCGATTTTGCTTTTTTCCGACTTGGTAACTGAAACTCGAACGCAGCACAATTAATGGAATTTTGACTAGGGGCATCCCGATCCGATATTGATATTCAGTATTGATCCAATGTCAGCAAAAAAACAAATATCGGATTATATCAGTCTACATCTAAAATCTCCGATATACGTACTCCAATACAAGCAGTCTATTCTAGACTCCGCTCCAGCACTTCTATCCAGCAGCTCCTAGATCTAGCAGTTTGTACGAAGGTACTTACCAGGTAGCAAGGAGTAGGAGTGATGTCAGCCGTGTGGCGGAATTTTTTGTTTCAGTCCAAAAAAGGCATTGCAGCTGAGTGCAAAACTTGTCTAGCACAAATTTGTGCTAATATTGGATCAATATCGGTAGCAGCCATTATTGAGAGCTACAATATCTGTATCATATTGGAAGTAAAAGAAAGTTGTATTGGGACACCCCTAATTTTGACATAATGGCCATCATATATCATATTGGTATAGTCCTTCACAAGGCAGATATCACCATTACCTTTTTTTTAATTAAATTTTTTTTTTACTGTTTTCTCATCACCTATTAGCAGCACATCAAATGTAAAACAGTCAATGGCTTGTGTTTTAATTTAAATAACGAGGTCAGATTGCTTGACAGAAATCAAAGTTCCTAGTGGGAATATTTTACCTAGCCAAATATTATACCACCCGCACGTCTTTGATAAAATGTTAACTCAAGTTCAGTTGTTTTGTTTTCAGTCTTTGGTGTGATTAAACTGTTGTATTTTGACAAATGCAAGAAAAACAGCCATTGGTAAACCTGCACTCTCATCATTGGCATCTGCATCAGCCTTTGAAAGTTCCTTGGTAGTTCATAATGTATAAGACCAGTGGTGGGATTCAAGGGATTGTTCTTAACTGTTCTTGCCTTACCTGATTGGTATCAAGAAGGGGAAAAAATCTATTGAGACATCTCTAGTTTTGAGAAAGCTATTAACGGTGTGTGTGGTTTGAAAAGGTTACATTCATAAAGATATCAGTACACTGGAGAAATCTTGACTTCATGGAGTCGAGCTACTGTCAGCTGCTGCTCAGCTCTCGGCTTTCCCTAGTGTCTTGTGTCAAATTTTGATAGCTACGGAGGGACTTACTTCTAACTTCATTTTGCATTTTTTTACTTTTCTTAGTTATGAAATGTTTAAGATATTTGAGTGCTAACTGAAAGAATAAGCACCACACAAAGACTTTTTAACCATCATTCTGGGTTTAAAGAATAAATTGGAGTTTAAATATATGACTTAGTAATTGAAACTCCCCTAGTTTTGGCCATTACTCTACTTTAAAGTAGAGAAACTAGACTGAAGTTTTGTGGAGGGTAAATAAATGATGATTAACTTTTTACTTATTAGCTGACTAACCTCTACCAAATAGTTGTCTTGTTGTTTATTAGAGTTAGTATTTTTGAGAGTTATATAAAGGTAAAAAAACAAATCTTGTAGATATCTCCTATGTCCATTTTATTCTATCCACTATCTTACATTTTCTTCTGTTGTCTTAGTCTGTGGAGCCACATCTCCCTCACTCTCTCTGTATCATTGTTGCCCTTGTTGCCTTGTAATTTTTCTCTCAGTGTCTCTTAGTCTCTCTCCCGGGCTTGCTCTCTCCTTTATTCTCTCTTTCGCTTCTCTGCACAGTCTCTCCCGGGCCATTTGAGTTGCTCAGGGAGCTGTGAAAACGATGTCTGTGTGTCTTTGCGTCTGTATCCTGTAGGGAGTGTGTGTGTGTGTGTGTGTGTGTGTGTGTGTGTGTGTGTGTGTGTGTGTGTGTGTGTGTGTGTGTGTGTGTGTGCATACAGGGACAGCAGAGGTGGTGGAGCGTGTCAAGTCTTGCTGTAGAAGCCCTTCAACTGGCGTAAGGAGCCGAGGGAAGAAGAGAACGAAAGAAAGGAAGAATAGAAGAAGGGAGGGGAAACTAAATGGTTGGAGAGATATATATTCATAGAGGTTAGGTGAAATTTCTGTATGTGGATTGATGCAGCGATGGAGGGATTGAGATTTGGTTGAATGGAGAGAAAGTGGGGAGATAAGTTTGGGAAGGAGGGATGGGCAGATGATAACAAGAGGGGATGAATCAATGATGGATAGATGCGCAAGATGAATGAACAGATGATTTATGGATGAATGGGTCAGTTAACACAGCCAAATTCTCAGTAATGACCATAGATTGCAGGCAGTGAAGAGAGCTAAATATGTTGGGTGTTAACTCTGTGAAAGTGGAGCAAATAATGTGTACATGTTGTCTTGTGACAAGAGAAAACAGCTGTTTAGATAAACAAACACTTTGGCTGAATGTATAGAGACTGCATTACTGAAAGAAGTGCATCCACTCGCTTCTCAAGGAACAGAAGAGTTGAGAAGTGGTATTCAAATAGTATTTTACCAAGGTTTTATAACTGCAGAGCATGATCGAAAACGGCTTGTTTAATGAAACTTTGTCAAGAGCATGACTTTGCGTGTGGCTAATCACCTGAAAACAGTGTATAGAAACTGTTGAGTCAACATAAATGGGAAGGCCCTGAACCTTCTTTTTTTTAGACACTGTTACTCACAATTCCTTGCCCCTCTCAGCCCCCCCCCCCCCAAAAAAAAAAATAAATAAATAAATAAATAAATAAATAAAAATAAATAAATAAATAATGAAACCTGAAAAAAACAAAAATTGGCCTGAAAGTGACAAAAAGATTTGAAAGTTTGAAAAGAACAAACAAACTAAACTAAAAGAAAAGAAAAGAAAAGAAAAGAAAAGAAAAGAAAAGAAAAGAAAATACTAAAAAACACCTGAAACCTAACCAAGTTGTTGGAAGTGTATCTCTGGGTTGTCCACACATTCTGTATATAGAACTTTACAGAGTCTCTGTGGTAGTAGAGCTGTTCAAACCGGAATTTAACACAATTTTGGCTCCAACCTTAGCCATTGATTTACATGATGATATTACTGAAAAGTCACATTTCCAGAGTTGAATGACCATCAGTCCTGTTGACTTTGACTCTCACGATTATTTGTATGTGAATTATTAAGTTCCATTTTGATTTCCAGCCTTCCCTGTGCCTTGTTTTATTGGCTCAGTGTCAGAGGGAACAACATTGGCCGGAGAGTTTGAGCAAAAGAGAAACCCAAAGGTTATTTTGTAAAAAGGGACAAATCAATATGGTGTGTGACCTTTATTGATTTATTTACTAAAGATTTACTGTCACTTGGTCCACATATACTCCTCCTCAGCTGCAGAGGTTTGATTTACGCAGGGAGCAGGGATCCAGTTTTTAACCCTGGATATAGCTACTCTTTCTGGTCAAGCAAGAACAGCCTGCAGTTTCAACCTGCTAATGAAACTGGGGATAAAAACTAGCCACCTTGCCATAATGTCACATATTTGCATGTGAATGTTCATTAATGCATGTTATCCTTTGTAAAAAAAAATATATATATATATATATATATATTATACATCTCAATTTTAGTTTAATTTTTCATAACTGGTAGGAATAACCATTAAAGAATTATTTCTGATTTTTGGTGTAATTAAGAGTTGATTAACTAATTTTAAATAGCTTTCACAGCTTTATTAACAGGATGGCAGACGTGAAACGTTATTAAATAAAATTTTATCACTGCTCTGGTAGTTTCTGTAAAAACTGACTCAGACCCATTGTTTTGTTTTGTTTTGTTTCTTACTTGTTAAACATTTCAAGTTAATTTTAGCACTTCCTTCGACTGCAGTAACACAACAGATGGTACGACATATTTTGCCTGCAATCACAGCGTAGCACAGCCTACTGTGAAAGGGCCTAACAGTGTCTATGTTTACTTTTACATTTTTGCAATTTCTTCTCACATTTTGCTTACAAAGGCGCATACTGGCTAATAATGACTTTTGTGAATTTTGTCAGGATAATCAGAAGAAAAGAGAAACAAAAAGCACTGAATGCTGCTGTATGTCGAAAAGATACACATCTGTTTTTTTTTTTGTTTGTTTAATTCTGTTGAATTTAAACACGGACTTGGAGAAGGGTTTCACCATCAGTTTGTTTAGTTTCTCAGAATTTCTTGGGGGAGATTTTTCTGCATTAAATATTCTCACAGTTTTGCAGCTCTACTCAAGCCTCAGTACATCTGGGTCAGTCTGCTCAGTTTGAACAAGTAAACTTGTCATAATTGGGCCAGAAAGACTCTCTAACGGGGCACAGGAGAAATTAGAAAACACACAGACAGTTTATCCAAACATTGTGGATTGATTGGAATGAAAAATCCAGACAGACGCGCTGTTTTTATTTTTTTATTTTTTAAATATTGTGCCGTCAACCCCCCCAAAAAAGGTTGAAAGCAATTCTGTTATTACTCTGACTCTTCTTGGGGTTACCCCTGTAGACTGATTTACCACTTCTCTCCTTCATGAATCCTTGCGGTGGTGCTATTGACATTATTCTGTACTTTTAGATTATCAGATAGGTACCAAAAATGTACTCTTACAACCAATTTTGGCAGAATCCGTATGTTAGAGAGTTATGGGCCATTCACAAATATAATAATATAAGTCACTCTCGAAGAAAGAGTGAATGTAGTCACAGTGACATCGCCTATTGCCGTCTGATGTGGCATTTTGAAGCCGGTTGCAATGCTAGAAAGGCTGACATGACCTCAGGGGCGTAGCACTAAATTCTGGGCCTTGTACACTCTCATTGTCAGTGGGTCCCTATCCATGCCAGTGCCTGAGGCATGTGAGCAAAAATCTGGATTTTCACGGGCCCCACTCCCTACTCAGGCCCTGGGTAGTCAGGTCCACTTTTCCCCCCAATACCATGCCCATGCATGACCTTAACCTTTGGTCAACCTAGAGGGTTTACGTGGGCTTTTAGCCTCCTTGCTAACAACCTTGACCCTAATTATTAAAATCTGTAACCTTGAGATCTTCAAATCCCATTGTTATCAAATTCATCCTCTGTACACTATGTGCAAATAGAGAAAATGACCTATTTAGACCAGAAATGCGTTTTGTGCCGAGCTGTTTATACAAGCTTGGCTTTGTGAAGTTGGTTTGTATGTGGCCTCAGGGGCTTCTGGATCCAGTCTCAAGTGAACACTCAATTCAGCGTTTATCCAGACTCAAGGTTTCTACTTAATTACCCTGCACCCCCCACCCCCACTTGTTTTACTGTCAATCACTTTCCTTCAGAAAATTAGGAAAGCCAGGAGGCTGTAAGACATTTTTCTTTGGGTTAATTTTGTGGAAACATGTAAAGTGACTTAATGTTGTCCTTTTTTTTTTTTTTTTCATTCTAATGCCACACTTAGCTAGCTGTTCCCTGTTTCTGTCTCTGATTTACTGATATTTTATGCTGTTCTGCACGTCAGGAATCAGTTTCAAACTATACAATCAGATTTATTGTCCAAACCTTCAACATGGACAGACAGCAACAAAAATTCTCAGTTTTCAAAAGTTGTAAATGATGATTTGACATGTTTTGCTACAATAACCAACCAATCATGGAAACATTACTTTGATTTTAATCTATATCAGGGACCAAAATTGATATCTAAGCTTTAATTATCATTTTTTCCTTAAATGAACAGAACAATTCAAACTGGCTTCACTTGGGGAAATAAATTCTGACATGCTGCTTCAGGGGGAAAGTCGCTCGAGTGTCTGGAAGCATGATCATGTTTTGAAAACACAGGCTGAACCCTTGCTCTGATACTTTTTCCTCTGTGTATTTTGGAAACATGAGGAAATAACTGTACTAAAGTGTATTTTGTTTGCTGTAATCTTCACTGCAGTGAGTCACATTATCTCTGCCTGCTAACTTCTACTGCCGCATCTCCTAATGCTGTGATTATTTTGATCTATAAATCTATTACTAAGGTTTTTGTTCGATTGCACACTAATGAACATGTTGCAAGGCAATGCACAAATGTGTCTACTCACTGCCGGGCATGTACTCTCAAACACTGATGAGCTGTCTTGGTCTTCTAAGCTCTTATGTCCTCCAAGGGGCCACTGTGGCTAGAATTGGTAGCTACAGAGATTAATCCCCAGTCCCACATGCTGATGTGTCCAAGACACTGAACCTGCCCCCCGCTGACTATGCCCAGTGGTGTGTGAATAGGATGAGTCCAAAACTGATAAGCTCTGCCATCAGTGTGTGAATGAGTGAATGTAACATGAAATATAACAGAGCTTTAAGTGATCATAAGACTAGAGAAAGTTCGATAACACTTTACTTGACACCTTTCTCTTTAAAGCATTATAAATATATGTATAATATGTTATAATCATGTTAAATCACTGTATAACTATAGTTATAAACACTCATAAATGATCATAATGCTTTATAGCAATAATAATAACACATTGTAAAGCATTTTATCATGACTTACAAGGTCAGGTATTTTAATGTGTTATAACTTTTAACAACTCACTGACAATGCCCACATAGATAATGCATTATACATATGTTTATGATGTGTTATAATCTGCTTATAAACTCGTATACCTATCATTATAAACACTTGTTAATTATAATAAGGCTTTATAACAGTAAGCATAACACATTATAATACCTGACCTTGTAAGTCATGATAAAATGATTTATAATGTTTATTATTATTGTTATAAAGCATTATGATCATTTATGAGTGTTTATAACTATAATTCGGTGCTATAACATGATTATTATGCATTATACATCTATTTATAATGTGTTATAGAGCCGTCAAGTAAAGTGTTACCGAAAGTTCTTTATGATCAAAGTCCATTTATATGAATCTGAAGAATTCTGCCTCCTCTCACATGGTCCCTTAAGGCGCCACTTAAAAAAGACTTTTATTTCAGTTTTAAATCCTTTTACAGGCTATAGAAGATATTGGATGATGTGTGAGAGCTGACACTCTTTGACATTATACTTCCATTTTTACCTGTAATCATTTTTCCTCTTCCACTCACCCTTCACTCATGCCCTCTCCTTCCTCTCCTCACCCTCTCTGTATGAACTGATTTAGTCTTATTACCTAACACACCTGCCCTCTGGTGTGTCTCCACTCTTATCGCGCCTGCTCACACCGACTTTTAGGTCCACACTCATTGTTATACCTAAACAGACACACACAGACACAGTAATCAGATCCGCCTGTCTCTTGTATTCTGGATACAGCAGCTAAAGTGAGATATGGATACAGTCTCGGCTTTCAGCCTGGTTCAGTATCAGTACATCAGCCCAGCTTTTGACCCGTCTGACTAAAATAGAAGCACAGTTTTTTTTTTTTTTTTTTATAATGGTGGTGGTGGGGTGTAGGAGACACAGAGACACCCAAGAGGCAGCAGTGAGTCCAAACAAAGTTACAGACCAAAACTCTATCCCATCGTATCCCATCAACACAAGTGGATTTAGACATGATGATGTTATGCAACACTTGCAGTAAAAATACCACACAAAAGAATATATGAATGCATAAACAGGACATACCGTGACGTAAGTCAGTCAATTAATTTTTAAACACAGATGCATACAATGTGGCGCACATTTGAAATAAATGACACAGCAACCACACAGCACTGACCGACCAAAAACACTCAGTGTCAACTCGTGTGACACTGAAAAATGGAAAAATGGAAAAGCAGCTGTCTACCAGTGGACCAATGTACAACTTCAGCTGACCAAAAAAAACAAGAGGAAGATAACTAAAAAATGTATAATCAATCATTCAAGAGTAGGGCCCAACCGATACAGATTTTTGGGGCCGATACCGATTATTAGGGGGGGGGGGGGGGAAATCTGATTACCGATTAATCTGCCAATTTTTAAAAAAAATTTATGAAGTTATAAAAAATATATCTATACTGTAGATATCTACAGTATACTATATACTGTAGATATACTGTAGGTTACTGCTCTTCACGCTGACAGGAAGACCGACTGATCAAACTTGGACCAGAAAAGCGCTTTCAACGACCAAGATTGTCATGAGGTCACTGCACCATCTACTGGATAAGTTGGGAATCTTTTCAAATGGCGGAACATTTTCGAAGTGAAACGTAATCTTATTCTCCGCATTTTATTTCTGAAAATATCGGCGAAAATCTGCGAGTTTTGGCTGGTAACTAATTAGTCTCAAACGGGCTAAAAGTGGCCGATTTAATCGGCTCGCCGATAAGTCAGTTGGGCCCTATTCAAGAGTCTCATGTTTGATCTTCTTCTATATAGATTTTGATTTCAATAAGAATTGAAGTCCAGTAATCATGCCACCTCTTTCGTGGAGAAGTGTCTGTAATCATAAAATTATTTTAAAGGAACTTTATTGTCCTTTACTGGGCTGAGTTAGTTGTCGAACAAGCAATGAACAAGCCTTTACGCAGCTGAAAATGAGAGTAAGCTAGAAATATGTTTTAAACACTTACAAGATGCTCTGCAGCTGAAATGAATTCACATTCACATTCTGGGTCAAAATTTAATGAATTCAGCAACTTTGCCTCCATGTCTTGTTCTGCGATGATGAAGCAGTGTGAGTTTGTTGCGGCTCTTATTCACACTTCTTGCTTTTCTCAAGAGGACTGGCTTTTACTTTAAAAACTGAATATTGTTACATTATTCTAGAAATGTCCGTGTTGTTTCCTTTGAAACAAATGGTGCGTCTATGTGTTGGAAACACTAAGGTAGAATCTATTTTTGGGTTACTGCATTCAAGAACAAGTCCACATTTTTATGGCCTCAATGGGATAACCCAGCGTAAAATAAAGTTGGGGTCAACCACACCGTAACACCGACTTAGACACCCCCTGGAGAGAAGAATGTTGCCTACTGCTTGCTTCTAGCTCAGTTCTCAAGTCCAGTCCTCGAGGCCCCCTGTCCTGCATGTTTTGGATGTTTCCCTGCTCCAACACACCTGATTCAAATAATTAGCTCGTTATTACGCCATTACAGAGCTTGATAACGAGCTCATCATTTGAATCAGGTGTGTTGGAGCAGGGAAACATCCAAAACATGCAGGACAGTGGGCCTCGAGGACTGGACTTGAGAACCACTGCCCTAGCTCATCAAACTGGAAGTCCCATTTTGTGTTTTTTAAAACTTAAAGATATCATACGTAGGGTGACAATACGTTCTCTTTTACCCGACATGTCCTCTTTTTGGGGGGCTGTCCAGGAAGGTTTATAAAATCCTTTCAATGTCCATGGTTTTGTATGAGAGTTTCGATTTTGTGTCACGTGGGCTTACTGAATTAGAAGCGCATATTTGACTTGATCCGACCCGAAAAACTCTCAAAATTAACTTTGTGCGATTCCGTGACTCCGCCCCTGCATAGTTGTGCCCTCTTTTTGAGAAGTTAGAATATGGTCACGCTAATCATACGCAAGGCTAGTAAGCTAGCTATGTCTTCCCAACTTTTTCTAACCAAACCAAATTCTATATCCTGTTTTTTTTCATTCTCATTGCATAAAGTTTGCTGACAGGCAAAGCTAGCAGTGGAGCACTTCAAGTTCATCCCTCTTTATACGAAATGATAGAACTTCATAATGCATCAGGTAGTGGTGCAACGGATCACAAAACTCACGGATCGGATCGTTCCTCGGATCAAGAGTCACGGATCGGATCATTTTTCGGATCAGCAAAAAGAAAAAAAAACAAGACAAATAAAATATATAAAAGTAGTGCACAGTGCATCTTCTTTTTAACATAATTATTAATGAAAAACAACTTAAAGTACAATATACAGGCATATCTCCTTCCTTTAAAATGTAACAATGAACCAAAAATGAAGTGTGTGCGCGATGGGATGTCGTAACGTGGCTCAAGCACTTTCAGCATGTTTTTAAAGCCCTCGTTTTGCACAACTGAATACGGCCTCATGTCTGCAGCTATAAACACACCGATAGAGTTTGTGAAAGCTTTAGCCTGGTCGGATTGCGCAGGAAGAGGCTGCTTAAATGCTGCGGTGATGAGCGGTTGTCGGGCAGCTTTCGTTTTATCTCAGGTGTTATGCCAAAGAATGCACCCCTGCCGTATAGTGCACCCCCTAACGGGAGCGCGGTTGAAAGTACATAACAAGGCGAAATAATACAAGTTTTCCTTACGTTGGATGTATTCAAAAGCGTTTGCCTTTAATAATTTCATTCAGGCTATTCATATCAAATATGAGATCATTATCTCCACTTTAAGAAGCTAACGGGTGGAGGGGATGCAGGGGGTGCGTTCTACGGCAGGGGTGCAATCTACGGTACAACACCTGTCAGTAAAACACCCGGGTGATGTCGCTTCAAATGCGTGAACATGCTCGATGTGTTTCCACTGTCATGTGGCTTTCTTATGCCACAGTGCCTACACTCCGTCGCAGTTTTGTACACTGACCTCTTTCCTTCTTCATCATAATTGACAGGGAAGCCAAAATGCTCCCATACAGGGGATTTAAGTGTCGCGGGGCGTTCGAGCTCCTCCTTTCTCCGCTTTCAGAAATCGATCCGCGGATCACATGTGTGCCGAACCGAATACGTCGATCCGAACGGATCACGGATCAATGATGATCCGTTGCACCACTAGCATCAGGACACATTTACAGTATTAAATACTCCATAAATCTAACAGAGGCCACAAATAGGAAAGCTTTCACTGAAAAACACACATCCTGAGCAAACATTAGCACAAAGTGAGAGTCTTCTCAGAACTCGACATAATCATTCACAGAGTCTGATGAAAGGCAGCCAATATCATTTGGCAATCTGTGGGCCTTTTGCAGTGCAGACGACGTGATTGATTGAAATAACAGGGGACAATGCGCAATGGCAACAGTGTCAGCTGTCCAATCCGTAAAAAGGATTTTTTATGATTGATGGCAGGCAGTAGCGTTAAGAAGTCTCACACCTCTGCACTGCACTCTCAGCACTCACCATGATTACATCTGAGTGTATGTGTGTGTGTGTGGAGTTAGCACCAAGAGGAATTGAGCGGCAGCATTTTGTGTGTGATTGCGCATGTGTGGGGTTGATTACGGTGTTGAGTGTCTGCTAGCTTGCATGTATTTTGTGTGTGAAAAGGTGACGGTGCAGTCTTTCCCTCTGTGTTTTTTTTTTTTGCATTTGTGAATGCCTGTGTGGTTGCCTTACTGCTGTTGGTGATAATGTGAGATGAAAGAAGGGAGGGAAGGTGGCAGTGAAGGACGAGAGAGGATGTGGCGAAAAAAGGGAAAGAGTGAGGCAGGGATTGAAGGATGCATAGGAAGGATAAGACCTACGTGGAGTAGACAAGGTCAGAGGAAGGGGTGGAAGGTGTGACATAGATGGGGAAATAAGGCTGCAGCAGATGGGTTTGAGACACAGGGTGGTATCGAGGGGGAGGAAAGGATGGAGAAGGAAGAAAAGGATGATATAGGGGTGTTTGACATAGAGGTAGGTAGAGAGGTTATTAAAAGTCACATTTAAGCAGGGGTAGAGAAAGAAAGGTCTGAATGAGTGGAGCAAAATAAGGTAGAAGAATGTTCAGAGAGGAGTGAAGGGCATAGGAAGGTGTGAAGGATGGAGTGAGGTGTGGAGAGGGAATGTGATGATGGCAGGACGCTCAATTGCAAGGGGTTTATGTGAGTCTTTGTCTCTGCATCAAACCTTTTGAAGTCATTAATAAATGCCAAAATGATGTGCAATAATTCTCACTGTTTTGTATTGTGGGCAAGGGGGTTGTTGTCATTTTGATATAGAGTAGCTGTGTCAACTGCAAAGGTTTAATGATGAAAAGGTGCAAAAAGTGCAGTTCATTGAGTGGCCACTAGAGGCAGGTCCCAAAAATGAACAGATATCCATAAAAACCCCATTCTAAAATTCTTACCAGTGGAAATGGTTTTTACAGCCAAGCACAAATTACAGGTTTGCTCACTTAATGTATTAGGGGGGGAGAATTTATTGTATTAGATTATAAACCGTGGGTACATTTGGTTTTTAGAGTAGGGTTGTATGAGGTGTTTGTTTGTAGGAAGTGTATTAGCTACAGGAAACAGCAGTCAACTCTTTACTCCCCTAGGTTAAAGGAGGGGTATGATGCAATTTTTCAAACTATTTCCTTTCTGACGCCTCTTTAATACCTTTACATGATTTTTAGATTAAAAAAAGCCTCACATTTCTTACTCTGGTGTATTAAAATATAGTAGTCCCGCTTTAGTAAGTATCTTGCAGCACCTTTGTCCTACACATACTTTGGGGGGTTTTTAGGCTGAGCCAGCTACCCCGAACATAACAAATTACAGGTAATTTAAGGACTTGTAGCCGTAACCCAGTTTGAAAACCAGGACAAGAGTGTTAGTAAGCAGAGGAAGCTGTAGCAATAAAATACGAGGAAAATATTGGAAACTGTGATCTGTTCGGCCTGTAGTAGCAGGTAGCCTGCTGACAGAAACCTGCACAGACTTCCAGATTTATTGCACCATGAACGGCTAAGGCGCAATCTGCTCGTGGGCGGCTTTGTACAGTAAACACACAGACATGCCTGCGTGTCCACATGCTCAGGAAGCAAGCTCCGACTGGATGGGCTCAACTGACAACGAATGGGCCATCAGCAAATGCAGCTCTGGTGATAGCACCTGGAGTAATATTATGGAAATATGGCCACATTTTCTGCCTCATAACGGTGAGCAGGGGGGGAATAAAGCACTCAGCACCCATTCATGCTACGAGCACAATAAAGCTCATTTGAATAAGCTGGAAAGTTGGCCAGCAGTTCATTTTCAACTGGGACACCACAGGTTCTTTTAATGTCTCCCCCTTTCAGACCAGGACTCTGAGTTAATTTAATCCTGCTGGCAACCCAAACACAATAAACTACACTGATGTTGTTGTCTCCTGACTTCTTGATAGAGCTAAAATGTTTGGGGAGCCGCTTAGGAAATTTACAGACCTGTTTCAGGTACAATAAGCTATTATTTGTACCTCACCGTTCAAGCTTTTTTAATTATTCATGAATAAAAAGAAGTATTTTTTCAGAGAATTAATGTTACTCATGCTCATTTGCTTTCTTCACATGTTTATAAGTACACGAGGACTCCACAACTACCAATGATGTTGCTGATTTCATTAAGCTCTTATGAGATTATTCAGAGAGAGAGCAACAACATCTACTTACCATTCTGTTTGTACGTAAGAGAGAGAGAGAGAGAGAGAGGGAGACAGGGAGAGGCAGGGGAGTGTGTGTCTGCGTGTGTTAATGTGTTTGTGCAGCCTTAATGTTTCTTAGCCTGCTGGGCGTCCATCTGTGGGTTTGTCTGGTGTCATTTCCACTCTACATATCCCACTACTTCTCTCACACATACACAGTGGCACTTAAAACACTAAACACAGTGAGCGTAAACCCATTACATCGCTCACGCACACATAAAATCAGGCAAAATCTGGCCACGTGCATGCACGCAATGAACCACACACACTAGATATGTAGACATGAGAGAACACACACGTGTACACACACAGCCAGAGCCCGTGGGTGCGATCTAGGTGCTTTCTAATACATCCTATTTATCATGCAGCAGTTGAACCCCCTTGTGTTCTTGCCAACTCTCTCACACACAAATGCAAGCACACACATACGCGCGCATTTTGTCCTCATAAAAGCACTGCCTGCATAGATCAGCCATTAAGATATAAGAGCGCACAAACAGAAACCACTGGTGGGCTGATAAATCATTTACAAAGTAACTGGGAATGTGTGCGTGAGTGTGTGAGTGTGTGTGTGTGGGGGGGGTGAAGAGTTACACACAAACCGATTAAGAGAGGGATGTTAGGAGGTTAAGAGGAGGGAGAGGTAATGAAAGTAAATGCATAGAGAAAAGAGAATGATAAAGAGGAAGGGCAGAAAAAGAAAAAAAAGGAAAGAAAGAAAGAAAATAAGGGGAAAGGTGGACAGAGACAGAAAGGTTTGGGTTTTTCAAAAGAAAAGGCAAAAAAAGAGGGAGCGACTGAGAGGGTTCGAAGATAGACGAGGAGAAAGAGGAGGGCATTGTGATAATACAGGGAAGGTTGAGGCAGAAAAAATGAAAAGAGCAAAAATGTGTGGACAGATTGTTAAACACCTGTAAGAGTCGAGATGTGACTCGAAATTTATGTCAAGGTGTCTATTTATGGTTATATATATACTGGTAACAAAAAATGTAAAAGGGGCATACTAGTGTGTTCTCTCACTTAGGCACAACTCGTGTCTGACCATAGACTGTAAATACTATGGACAACTTGGTTCCGCCTTTTTATTGTTTCCCCTTTTCCACATTTGCACAGATTGTTTTATGATGACACTGGCACTTGATACAACACCATGGTTTTGTACCCTTGAAGCAAGCCTTAAAATGCCTTTTATAAGACATGCTATATTTTTGCTGGAAGAATAACTTGTGTTGTTTTGAACAATGAAAACAGCCAGAGACTAACACTACAGTTCACAAGGACCTCCCTAAAAAGTAAAAAAGGCTGAATAGAGGAGCATGATATATGGCAATTTGCACTCAGTAAAAACATTATATCCATTACATCCTTTAAAACTGATATGGTTGGTCTATACCATAGGCTGTATATACTATGGACAACTTGGTTCCGCCTTCCGTCAGTATACAGATTTGAAGCCGAAAAGCTCGCGGTAAATCCGCTTTTTTTCCCTCCACTTCCTGAAACCAACATTGCGCAGTAGTGTTGTACGCACTCCACCACTTGCGCAGTCGCATCATGTGCATTCGGCGGGAGAGTTGGTGTGATGACGCTCAGCTCAAACAGCGTATCCCCCGGGTGAGCTACGCAATCCTTGTATGCCCATAGGCTGTATCGGGTGTCAATCATAGAAAACATAAACCCCCTAATAACTTTTGAAAACTGAGCTGTATAGAAAAAAGAGGACTTGAGCACAAACCAGTCTTACAATAACTACATTTCAACAACATTTCTAAAGTTTGTCCACAACTCCATAGGGATTGCTGGAGGAGGCGGGATTTATGATCTATACTGCAGCCCGTCACCAGAGGTTGCTGTTCTCAGAGTGGCTTCACCAAGTGAGGAGGAAGACGCTGTCCATTCTATATACAGTCTATGTGTCTGACAGATCATTTTACAAAATCAGTACATCGCAGTTTCTAACTGAATTTCTATGATAAAAATGATCATTTCTCTCCTCCTGCCTTCTCTGTTTCAGTCTTAACCACAAAACAATAAAAGACTTTTATTGTGAAGAGTTTGTTAGGAGTTACATGGATTAACTGAGCAGTAGTGAAGCTACGGTTTAATCATGATTGTCAGGAGTTACTTGCTGATTTTAAACTTGGAGAGTAAAAAACAATAGATTACCTGATTGCTGAATCCAAAAATCCATCTCTACCATAAACACTGAGTTATTTGATGAGTGGGCTTGCTGTGGCTCCACTCTGACCAGGATTACATTACTCCATTACGCTGTGTCTTTTTTTAACCTGCCACTGTGTCTGTATCAGTGGAAGCAATCTCAATGTTTTGAGAGCAACATTCATAATGTGTGTGTACAAAAAAACAATACACATGTTACAACCCATGAGTACAGTATTGTGAAATAGTGTTGTGGCAGACTGTGACACCTGCGTCAGTACTGAAGCTAAACTTTTGACATCTGTTTGAAATCATTGCTTTTTTCAACTTTAAAAGCAAAAACTAACGGCAACTATAAAAGAAAAAACATGTAGTTCTGGTATCAGAAGTATCCAAACTTTATTTGAAACTCCTCTGTCTCGGAGCGAGGTGTACAATCTGATTGATAGCACATGTTTTTTCTGTGTGTGTTTTCCATCTACTGTCTACCCCTCTCTGGTGTCCCTTTGTCAAAATCAGTCCAGTTCACATCAAAGCGGCAGAGCAGATAAAACATATCGAAACAAATCCAAGCGTTTCACTCTTTGCCTTCCTCTGATAATGTCAGCAGTGTTCTTTGGTCTGTTTTGATCGGACAAAAAAAGACAATCTGACAGCCTGATAAAGGAAGAGAAGGATTTCAAAGGCAGCAGCAGCAGCGAGACAAACAGATGGACAAGCTTTACTTCAAAGATGTTTAATTTGTTACGATGTACTGTGATTGATAGAGCCAGGGTGGGATATTAGAGAGAGGCTGACCTGAAAAGGGACAAGAAGAGCGGAGGAAAAAAACAGAAAGGAAGCAAAATAAAAGAATGATAGCTCCTTGCCATAATGTGTATTATTTGATTATTATCAGTTGGTCAATCACGATGAATTACTGGTAAGAGCGATAACCGCCAATTACTGCTAATGACAGATCCAGCTCGGTATCAGCCCAGGGCAGACACACACACACGCACCCACACATACATGGATACTTGGAGAAACCATCTAATGATATCTGGATGATGGTCTGCAGGGAGAAAATTTCCTCCAGCTTGGTGTATGGAAGAGTATTGTATGTTGTCCATTTTTTTGTTTAAAAACTATTCATACCCCTTGAACTTTTTCACATTTTGTCACTCTACAACCACAAATTTAGAAGTATTTTATTGAGATTTTTTGTCATAGACCAACACACAGTGGCATGTAACTGTGAAGTGGAACAAAAATGATGTACGGTTTTCAGATTTTCATTTGTTTAAAATTTTGTAAATAAATAAATAAATGTTCTTCCCTGAGCTGTGTCACCCCGCTGTAGTCCGTAATAGATACTGGCCTGAGGTCTCGCTACAAACTAGTGGCTGCTGGAAGAGAGTAGGTGAGTCGTGTTTAGTCACTTTGCTAAAGAAATTCAAAGTCAAAGTTAAAAAGATGTTTGGTGGCTCGTGCTGTGGCTGGGACCCTATATGTACTGTTGATGAAGTTAGGTGCTGTTCTGAGCATTATTTGTGGCTATAGAGTGGCGTTTTGGTTAAGGTTTGTTTATGGCTCCTTATACCACTGTGTATTGCTATCATGCGGTCATTAGTAAAGTTGATATAACTAGAGAGGCAAGCAGTTGGCAACATTCATCTCTCGAGGGCGTGTCTAACTCGATGTTATAGTGTGTTTGACCCTAAATTAATTTTACACCAGAATATCCCTTTAATATTTGCTGGACTGTGAGAAATTACATTCATGCATTGTTGAGTGAGCATTCAAATGCCCCTATTTGCCTTGTCTTTACGATGAGACTCTGACACCTAGAAAGCATCTGAACAACTGTTTTTGGAGGCTAAACCAAAGCTAGCTTGCCAAGCTAGCAAATATGCTAGCAGTTACCCCAACAGCTACCTCTACCAAATAATTCTGCCACTAATTATTACATCTGATGTCACGTTTTAGCTGTCTCTTTCTGTTTTAGTTTATTTAGGATTAAACTTGTCGTACATTATTCTTTTACAAGAATAACAGAGTTCTGAGGTTAAGTTGCCTTTATTTTTAGCTGTGGTGTTTTCCAAATTACTACAACTTAAAATGCTCGGCTGACATGTTGATCCCTAAAACTTTAGAGTCCAAGCTATTAAGTTTCTACTCAACAAACTGGAAACAAACTTGACATTTCAGTGGATCCTTTCAAGGGTGCTACTACAAAGTTATGTAATGCTATTAGTCTAATTGTTACTTGAGTGACATCAATTGTAAACCTCTTGCCTCTGTGAAAAGGAAAGAGCAGATACAACCTTGAAATAAAGCTATTCCGTGGCATGTTGTTGTTATTGTTGTTTCAAGGCAAAGAAAAAAGAAAAAAAGGAGCAGCATGCAGCTGACAGAAAACAAAAGAGCATCGACAGAGAAATAGATAGAGACAGAGGGGTGGACAGCCAGACACAGAGAGGGAAGATCTGTAGAAATACCAAACTGATTAGCCAGTGTTTCTGACATTTAAATGCCACGTTTACATATAGAAATGTTTCATAGGAATATTAATCACTCTAGTTAATTCACAGAGAGATGTGAAAATGGATCCTTTGGGCTTTTGACAGGAGAGTGGGGCAGGGATAAAAGGGCTGTGATGGACAAGTAGTGAAGTAATGCTGGCAGATGGTGTATTATTCACATAAATGGCAATCTTGCTAAAACAGGTACCGCTGTTTGTTAAAATAGAAGCCAAGTTTTATCTGAATACAGGTCTTACTCTCTTGCCTTGCCACGATAATACCTAAAAACTACCATTTCTTTTGTTCACATAGTGATTTCAAGGCTCTGCAGCATTTAGCAGGTTCTTTCAGGGTGAATTTAAACATCTTGCAACATCATCTTTTGAAGTCAATGGTTTAAGCACAGCACAGCCCATTGAGTAGACATGTGAAATCATCTTGTCTCTTGAAACATCATCCTTTGGACTACTTGGCTAAAATGCCTTCTCAACATGTGGCACCATTGTGCTTTGATACTTGTTTCAAGTGCCTAGGAGCTTGAATTCATTCAAGCACTGAATCACTTTGACAGTGACATTTCAAGTCCGGGATAAAAACCACACAGGGACGAGAAGAAATGGAAATAGTGAGAGAAGGAGGTTATTCCATCTTTGGCATTTCGTGTTAGGGAACTGAAATACGATTTGGTCAAGGTCTATCTATCTGTCTTGCAATGACATTCAATTTAAGTGAGCACGACATGTGTTGGACATAATCTACTGATAAAATTTGCTCAGGTGCTCGGGTTTATTATTGTAAATTAAATGAGAAAGTGGATGTTGCCTGCGGGTTTGCGTGGGTTACCATCATGATTTTAAGTAGCCTGTGTGGAATTGTCATTCACTGACTGTAAAGGCAGACCACGAGTGGTCTCCTACTGCAAAGCTTTCATTAACACAATGCCATCTTAATCCGTCACGCTTGCTCCACGTGTTGCAAGGGTACTTATAGGGTGATGCTAACTTGCAAATATTTCTGTCATGGTCTGTTTGCATCTGTTGACAACCAGCTACATGGAAACTGACACAATGACAGGCCAACAGAAAGTCAAATAGATGAAGCGGATGTGTGTAACTGTTACAGCAAAAGCCAGGTTATTCAAAGAAAAGAAAAATGAATTCATACAAACAAATAAAAAAATGACATATGACAAAAAATGACAAGTGTAGTGTTCAATTTGTTCAAGATGAAGAATTTTATGGCCTTTCTGGTAAAACCGGGACAAGATTTGTTCTCTCTTCATCATTACAAATCTGTCCAGACTGCTGTGTCCAGGACCTCTTAGACTGTGGTGTAACTCAGATCTCGATCACACTCTCAAGAAATTCAGAAGTAAAGCTACAAAGCTCCCGCAGCCTTCTGTCTCCAGTGGGTCCCAAAGGTCCTCCGATAAGAGACATTTTAACTTTTGAACTAGCTTCTTCTAGACTCGCACATTTGAAGAAATACTTCTTTCGAGAGTTTTCTGTCTGGTGGAGTGTAACATGAGAAGTTCAGTGCCAATCTTACATCTGTTGTTTCACCTGCAGACGGTTGATGTAGCTCATAAAGAGGATTCAAATGAGCTGTTGAGCTAAGTGGTTGCTGGCTTGATATTTGTGCTGAATTCTTCCTTAAATTGATTCTCATCCACTGCAGACACCGCAGACTGTATCACTTTCTGTGTGTGAGAATTCAGTGAATCCGAGGTATGTAACCAGGGTTTATGCTGTGTTCCAGTTACCTTAGAAGTTGGATGTTGAAACTGGGAATGATGCTACACCCAAGTTGATGGCGTTCTGGTAAACAAGTCGGAAAAGCAAGATGGATGCCTACTGTTTGCCGTTGTTAGCTGTTGTTCATAATTGTCAGCTGATGTTTACAATTGTCAGCTGTTGTAAGTTGTTGTTAGCTATACCAGTTGTAAACAACGCATGACACAGTATTTTACTCTTACAAACACCATGGCACCATGTTCACAGTCACCCCCAATTTCCACTGCATCCAGAATGGCTACAAAAAGGTTGTATCCGCTGATCGTAATTGATCCTAACCGTTCAAGTTAATGTGTCAATTTCCGCTGGCTTCTTTCCATTCCGCTGCAGATCACCAGACTCCGCAGCTGATCGCAAAAGTTCAATTTTTTTCGGACCCGGAGCATGCTGGATAAATTCAGCACAGATTAACCTGTGCTGGAAAGGAAGTCGGGCACAGACACAAAATAAAACATCCAGCTTCTTTTCAAAATAAAACACTCTGTGTTTCAGGTGGATCGTATTTCACATCAAGGAAACGGGCGGGGACGAACACTTGAAAGGTTTATAGACGGCATTTCATCCCGATGACACCATGGATGAGTAAATGCTGATTTTATAAGTCTAGAAGTAGATTTTCTCCTCTGGAAGGACACAATCTACTGCATATGGTTAGCCTCTGTGGCTAAAGACAACTTGTTATTGTGCAATTTCATGTGAATCCGGTTCTTGTGAGTTCTCGCGATTCCTGCTGTTCGTAATCCGCCACGAAATTCGCCTCACAAACGAATCCGGTAGCAACTGGCGTACGGTGAAAATGGCCACCTGTCCAGATCGGAACCGTTCCGGATGCGGTGTTAGATGTTGGGCAGTACAACATATACCACTTATTTAAGTTCACCAAAACAAAGAGTTGGACATCTGACCTCAGGGGGGCGTTCCAGATGAATTTTCGACCTGAGTGTGGAAATTCTAACTTCTGAGTACAACTGGAACACAGTGTTTTTCCTGTGGAAGCACTGTTACAAGGTTTATGACCAAAGGCTGAAGTAAACCAGCCTTATGGACAGAATTTAATGTAGATCTAAGTGCAGACACTCAGTTGGAGTTGTGCAGTCTATCTATAGCTGAACGACTCAGACATTATGGCTATTACAGATATGACTGAACAGTTTTGGTGTCAACAAGTGGACCTGAAAGGGGGAATCAGGCATATAATATAGAGACACTTCCATCCATGGTCATTGTTTTTTCCTCCATCCCTGCCGTTCTTCTCTCTCTTCTCCTTTACTTTACTTTCCCCTCTCTCTTGCATTTCTTGGCCTGATCTTCCCTGCAGTCTTCCCTCTCTCTCTCTCTTAGCCCTAAGTAGCCACAAATGGTCCCTAATAGCCTCCAATGGAGATGAATTGATCGTAGTGTGAACCAAATCGATAGGAGAATGCTTTTTGCAGCACACAGCGGGATACGGTGCAGGCAGGCGGTCTTAATTAAGTTAACAGTAAACCAAGATTCCCTTCAGAGCTTTATTAGAAGAGTTAAGTTTACGACGAATACGGGAGTTTAAAGAAAAGTTACTGAACAAAGAGCATATTTACCTTGATGTGTTTCTTATTTGTTGCTACTGAGACGTGATGCTCCCTCGCTGACTCATAAAGTGTTTGTTGGACGTTTTTGCACTTCCTGTACCTGATTTTTCTCCCCCTCTTTATTCCACCCCTGCTGATTTCTGTACCTCTTCTCCTCTCCCTTCTCTTCTCTCTCCTCCAACTTCTTCCTCCCCCCACCATCCCTTCCATTCTGTCGTTTATAATGGGATGAGCAGCAGAATTTGATCAGCAGTTTTTTAAAGGTCACAGAACCAAGCGAAAAAACTCTCAGCCGGAGCACCGAGGGAGTGAGGGAGGGAAGGATGAGACCGAGGAGGGTAGGGGAGGAGAGGTGAAAGCAAGAGAGGAGAAAATGTGAAGGGAAGATAACAGGCTGGTGGAGTGGAGGATGCAGGTAAAGAAAGGAGAGGTTGAGGAGGAAATGCTGCTAGGTAAGGAGACAGAATAGGAGTAGATGAGACAATGAAGAAAGAGGAAGAAAAATCAGCAGTAATAAAAAGGAATAAGGGAGGAGGCAAATGAGGTAATTTGTTGTTTTATGACACATCAGATCTGGAAACAGATGAATGCATATTAAATATGTAGGAGAGGAGAAGAGGGATATGAGAGTACTTAGTGATGAGGAAGGAGAAATTGGAAGGGAGGAAATGAGAAGATAAGAGAAGAGAAGAATGAGAGGCATGTAGGAGCAGCAGCAGCAGACCCACACTGCAAAGATCTGATTGGCTGCCCCACGTCCAACAAAAATATCACGTACTGTAATTGGTTAATGTCCAACCCGAGGCAGGACTTAATTCAAACATGACTAATATTGCTGCCATTACTAAATACAACATAACAATATTTTATTAAAAACACGAGTCAGTCACTGTTTTGGAATTGATATGGCTGATGGGAAAGATATGTTTTCATTTATAAAAGATGATGGTGAAATCTGGCTTTTTTCGATGCGGTTACGATGCTGATAATGTCAAAAATCTGTGACATTTCACTGAGAGGACCCAAGAGTGAGCATCAGATAGATGTAGGTGCTGATTTAGTTTTATTAAAAAAAAAAGTAAAAAAGGGAAATTCTTAGAATTAAAGGGATAGTCCGGCATAAAATTGATTTAGGCCCTAAATTAGTTTTACGTTGGAATATCCCTTTAAGATAACTGAGATTATCTGGGAGAAGGAAGTTTGCAGGCTGGTGGAGTTACTGAGGGTAGCATGGAGATCAGTGTAAATTTGTAAAGCATGCATTAGGGAAACCTTGAACAATTGTTTAAAAGCACATAATAAAAAGCCTAGATACCACTGTCAGACTCATATGAACTGCAGCTTGCAGGAGCCTGAGCAGGAACTTAAGAGCAGCTGCTGATTACCACTGACGAGGGACAGCTGAGTCTCATCAGAGTGAAGACCTCCTCACCACGCCCCCACCAGCCACTGCTGCACTGAAACCACTGTAAATGTTCATGTATTTGTGTGTAAACCACCAAACTAGATTTAAATAGATGCTACAAGTGTTAAGTGTTAAGAATGTAGAAACAAAACTCAAGGCTGTAATGTCACAACTGTATGATTCATGCTAAATATGGTGCCAAAGTCAAGCCTCATATCTGGACACACCCTTCGGTAGGAGAGGAAACAAGGTGAAGAAGAAGGAACTGACAATAACACATTTCCGTGTCTCTCAGCCCCTTCCTCTCACTCATCTCTTTTCCTTTCTTCCAAAACTGCCAAATCTTAATCACTCCTCCATTTCTTCTTATCATCTCATCTTTTTCTTCTTCCCTTTGAGATAAAAGAGACTTTCATCACTCTGCAGAGTCGAACAATGGGAGCACAGTGCAGCTGTTTCCCTGTCTGGAGCAATAATAATTCCTTGATATTATTCCATCATTTATTATCAAATAGCCCAAAATCTCCTTTCAAAACTCACTGAAGACTCTCTGTCTCCCTTTCTGTCTCTACTCTCTGTGCTCTCTCCTCTGCCGTCCCTTTCATCACCCTCGTCTCTTTGCTGCTGCCAGTCAATCCTCCAAACATCTCTGTGTCTTTCTCAATCATTTCAGTGACATGTCTGAAGTCTATGTGCATTCAAATGCACGTGCGCAGACTAAAACACAGACACAGAGGTTTTTTTTTTTTGAGGAAATCTCTCCTCCACTCCCAGCAACATCCAGTTTCTATGTGTCTTTGCAATTTTATTCTCCATTTCTAATATTAACCCTAATTTATTCCCATCAAATTGCAACAGTTATCTGCAAAACATCACATTCAAGGATTGTAGATGTCAATGTTTGATGGCACCAGATAGAAACGGTAATTCTTTAATGTTTACTTGAATGAATTTTACACCACTAATCCACTGCACTTTCACTTTTGACAAGCATATTATTATCTTATTTCTACACGGACTGAATGAGATGCAGTGATGTGAATTAATGCTTGCTTTCAGTCGAACTTGAAGTTAACTTTGCCAGTGTTTAAAAGAAATAAAAGAAAAGTAAGGTTAAGAATCTAACAAAAAGACTGACGTGAAAAGTAAGTGTGGGGGAAGAGATTGAAAAAAATCCTCCATAATGCGACACAGCCGCCAATCCACCATTACATGAAGACTATTTAAGGATTGATTTTATGTAAGCTGCTGGTGATGAGATGTAGACTCGCGACTAAACTCTAGTCTCTCTTCTTAAATCTGGAGTTGAGCTGTAAATAATGGGAGCACACACAAAAGCAGTCTTGACTCGATTGGAAAACAACATCATCTTGTTTTAGAAAAGAGTATAGCAGTCTAATCCAGGACTTATTGTAAAATCTGCCATTGTTGCAATTGGCAACGGAATAGAGTCAGACCTTAGTTGCTTACTTTGAGGACTATTTAACCACAATGCTAAAATAATTTCGCAGTTAAAAGACATATTCTACAGTTAATTCAAACACTCTGGGGCTCTGGGGGTCTGGGGGTGGAGCTTCGAATTGTGATGTATGAAATCTCACTGTATCTGATCCTGCCGTTTGGGTCTGCCAGAGATTCACCGCAATTTGAATGCAGAAATACTCAGAAATACAAGTTTGTACTTATTTTTCTCATGATATGCCCTGTAGCATCAGAAAAATGCCATATGAACATGTAGACAACAGGAAAAACATGATTTTTATCTGAGTGGGTCTTTAACTTTACTTTGGTTGCATTGTAAATTCACTACAAACTTTAAACATTACAGCGTTTTTAAAGCCAAAACTATCTGTTTGGTTTGAATATCCAGCTGTTTGTATTTTGCCCTATAGGAATTGATTTACTCAGTTGATACTACATTATTTTGTTCCTACAAAAATAGACTAAATACTATGGGAACAGAAAACATGACAGTGATGGATGCATTGTTGCTCTTCAGCTGGGTCGTCTAACTACTGCATTTTTCCAAACTTGTGCCAATATGAGCACAGGCATCCGTCTATGCTTACAACAGTAACAGTTTGGTTGCTGAGGGATCCTGAGCTGGCACAAGACAGATTGACAGGAGGAAGTTTGTTTGTGGTGCGCTGCAAAGCTTTCTCAAACTCACAGACATGGGTACAGTAAGTCGCTCTTCATTGTAGAAATGAGAGTGGTTACTTGGCTCTGTAAATAGTTATGGATGGCTGCTGCACAAACAAAACTGTTCTATGAGTGGAAACTCGTCATTTGCAACAATGATTGTTTCAGCAGAATCTAGGGCTGGGCGATATGGTCTCAAACCAATATCACAATATATTGAGCAGTTCACTTCGATAATGATAAATGGACGATAACTACTCCGTAAGCTGCTCACCCCCTCCCACTCTAACTTCAGCTACTTCAGCTACGACTTTTGAACTGTCCCTCTTTGTTACAGACTGGATGGGATGTAGTAACATCTCAAGCGTAGGACAGCGTTTTTAAGGTCGTGTTCACACCTAAAGGTCCGTTTCCTGATTTGAATCCAAGGCAAGACGATACATTTGTTTTGATTGTTTAACTGGTCCGGTTTGCGTTCACAAAGGACAAACTCAATCGCTCCAGAAAACGGAACCGGAAGTCACGTGACCGCGAATATCTTTCGGTTATTGGTCATTAGTTTATGCGGGAATACAAACCCCGCTCTGCTGTCTTCGCCTGTCATGGAGCATCGTAGGCTGATTTTGCTTTTGCTACTCATCTGGAGCGCATATCTAAAGACGCTAGTCGATCGCACTTTTGAATAGCTCGTTAGCCAAGTGGATGTGCGGCAAACAACAGACGGATAAAGAAAAGCGGCGTCTGTGTGGTGCGTTTCCTGTGATTGGTGTGGATGACGTTCACACCAGAAATGAACCGCTCTAGAGTTCACTTGATAGCGGTCTGAGACCACATCTTCAGGCGGACCAGAGTTCGTTTATTTTGTCCGCACCAGAGTTCGAGGTCAGCGTTCACACAGACCCAAATGAAACGCACTAAGGGGGTTAACACTCCAGGGTTCGGTTCAACTGGACTAAATGAGGGTGGTGTGAACGCGCCCTTAGGGACATTAGACCATAGCCTAGCTACACTCATCCAAAACCAACTTTAATTAATTAATTTCTTTTGACAATGAGTATATTGACATGAGCAAAATGATTCTTGTTGGTTAGTGTCGTAAATTTCGGTATTGATAAATTTTCGGTTTATCGCCCAGCCTTAGCAGAACCTACAAATATTTAAAATTAACATGTGTAGCTTTTTCACAGGTGAATACACATACCTCAATAGATAAAGCTGAATGTGACCTTGCCCCTACCTGTGTGCCTTTAGCAGCAGAACTAAAATGAACATCTCAGTTGGCGGCATCAAAGCCCATCACAGCACCTCCCACAGGACTTGGCTAGCCAGCTTGAAGCTCCACCTGTACGGAGCTGAGGCTTTCATCAGTCGCACATATCACAAGCCTGCCATACCTGCTAACATTGTTGCAGCTAGCAAGTGTAACTGTCTGCAGCTCTCCATTTTCCCTCCAATCCCCCCAAGAGTCAGAGCTGCTGAAAACCTGGTTGACTTCACACCCCCATATGAAGCTTCTGTCATTTTACACATGCAATGAATGCTGGGATTGATGCAGTGGGGGCTGTGTGCATGCTTTGTCTGTCAGTGACAGTGACTTTATTATAAAGACTGATGAACTGGAGCATCTGGATGTGGCTCTTTTGCAGCTGAGCCATGTCATTACAAGTGAACAGTCGTGCTTGTTCTCAATTTGTCCTTCTTGAGCATCCGTAGTTACTCAGGTTAGAGCAATTTAAATGTTTTGCTGACTCAGTTGTGTGTTCTAATAACCAAGGGAAATCAATGCAGTTGTTACCTGTAGTGTAAAAACAACTTCTCGAATCCCACTATCTAAATTTCTCTCTGGGACTTTTGTTTGTTTGATGTTTTTGTCTTTTTTTGGCAGTGTGTGAGTCCCAGCTGGAGTAAAGACTGTTAATATTACTGTTGATGAAAGAGGGGCCCCCAGGGGCCTCTGTAATGGGCTGGGAGGCCTTATAATGGCCTCAGTATTGGTGTGTGCGTTTGTTGCTGTGTGTGTTCGTAAAAGAAGCATAATTGTGGCAGTATATAATTGTCAGTGAGAGGGCACATTTTTACAAAATCAAAAGAAACCAAAACAAAGAAACACAAAGATGGAGCTTGTCCTGCACAAAAAGGCACAGACACACACACAAATACACACACAAAAAAAAAACAATGTCTCGCACACACACACACACAACCACACACACACACTCACACCATTCATGCACTGTGGTGCCAGCTGAGCCCTGTGTGTCCAATAACAGCAGGTGCTGTCAAGTGCAAGCACAGCAGACCTGCCCTGACATGTGAACACACACACACAAATCCCAGACACACACTCACACACCCCAGACACACACGCTAACACACAAACACTTGGGTGCAAGTACACAACATTCATCCAGCCCTCCTCTGCTGTAACTCTCACATCCAATAAAGACTCTCGGAGTTTAACCTAATGTCTGGTAGAAGCAGTTTATACAAGGTTACAGTTGATGTGTGCGGGAAAGTGTGTGTCTGTGTGCATGTGTGTCTGTGTGTATTCCTGCTATTTGGTTGTGAAAGGCTGTAATCTTGCCATATGGTCTCACATTAAGGCCCTCTAAGCGCAGCTATCCAGAAGTGTGTGTGTGTGTGTGTGTGTGTAGACAAAGAGATGCAAACAAAGCCCTTTACCCCTTTACAAAACTTCCTTTGTGTATGTGTGGCTATATGGAGACATAATAGGTATAGCTTTCTTTCCTTTTCCTTCTTTCTTTCCTCCTTTTTCTTTCTTTCTTTCTTTCTTTCTTCCTTTTTCTTTCTTTCTTTCTTCCTTTTCCTTTCTTTTTTCTTTTTCTCTCTCCTTCTTTCTTAATTTCTTTCTTCCTTTTCCTTTCTTTCTTTCTATCTTTCATTCTTTTTTCTCTCTTTCTCTTTTTTCTTCCTTTTTCTTACTTTGTTTCTTTCTTTCCTCCTTTCTCTTTCTTTCTTTCTTTGTTTCTTTGTTTCTTTTCTTCTTTTTCTTTTTCTTTCCTCCTCCTTTTTTTCTTTCTTTTTTTCCTTTATTTCTTTATTTCTTTCCTCCTTTTTCTTTCTTTCTTCCTTCCTTCCTTCTTTCTTTGTTTTTCTGTCCCTCCTTCCTTTTCCTTTCTCTCTTTTCTCTGAACTATGATTTTTTTTCCTTGTATTACCTTCTTTTTTTCCTGTCTGTCGTTATAGTTTCTTTATTTTGTGAACAATTTTTTCCTTTCCTTTTTGAGCACAGTTTCTTTTACTGGTTTCACTGTTTAGTTTTTTTCTTTCCCTTTTTACTTTGTTTTATTTTTTCTTTCTTCTCTAATTTTTCTATCTTTGGTAAGCATTATCCCTTTTTCTTTGAAATGACTTGTTCAGAATTTCTTTATTCTTACTGCTTTGTTGTCCTCTCTTTTTTCATTTATCTTCTGTTTTTAATCCTCGTACGTGCGTGCGTGCGTGCGTGCGTGCGTGTGTGTGTGTGTGTGTGTGGTGTGTGTGTGTTAATATATTTAGCAGTGCCATATCGGCCGCTGTGCTGACTTCATTAACTATCTCAGCATGAAGCTCAGCAACTGAATAATAATAAACCTACAACACACACACACACACACACACACCCTCAAGGGCCAAGCACTAAAGCATTGATAACTGATTACAGTTTACTTCATTACTATGTGAAAGTGCTAATTGTAAATAGATCCTCATTAACCCCATAAACCATCTAGAGAATCTGTCAGTAAGGATTTCAGTCAGCAACAGTTTAGCCTCAATGCCTTCATATAAAGTAAAGATTCATATTTTAGCCGAGAAACATTCTTCTATTTGTATCTAATCTAGATCTGTGATATTGATCTCTACTGAATGATTTAGTGCAGAATAAAGCTCTCTGAATTGATGCACTGAATTACTCAAAAATAGACCTACTGCCCTTTTGGGAGTAACGACTTAACTCCAGTCCTTAATCCAAGTTGTAATTATGATTTGTTAAATAATTACCCAAAGAAAAGTCTTGCTCAAAGCTCTTCACGATCACTGAAAGATATTATAGAAGGAATGCGATTCATCCATAATATGAAACACAAAGTGCTTTACAGTTACTAAAAACAATCCCACTTGCCCTTCCACCCAACCACCCTACCTCCGCAACCATACGACTGACAGTCAAGAGTCGTATACACAGTCTCACCCCAAAGCCACACACATACACACACACACCCTGCAGAGTACAGATGAACCAGTTGAGAGAGCACCATCAGAGGAGCCGTCTGCACCAGGAGGAGAGAGCTGTCCACAGCCACAGGACACTGACTCAGGGCTCAGAGGAGAGATGTAGCAGACACAACCTCCCCCAGAACCCTGTGACAGTCAGGCTCCTGCAACCACATCCGACCACTGCTCCTGTTGTAGAGGGGACTCCCCAGAGGAAACACTTGGGGTCCTAAAATTATCTCTGAAAAATGAAAGCAGGAGGACAAGTCAAAGATAGTGTTCATTTCTCACTGAAGTACTCTCATTCTGCTTCCTCCTCCTTTTACTTAACTTGAACTTATCATCCTCTCACTCTTTCTGTATAAATGTCCTTCACTGTGGGCCACCCAAAATGGCAAACCTGAATCTTACTCATGGCTTCAGATGTCTGATTTCTATGTGATTGGATTGGTTGCACGTGACCTCTCATATGCAGTATATGTTGAGGTTGAGTGTGGTTCCTGAGTGGCAGTGTTAAGCAATTAGCACACGCACTTTAAATTGGGTTTTGATTGAAAAAACTGTGTTTTGTGTTCTGTCTTTGCGTATTTAATTTCAGTAACAGTCTATTATTTTTTTTATTTCAGTTTTAAAACAATCGTTAAAAAAACTCGAAGCTATTTCATTTTTGGTTAATAGATGAATTGTTTTGTTCAGAAAATAAAAGAGTTAAAACAAATTGCAGTCATGTTTTATCCTCACCCGTGCTGATGTCTTTAAATTTTTACTTATCTAGTAACCTAATGTAAAAAATGTCAGTCTTTTTATGAGAGAGAACAGCAGCAAATCCAAATAGTTGAGCAGGTGAAACAATCAACTTTAATTGTTTGAATATTAAATTGATTATCTAAATCTTTAATATTTTTTCCCCCTAAAAAGTCTTTTCTTTTTCTCAAATGAGACTTTTTTTTTTTGTTATATCGCGCTGACGAACACTGTTTTTTCAAAATTTTAAGTATTACCTTAGTGCTTTTCTCCCCTGTCTACTTTAAGTGTTGGTGATCACCCATTACAAATTTTTCTTAGAAACACAACTACACTTGATTGTCTGTTTTTTAGTTTCTGATTTGTTGTTCCTCATCTCTAATCTACTTCTCCTCTTCCTCCTCCTCCTCCTCCTCCTCTCAGGTCAGTGTGTTGGAGCGTCAGGTTATTGATTTCCTGGGCTACCAGTGGGCTCCCATCCTCACAAACTTCCTCCACATCATCGTGGTCATCCTCGGCCTGTTTGGCACCATTCAGTTCAGGCCCAGATACGTCACAGGGGTAGGTATCACACACTAAAAGTAACCATCACTTGATCATGTGACAGCAATTTTTGATATCTGTATTTTTCCTTTGGCTTACCTATTGTTTTCAAGGACAGAGAAACGTTGAAAAGTTGCACAAAAAGGGGCTGTCTTTTGTTTTGGTGTTATTCAAGTCTGATTTGTGGCTATGACAAGATGTGATGTTAGTATCTTTAACCACACCTTAGTTACAGGGCAGTCTGAATTATATTAACATATTCACTCAAAGCCTAAAGAACGCTCTCAAAGAAGAACAGCTGAATATCTAAACAGTTCATAACCCAGTGTACATTAATTATTAAAAGAAATGCTTTCTGCTGGATCAATTCCACTTAAAAACAACTCACATTTGCAGCTTAAGTCATAGCAAAGCACAGCCCATGACAAACTGGGAATATGGTTTATACACAGCTATATCTTAATGTTGTAAATAGGGTATCAACATTGAAAAATATATAAAATATCCTCACTAACAATAATAAGGAGCAGTGCTGCCTTATTTACAGTTCATACTTTGTTAATCCTGAGATCCTGAGAGGGTGCTGTGCTGGGGGTCAGAAGGGGACAAGAAAGCCACAGAATGCACCAAAAATACATATAGTGTCTGAGGCGCACTGGATTATCCACAGTCTAAAACCAGCAAGAGAGAAGTGCATACAAAAAGATATTCAGGTTAATAATAATAATAATAATAGATTTTATTTGTAACGCACTTTACATTTAAAAACAAATCTCAAAGTGCACAGTAAAAACCAAGCAACAGGGCAAAACAATAAAAAAAACAGTCAGCAAAAAAAAAATTAAAAAAAAAAAAAAACAGTCAGGTTATGCATTTCTTTCCCACTCCCTCTCTTTGTTTGAGTGACAGTCGGTGTCCTCTTCTTTAGCACCATGGACAGTACCACATTTACCCCCTAAAAGGCCTACTTGTACACAAAATTAATTGAACCAATAACATGCAGGTTAGACATAAATGGTGATGCATTCAATCCCCCCGTTAATTGGCCAAATGCATTAACCAGTATCATCAGACTCATCACTCAGCACCTTCACCCTCTATCCAAACATCTTTGACCTGCTTTGGGTCCAGCTGACCTAAGGTCTGGTGACATGCACACAACTTCCATGCTGCATAACCTGGCCGTGATCTGACCTCTCACTCTCTAAAATCAAGATTGAAGTATTCCTTTAAGTAGGAGAACAAGACATTTAAGCAGAAGTTAAGACAATATGGAAAAAGAGCAGATGATAAAATAGATTGAATCTGTTCTTGTCGTCTGCTGTTGTTTCTTATTTATGCTTCTGAAGTTAAGATTACATAATATTGAAAATAAACTGAATACATTTAGATTTTCATTCTGACACAGCAGGTCCAATCCAGTAGGTGGTGGTTCTTGTCTTGGAAGTTCAGAATCTTGTTCCATACACTATAAAAACCCCTGGGTTAAAAAAACAACCCAACTTGGATTGTTTTGAACCCAACACAAGGGTTGAAAAGGGACCGACAACTTATTTTGACCCAGAATGTAGGGTTATTCAAATTAACCAAAATTTTTGGTTGACTCAATAACTCTTTTCAACCCAATCTTCGAGTTAATTTGACACATGATCTTGGGTTAAATTGATATATGATATATTTGATATATTTGGGGAGCTTCTTTTGGGAGCTTTGCTTTTACAACCTGTACCCTATTTTCCCATGTGCTTTTATCTAACTGATTGGTGGGAATCAGTTGGATAAAAGTACATGGGAAAATAAGGTACAGGTTGTACCTTAGCTGTTTCGGTGTATTGACTGTGGGTATTGAAGCAACCATATATCCCTCAGCCTGTTCATGTAATCCTGCTGGTAAGGGCTACTGGAATAGTACCATCATCTCATGTCCATTGCCTTCTCTTTGTTGTTCCAGTAGCCCATTTCTCATCACAATGCCCTGGTTCCTTGAACTGGGTTACAATAGAATCCATATGACCCAAGAAATGGGTATGGACCTGAAAAATAACCCGAGTTTTTAGATTGTAAATACTAGAACTTGATGATGAACTAAATTGTTACAAAAAAACTTACTTTCAGTGGAAACACCAGCACAAACTTTGCTCTGTTTTCATACAAGAGTAAACTTAAATCTCATTTACATCTGCAGCCCCTTATGTTACTCCCATACATATCATGCTGTGTGCTCCATGAGTTTTATTTGTTTGTTTGTTTTTCAATTTTTATGAATGATTTATTTTTTTGTTAAAAAGGGAATGTCTCTCAGATGCATGAGAGTAAATCCCCATAACAATAAATCTGGCTGGAGAAAAGTAAGGAATAGGTTTTCAATCCAGTTCTCCCAAATATTGCCAATGCTCCACCAATTGCTATACATACGCCAGTGAGTGTGCAATCGTCTCAAACACACCAACACACACAGAAGAAATTTAGTGGGACTATCCAGATAATTAAAGTGTTATCTGAGCTAGTTCATTCTGCTTTAGTTGCATCATTTATTCAGTTTTCCTGCTCTCTCTCCTTCACATACACAGTCACTCAAACACATGGTTACAGCCCTGCTTTCTATTTTCTTTCCCTGTCTGGTTTGATCCAGGTGATTGGTTGCTCTCTCTGCTATTGTTTTTGTATCTCTGCATATCAACTGCATCAAAGTGAAGCCCCCCTCTGCCTTTTCTCACCATCCGACCAGCTCCAAATGCTGCACATGGACAAGCTTTTTTTAATTTTTCCAGCAAAATCCTGTCAGATCTCATCAAACCTTTGTCCTCTCTTTGTTTGACTCTGCAGTACGCAGCCTGGCTGGTGGTGTGGATGACCTGGAACGTTTTCATCATCTGTTTCTACCTAGAGGTCGGAGATCTGTCCAGGGTAAGACGCCTTCAAATTGGCTCATTTCTGCTTTCTTGCTCAGTCGTCATGGCTCTGGAAACTCTGGTATAAGTGCCTTTCAAAAAGGGCTCACTAGACGACCCCTTTCTGGCTTATTTTTCTCTTACTTCCTTCTGCTATTTGTTCTTAACTGGACCCAGAGTCTGTGATGAGATCCATGTAATCTTAGCTAAGCTCATAATGTTTTTTTTCGTTGCATCGGACTTCTCTCCTTGTCCGCGTATACATGCAGCTGAGAAAATTAAATTATTGATGTGAACATGTCCTCCTCCCCAAAACTAGGGGGTGATATGGGTCTGACCCAACAACAACAGCAGGTCTGGGCCAGATATCAGAAGTGGCTACGACTGCTGCTGGGCATTTTTGAGCGAGAAGATGGAGCATCATAAAGCGTTATGTATGTCATACATGATGTATGCGCTGCTTTTTCTGCAGATGAGGTGCACGCTACTCCTCTCTTCGTGTTTTGTTCCGGGGCTACAGGGGCGTGGCACATGCACGCACGCATTGTCCTATCATACTCTGACTACGCTGGTTACACGGTAGAGAAAATCGAATTCCCATTATCTGGGTGTCTTAATCGGATCTCTGATTATAGTCAGACTAAGGTGTTTACATGCACTTCAGTTGTCCACTCTTAATCTGAGTTAGGCAATAATTTGGTCTGAGCCTCTCAATCTATACTGTCATCTTTTTGAGATTCTCTCGGCAAACCAAAGGAAAACAAACCCCTCTTTGTTGCATTAATCAACAACTGTGTGGTTCAGTCATATCTGTCTGTTCAACAAAAAAACGAGGATTTATGTCACTGCTTTGACCACAAGTGCTGAAATTCTGACGGGAAGGGTCATATGATTTAAGAGTGAATTTACTGTACGTTCATCACAGGGGTCGAGACCCTGTCAGCTCCTTTTATATCCCCACAGTCTGCATGCTGACAAAGCTATACTTGATAGATGTAAATAAAATTATACATGCAGCTATTAAACTATGAACACATTTTCAATATCTGAAGAGTGTAAACACATACTTTTGTCGGTGTAATTTACACAGATGGCATCAGGAAGCTTTGTTCAAACATAATTTAATTTTGACAAACTGATTTGTGTTGACTTTTATAAAATGGAAGCATTATGGTTTAATGCCTGTGTGGAGAATGAACACTGAAAGAGAAGTGAGACGTTAATTTAAACTGTTCATGTATTTTCAGACTCACTTTACAAGGGTTTAGCCTCTCAGCAGTACAAATGAGTTGATTTTAAATACTGATTACCAACTAGGACTATTAATTAGAGCCAATCAGTGCTTCTATAAACAGAAATCTGTTGATGGGAGGATTGATTATGGCTGATTAAACTCTGTGGTGAGGGGATAGAAACCAGACACAATCTACTCAAAAACACACATTTTATCAAGTGTTGGGCAACATATCTGCTTTCAGCAATTGTAAGTTTAGCACACCATATCGTCTATCCTAATACCTATCCTCTGGTTATTTAAAACATTTCAGTGCAACTACTGTTAGTTTGTTTTAAATCCGGCTGCCACATTTTGTACCAAACTAAAATATACAAACCTGCATGCTGTTTTTGTAGACTAAAGATCAAGTTGGAAGTTCTTGGAAAAGCTGTAAAATTGTGGTTCAAGGGTGAAAAATACAGAGTCAAACGAATTTCTTCAGCAAATTCATTATTTATAGCCTGTCATGAATTTATATTAGTTTAATATTTCTCTTCATTTTATAAGAAAACAATTTGCCCTCCTGACCGTAATCGCCACAGCTGGTTTCTAACAAGGGTGAAGCCGCCACTTAATTAGAGACACCTTTATCAATTACCTCTTGACCAATCAGAGAACAGCATGCTGGAACCAGATGCCGAACAGCTTGTTTGTAGAACCGGCACAGTTTGTGTGCGCCTCGCTCAAGGCCGCATCAACCTTGACCCAGTTACTGAGAGAGAAGGGAGCCGCTTCCCCTCTGTGCCCACATCCACCAGCTGTTGTATGAGATATGAATCCATCATCTCCCCTTCTAGGTCTTGTTTACTGACCTGAGGGCTATTATAACACCAGACCACATGTGGAGCAAGTGTAGGTGTGTGCGCAAATCCAGACATGAAGTTCAGAAAATGAAAAGCCAACCCCCCCATAAAACAAACAAACATAAAAAAAAAAAACGATTGACAACAAAATAAAAAAAAAAAACTATCCATCAGCTTGAAAACAAGACAGAATATAATGTCTTTATTATCTTTGCACAGCACAAAGAAATCCTCCATCCTCCTCCCATTGGTGCCATTAAATCTTAATGTGCAGTGAAATATGAACTTAAGATATTTTTCCTTTTTCATAATAAGAAATTTAAGTTTTTAATTAAATCTTGAATTAATTATCCATCTTTTAATTAAAGGTTTTCTTGAGCAGTCCTTATGCATGTGTAGATTATTGTCTACTTATTAGTTTGATGGATTGTTCTACCTATTGATAAGTTGGAAAGGATAAGGTGATAAGCTCCATCTTATCTAATATGCTAACATGTTATTAGTTAACAAAACAATAAATAAAAAACCTTTAATTGTGTATTCTAGAAAAAATCTGTTACTATGAACTTAAATAGACAACAGGCAGTTATAAACCAGCGAGAAAAGAAATGACCAAACCCGCTGATGTGCTCAAATTTCTTCTAACAGAGTAAGCGCTAACATTAACAAACAGTTTGAAATGGGATGCCAGGTTATTTACTTTTAGCTAGTGCAAGAGTGCGAGAGACAATTATTTGCAGACTCGAGGGCAACTAATTCTCTATTCTGTTGTTGACAATATAAATAGATATGTGTCATTCAAGTTGACTAAACACTCAATAGATGGCACCAGAACAACAAATCAGTGTAAGAATTAATGTCTATTTTCACCCCTATAGGCTAAAAATACCAGTCAGTTGAGAGTGTAGCTCTGATGACCGTCTATTGTCATACTGCTCTCTGATGTAAACAAGCTAATTGGCAATTTCCGCTGCATCCGGAACGGCTAAAAAAAGGCCGTATCCGCCGATCATAGCTGATTGTGACCATTCAAGTTAATGTGTCGATATTCACCGGCTTCTTTCCGTTCCACTGCAGATCGCTGGACTCCACAGCTGATCACAAGAGTTCTATTTTTTCCGGACGCTAGAGCATGCCGGATAAATTCAGCACAGATAAGTTCATGCTGGGAAGGAAGTCTGATACAGACACAAAATAAAACGTCTAGCTTCTTCAAAATAAATCAGATTTCACACCATGCAAATAGGCGGGGACAAACAAGTGAAAAGTTTGTAGTCAGCATTTTACCCCAATGAAGGAGATGCTGATATCACAAGTCTAGAGGTAGAATTCCTCCTATGAAAGGACACAATCTGCTCCTTATATGGTTAGCCTATGTCGCAAAAGACAACTTGTCATTGCGCGATTGCATGCGAAACCGTGGGTTCTTTTGAGTTCTCGTGATTCATGCTGTCCGTAATCCACCATGAAATTCGCCTCACAAACGGATCTGGTAGGAATTGGTGTACGGCAAAAATCACTGCCGTTCTGGATGTGGTTGAAATCCCTGGTTACACTAACAGATCGTATCTCATAGTGCAGTGCAGTTTAGCTGTTTTTTGATCTAGTAAATGACCTTTAGATTGAATGTTGGCTGTTTCTGGTTAAACAAGCACTCAACCAAAGCCATCGGTAGCCATCACAGGAATATAGGTATTAACCTGTTTGTGGTACTAGCTCTGCTAGTGTTAGCTGCACTTAACAAACCAAACTGACATTTAATAACCTCTATTCATCTTCATTATAAAGTTGACTGCCAAAAATATCAACTGCAGTTTTGGATTTAGGTCAGTAGAGATACAGGCTAAGACAGATCAAAGAAGAAGATAAGTCTATGCCACAGTGACATACTTTTTCTGCTTCGTCGTGCCTCTTTATACGGCATATACCCCTCACTGAGCAAACTGGATCAGAATGACTCGGTGGTGTTTGAAAAGGGTAATGATGGTGCGCTCTGTGATTCAAGAATACTGTGATGTAAATGAAAATCTCTTAATCTCCCTCTCTGCTGCTTTCAGCTTCCCCTCTTTTGCACCCTCTGATTCTCCCTCCTCCTGCGCCTTGCCTGCTTCATCTCCATCTAATTCATCCCTCCTCTCCCTGCGTTCAGCCTGTAATCAAGCCTGTAAAGTACGACGTCAGTCTGCTCCATGCTTCTCTTCACCTTCTCGCCTCCTTTTCATTCACCCTCCTTCTTCCCATTTTCAATGTCAAGACTGGAGGAAATATGTGCTTGTCAAGAAGCCCTTCGCTATTTGTGGTCAATAGCAATTCACAGCGCAGGCCTTTATGTATTGCTCAGTACTGAGTGCCAATTTAACACATTACTTTACACACTCAGGCCATTACTTCTGGGTCACAGGACAAAAGTGTTTGCGACAGACTCCATTTTTCTTCATTACAGAGATCTGACAACTTTCTGTGTATGAAAGAGTCAGAGAATCAGCCTCGCTTTGATTTGCGCTGCGTTATCAGTGGCTCTTGGATATTTGCTGTTAGCTTTGATGTAATTTTCCAGTGCCAACACCCTGTTTTTTTCCCGACAAATAAAGCAGATATGTGATATCTCCAGTGCCAGCAGGGAATGTTTATTACAAAACTGATCAGACTGTCAGTGAGTTAAGTGAATGCCAAGGGTCAGGGCTGACTTTTTTTTTTTTTGTAATAAAAGATACAGGACTTTTCTACATTTGGATTTTGTATAAAAGAACAAAAACATCACAGACAAGGACAGCAAGTCTTTTCATGGAGAGCATGCAATCTGTCATTTCCAGGGAACAGAACACTCCTCAGTCTACTAGATGTGCAGCACATGAACCGCAAATACTCTCTGTGTTTGAGTGAATGAAAGTCAGGAAGAAAAAAAGTGTGAAATTTGCCAAACCTCTATGACATTTCTTCTTTATATGAAAGCCAACCCCAATGCCAGGCAGAGTTTGTTGGTTCAGATGGAAGTCCTGATGTTAGTCTGAAACCAGAAGGACACATGTCAGGAACTGGCAGATTGTCGCTGTTTGCTAAATTTGGATAGAATTTATTTCCAACTCACTCTAAAATTAATTTCAACCCAGTGACTTTATGACAGTGTTACTTTGCTAGTTTTGGAAAAGTCCTTGAAGAAGTGTTTTCACAGGTTTCTCCTCCTTGTAATGAGTAAACAGAAGTGTGATAGAACCACAGAACAAACAATATAATAGTCTTTGGGTCTCCCTCTCCATCTCCAAAGTCAAAATTTAGTCAATGCTAGACTCTAAGTCAGAAATGTTCAAGTCCAAGTCACAAGTCCTGAAAATAAGGACTCGGGTCATTACAAGTGTTGGATTCCTGTACTGTCTAGGGGTGGAAGGACACAATGAATTTTCAAGCATATTTATTTACAAAATTACTGTAATTAAAGGTGGGGTAGGCAGGATTCCGTTAAAGAAGCATCTTTTATTGTGGTGTATATACAAAAAAGCTTTTAATATCAGTCAATAGCTATTAGTTATTGATGACATTTGGTAATATAACGATATCGCTGTGTTTTGTTATGATGTGTTGTCAACATTTCACATTTTTTGAGTGGCCCGCTCTTTCTGACTGTAAACAAATCCATTTTCCGCTTCCCCCAACCTGATTGGTTTTGAGGCAGATGCTGCTCCTTAGTGCTGATTGGTTGTGAAGCGGACGCTGCTCCCATGTGTTGTGAGGCGAGCTCCACGTCCTCGAATAAAGTTCACAAGCCCAAACAAAGTTCGTGCTACTATATCGGACAGTAGAAAGCAACCAGAAAAGTACAGAAAATTGTCTGAATCCTCCTTTGGCCACGACTGCAAACACAAGCAAGAAAACAAAGTAAATACTGGAGACCCCGGTGGAATAACAGGCGCTTAAAGCGGAGGTAGACAAGACAAGAGCTAAGAAGCCAGGTCGACGGGGGACCTGGATCTTGTAACCTTTCTGCTGGACAAGTAAACCACTTTAACAAAGTAAACCAAGTGTAACAGAAGTGTTTCTTGACTAACGGGACCTGCTGCGTGTCGTAGTGCCTCTAAACTGTTTACCTCGGGTCCTGGAGTATGTCACTTTATCCTAGTTGTAGAAGTTCTGCAAACATTGTGTTTGCTGGTAGTCTGTTGGCATCTACAGTAGCACCAATGCTTTTTACTTTCACGTTAACTGGGCCCAATTTGTAATTATCTGAAGTATTTATCTGCATTATATCTGAATTTAATTGAAACGATACGAGCGAGCAGGAGCATCTGTATGTGGGCGGGGCTTGCTGGAGCAGAGAGGGAGGGGAGAGGAGGAGCTGAGGGGAAAAATTGTTAGGAGGGGTAGAGTTTACATTCAAGATTTCTCCCAAAAACTGGCACATCAAATCCTGCCTACCCCACCTTGAACAAAACAGCAACTGTAAAGCAACTGCACACTCAAAGAAACCAAAAGACAATTACTTGCCTCCTTAACTAACAAAACATGAGAAATCAATACTGAATAAACTTGGGATTCACCTACACAAAAAACAAACAAACACAATATTCAGCAAACACTGTGAACACTCAGACATCATCTCTCAGCTGGTGTAGGGAAAACCCTCTACACATAGCCTATCACCCGCTAAGCAGAAGACCAATCGACCAATCGGCTGATGAGAATTTAGCACACCTATTTGGGTAGACAGAGACATCCAACACCAGCAATACTAAATCAAATGAAACACACACAAACTCATCTTACGACCATGGTCATAACATTTAACATTGGTACTTAGCTTAAACAGTCCTATTCCCATACGTTTGCCTTCATAAATCTTTAAAGATCTGAATTTTTTTTAAATCTGTGTATCTCTTCTTCCACGTGGTCCCCATGGAGCTTCACAGGCAGAGATAATGTGTACATCCTGTCTGACAGTAATTTGAGTTTAAGCCTGAGCTTCATACCAAATTTCAGTCTCCTACACTTCCATCCTCTCTGCCACTCATCACTGCTGCAACACAGCGGCAATGCCACCAAATTCATCTGGAAAAAGATTTCTCTGATGTGGCGTCCCTGACAGATTTGAAGAGCCTGTGGAGAGAGAACTGTCACCATTCTGCAACCACACACACACACACACACACACACATAGACACACTAACTAAATGCCAGTAGTCCACTGTGTCATATGATAGATGGCAGCCACCCTGTGTGCATCAGATGACACATAGATACACACAAACATGAACCACACTCATGTGCGAGGGTTATCCCACATACTTATTTGAATACTGCGTGTGTGAAAGAAAGCATCTTGACTTGACTATCTGCTCTTCCAGAAGTTGTCATTCATAATATCCAGTATAAGAAAATGTAAGTCACAATAGTTTTAAAACAGTGTCGTTTGAATCAAGTGTATATCCCGGTACCTTTTTTCAGTCTGCGAATACACAAATCTTTTAGTGACAGAAAGAGGGACAAGTGACTGCAGGGAAAGTGATGAGATGAAACATAAAAGTGAAGCAAGGAGACAAAAAAGAGAACAGAAACTTAGGAAGACTGAGGGATTGGGGGTATTCATGGCAGGGGTAAAGAGCAGGCAGAGAGAGAAAGAGGTTTAGACAGGAGACGGTATGACAGGAGATAGAAGATGACATGTTACTGAATGAAGCCTCATGTGGATCAGTGTCCCTTTCATAAGAAGGAAGAGGGAATTTTGGGTAAAGTATCAAGCAGAAACTCAAAAAAGTTAGAGCAACAAAAGTGTAAAGAAGATAAAATCCCTCATTAAACAGGAACCCAATCAAAAGTGTGCCTTTCATATCTATTTCACATCCGAATCAGTCGCTAGGTGAGCTTTTTGCTACAGGCTGAATTATGACAGGTAATCAAACACAAAATCCATCCTTAGTTTAAGTGTGAAAACAGATTGCCAGCGTCGGTTTGAAGACTTATAGTCACTTAACTTTACTCTTTCATACTGTACTGCTGATTAAAACGATGAATGAGAGGATCTCATCTATTTAATCATCAACGTTCTACTTAAAACATCCACCCTGATTCATTGAGTTAATGCATCAGCCCTGACTGTGTTTGATCAATGGGGCGCGTTTGTTGAAATCATGGCATGAAATTGCCTTTTTTCGCAGGACCCTTGTGGGACGTTCCCACCAACTGATCTTATCATTCAAGTCTTAAAAGAGTGATACAGTTTGATTATTCATTGGTGCCAAATGTGTTCATGTGTAATTGCAAGTGTTGCTTTAACTTGTTCAACAAAGACGCTAATAGAGCACAAATTGGCTGTATGATGCAGTCGATAATAGATTTTACTGAATTGCTTGCAGCAGCTGATCTTCTCCCAAGCTTTGGATGGTTGCTGGTGTTGATTTTAAGCCTTTTGGTACTGGACTTCTTAATCTCTTCAAATATGGTATGTTTTTCTCAAAGTATTGGCCAACTGAGCTTCCCCCAAAAAAGACATACTACAATTCTTTCAACCAAAGCAATAATGGAAGACTGGAAGCTTGGGTCTTGTTTTATGAGTTTTGGCCATCACTTAGACTTACGATGAAAGAAAATGTTCATTTTTGTGACCATGGCAACATTGCGCTAACATAATATATACTGCCCAGTAAATCAAAGTTAATCTAACTCTGATTTACAGTACTTTCCTTTTTTTTTTCTTTTATCAATTTTTGCCCTTTTTTGTCCTGCTTTATCAATTTTCAGTATATAAGTGCACGATCATTTGACTGTTAATGTTTTTTACCTTGTCAGACTTCTTTTTTTGTAGTGCCACATCTTGATTGCGTTTTATGATCATTTTACCAACACAGATGATGGTCAAAATCATCAAAATTAAAATATTATCCTCTAAAATGAAGTGAAATCAAAGAGCATTTCAGCACTTATCGTCTCCCATGAGTCACCTCTGGGTCCCGTGTTAAAACGTCCAACTATACAGAAGAAATAAAAATATTAATAGTTAACATTCATGTGTTTGTCAGCATCTGTTAAAAGAATATTAAGGCCAACAAAGGTGAATTAAATAAATTTTGTTTTATTAGTGACATGGCTGAGTTGACAGAACTCTGCCTCTTTTCTATACCTAAATCGAGCCATGGGGCTCTATTTACGCGCCCGCCGGTGGCACGGCAGAGGGCAGTGCACCCCGCACAGTGTTTTAATTGTCCGGCAGAGCCCGGTGCACAGCCAGTTTGATATTTTCTTAGACTGAGGCGCTTATCCCCTCCCTCTCTGCTACGTATGCCACTGGAAGGAGCTGAGTTAGGGAGGGGGAATACTTACGCCGGGCTGCGCCGCTCACCAAAATACCAAAGCGTGCTTGGGCACGCCTCATCGGTGCGGCAGACCTGACTTTAAGTGGGAAAGAGCCCATGATTTCCATGGTAACCTACATGGTTTTGCTTCAGATTGCCTCTTCATATACCAATGGTTGATGTCACAGAGATCACTCGGTCACTTCTTGACATTTTGGTAGCTTAATACACTAGCATGTTCACCAGCTATTGTCAGTAACTGAGTAATATTTTACCTTAAAGGCAGCACGCCGTTGGTTAATTAGCACTTAAAACAACAAAGTTACTCGTTGTGAAAAACCCAAATGTTCATCTGAAGTGACATCTTTCATGCATAACTTTCCCATTTTATTGTATTTTGGTGCAAAGCTATTGATCTTGGCAGCTTGAACCCACAGCTGCTTATTCCATTTCTGTCTCTCCTGCTTCATTAAGTTTTCAAGGAACAAAATAAAATAAAAAAATCAAGCTGTGATTTACTACTGTTCTAAATTTTTGCTTTGGTGTGGCCACTGGCTTTTCAGAAAAACCAATTAACCAGCAGAAAGCTGAATTAGCAACCTCCTTCCTTCACATAATGGTAGATCTTATCTGGGGAACACGGGTAGTAGGGCTATAATTACCCTACCAGTCTAAAAGCTCAGAGGGTTTGAAATGGTTATGTTGAGGCATTTGCTTATAGATGGTAATAGGTTTGGAGTGGTTAAGGTCAACTTTGGGATCAGGAGCAGACTTCATCTTTTCCTACCCCCCAACCCACAATCACATACACAAACAACTCCCCCAGCAACCCCAACCAATTTGATAGGAGAGAAGTGCTTCGAGCATTATGGGTTAAGGCCTCATCTAACACCCATGGGAAATCACAGCAAAACAACGCAGGGAGATGCACCGTGACTGATGGTATTGGTTTGGAATAACACAGAGAGAGTGACATAAAGAGAGATGGCAAAGAGAGAGAGAGAGAAAATGATAGAAAAGGAGGATGAAAGCCAAAGATAAAGGTTCAGTTAAATAGAGTGAAAAATTGACTTTAGAGAGAATGAAGCTAATATTGTCTCCTCCCCAATTTTGTGCCCTTTAGTTTAACGATGGGCTGATACTTCTGACTGCCTGCGAAGCAAACTTGAATATCAAACTGACTGAATGTCAACCAGACTTTTTCTGGACGCTGTTTGTCTGTCCACTTGTCTGCAGGATCTTCTTGTGTGTGTTGTTATTGTTCTGTAAGAGCTATAGGAAAAATGAAGAGGAGTTGAATGAGACTAACACTAAAGGTCCTTTCACACCGGGACCGTTTTTGTCGTACGATTATTTCGGACATCCATATTTTTTTTCGAACCGGTATCCTGTCAGTACAAGCCTTCACATCAGCGACATTTTCCCATTCTGCGATATTGCGGCATTTATTTTTTCGGATCATGGTCGATTTTTTAAAGTTTCGCATCCTGTGTGTCCACTTCTGATCATAATTGCGTGCTGCTGCGACGTCTGATTCACTGGTATATCCAACATGGCCGACCGGCTGATTGTTTACGTGTCGGAAAACGGAGTGCTTTTTGATAAAAGACACAAACATTACAAAGATAACAACCTGAAGGACAACTTGTGGAGAGTCATAGCGTCGGATCTCTCATATGACAATCGTCAAAGAGACACAAAGACCTCACAGATGCAGAAGCTTATTGTATTGCAAAAGACATGCTACCAATAAGCACTGTGAAATTTCATTTTTATATTGTGATATATATTGAAAAAATATATCATGATAAAATTTTTCCCATATCGCTCAGCTCTACCAAGAAGTATGAAAAGCGTACAAACAACAATGATCCTCCTTTTTCACTCTTGTGCAAAAATGTGATTTAAATTCTATACAGCCTAACCTCATGAAAACAAGAAGAAAGCTTGTTTTATTTTTTTTTACCACTGTCTTTTTACAAGTAGAGATTACTCTTAAAGTGACTAAATTCTCAACCTTTACAGCCTCTTCTCCCTGATGTTCAGATCACCTTTAGGGGCCAGCCAAACAGCCATAAAGCTGAACAGCAACTTGGAGTTGAGAAAGGCAGGAAATTCATTTTAGCTGTGAAAACAAATTTTCTATTGTTTCTGTAATATTTCTGTGGTAATATGTGTGTGTGTCAATGCAATGATCTAATACCACAACCTGCTGCCTCCAAAATTTAACAGTTTTGGGTAAACTATCATGTATGGGGGAATGATACCATAGCAAAGGCAGAGACTTTAATGTAAGCCAAAGCTTGCAGAGAACAGCAGTATGTCTCCTATATGTCCACGTCTATTTGCTCATTTTTTAATGGCTCTTTATCTATGGGAGTCTTTAGATTTTGCAAGTATTCAATTCAAGATAATAAAGATATTGATAAATGGTATCTGATCACCTCCAGGACTATGAAATCGACCAATAAAAAACAGGTTTATGTCACATTATCATAATTGGATGAGCTATAAATGCACAACTGTTTCTGTAGTGAATGCTCATTTTTGTTTGATTTGAACACACATGATTTACCAAATTGTTAGTTTTAATCTTAAGTGTTAGAGTACTCTTCAATGTTGCTCCAGGTAACACTCAAAGGAAGCATTACCCCTCCCTCTCAAACCGTCAGACCATTAAAGGAAATACAATTTTCAGCTGTCTTTACCCCTTCCATCCCTCTGTCTCCTGGGACTCAAGCACAAAGGAAAATAGAGAAGTGGGAAATTGAGGGGAAATTGAGAGCAAGAGAGAAAGAGAAAGAAAGAGAGAGAGAGAGAGAGAGAGAGGTGGAGATGGAGGCAGGAGGAAAACAGATGTGGTTCGTTGAAGCGGCACTAGCCCACAGTCAGAGACAAAGACCTGAGAGCATGAGTGCATGATCCTGGACAAGCACACTGGAAATTATGGACTGAGTGTGTTTGTGTGATTGTGTGTAGACCATGTGAGACTGAGGGAAGGAAAGAGAAAGAAGAGGGACAAGGTAGAAGACTGAAATATGCAAAGGGACAATAGAGAAAGATGGAAACTAGCAGTCACAAAGGTTTTTCAGCAGGCCTCACACAAATACAGGAACCGAGTGCAGAAATGAACACACAATTCCTCCAAGTATTAATTGTTTGCAGGCTAAAAGGCCCATTTATCACCAGACAGATTAATATCACAAGATCATTTTGCAGCAATAGTATGGATTCATCATCCTGTTGTGTTAAAGGCGACATTGCTAAATAAATTCCCTCATATAAAATCGATGCATCAATGCCACAACACAGCTGCAATTGAGCTGTTTAGCATTCCTCTGGTGAGTGTGGGGTAATTTTTCCCACACCGTGAACCATTTAAAGTCTTCATATTTGGATAAACCAAAATTCTAATCTTTTGTTTTAATTCATTTGTTTTTCTTTTTTAATCCCTGGCAAAGGCTTGTTGTGGCAGCTCACTGCAGCTGCATGAAGGAACAGGGAACTATATATTTTTTTTTTTTTGTAGTTTTTTTAAATTTTTATTTTGGTTCCTTTCATGTGATGCACAGATACTGTATTGTCATACACACATAGTTTCAAGGGAACTGACAGAATCGTGCCTTTTCTGTGTTGTATTTTATTTTATTTTTTTTTTTGATGTGGTGTTGTTCCTGTTAATTGTTGCTCAAGCCTCTTTTAGCACGCACAAGGTTCTAGAAAATTGCAGGAAATTATCCAGGTGAGCTCATGTGAAAATGCCATGTCAGAGGTGTCAGTTAGCCATTTGGTAATGTTTAAACAGGGTTACGTACTTTACTGTAAGTTTACCGTTTACTACAAGAATGATGCAGCATGTTTTTGTATACTAATAGGAAACTTTTATTTGAGAATTTTAAAGAGATGTTTTTTTGTGTGTGTTTAATTGAATTTTTATTTTCATTTCATTCAAGTAAGAAAACAAATAAAGATATATTGAAAATACACAGGACAGGACAAAAAAAAAACACACAACAAAAAAACCAGACATATAAACATACAAACAATATTGAAATAAGAAAAAACACTAAGTAACAACAACAACAAAAAAATGAGATTATAAGAAAAATAACGAAACCAAACAAATTCTATATATACACACATCCAAATATATGACTCCCGCTTTGAAAGGTAGTTTCAAGGAATTTTTTTTTACCCCTAAACATTTCAACTAAATGCTTAAAACATAAATTTGTCATCTTCAACATTTTCAAATATTTACCTTTCTTGGCCATAAAATGTGGTTGTCGAGATGGCAGCCTTTTTGAGGAGGCAGAACCCCTGTTACGAATGACGCACCTTGAAAAATCACAGGCCGTTAAAAAGGCCTGGATGTCCTCTGCTTGGTACAAGAGATTTCATCATGCTTATATAGTGTATAATGTTCAAGAAGTATCCATTTGATAGTCATGTCTGAGGAGGACAAATCTACAAAATCAAGCTCTAGGGAGTTAATGACATGGAGACTTCACCCATCAAGTTAATAAATACATAAGGACAGAAATAGGAAGCATAGTCTTTTTCTGTCTAAAGGTAATATAGTTTACATGACAGAATTTTTTAATCTTGTGAAAAGAGTAAAATGAATGACTTTTAATTACAGAGTGAAGAAATTCTCTAACCCCCTTGTGAAGATCTCATCAATTTTTCATTTGGAATCATAGCAGGCTAGCTGATTCCACTTTTCTCAGTCTTCATGCTAAGCTATGCTAATCAATTAATCAGGTAATCATTATTTATGTAGCACCATTTCACCACTAGTGTTATTCCAAGACTAAGACCCTTTTCCCTATGTTGTCCATGTTCCAATAAAGCTCTGATATCGTTGCTGCAGCTTTTTTTTTTCTGATATAAACTTTAATTAAAAATTAACAGTGTGGTACGGTTGTCACAGTCTTCACCTCCCATCCTTTTTCTCGGCATTTACGAAGTGTGAAAACTGCAGGATAAGCATTCAGATAGTCCCAGCTCTGTACTGATAATTATTTTGTTTTTTTGTGTTTGTTTGAGAGGCTCATTAGAAAAGCACTGATCAAGACTGTACTGAAATAATTATTACCAACCCCTGAAAACCTGGGTGTGAGAGGGAGGTGAAAAGAAAAGAGGTGGAGGAAAGAAGGTTTTACATGAGCAAGAGACAGAAAGTTTGCAACAAGACAGTAACAGTAAGAGATAGACAAAGAAAGTGATGGCAGGGAGGGAATAAGAGGGAAAAGTAGAGAGATTTTACTCATTAAAATAGAGGAGCACAACAAGGGGAGACGGCATTAATCAGAGCTCCATGCTAATGAGGCATTTACTCATTACACTGAAATAGAGAAAAAAAGAGGGGAGAAAAGGGGGACAGAGAGAGAAAAAAGGGAACACAGAGTGAATTAATAGAGTGAAGAACAGGGAAAAAAATGAAGTTAGAGGAAGAACAATAAGTAGGGAGGTGACAGAGTCAAGAGAGACCGGAGGGAGAAACGGGACAAGGAAAGCCGAAGACAAAATGGAGATCACAGTCATTGTTGACATTAAAATTAAATATGTATTTTTAAATGTTTTCTTCTTTTATTCTTATTTTGTGGTCTAACTTTCTGAATTTCACAAAATTGCTGCTTAATCTGACTGAAAATGAAGTTCCAAGTGTCAAAGTGAGCGTGGGAAATGTGTATATTACCATTTATGTAAATGTTTGTGTGTTCTGTGTTTTCTGTGTGTTCTGTGTGGTCTGCATGGCGGTCTGGGGTTTGATATATGTAGCTTGTGGCTCATTTGCATTGTTAATATGTGCATTATGCAAACTTTTTATAACTGATTTACTGTGCACATTTCAGGCTTTCAGGAGTTAAATGAGTTGGGGCTCTTCAATGCGGTTACTCTCTGCTGCTGTGGTGTAGAACTACAATAAAAAAGAGACAGCGGTTGGTTAGTTATTTACTTGTCACTGCTTCGCTTTGCTGACTCTGGCTGTATTATCAAGAAATCACTACAAGCAAAAAGTCGCTCGTGCTAAGGTTGACAAACAGAAAGAGGAGAAAGCGTCTTCATATCTGTTGTAAAACTTTTTTTTTCAAAATCTAAATCTGTGCTTGTTAATCTGTGGGTTTCTCACTTGAACATGGCAGCACAGTGAGCTACATGCTAGGATCATCATATCAAAACTATAAATAGCTACTGTTTGGCTGGTGGACTTTTTCTTATTTGAGAAAGTTACATTTGCTAGTTTCAGAGACGGGGACTCGAGTCATTGTGACTTGGACTTGAGTCGCTGTTTTGACGACTTGTAACTTGACTTGGCAAAAAATGAAAGAATTGAGACTTGACTTTGACTTGGAAGTTAAAGACTCGGGTCTTGACTCGAGACATGATGACTTGAATGACTTGAGTATTGATTATTTCGTGGTTTCAGTTTTGATATAAGTATAAAATTACTATTTATATTATATTGACTTGACCTATTACAGGACTTGACTTGACATAACCTTTGACTTGACTTGACTTGCCCAAGAAAAGATGACATGGGACTTCCTTGAGACTTGAAGGTTAAGACTTGAGACTTGCTGAAGACTTAGACATGTGTGACTTGTTGCATGTCTGGCTAGTTTCCTCAATCAGCACTACAACACTCATCCTTTTGATTCTAATGCTAGCTGCAACAACTTCCACTTTGTACCATCAGTTAAGTCTCAACAAGTTTATATCTTTTTTAATCATGATGCCGGTTATGATTCGGCACATTGTCAAAGTTAAAAATGTATAATTGCTAACTGTAAGAAAAAACATCTGCTACATCTACATGTAGCATAATTGCAGGATACACAGATATTCTCACTTTGTTTATTGGCTTGATGCTAACACATGCAGTACATGACCATTTACAGGCTAATTGAGTTAGCATCAAAACTTTTGTAAATGAAGTAAAAAAAAATGTATAATCTAACAGGAACAATACAATATGTACTCAAACTGACTGGACTGTTTGTGTTTTTCCTCACTGGTTTGAATTAGTGGTGACTGTCGTCTCTTCTGCTTCTGTCTCACAATTCATCTGTTCCTACTTCACTTCAAGTATCTCCCTGCCTGCCTCAATCCCTGCAGTGTGATTGACTATATTTTGCCTGGTTAGCGGCGCACAATTTTGAATTTGAGACACAGAATTCGAAGTAGCATTTTGTCACACTGTCGACATGAAGAAACCAAATTCCAAATAGTACACCGGACAGTAAATTTCCAGCGATAGTTTTGATATGTGAAATTTGCTTTGTGATTAGCACACATGACTCGTACTCTGATTGAGAGCAAAAATTGATTGGTTTGATTCATGTTACACCCGAAACACACCATTGAACTATCATGGCACTTGATATGAAGTCTTATTTGTTCTCTGGAGACAATGAATATCCTAAGTTGTAATTGTACCGAGTCAGTGTTTTTTGGTGATATTTCAGTCTAGACCTCAAACCTCATTTTCAAAATTTACCAGTGAGTTTCCAATAGCAACCCTAGTTTCAGTATTTTCCTGCTCAAAAAGAAACAAATGATGGTTAAAAAAACATAAAAAATAAAACTTATTTTGCTTTAAACGTCCCACAATTCACCATTATCTGCTGACCTCACTTGACAATTCAATACAGTCTCTCTCTCTCTCCAGACTGAAAAACAAGAGCTTTTGGCATGTGAAGCAAAATGAAATAAAAACAGAAATTCTCTCCACTTTCCTCTTTCCTTCATCTCTCCTTTCTCTCTATGGCCTTCTTCTATCATTCCTTCCCGCCTGCTCTCACTGCCCTCATCATAACCCTGCCTGTGTATGATTCAGATCTAATAAGAGTGATCCTAGATCATAACTCGGGGATCTATATTTAGCTCGAGCCGAACCTTCCCCTCCTCCCTCCTCCTCTTTCTCTCTCATGTATCTCCAAGTCCTGGAAATGACAAGCAGTGGACTTTTGATTAAAAATGTAATTAAATTCTCGCTCTGTTTGTCTCTGACTCTTTCTCGCCAGGACTCTGACCTTGTCCTGACCTTTAACCTGTCCATGCATCGCTCCTGGTGGATGGAGAACGGTCCAGGATGCAGGGTGACACCCATTTCCCCTCCCCCCTCCTGGGCACCTGAGGACCACCGGTATATATCTATATCTGGCTGTTTTATGGATTTCCAGTTCATAGAGGTGGCTCACTCCTCGCTGCAGATACTCCTGGCTGTAAGTACTTTAAACTAATAAGCAGTGCAATTTTAAACTTGAGTTTCTAATATTTGGTCCATCTAGCAGGAAGCCTAGAAGAAAAGAGACAAAAAGCAAGTTTAAATCTGTCTGAAATGGTCAATGAGCCCAAGGGAGAGTGTTCTCAAAACTGTTCTTAAAAAAATTACAGGATTCTGTTGAAGTGAACCCCTCGGTTTTTTGAAAGTGGAATTTTAACAACTATAGCATGGTTTAGTGACTGCAGTGAACAATGAATGCAGGTTTTTATTAAGAATCTAAAACATCTGTTCCTCTCAGTTTGATTTTTTATAGATTTTTTGGTCATCTTTACAAATGTAAGGTATGATTTTTAGTCATTAGTTTTTAGCTAGCCACCTCCATCTCCATCTCCTCATTTAGCAAGCCATCAGCTGTAGAAGCTAAAAATGAAAAAGAAGACTTTGATACTTTATCCAATTCAACCCAATCTGATCCATTTATTTATAAAGCACGATTTAAGCAAACGCAAGGTTTCCAAAGTGCTGCACAGCGAGATAAAAATACAATAAATAAAACAACGGAAGCACAATGGGGTAAATTAAATGAAATAAACACAGTAAAATAAAATAAAAACCAATACAATAAGTAAAATTAATAAAATACAATAAATGAAGTCAACCTCCTACTTGGGGGCTAGAAGTAAAAACCCTCCAGAAACATAATTGGCGTTGGTTGTAAAGCAAGACATGTTATTCGGGAAGCTTCTACGCATTTTGTTTTACTTAAAGTATATGCAATGTTAAATAATCCCGCTAAATAAACTCGCTACCAGCAATAAGTTTATGAGGCTAAACTAGACTACACTCAGGAGCAATTTGATCACTAAAAAGATTGATATCAGTGTCATAAATGTTCACTGTAATCAAAAACATTGAATTCTATTTTTTGACGGTTGAAAAATTGGAAGTGCATAGGCGGTGTTGAATTCTGTGCCTTTTTCATCTAATAGTGTGTGTATTTATCGTGTGTGTGTGTATGTAAACCATTGACTGTATATAGAATGGACGCCATCTGCATTCTCACTGGGTGAGCCACTCTGAGAACAGCACCCTCTGGTGATGGGCTGCAGTATTGGTCATAAATCCCGCCTCCGCCAGCAAAGCTAATGGGGCCGTGGACAAACTTTAGAAATTTATTACACAGAACATAAATTTTTGTCCCCCCTGGTTGCGATGTTGACATGTAGTTACTGTAAGACTGGTTTGTGCTCAAGTCCTCTTTTTTCTGTACAGCTCTGTTTTTCAAAGTTATTAAGGGGTTCATGTTTTCTATGATTGACTTTTGATACAGCCTATGGGCGTACAAAGATTGCGTAGCTCACCTGGGGGATACGCTGTTTGAGCCGAGCGTCATCACAGCGACTCTCCCGCCGAATGCGTACAACACTACTGTGCAATTTTGGTTTCAGGAAATGGAGAAAAAAGGCAGAATTACCCAGAGGTTTTTGGCTTCAAATCCATATCCTAGCGGAAGGTGGAACCAAGTTGTCCATAGTATATACAGTCTATGTTATAAACAAATGAAACTACTCCATTGATTTCTTAGTAACAATAGGTTTGTTGTATTTTAAATTGTATTGCTATCATGAAAAGTTCTTTGCCTACAGAGGGAGTTATGGAATTTATAGTCAACTGTGCATGTTTTGGTATCTACGCCCAAGTAAAAGAAAGCATCACGCCTTAATAATCTGATACTCCATAACCTCATTTACAACCTTTTCCCCATCTCGGATTTTTTTAATCTTTCTCTCTTTCTATTTTATTTCACTGTTTGAAAACCATTTTCCTCCTCTCTGCCTGTCTCCAACCCTCGCCCTCTGTGTTTCTCACTCTTGTGCTCTGTCAAACTGGGATAATTAGTGGGATCAGAGGAGGCAGCACAGAGGCATAAAGAGTGAGAATGAGGGAGGCCTGTCACTTTTCATCACAGCAGCTCTGCCTTTTCTAGGCATTTACAGTCGTATGAATACAGACACACAAGCGGTAAACATATCAGCGCTTGAATCTCGACTGCATGCATCATTACGCCAAACAGCAAGAGTTTGGGAGTTTCAGTCTGCTTGCATCTTCCCCTCTCACTTAGTGCGACTTTCTCTCCTCATGCACACTGTGTCAATCGATAGCTACTTATAGTGTGGCGGAGAGCCAAGCCACTGCACAGCTGTACAACCATCTCGCTGTAATTGGTGTATGGAAACACTGTCATGCTCCATGAGCACACACTCCACAGTCTGACTGGTTCACCGGCTGACTGGCTGGCTGCTTCACTGTAATTGGTGGAAGCAGCGTCGGGGTACCTAATAACATTCATTGAACCAGTCGACTAGCTGGCTAAGTGAGAGGTTAGGGTTGGTGCAGATGGATCACATGCTGACTAGTTGTCTGCATTTTTGCTGTTGTGTTAGAGGAATCAAAACTTCAAATTCAACTGACAGCATGTTCAGCTGTTAGCAGAGCGTGCTATTAGCTATACGGCTAGCAAGCTTGTTTTGATGGACTGGTAAACCTGTCCAGCAGGTTCTTGTTGTCCATCCATCCATTTTCTACCGATTATTCCCGCTTCCAGGGTCGCGGGGGGCTGAAGCCTATCCCAGCATCTTTGGGCGAAGGTAGGGAACACCCTGGACAAGTCGCCAGTTCATCGCAGGGCTGACATATCGAGACGAACAGCCATCCACGCTCACGTTCACACCTACAGGCAATTTGAAATGGGCCAATTAACCTAACCCCTATTCTGCATGTTTTTGGAATGCGGAAGGAAACCAGAGTACCCGGAGTAAAAAACCCGGCATCAGCAGTGATGCGGACGCTTAACCGATCTGTCGCGGTGAGGAAAGAGCTGAGCCATAAGGCGAGGTCATGAACTATGGGTAATGACCAAAAGAAGAAGATCGCGGATACAAGTGGCCGAAATGGGTTTCGTTCGCAGGGTGGCTGGGCTCAGCCCTAGAGATAGGGTAAGGAGCTTGGACACTCGGGAGACTCCATTGTGTTTCGCTGCCCGTTATATTTGAAATCATCCGCCAAACCCGAATCAGTCACATGGTACGGCCAATTCGTGAGGCTTCGAACGTCATCACATACGTCACTACCACAAGCCTTGATACACGCTTCATCGAAAATTTCCAGGATTACTTGGCACACACTCTGAAGCCTTGGCACTAAAGGACACATCACTAGTGACAGATTTTTCAGTGGTAGACTTTTAGACACTGCTGCACACCAAATCTTTCAAAGTTATTATTTATCATGAACCAATGACCAAGCACTTGGCAACAGTGGTAGGAAAACATTATCTTTTGAACAGCCAGAAACTTGAGTTAAATCAGACTGTCAGCACAGTGGCTAAACCAGCCAGTGAAATCTCCAAACATTTTATTTAGAAACAATCTGCATACTCTTGGCCCTCCTTTGCATGCAGTTTATTTACCCCACTGTGAATTGATGGGGGTTAATGTGCTAGAAAATGTGTTTGTTTGCATGTTGGACCAATTTTAGACTCTGGAAAGTTAACTAAAAAAGTGCACTCCTGATTGCCAATAAAGGCCCTTCACGTCTCTCTCACTTTAGTAATTATTTAATATTAAATTTAAGTTAAATCATATGGCTGATTTTAGAAATATAACTGAAAGCAAAGAATAAAACAAAGAATTGGTTTTTATATCTCCATCTCTGTGGATAGAAATGTAGAATAGTCATTATCATATGAGTTCTTGTTTTTATTATATTTTTCCTTTTTTAAATCATGGGCTGAATTGAATGTGTAGTTACCATTGTTCACCCCAGACAGCCGTATCATGCAAGGTCATACTGTATTCATGAAAAGCAGCCCTGAGACCAGATTGATTTTATTACCATTGTTATTTAAAGATCAGGGAAGACAAAGAGCAGTGCATGAGAATTGAATGTCAGTCAAGCAAGGCAGCAGCTGTGCTCTGAGGCACTAATCTTATATTTGTTGAATAGGTTAAACCTCCCAGATTTTCGAACTGAGACAGGTGTGAACTTCATGAATCAATCCAGGAGAAGTCCACGGTAAAGAGAAATGACTGGTGCAAATTTTTCCCGTGGAAAAGAAATGTCAGCAAATGAAGAAATATCTTTTCGAGGGCGTGCAACATTGATACTGATTTTAATCCGGTTTGTAGCTAATCAGCTGTTGTGAAGCACGCCAAATAGATTTAAATGGAAGTGATTATACATGATTATTGATTGTAGGATAACTGATTTTTAATGCGGCTTTAATCATCTGACAAAATGTTTTCATCTCAAATAATTTACCAAGCAAATGGGGAAAAAACTGGAGCGCGGCATTAGTTAAAATTAAGGGACGGTCTTGAGCACAAAACAGACTGAATTCAGTGAAAGTGACAACTCCATCACAACACAATTTATCAGCGGTAAAATGACACAGCTGTTACAGATTCATTTGAGATGAAAACATTTAATAGTGGAGTGATGCATCCAATTCAAACAAGGTTATCACACAGCCAGACAAATAACTCAACAATAAAGATTTCACATAAACAGTGCAACGATGGTGGGTGTTAAAATGCTGGAAATGGGAAAGACGATAAAAGGTTTCTGAAATGTTGCCCATAGATCAACTTGTGGCTTTGTTGACGGTTTACAAACTCAGAGGAGGAAACTCGAGACAAGGCTACCAGCACAGCGCTGTTTGTTTTGGCCATTTGCAACCTCACCTTCCTCCTTGGTGGAGGACGACATGTTTCACCAGGTTTCTGACCTACAACTGCTTTTCCCATGGTGTCACTCCTTGCTTCTTTTAAAGGTCTCTTCCTGCGAATTTTTGGTGTCAGGCCATAAGGAAGGAACACCAAAAATTCAAAGGGTTTCTTTTCCTTTTAAAAAAGCTTTTTGACATTCAGCTAATTCTTCCCCAGGCTGCTCTAAAAGTTACTAGGTGTCCTCAGAGTCTCAGCTGTAGGAGTGTTTCAGACCCGAAGAATGATTTAGTTTTCTGTTTTAGGTTACATGAATTTTCTTATTACATGGTGAATGTAGTACAGCACTTCAATTATATTTTTGATGCTTTAAGGCACTGATGATGAAACATTCACCAAAGAAAATGTGGTATATACCAATAATTGTGAAACTATGCTCCCTCACTACCCAAACAACAAGAGGAAAGATGTAAGCAGAGTAAAATCACTAATCTCCAGATTAGTTTCTTTTTTTACATTTCATTATCATTGGTAGTCTTACAAAGAAGATAAATCCTTGTTCACATAATTAGCAGAACAACAAAAAGAGGACAAAAGAGTGAATTGGAAACTATACTGCACTGCTGAGGAACCAATCGTATCCTCAGATAATGCACCCCCTGACTGTCCCCTGTTATACCCTGACCTTTTTATAGACCTGCCATAAAAGTCATAGATGTTTTCTCAACAAGTGTGTTATGCTTTACCTTGAAATGTTGTCAATTAACTGCTGTAATTTGGCAAGTGCACTTGTGCGCTTGGGAGTTGTGATCTGTGTTTTCTACCATACCATCTGCAACTGTTATCATGCTACCTAGTCAAAAGAAAAATCATTACAACACTGTGTTAAGATCATTCAATCATTAATTTAGTTTGACAAACACAACTTATTTGGACACTTACATACACACTTTCCTGCACACTTATAATTCAGAGTCCACACACTGTTATGCAAACAGTATGTCCTTTGGTTGCCTGTGTGACCAGATTGATCACTCAAGACAAAGGCGGTTGCAGCAACTTGAGATATCAGTATTCAAAAAACCTTGAACACAGTTCAAAGTCACACTCTAAAAACCCCTGGGTTAAAAACAACCCAACTTTGGTTGTTTTTAACCCAGCACAAGGGTTGAGAAGGGACCGACTACTTATTGGGTTATTTTGACCCAGAATGTTGGGTTATTCAAATTAACCCAAATTTCTGGTGGTCTCAATAACTCTTTTTAGGGGTCAAGATAACCCAATCTTAGAGTTAATTTGACTCATAATCTTGGGTGAAATTGATATATGCATTTGGGGAGATTTTTTGGGAGCTTTGTTTTTACAACCTGTACCGTCTTAGCCGGTGTGGCTTTCAGTGGTACACACTCATGTTTATGAGGTAGGCCATAGCGCTAAGGGTCTTGCCTAATATAAAATCAAGGTCAAAGTTCACAAGATCACCGGGTCACTTTAATTAGGCCTAGAAAACACGCAGAGTCAATTGAACCCAACATTTTGACCCAGTTTTTGGGTTACTCTCAGAAAAATAACCTATAATTATTAACTCATTCAAATAACCCTCAAACTGGGTTACAACAGAATCCATATGACCCAAGAAATGTGGATGGATCTGAAAAATAACACAGACATTTAACTCAACACGTAAAACCCAGGAATTGGGTTGAAGAAATAACCCAAGAGTTTTTAGAGTGCAGAGTGCTGCTATACTCTATATCATCATCGGTGTGCTTTTTGTCCAACCAGACAAATTGATTGGAAATCAGTATTAAAGAGTAACTGTCGGGTTGATTGTCTAAGTACAATGTTTTCAAAACGAGGATGAAATATTCTTGAGTTGTTTTTGATCTGTCTTTATCAACATCTGATGCAGGCGGTTCTTTTATTTCCTCAAGACACAGGATGGAGTTTTTGAGTCACCCTGAAACCCTGCTGAGTCTAAGTGCCAGAATCTGAGGTTTTGAATTTACAGGAAAGTCCAGATACAGCTGCTGACGACAAACTTACTCAGACCCATGACTCATAATTCAACTACGATAAGAAACATGCATGTCACATCCCTTTCAAAGCTTATATTGACACAATCGGCCATCATATTTGGTTTTCTTCAGATCTTATGGAGACACAATGACATTTATCATCAACAGGATATTGTGTTTACATGAAGTAACACCAAAACTGAACAGCAGTGTGTATCCAGAATATTAACAGGATATTGATGTGCCGGGAAACACAGACTGTCACAGCTGATCAAGTGTTTTGTATCTCAGTACCCTGGTTCGAACAAAACCAGAGTGAAAAGCCATTTTCAGAGACAATAAGCCGACAAAAGACGGACCAGCTTCAGTACAGCTGTGACAGAAAACTCTAAGAAATCTTTTTCAACAACATTAAGACTTTGCAGCTTTACAAGGCTCCTTCGGGCAAAGACTCAGAAATAAAACATGTAACTGGAGGAGAAAGTAGAGGCAGTCTGATACTTGAGGTCATCTCATTTTTTCTAAAACCAAAGTGTTTGGTGTTTTTGGTCGGGGGTAGTTTGTGATCCATAAAGCCGTCTATGTTCTCTTAATTGATTTCCACATGTGCTCTGATTCCAGCACTGATAGCGGCAGCATTGTCTACTCCCAGTACTTTGCTTTCCCTAAAGACTATTCATCCCTACTGAGCAAAACACTACATTACTATGACTCATCTAATGTGTCGCTAGTAAAAAGAGACGAGGAAAGACATCAGGGGTAAATGGGGAGGAAAAAGGAAAGGAGGGGAATGAAGATGGTAAAAGAATATAGCGAAAGGAAGAGGGCACAGGAAGTGAAAGTGGGAGGAAAGGTGGTAAAAGAGAGCTGCATTGGGAGCAGAACATTATTTATACTAAATGAGGTCAGGACCTTGAGCTATACACAGAATCTTAAATGTAGTTTCACACGTTTGCAGCTCACTTTGTGCTTGTATTTGGCTGTGTTTGTGTGTTTGTGTGGAGTGTCTGTGCTGGCATGCTTCCATGTAGTCAATAGAAAACCAACCAGGTCAATGTCATTTTTTAGAGCCTTATTTGAGCAATGAAGCCTCTTTATCCAGCTAATATTTGAGCTCAATACCTCACATAAATATACGATATGTGTGCCTGTAGCCTTTTCTCTTTTTTTCTACTTCCTCAGTCATTCTGAACCAGGTTACAAAAATCTGACCTTACAATAACCGCACCTTCCTACATCTATGCTCCTGTAGGCATGTCGCCTTGGAAATCAGATAGCCAGAGGGAGAGCAGACCGGAGAGCAGAGGTGATCTGGTGTGGACTGTTGTATCTATGACAACACCTCACCCGCTCAATGAACTCTGCTTTTTTTAATGGAAACAGCAAACCACAACATGCTCAGACATAAAACTATCAGACATTCTTGGAGGTTAAATCTTTAGCCACAATTGTTTCTATCTATTTATCTATCCATCTATCCATCTATCCATCTATCCATCTATCCATCTATCTATCTATCCATCCATCCATCCATCCATCCGTACGTTTGCATTAAAAACGGAGGAAAACTGAGATTTGGGTAGCCGATGGCAGGTTTTGCGCAGGAAAGAAGGAAGGGACGTTGTTATTGTTGTTGCTGCTATGCAGGATTTTGATTGGCTAACTTGGGCTTGAGCTTCTCGCTACACTTCCACCCACGTGTTTGATATGCTCTTGACGGCATATATACACATAAATGGAGAGGGTTAAATGTCTGTTTATGAAAATTGCCAGGCCAGTGTAAACGTAGTCCTAATCTAATCTAATCTAATCTAATCTAATCTAATGTAGTCTAATCTTATGTAGTCTAATCTATCTACAGTTAATAATCTCTTCTCTGTTTCTGTATCTTTTCTGTCCTCTAGTTGATGGGATTTATCTACGCCTGCTATGTGGTCAAACTCATCTCAGAAGAAGAAGACAGCTGTAAGTATAAGCACTCACACACACACACACACACACACACACACACACACACACACACACACACACAGATGTGTGTACTGTACACAGATTTACAGTTTTTCTTGGTCCATTTTGGTGCATTTCTCACATCACTATAAACATTTGCACAACAGTCAGTGCATTTCTCAAAACAGTTAGTACAAACTTAAAAACCTAGTCGGTAACCTGCTAAGGTGTGTCATTTGCGTAAAATGAATAGTTTGTTCCTCAAAAGCAAGTATTCATGTGAATGAAAGTGTCAGAAGAATGTCAATGTTGTGACGAGTCAGACGTGTTGATGCCTAACACTGGATGACACCCTGACGCACAACACTGTGAGACCACGTCAGAGGATTGGTGATAACAATCTGAGTCTATCAGTGGTGAAATAACACAGTTCTACATTGCTCAATCGCCTGGTCAAACTACTCTACGTTTTAGCTCGTCTCACCGTTGCTGGCTGCTCTATTCTCCCTCAATGCTCATCCAATTTTTAGAAATTGTTTTCCCTATCAGTGAAACACACACAAACACATGAGAAAATAGGACCCAGGTTGAAAAATATTGAAGTTTCCCTCAAAAAAGGCCGAAAGACACCAGTAAATCATGACAGCAAACAGTAATTCTCAGCATAGAGAAGGAAATCTGTATTTCAATGAAATGTTGAATAGGGATGTCCCAATACAACTTTTTAACCTCTGATGTGATACCGATATTGTAGCCTTCAATATTGACCAATACTGATATTGATCCAATATTAGTACAAACTTGTGCATGACAAGTTTTGCAATCAGCTGTAATGTCTTTTTCGGATTTAACCAAAAAATACTGCCACACAGCCGACATCACTCCAACTCTTTGCTACTTTGTTCGTACCTTAGTAAACACTGTTGTTGTGTTTATGTGGGCTCTGCATGCTGGATCAGGGCGCTGCTAGATAGAGGTGCCGGAGTGGAGTTTGGAATGGACTGCTTGTATCAAAGATTCTATATGCAAGCCGATATAATCCGATATTCTTTTTTTTTTTGCTGATATCGGACTGATATCCAATATCAATATCCTATAGGGACACCCCTAATTTTGAATGAGTCTGATCCTCCTCAACAGTTCTGTGAATTAAGTAAAACAACTGGTGCAGACTTAAATATTTTACCACAAAATCTAAAAAAAATCAACATCATTAGCGTAGAGAACTCTATTTCACCTCTATTTCCTGATCTGCATTATTAAAAACTCTGATGAACCACTTTCACATCTCATCTACCACTCTCATCGGTCACAGCCACACTTATATTACCTGTAATATCAAAAATGAGCAAAGTGAGTACATTTGAAGATTCGCACTTTAGCCCTGCTGAGGTAAAAGAGCTTGCAGGACATGATACCAACAATTGCATCTCACATGAAGGAAATTATCAGGATGATTGGATTTCAGTTGATAAATTAAACTCAACATAAAGAAACTCTTTGCAGATGAAATTTAACATTACAAGCTATGCAAATCGCTCTCTGTGGTTCTCAGATTTATTGAAATACATCCATAACGCAGATATGTTGGTCCTTATCCAGACAAGCCCATGCTGGCTGCGTTTTTTGTTTTTCGTCATTACAACATCCTGTTTCGGCTGAGTCGTAAAAAGTCTCGTGGCTGAAAACCAAAAATGCACTTTTTGGTGGCTGAATTTCTGGTGCATCCCCAGTCTATTTGTAACAAAACTGCCATTGGATAAAACCATCTTGGACTCGTGAGCCTTTACTGACCCACAGACAGAACAGAGAGCGAAACTTGTAGCCTTTAGCCTCTGCAGTCAGTCACTCATTCATCTACTGTAGCACACAGAAAAAGAAATGAGGAGGAGTGTGGAGGAGGAGGAGGAGAGCTCGGTCGACTCATGCTGCATCAAAGTTGTCTTTCATTCAAAGTCTCACCTACATACTTTGATCCTCCAAGTTCCAACACCAACAACAGTCGTGAGGAAAAAACATCAATAAGTGCAGCGAGAAAAAGGAGGATAACAGAGATGTAATCTTTGTTTTTAATCTTTCATCAATGTCTCAGCGCGGATTGAAGAGGAAACTTCTATCTACGGAGCGTTTATTCATTTAAGTAGACATGCACAGGAAGTCTAGAAAAACAGAGTACGATTCTGAATGCGGCGTGTGTGTCTGTGGGCATTAACTTGAATGAGCGCATTTACCTGAGGCCATCAGTTAAGTTATTCCATTAAAGTAGCAGCAGCCACTCTACAGGAGGATCAATACCCAAGCATGTCTTATTCAACACTGAATTGAGGATGCTGTGTGCCGACACCTTAATATTGATGGGTAATAAACACAGACTGGATTAGTGGAAAGAGCTGAAGCACTAAAAAAAAAGACACATTTTCCTTCTTACCTTCCTGTTCAGGGCAGGCTGAGGATTGTGGATTGAGACGTAGGGATTTTTTCAGTCTTTTTAAAAACATTGTCCCGTGTCTAAAAATACTTGTTTCTAATCACATCTTGTTTAATGGCGCGGCAGATTAATATTAACTCACCTTATTGCTCGAGAAATATTGTATAACACTATCTATTCCGCTTTTGATTACAATCCTGTTTCTTAGGTTATTTTTAGAGGAGAATTTATTAACACTGCATCAGTTCAATAAGCTCTGTAGTGACAGGAAACCTAAAAAGCCTGTTGTTCTTTGTCTAAATAATTCATGTCAAACAGTTATTTGGCCCTTTGCTTAACTGCAGTATTTTGGCCCCTGGCTCTTTAAAGCTGCAGAATTACAAAGCAGGTTAAAAAGAGACTTGAACTGGTGAGATTTAATTATAAGGATAAAGTGGAGAGTGTTGGTAACTCACGCAACTCATGGAAAGGGGTTTGGTCAGTGATAGGAATGCAAGGAAAGAAAAGTCATACTGTATATCCCCAGAGTGGAAAGCCTGTCAGAGTACTTTCCAGTGAACTGAGATTTAGATGGTTAAATAAACTCCAGGTTGGCTTAATTTTCTCTGTAAATTTAATGCAGGCCTTCAAATAAGAAATAAAAATAAAGTTATTTTGTTAAAATAATAAATAAAAATAAAGTTATTTTGTCAAAATAATAAATAAAAATAAAGTTATTTTGTTAAAATAAGAAATAAAAATAAAGTTTTTTTGTTAAAGGTGAGGAAGGCAGGATCTGATGAAGTGCCAGTTTTTGGGAGAAATCTTGAATGTAAACTCTACCCCTCCCAACCAGTTTTCCCCTCAGCTCCTCCTCTCCCCTCCCTCTCTGCTCCAGCAAGCCCCGCCCACAAACAGACGCTCGTATCGTTCCAGTTAAATTCATATATAATGCAGATAAATACTTTAGATAATTACAAATGGGGCCCAGTCAACGTGAAAGTAAAAAGCATTGGTGCTACTGTAGATGCCAACAGACTACCAGTAAACACAATGGTTGGTTTCTACTGTCTGATATTGTAGCACGCTAACTTTGTTTGGGCTCGTGAACAACACGGGGGAGCAGCATCTGCCTCACAACCAGTCAGGTTAGGGGAGGCGGAGAATGGCTTTGTTTACAGTCAGAAAGAGCGAGCGGTTTAAAAAATTTAAAATGTTGACTACACAGACATCACAAAACACAGCGATTTGGTTATATTACCAAATGTCATCAATAATTAATAGCTATTGACTGATATTAAAAGCTTTTTTGTATATACACCACAAAAAAAAAGATGCTTCTTTAACAAAAGCCTGCCTACCCAACCTTTAAATAAAAATAAGAAATAAAAATAAAGTTATTTTGTTAAAATAAAAATAATAATAAAAAATAAAAATGAAAAAACAAGATTTGACTAAAAATAATCAAGTAAGGTGTTTCTCTGATAAACAGGATTTTCCTATATTTAGGGGAAAAAAGGGACTAGAACACATCCAGTTGAGTTTTCATCTCCATGACTTATCAGCTAAGCATATATTCATGCATTTTTGGAGTGTGGTATGCTTTATAAAGGATGTGAAAGCTGAGTCATAGCGTGCATTGAACAAGAGGCAGATCTGGAGCTAACACATGTACACAAACACATTCACACTCAAATTTACACCTACAGGCAATTTAGAGCATCCAGCTTACTTTAATCTCCTGGAAACCCTGGCAGACTTGTGGTGCAACATGCAAACTGCTCACAAATGAGCTGTAATGGTGAGCAATTTTCACACCTCCTCTCACGGGACGAATATTATTGGAGGAAATCAGCATCCAAATTGAGGTTTCAGACCACTATCAAGGACTTACAAATGTGAACGTAGTGCCAGCTAATGCCGCACATATCATTTTTATGCGACAAGGAGATGATTTCCTCCAGAATGATTTTGGGGCTTCATTGTTAGCTTTGCGTAGATGAACGTACCCTCCTGTGAGTGTGGTTGAGGATGAAGCAGTCTGGGAGACTAAACAATAATCAGGGAGCTTTGTTGGGGAATGTGCCTCGGGTGAAGAAGCTAATACTCACTGAGGACCAATGGAGATTTGGAGTTGCTGAGAAAGCTAATTACTCTAATAATTATTCTGGGCATGTGTAAGTGTGTGTGTGTTTATGTGTGAGTGTGTGTCTGTCTGTGTGTGGGAGATTAATCATCATAGTCAGTGTTATCCATCTCTCAGCAACTCAGATGTGTCAGATTATTATCACACATGCACATGATGAACATACAAATAGTACAAAGACTTGATTTGTGTAATATCTTTTTTTTTGGTGATGTTCTTATTGAAAAAGAACCTGTTTTATGAATAATATATGTGGCTTTTTAAATTGGGCCACCCTAGCTTTGACAGGCAGCACACTGACAAGGTTAGAGGCTCCATTTCCTCTTATGTTCAAAGGGTCAAGCATTGCAGACACTCTGCTGAGACTATTATAACTAAAGCATGAGTTAGCAGGAAAGACATACTGTTCTCTTTCTCTTTTGTTCCCACACAAAGAAAGAGCAAATCAAGCAAGAGGGTTTGACTGAACGACCATAATGAGCCCAGTGATCATTAAGCAACACGTACTAGATGCTGCAGCAGTCCAGGACAAAAAAAAAACAAAAACTCTTAGATGGAAACAAAACTTCACATGAACGCATTGAGAGGATTACGGGAGAAGTTTGAAAACAGCTCAGCCCAAGATTTAAAAACTTTGAACTTTGCACTGGAATCAACGTAGTCATAAAACAAACCTGTTATAACCTCTATTAAAGGGATATTCCGACATAAAATTAAACACACCGTAACACCGAGTGAGACAACCTCCTCGAGAGATGAATGTTGCCAACCGCTTGCTACTCAAGTTATACCAACTTTAGTAACGAACGCACAATAGCAATACACAGCGGTCTGAGGAGCCATAAACAAACCTCAACCAAAACACCACTCTATAGCCACAAATAATAATAATAATAATAATAATGCATCAGATTTCATATAGCGCTTTATCAGAGACCCTCAAAGCGCTTTACATTGGATACATCATTCATTCGCTCACACAGTCACACTTTGGCTCAGAACAGCACCTAACTTCATCAACAGTACATATAGGGTCCCAGCCATATTCCTAGCTACCAAACATCTTTTTAACTTTGCCTGATTTCTTTAGCAAAGAGACTAAACACAACTCACCCACTCTCATCCAGCAGCCACTTGTTTGTAGCGAGACCTTGGGCCAGTCCATTACGAACTGCTGCGGGGTGACACAGCTCAAGGAAGAACACTTATGATCATTCCTTAATATTTTTCTTGAAGTAATAATCACCATATTAATCACTTTGCACTGCAGACGCGGTAGTTCTTCTGCCGTAGCATCTTTGTCTGATTGCATTTCCATGAAGAAATGCTCGTAAATGTTCTTCCTTGAGCTGCGTCACCCCGCTGCAGTCTGTAATGGACTCGCCTGATATCTCCGTACAAACAAGCGGCTGCTGGAAGAGAGTAAGTGAGTTGTGTTTAGTGTCTTTGCTAAAGAAATCAGGCAAAGCTAAACAGATGTTTGGTGGCTAGTGCTATGCTATGAAGTTAGGTGCTGTTCTTATTGTAGCTATAGAGTGGCGTTTTGGTTGAGGTTTGTTTATGACTCCTCAGACCGCTGTGTATTGCTGTTGTGCGGTCGTTACTAAAGTTGGTATAACTAGAGAAGCAAGTGGTCGGCAACATTCATCTCCCAAGGGGGTTTCTAACTCTGTGTCACAGTGTGTTTGTCCCTAAATTAATTTTACGCCGAAATATCCCTGTAAGCTGCTTCCTGGAGGCACAAAGAAAACTTGTTGGTCTGTTTCAAGGCAGAGGTTGTTGCTAACTTCAGGGGCCACTGAAACCCATCAAGCAGCAAGCAAAACACTGAAATCTGGCATGAGTCTAAAGAAGTTGCAGGCTGTATTACTTTCGCACACACAGCCCTAACTGTACATCCTCGTTATTTCCTACAGCTATAACACTTGTCTCTCTCCTGTCACACTGCTCTAGAACCTGAGTTAACTTTCCCTCCTGCTTTCTTACCTGCTCCTACAGCCACAAATAGGCACAAAGTCATTCCCATTCAATACAGCTCAGCTCCTCGCATAAATATATTTGTTTTTATGGTTCTTTTGAAGAGCATACATAAACAAATCACTGTAATCAGAGCATTGGATTAAAACATAATTGCCTGAATGTGTTTGGACTTGTATCCCTGATATTACAGGCTTTAGGTTCAGTTTTAGCTGCCAAATTGCACATTGTACTTGATGTATAAAAACTCTGTAAATAAATGAGAAAGTTTGCAGCTGATCAAGGCTTAGGAAGTACGCTTTTATGAGCTCCACAACATCAAAGTAAAGAAAAATATCATGACTTCTTCTTTCCGCAAGTCCAGGCCCTCAGCCTTGATCTTGAGGTAAGAAACCACCTGCTGGCAGCTTCCCTGCCTAGAAATATGTAGAGATCTCCTAGATAATTTAAGAGTTGGGAGTATTCTCAAGGCATAAATATATAGCACTGCATAACTTATCTCCAACCTATAAATAGAAGTAGCTTTGCTTTGCTGGAATTTCACACACAGCAAAGTCCAAACTTTCCCTTGAAGCTGTTATATGCCTAAAACCCTGATTAGCTCTAAGACTGCAGCACAATAGTGGCAATGGTTGTGGTACAATTTGTTCTGTTCAGACCTCTCCAAGTGTAGGAGTCTAAAATCTAATGAATCACATGTAGTGGGAGGCTACACGCTGATAATTACCACAGTGTTCACCTTCTCTTATTTGTGTCTTTTTTTTCTGTGCAGTTGATTTTATAGGAGGGTTTGACTCATATGGTTACCAGGGGCCTCAGAAGACATCCCACCTTCAATTACAGCCCATGTACATGTAAGTATGGTTGGCCAATACTGGCTTTATTATGGTTTGTTTGGTGACCTGTGCTTCAAAGTTACAAAACTCAACAATGAAAAACACAGCCTTGTTTCCATAACAAAGGAGGACATGTTGAGTTAATTCAAAAGATATCGCTGCTTTATCGGTGTAGAAAGATGAAACATTAGATCTTTGGATCAATAACCAAAGAAGAGCAAATATAGAGTCTAGTCCCAGTAATGACCCCTGAGCGACTCTTTACGTATGAAGTCCGGAGGAGGAACTATGCTCGCGAAATTGACTAAAAACAGTCTTGATATGTTTACCTACAAAGTCAGACAAAGTATAGCCTCGAGCCTAAAACATACAGGATCCGTGTTGAGTGAGTTTCATCAGTGTCTCGTCTTTGCTCTGTTGAGCAGCGCTTTTCATCGCCCACAGGATACATGTTTGGAGCCCCGGTCAGCTGGGCTCAGTATAGAGGAAACAACATGCTCACAACAGGTTGCTTTGTCTTTCTGTGGTCTATTTCCTGCTAACTTGGATATACTTCTGCGACTGTTGAGCTTCAACTGTATGTGAAACAGCAACATGGTTTTAAATGTTCAGTTTTTGCAGGTTTACTCATGTTTAGTAAAGGAAACTATGTGTGTTTATGCTGTGCTGTTACCTTCAGACAGAGTTAGAAGCTAAAAGTCCTGTCGGGGTCCACATGGATCAGGGATTGACCATCAGATTGTTCTGTGTTACTGATAAATCCATAACCAGGAAGTATTTCTCACCTGCACACACCGATAAATAGTTGAGAGTCCGCACATGGTGTTTTATTTTGAAATTTACCGGACAACATGCATGTTTTCTGTGCTTGACATCCTGTCTAGGACGATCTTCTCTGTATGGATGGATGCGTGTTGGAAGCGCAGAGCAGCGAAAATAGACTTGGCTCGCATCTTTAGCAGAGCAGTGCTTGATACGCTTTTGGGGCGGAGCTAAGACAGAACAGAGATACTTTCCCACTCAACGTGGATCCTGTGGGTTTTAGGCTTAAAGGGATATTCCGGCGTAAAATTAATTTAGGGTCAAACACACCGTAACACCGAGTTAGACCCCCCCTCGAGAGATAAATGTTGCCGACTGCTTGCTTCTCTAGTCACACCAACTTGAGTAACGACCGCAGAGAAATGATCATAAATGTTCATCCTTGAGCTGTGTAACCCCACTGTAGTTCATAATGGACTGGCTTGAGGTCTCGCTACAAACAAGCGGCTGCTGGAAGAGAGTGGGTGAGTTGTGCTTAGTCTCTTTGCTAGAGAAATTAGGCAAAGTTCAAAAGATGTTTGGTGGCTATAGAGTGGCTTTTTGGTTGAGGTTTGTGTGTGGCTCCTTAGACCTCTGTGTATTGCTATTGTGTGGTCGTTACTATAGTTAGTACATCTAGAGAAGCAAGCGGTCTGCAACATTCATCTCTTGACGGGATGTCTAACTCGGTGTTACGGTGTGTTTGACCCTTAATTGATTTTACACTGGAATATCCCTTTAAGCCTTCCTATATACTTTCTACTGCAAAGATGACAGTGAGTCATATGGCTAATGGAAAAATGAGATTTCTCAGTAGACTCAAAAATTACACATTTGTCCACAGGGGGCGCCAAAATCAACACAACTTAAAGTTCCTCAGAGGACCTTAAAATGTGAGATTGAGCTACACTGCCTACATTGCATTCAAACCAATACACTTAAGACCCCCAGGCTTGACAGGTCACATCAGCTTAAACTGTACCTCACCATCAGCAGGGTGTTGTGTTAAGAGGACAGTTTTTATTGGTTTGATGTATTGAGTTCTGCAGGGGCGACAATTTGAGCACTTTTTTGGCTGTATCAGCATAAGGGCTTGCATTTGTCAGCCCAAGGTGTCATCTGTTATCACAAATGTAGAGCTTTTATCACTTCCCTCTCAAGTGGGAAATAAAGGTGTTAAAACAAACTGTTACATCCTTGATGTCATCCTTGCAGAAGCTGCGTTTCATACTTAGCTTATTTACCCTCGTCTTCTAATAAAGGGCATCACATAGATTAACTAGATTGAAATATATTTGGCCATTTCTTTTGCTGGTAAGATTTTCACTGTTGGGTATTTTGAGGCCACGAACAATGATACCAGTTTAATTTGAGCCTCTCAGCTATTCTTAGATTGTTAGGGTGAATCTAAGTTGAGGTCCAGACAGCCCCGCATCAATCTCACTGTATCAGGTTGTATCGTAGAAAACACCAAGCAATACAGGGGTAACTGCACCACGGTAGCAAACAACAATCCAGAGAAATGGTACACTGATGTGCAGCAGACAGGTGATCAATAACTTGTTTTTTATTAGAGAAAAGAGCCTGAGCAATTTAGAAAGAGAAGGATACAGACGTTCGGAGAGAAGGAATGAGGAGGAGGAATCCAAATCAAGATGGGCAAGAGATGAGTAGGATGAAAGGGAGAAAGGGACAGGAGAAGAAAGGGAAGGTGGGTTAATGGATGAAACTCAGACCTACACAAAAAAGGAAGCAATAAAGGGCTATTCAGTGGTTTTATATGTCCCCTGTGGAAGTCATAACACAGATCATAAATCATCAACCTCTGGAGATAATAGCTGCAAAACAAATACACTCACACTTGTAGCGTGACCACACACAAAGTGACGCATACATTTAAAAACACACACAAACTCATAAATGCTGCGGACTGTGCACCTGAATATCCATACACACACTGTAAATGTGCTGATAGGCGGCTTCTGCTGCTAAATGAACGTACACACATACACATGTACATGCACACGCATCATCAATATGCTATTATTGTTCCCCAGCTGTTGTCCCCTCACTTCAGTGTTTATTGGCTGTAGCCGGAGGGACCAATAAAAAAAACCATCAGCTGTACTATCACAGTGGATATCTCTCTGCGTGTTTACACAAGACCACACACAGACACACACACGCACGCACACATGCATGCTTACATACAAATAGCATCAAAAACATCTCTACATTAGATTATTGTGTGCCCCCTAAAGCATCTGTTCCTCCATGTTTATTGATTTGAGTGAGATGAAATCAAGTCAACTTACGCTGTAGCAACCATAGACTGTATATAGAATGGACGCCATCTGCCTCCTCGCTGAGTGAAGCCACTCCAAGAACAGCACACTCTTGTGACGGGCTGCAGTATAGGTCATAAATCCCGCCTCCTCTAGCAAAGTTTATGGAGCCGTGGACAAACTTAAACAATCAATTACACAGAATTTAAATTTTTCTCCCCCCCTGCTTGTCATGTTGACATGTAGTTACTGTAAATGTCCTTACACACCAGGAACGGCGCAGATATACGGGGGTGAAAAAAGACGCGTCCCGAGTAGAAGCGAGAAGACTGACACAACAGCAGACTGACTGTTTTTCAGTTCTGATTAGACACTAGTGTTGAGATGGCTGTCTGTCATGATAGCATGTACTGAGTCAGGGCCAGTACCAGATAAGAACATTATACTATAATCCATAAACGTAAGGTAACAACCGAGACCTAATGGTGCTGTGACAGCAACGCGATTGAGTTTGAGACAGTGAAAATACATATGGTATGTTGTATCTGAACAGGTTAGCTTACAAGCTAAAGTTACTTAGCACAGATGAAAGTTAAAACAAAGATGTTTCGCAAACTGTTAAAGCACACAAACTATCGTCATATGAGAAATCCAACGCTATGACTCTCCACAAGTTGTGCTTCAGGTCGTTTTCTTTGTAATGTTTGTGTCTTTTATCAAAAAGCTCTCTGTTCTCTGACACGTAAACAATCAGCCAGTCGGCCATATTGGATATACTGGTGAATTTGACGTCACAACAACACGAAATCTGATTGGTTAGAAGTGGACACACAGTATGCCAAACTTTAGAAAATTCGACCATGATCCGAAAAAATAAATGCAGCAATATCGCAGGACGGGAAAATGTCACTGATGTGAACGCTTGTAATGACAGGATACAGGTTAGAAAAAAAATATTGACGATTGATAATTGCACGAAAAAATGCTCCTGGTGTGTAAGGACCTTTAGACTGTTTTGTGCTTAAGTCCTATTTTTTCTGTACAGCTCCAGGTTCATGTTTTCTATGATTGACACTTGATACAGCCTATGGGTGTACGAAGATTGCATAGCTCACCCAGGGGATAAGCTGTTTGAACCGAGCGTCATCAAAGCGACTCGGGGACTCTCCCACCAAATGCGCACAACGCTACTGCGCAATGTTGGTTTCAGGAAATGGAGAAAAATTGTGGAAATACCAAGAGCTTTTCGGCTTCAAATCCGTATACTGGCGGAAGGTGTAACCAAGTTGTCCATAGTATATACAGTCTATGGTAGCAACAAAAAGGATTTTTTTAAAGTATATTTTTAACCCTTTATTTATGAAAGTATAAATATGTTATTTCTTAACCTACAGGTTACATAATCACTACTTCAATCGCTGTGATAGAAATCCAACATTGGCAGCAATCTTAGTATTTTGGGGTAAAGTGGGCCTGTGTAGATGCTAACTGCCGTTTGAGAGTCATGATCTTCTAATGAATACACACAGCAACAGTTCCTGGTGTCCTCATCAAGTGGCATTTTGTTGTTCAGTTTATTTACCAGAGGAATCACTTTGTCAAGGACACTTTCCATGAAGATGCGCCACTTTATTATTTCATCATCAACCTCTTAACCTTCACTGTGCTGAAGCAGCTTTAAAGTTACATCAAACACACTCTGCATACTTAAAATCAGTGTGATGAAGCTGTATCTGTGTGTACAGAGGCAATGCTGCTACTCAAGGTTGTTACCATTCATAGATAAATGTTTATTCTTCAAGAACATTTACCGTTTAATCAATACAAAAGCAACTGAAAGAGATTCAGTCTGTGTTTTTGATAACCTTCTCCTCTCTTCTCCTCTTTTCTCCTCCAGGCCAAAATAAACTAAGGAGCTACACCAGGAGTGCTGCCTTACTCATCACCCCTGCTTTCATCCCATTTTTACTACTCCAGCCAACACGACACGAACAAGTAGACAAGACACAAGAGACATTCTAACTAACAAATCCCCCCACAGTACTCAGTCAGATTGCTTCCCTCGTCTGCCTGTCTGCTGTTGTAAATGGAGTGTGTTTGTGAAGAAAGACTACCCTCATGTGGTTGAATATGGTAACTGCAGGATATACCCAGTCTCTGAAGGACAAAATCAGGAACCAGTGGCTTGTTTGCTCTTGTGCTTGTGTGGCATATCTGCATGGTGAAAGAAACACAAAGGAGGCGAGGACAACTATGTTTTTTCAGGCTCTAAGCGAGACCCTCTGTGAAGGAGAAGTCGATACAGAGCTGTGTTTCTTCTGGCTACAGCTGACTTCAGATGTCGTCTTCAGTGTTGTGGCATCTAACAGCTTCCAAGTGTAGATATGCCTGACCAAAGAGTTTTTAAAAGACCCCAGAGACACTCCTTCGTGTTCACAATAGAGCCTGTGCTCTTTGTGCCTGAAGAACAGACACTAACCTTCTAACTAAACGGACCAAGCATCTACTAATATAGACTACCGATAAAGGAATGTCAGACATCTTTTTTTTTTTTAGATTTGGTGTTTGGTGCACTTGGGATCTTCTGAAGCTGAACAGAAGTCTTGGGGCGACACATTTTTGTTCAGTTTTTTTCTTTTTTAAATACAAAATGTTGAATGTGAAACAACCGTACTGTGTGTAGATTTACATACTTTCATGTCATATGTGCATGTGTAGGTAACAGACACATTCACATACACAGGAATTAAGGTAATGCATACTTGTGTGTGCACATGCATGCACACACATAGACACCTAACAGATTTTCATTTTTTAACTACCAATGTGAATCTTAATGTTTACATAGAAATTCAGTCGAACAGACAGAGAAAGTGAATGATGACAGAGAGGCAGATTTACCGACTGCAGCATCTCAAGGGCCATGGGCTGTTTTCTGCTAAATCACTACAGAATGAACAGCTATTCCAGATGTGTCTTTTGGTCTCTTCCTGTCTAAATATTTTGTCTTCCAAACAAGATTGACCAGAAGAGATAGATAGAAACAGGACATGACAGAGAAGACAGCAACAGAAGGGGGATTAAGGTCAGCGTACACTTCTTTTTTTCCTCAGCTGACCTTCTGTAGCTCACGACGCCAGCTTCTGCGGTAACTCAACCATCTTTTTTCCACTTTTCTCAACTCTAGGAAAAAAAAAAGCTGAAGGTCAGATCAACAGATCAAAGGCCAAGGCAACCTGATTTGCAGCATTCATCCTTTTTTTTTAACAACAGATAATCTACTCGAACAGAGACTGTACAGAAATGACAATCACAGTCAATGTGGCCTGAGTCTTTGCCATTGATTTTGTCTTTTTTGGATGAGATGCGACAAGTGGTCATCAAGCTGAAATCTCTAAATTATTCGTTTGGTTATTTATTGTTTTGAATGAAGGCAAAGATGGTGTAAGAAGAAAATGTGAAAGTACAGCAGCTGAATCTTCTCACCTGCAAACAAAAAAGGATGAACATTGCACCCAAGGGATGCCAGATATTTAGCATCTCCCTCAACCTGATATTTTTTTTAATGTTGAAAGTGCCAACTCAATCACAGCATGAACATCTGAGACCACAGACAATGATCATGAGGGTCCAAAGTTTTATTTTTTGGGTTCCAATGCAGGCGTTTCTCACACACACAAAAAAATAACTTGCATTCCAGGTTTCCAGTGAAATTAGTAAAAAAAAAAAAAAAAGTGACTAATTTCTTCTGTGACCAAACATGTTGTATTTTCGTTGCAATCACTGGACCAAATGTTCGAGGCCTTCTCTGTCAACCAAGGAACATTTCTGGTTTGTAACCCCAGCTTCTCTTTGCATAAGGAAGGACTATTTCCCCCCCCCTGCAAGCTGATCTCAAAGTCCACCCCCTCCCCCCAATAACAAAACTCTCTGTGCTACGTTCAGAGTCCCTGCCCTGTCACTCTGGAGGACAGAAGCGTCATTCTGTGTGTTTTTGCATGAGGTGTTTCCCAACCGTTGCGTATTTAATCTCATGCTGCGTGTGACTAACTAGCTATTTAAAACGGGAACTGTTTGGTATGTTGAATGCTCCTCAGCTCTCTTGGAAGAGTCCTAAATGTGAACTTTGTGATTTTTCTTTTCTATAAATAACAGTTTGAAATGTCTGCTGAGTAAAGGAGGTAAAATATGCTACTACAATGTAAAACAACGAAGTGTAACTTTGAACTTCTAGACGTTTTTTAATCATGTGGCCGTGTTTACTGTTTTTTCTAGTTGACTACTAATGTATGATGTTGTGTACAAGTGGACTATGTTTTATTTCTTCTAACTGTACAGAGTATTTGAAATGTGAGAGTGAGACAGGATGCAAGGACAGAGGATAAGTTGCACTATAGCCTTTAATTCTTTCATTTGGCAATTTCTCTCACTCTAACAACTACTTGATTTTGAAATATACATAGATATTACAAACAGACACCACACAAAACGTCATAATAGTTATGATGGTGATGGAAAAATTGCAAATTTAAATCAGGAACTAATGCTGTCAAGAAAATCAAGCATTGTGAAATCTAATTGAAATACATTGTGGGTTGTGTCTTATACTAATGAGATCGTTTAAAAAATGCATTTTTAATTGTTTTGTGTTGTTTTTGTTTTTTTGTTGTTGTTAATTTGCCTTTATGGAGTCCTTCTGTTTAGTATTACCTGGCAGGGTTCACCAGTTATCAACCTGAACACAAGTCTGGCAGGTACAACAGACCTCAGAACATTTTGCAAAATTAGAGAGAATTCAAGAGTTATAATGTGACCCTTATGTGTGTGCGTGTGTATGTGTGTGTGTGAGTGAGAGAGAGAGAGAGACTTTGTACTACAGTCCATGTCATGGTGAACAGAACAACACTCAACCCAGAACCTGCATATCTACAATTTAACATATATTAAACTGAAGAAAATTTACGAGCTTGTCAAGTATGTTTGATGGCCAGCAATAACAACAGTTATAATATATATTCAAAGTAATAATTAGGACAGAGTGCTCACAGTTTATGACTTGTCTTTATCTTCAGAACTGCTCTGTCATATTTACACTTTGGAACAGCAAACATAGCTTTTGTCTGGAGGTCTAAGAATTCACTTCTGTACATAGACGGTTAAATATTTGTCGAAAAGCTGTGGTCCAGCCAATATTTTGTCTAATGGTGTCAACACTGAAGTCAAAACATTTAATTCTGAATCTGTTTTAATTTCAGAAGTCTCCACTGAAATATGACCACTCTGTTCTGCAGCTCTACAATTCTGACTAGGGAATATAGTTAATTGTTATTTTAATCAGATACTACACAAATGTAATTTTACATTTGTGTAGTATCTGATCACTTAATGAATTGGGGAGCCTTATAACTTTCATGGTCTTCAACATTTGTCATTGGTGCTTGTATAATTCCTCTGAAAAGGGGACATAATAGAAAGTTGGATGATCCAGAACAGCACCCTGGGGTGCTCCACAGATCAGTTTCTTTATGGTATTTGTTTAAAAATCATCTTAACCTATAAAAACTTGATTTCCTGTCAATAATTGTTGGATAAAACATTGATCTAAATCAATTCTTTGTGAATACCAGGAAGCTCAACTCGAGGTGCATTGAGAAAATGCAATAATACATACTCATTTGATTTGAAGAATACTACACAAAACAGTACTGCCTACACTCTCTCTATGGCTCTGGGCTAATCTGTTGATCTTCACCAATGACTGAAACCATTTATGTTGGTTTAAGTCCTTCTCTTTTTACGATGGTTATCCCACAGTCGACTGCCTGTACATAAGACAGTTGGGAATAAAGTAGACCTATGAGAAGAAATGTTGATACTGTGTCCTTTTTTTCTTAGACTATTCAGACACATCCTACTGTACTTTTAGTGGCCAAAACAATACATTTGCTACATTATTTAAGTGAATGGCAAATTATTCAAACTCTGTTTTTGTCTTATGGGGTTGAGAGTGTTCTTTGTCATACAAATTGTTTACCAACATTTCATTTCGTAGATTGATTAAAATGAAGCTAAAACTATTGATGCCAGGCTTTGAGGGACTGTTCAGAGTAGTCTTAGACTGTTTACTAAGTAGGCAACATCAGTGTACGCTTATTGCGCACTGTCGATGCTAGGAAGCACAGTCATTTCTACCATTTCTAAAGATGTTTCTTTATCCAAATTGAACCCCTGCTTATTTTGCACTTCTTAGCATAAGCTTACATGTCAGACAACAGCAAACATCTTGGCTCAGCACAGTGAGAAAAGCAGAGGGGTAATTGCTAACAATACAGCTTGACTGAGTTGGTTTTAGTGCTCTGTATTAGTCATACTGACTGGCCTAATGTAGTAGTTATACACTAGAATACTTTTGGGAACAGAGCCACTGTCAACAAATGTATTTTACCTTTGTTTTTATGATGTGGTGAGCCATCGAGCGTGTGATGTCTGCTGTGAAAATTACAATGATGGGAAACACTAAATCTAGACATAGGAATTGCACAACCCCAACTTTTAATAAGGCTGCTTTGTGTGTGTGCAAATGTTGCACTTAAGCACAAGTTTCACTCCTCATGTATTAGAAAGCAGATTGCATAAATCCTTGCCAAAGGCCCACCACTTATTTTTTTAATCTTTTATCAACTTCTGTTGGTTTTCACCAAGAGATCAAATTTGCACAGTTGTCATGGCTACATCATGCCTGAGTTCATTTCAAGTCACTTGATGATACATGATCCATCTCTATGACAACTGTCTTAACTAGATCCACCCAAAAATGTGGTTTAATGCCATGGGAAATAACAACAAGAGAGCCTAGTTGAGTCATTGTTTAGTGGTAGCTGTGCTTTATATGTTTTAACTACAGCAGAATGTGAAAAGCTTCAGTCAAACATAATTGTTTTCTCATAAGTGCTGATGTATGTATTGCCTGTGCCTTTTTCATATTTAATTTGTCAAATAGATGCAATGAAGGGTAAGATAACTAAATTATCTAAATAACCTATTATTGTAGTTGAATACATAGAAATGTATACATATCCTTGTCTATGTGAGTAATATAACACTGGTATATTCTTATTTACCAGTCTGTTTTCAGTTTTGCGTCCATCATTCTGTCAAACCTTTGTCAGCAAAACAAAACAGTATACAGGGACACACACTTTTCAATCCCAGGGACTCCTTTATCTGTCTGTTTGGAGCTGAGAGAGGCAAAAAGGCATTTAAATCTACTACTCCTTTACCTTTGAACAAGATAGAAAAAGCACAACAAATCTAAACAAACTGGAGGCAGGCACATCTAGCAGCAGGTTTTCTACTTGATGTACATATGGCTGCTCTTGATTTGTATGAGCATCTGCCATCTCTTTCAGTTATGTCAGGTTAAAGGGATATTATGGTGTAAAATTAATTTAGGGTCAAACACACCGTAACACCGAGTTAGACCCTGTCAAGAGGTAAATGTTGCCGACCGCTTGCTTCTCTAGTTATACCAACTTTAGTAACGACCGCAGGATAGCAATACAGAGAGCCACGCACGCAACCAAAACGCCACTCTATAGCCACAAATAATTCTCAGAACAGCACCTAACTTCATCAACAGTACATAAAGGGCCCTAGCCACAAAACTAGTCACCAAACATCTTTTTACTTTGCCTAATTTCTTTAGCAAAGAGACTAAACACAACTCACCCACTCACTTCCAGCAGCCACATGTATGTAGCGAGACCTCGGGCCAGTCCATTACGGAGGAGTGCGGGGTGACGCAGCTCAAGGAAGAACATTTATAATCATTACTTTATCATTTCCTTTATGTAACAATCACCATATTTAATCATTTTGCACTGCAGACGCGGTAGTTCCTCTGTCTTAGTGTCTCGGTCTGACTGCATTTCCATGAAGTAATGATCATAAATGTTCTTCCTTGAGCTGCGTCCCCCCGCTGAAGTCCTTAAGAGAGTAGGTGAGTTGTGTTTAGTCTCTTTGCTAAAAAAAATTAGGCAAAGTTAAAAAGCTGTTTTGTGGCTAGTGCTGTGGCCGGGACCCAATATGTACTGTTGATGAAGTTAGGTGCTGTTCTGAGCATTATTTGTGGCTAAAGATCGGCTTTTTGGTTGAGCGTGTGGCTCTGTGTATTGCTATCGTGCTGTCGTTACTAAAGTTGGTATAACTAGAGAAGCAAGCGGTATAGAAGCCTTCAGCACAAGATCTCCGTTGTAACTTTAGTTACCTCAATTAATGTTGCCTCAATATACCATTTTGACGTTTGCGGCCACGTATGTATTGAAACTATAAAATCTTCTTTGCCACTTTACCCCCCATTCACTGACATGTTCCCATCATAGACTGTATCTACTGTATGTACTTATATATACAGTCTGTGGTTCCCATCTGTCAGGGCAGCAATCTTCCACTGGGTTTCCCCCTCGACCAATCACTGCTCCTCTATACTCTGACGTCAAGACCCGGAAACACAGAACTGCCTGCTCGCTTTGTTTTGTTTTGGTAGTGGGAGTTGAATAAAAGAGGTAGAGGCAGGCGGAGAGAGATCCGTGCGGGCGAGGATCCGCTCACTAAATGGGGAGAACAACGTCGGGGATGGAAGATGACGAACCGATAGCCGACGCCTGTCAAATGCCGAGTTTTATCGGCGGCTTCGAGGAGGGGAGGGCGAAATTGTCCCACAACCTGCCGACGGAAACTTCTTTCACCGACGGCAAAGTTGAGCAGCCGGTCCGAGATTTGAGCCGTGGTGTCAGCAGGTCAAACTCCCGTGTGGTGCTGGACGGAGTCGAGGGGCGAGCAGGAGAGAAGAGTAGCGAGGAGGAGAAGGATGCGAAGGGCAACAACAACAACAATTGCAACGGAGGAGGAGGTGGAGGAGGAGAGAGGAGGAGGGCGAGCGCTGTCGAGATTTTGAGGAGGAATTTCGGGGTCTCTAAATCTCCCTCTCTTCGTCTGAACAGAAATACTCGGATGCATCGCGGGACTAAACATGAGAGCACAGGAGGAACTTTCGACACCGACTCTGGAAGCTTTAACGACTGTAAAAGGTCGGAGTGTGAAACGGGCGACGCCGGGACGGAAAACGAACCAACCCCGAGTGACTTGCCGACTTTGGACGTACAAGGAGTTGAATTGGTGTCTATTACAGGTCAGTGCCGTCATGATGGGGACAGTGACAACAAAACAGCCACGGTTGCTGATTTTCTTAGCGATGGAGAACATATCTACTGCACTGTTTATTGTATCGCCAACGACAAACACCGGAGAGACGTTGAAATCACAGACGATGACACGTTCACGTCGGATTCACTCGAGACAGGCTCGGAAACGGGTGAAAATCCCGAACCGATATTGTTCACCTTGGATGACTTGGTGGACCCTTTTGCGGATATTGTCCACCACCGACTGTCTACTACGGTACAGGCCGATGCAGAGGCTGCAGTGCAGAGTTGCCGGGTGTGCCTGGAAGGTAAAACCATCGTACCCTTACTCTGCTGCGGGAAGGCCGTGTGTGATGAGTGTCTGAAGCTCTACGTCAGCTCCCAGGTTGGTTTGAGGAGGGAGGGTGGACTCTGGGAAGGTTGACAAATGTGGTACAGTGTCACAGCAGGGCTGAGGTTGTGCCTGTGTCCAATAATGAGTCCCAATTGCTGAGTCAGTCAGCAGCTGGCCGCAGAGTCCTCTGAAGTAGTCAAACACACACCCAAACACAGTAGGGGAGAGTGGGGTAAGTTGAGCCACCCACTGTTAATTGGAAATGGTCAAAGAAATTGATCATGTGACCAAATATTTAGGAGATGGGCATCAATTCATGGAGTCTGCAAGGTTTAAGGTCCCTACACACCCGACGAACGCAAAATTACGAAATATTCGAAGGAGAATTTTGACGTGCCTGACTATACACATCGAGCCTGATGCGATTTTACGACTTTCCGGGGGAAAAAGACGCATCCTGGGGAAGACTTTTCCAGAGGAAAGTCTGGCCTCCTTCGCCTCTGATTGGCTAGAAAAGCTGGAAACATCATCACATGCTCAAGCCAAACGGTCAGCACTTATAGCCAATCAGACGTGGCAGTCTGAGCAGTGACATCACAAAAGTGCGCCATGTAGTGTCTGAAACCTCCGGTGATTGAGTTCACTACATAGTCAACTATATAGTGAATCCCTATATGGGGGTTAGGGGTTAGGAGTTGAGTGATATATTTTGGACACAGCCAAAGTCATAATAGTAGTTCTGGGGTAAGATAAGCCCATAGACTGTAAATAGAATGGACGCCGTCTGCCTCTTAGCTGGGTGAAGCCACTCTAAGAACAGCACCCTCTGGTGACGGGCTGTAGTATAGGTCATAAATCCCACCTCCTCCACTAATCCCTATGGAGCTGTGGACAAACTTTAGAAATTTATTACACAGAACATAAATTTTTCTCCTCCCTGTTTGCGATGTTGACATGTAGTTACTGTAAGACTGGTTTGTGCTCAAGTCCTCTTTTTTCTGCACAGCTCTATTTTTAAAAATTATTAGAGGGTTCATGTTTTCTATGATTGACACTTGATACAGCCTATGGGCGTACGAAGATTCAGTTCAGATTCTTGAAGCTGTGAATGTTCTGAATCACTTAAAGACATTCTCATGTTAAAATGTTTTTTTACAAAACAGCTTTTTTAGCAGTTATATGTAATAATGATAAAAATAATTATTGTACCAGTTGAATAGCGTATAATAGATAAAAATATGCATGAATGTGAAGAAGTGACTGTTATTTAGGGAGAGAGAAGGTGAGGGAGGGCTGGGGTTGAGAGTGGGGAATAGTAGGGATACGGCTCAACTTACCCCGCTCCTATGGTCAACTTACCCCATACAGAGGGTAAGTTGACCATAGACCATGTTATATTTACACTCCTTCTGTTGGTTTGCAGGGATATTTCAACATCTTCAATATACACTAGTCAGAGACAAAACTATGATTGCCTTGATGTAGTGATCCTGAATATGAAAAATGGCTCATCTTACCCCTCTCTCCCCTATGTCTTTACTTTCCCATACTTTCATCTGTGCTGTTCAGCCTCTTATCTTTCCAAAGGGAGATACATGACTAGAAATTCTGGGAACCTTTCCTCTCAACAGGATGTGGCAGAGTCCAATTTGACACAGTGTTAAGATTCAGTGATATAAAACTGAATTTTCCATCACAGAGAAAAGAAAATGATTTCTTTATTACGCAAATGTCACACGCCAACCTCTCTGCACTGACTTAACCCGGTGGGGTTGGTTTGTGTGGGCTGTCTTTGTTAGTTTTCTGTTTGTTTGTTTGTTTTCAGATTAACTTTTCTTAGGATGAGCTATTTAAAGAAAGAATTTGCCTCTGATACACTAGATTTACTCTGCTCTGCATTAACGGTCCAGACCAGTAAGTTAAAAAATGAATGGATAATCATGAATGACTTGATTTTTCTCTCATATTAATAGCTGTTATTACTTTTAAAATAGAAAATACTTGTACTGGATTATTTTCAGTTTTTCAACAGCGAATGATGTGAAACAATGTCAGTATTTGGTTTTAAAAAGAAGCTGTGTATAATTCCATTATTCCATGCACTGTGTAGCATGCACACTGCAATCATATACACATGGTTACCCTTGCCAGTAGCATTTTTTAACAGACTTTGATTAATTCATGAAAAGAGACAAATTAGTTCTGATAAAGATTTGAGAACATAATCAATATTCATGCCAGAAGGAACTTTAAATTGTGTCATCTTTAGTCTTGTCAAAGTTGAAAAATAAAGGGTTAAAAATTAACTAAATACAACATTTTTAAAGGGGTGAAATAATGAAAAAAGTTTGAGGCTTGTATCAGGTAGTCATAGCTACATGCTCTGTCTCTAAACCTTTTAGAGCACTGAATCCCCTTATGAAAAAAGAAATGTGCTTTACAGCTTCGAGGCTTTTCCGACAAAAAACACATTTTATGTTGGCAAGTGTTTAAACCTCAGATGGACCAGTAGATGAAAATCACTCAGTTCTCAGAAAATGAACCAGGGATTTAGCCTCCTAGCCCACTGAAGTCTTTGTATACTAGAGAGGATGGCTTAAACTTTTCAAAAGTAGCTGCTGGCCTAGAGCAGCTCAAACTAAGGTACTCTCTGCTTTAGTGCCAGGAAGTATGGCTTCAGTAGGTGTACTGTGTGTCGAGAGAGAGAGAGAGAGTCATTACTTAAACCAGACAAGTAGGTCACAAGTTTGATTGAACACATGAGTCAGGAGTCACCCAGAAACTTCTCTCACTTTAGACTGCCCACATGATTACTGAGAAATCAAACAAAGACAAAACTCATAATGGGGACGTGACTGTTAAACTGAGTGCTTACAAGTTTAAGTCCACAAAGTGAATAAATGAATTAGATGCACCACATATTTACTTCTAATAATTCAATGTAGCCTGTACAGAAATAGAGGCTCAGAAATAAAAGGCACATCACCAATGCTCCTTGACACAACCAAAATGTTTCAGTGTTGTTGTAAACTGACTGGTACTGGTCAGCAGCTTTCCTATCATAATCCAAGCTGTGATAAAGCTGTTTACTGCCACTGTTAGGTATGTTAGGGGAGATTTAGGAAGGAGTTACAAACCTGAGCCCTTGCTGCTATAGATGTAATCAGATTAAACCTGTTTAGATAACACAGTTTAAATTAGATTGGAGAGACATGAGACTCCACACAATCAAATTTCCCTTTGGGGATCAATAAAGTTAATGTATGTTTATATGTACTGTATGTGTTATGATCCCAGGGACAAGCAGACTATCTAATAGGAACACTGAGGAGAAGAATAGGGCTGTAAACTATCCTGTTGGGGTAAAAAAATAAAATATCAATTGATGAGCTGCAAACTTATTTCGGAACATGTTCTTGAATGTTAGACCTGAATGGATAGATAAGCAAAATAGATGGCACTAGTTGGGTGGATGTAAGTCATTTACTCTGTAACTTTAAAGGTCCTTACACACTGGAGCCGACGCAAAAATAGAAGACGCACCTGACTATACACATCAAGCTGGACGTGATTTTGCAGCTTTCCGGGGGGTAAAAGACGCTCTTGGGGGAAGACTTTTCCCGGGGAAAGTCCCGCCTCCTTCGCCTCTGATTGGCTAGAAAAGCTGGAAACATCATCACACGCTCAAGCCAAATGGTCAGCACTTATAGCCAATCAGAGGCGATAAGATAAGCACATGAAACTATGGTAACAACCGTTTGCATACTTTAGCACTGATAAAAGTTAAAACAAAGACGTTTAACAAACTGTTAAAGCACACAAACTATCATCATATGAGAGATCCAACGCTATGACTCTCCACAAGTTGTCCTTCAGGTCGTTATCTTTGTAATGTTTGTGTCTTTTATCATAAAGCTCTCTGTTCTCTGTCACGTAAACAATCAGCCAGTCGGCCATGTTGGATATACCGGTGAATCAGACGTCGCAACAACACGCAATCTGATTGGTCAGAAGTGGACACACAGTATGCGAAACTTTAGAAAAATCGACCGTGATCGGAAAAATTAATGCCGCAATATCGCAGGACGGGAAAACGTCGCTGATGTGAACGCTTGTATTGACAGGATACAGGTTCGAAAAAAATATTGACGTCCGAATTAATCGCATGACAAAAACGGTCCCGATGCTAAAGGACCTTTATTCTCTTGAATTCAATGCAATATAGCTCTGTTTATTTTACAAATGATAAAAAAATGAACCTGTACAGTGGCAACCTTTGGAATATGAGTGATAAAAACACTGGTTATTACTTCAAAGTGGATACTTTTAAACATTACTTAATCAAGTTAAGTGATTTTATTTTTTAGTATTATTAAATTGTTTTACTTTTTCACGGCAAAAAATCCCAACAAATACAGTGTGATATTGACATTATATGTCCCCTGACAGCAAACCTGCTCTCTCATAAACAGTATGATTTATTTTTAGCTTCTTGATTTAGCTTGTCTTTTTATTCACTACCTACCTTTCAATTTCAGTTCTGTTTTCCTGTTTTAGCATTGCTGCCTCACTGATTATACTGTCAAAATCTTTTCCATATTAGGCTGATAATTGAAATCCTCCTCTTTTCTTTTCCATTTTACAAATGTCAGTATTTATTCCCCAATCAAATTGTAATTTGTATTTCAGGATAAATTTCAAAACACCCAAAGTTTACCATCACTGCAGACTTGCAATAAGAGCATATTTAAATTTGTAAAAAAATCACAATCTCTGCCAGCCTAATTGTTTTACAGTGGTAATAATTGTTATAGCTTTATTTTGTTTTGTGTTTTCATCTTTATGACTGAAAATGTAGTAAAACTCACTCACATTTTTATATACCTCAAACAGTGACATATGTGTGTGTGTGTGTTAGACAAACAGAGCAGCAGCAGCAGTCCTAACCTGTCAAACCAGTCTGGCAGTGGTCATCACAGTGTCAGTGATGTGGCAACAAAGCTCGCACATTAGTTCACCAAAGAGGCGGACACTTGTCATGAAGCACGCGCAGTAAGGGGATGTTGGGTGTAACACCACCAGAGGCTGATGCTTTGTTCTTTGCTTTTTGTTTGCTGTTGTCTCAGCACACACACACACACACACACACACACACACACACACACACACACACACACACGCGCGCACTCTCGCTCTCTCTCTCTCTCTCTCTCTCTCTGACACACACACACACACACACTGACATAATGCCTTATCATGTGTCCGTACAACTGGTCCCACTGGCTTGGATGGACTGAAAGTGTTTGGGAAAGAGAATGACAGAAGGGTTTTTGAAATAAGCAAGAATGGGGAACCAATCGCTAACAGATGCCCGTGAGGAGAAAAAAGACAAAAAGTGAAAGGTGGATAGTGACAAAAAACACCAGAGAACAAGGGGTGAACTTCACAGTTTCTCTGTAAGCCTCTCTAAGATGATTTTTGTCAGATTAAATGACACAGACACACACTTGAGTAGCTTTGACTTTCAATGACCCCAGGTGCGACCTCAATGGGGGTTTGTGTTATTATGTAACAAGGTGTGGTAAGATTATAAAATAGTGAGACATGAGAGCATTGCTTCTTCTGTGGAACATAATACAGAGTCAGGCCCTTAAGGAAGTGAATCGTATAAAGTCCAATTAATGTGTCTCAAATATTGAATTTCACTTCTTCCTTCAGTCTTTTTATTTATCAACCTTATGTGTGGCATATTGCTCCTCTGTAATTATGTGTGTGATTTTTTTGGAATAGGCAGTGAGATTAGATGTATGAAGTCTTTGCTGGTATTATTCTTTTATTTATTTATCTTTTTTAAAGCTTTCTCCTTAAAAATAATTTTAGGCCACATAATTTCCGATCCTCCCCATTATTCCCAAGGGATACAGAACATGTAAAAAAAAAAAAAAAAAAAAAAAATATATATATATATATATATATACATATATGTGTGTGTGTGTGTATATGTATACATGTTTTGGGTACATAATCAGACAAGTACATTTAAGAGGAATAAAATAAGAAAAACAAGTAAATAAATAATTCAAAAGAAAAAGGCAGCAACAATAATATCAATAAACTCTTTTTCATCTGACATTTGATCCACAAAGAAGTTAAAAGTTGGCTAGTATTATTCTAATCTCTAAGAAAGATAAGCAACAGTTTACAGGGCATGTTACTTACTGCCAACATTTCCCTTCAAGCTTGACTATGAAACCAAATCAGTTTGTTCAACAGGTGGTGTCTTTCTTTGATACGCCTATCCTTTGGATCAGCAGAGAAGTACAGTAGTTTGCTAGCATTAAATAGCTCTGTGTGTGTGCATGGCTCATTTTTTGTGGAGGACTGGTGTAGGGCTGGGCGATAAACCAAAAATTTACAGATACCGAAATTTACGATAATAGCCAACGTCAATTTGCCTATGTCAATATATTAGGTGTCAAAATAATAAAGAAAGAAAATTTGGTTTTGGATGTGTGTAGGTAGGCTGTTAGGTAGACAGTTCAAAATTTGTAGCGGCTAGAGCGGCGACTGAAGTAGGCGAAGTTAATGTGGGAGGGGGTGAGCAGCTTGTGGAGTAGTTATCGTCCATTTATTGTTATCAAGGTGAACTGCTCAATATTTTGTGATATTGATTTGAGGCCATATCGCCCAGCCCTAGAGAAGAAATATTAGAAGATGCCTTTGTTCAACCAAAACACTGGTGTATTCCTATTATACGGTCTTATATTTACACTTCAGCTGTGTTATTTTGTATTATTACTCTTTTTTAGTTAATCTTTGACCTGCTTTAATTTAGTAAAATCTGCTCTCCCTTAAGTAATGCTCCGGCTGATCTTGGTTGTTTCCCAGGTGCGAATTGCCAAATCCTATATCAGCTGCCCAATCCCAGAGTGTAGCGGCTACCTAGACGAGGGAGTGGTGGTTTCACATTTGGCTGCAGAGGACCTTGCAAAGTATCGTTACTTTTTGGAGCTGAGTCAGCTGGACTCGAGCATCAAACCTTGCCCCCAGTGCAGCCATTTCACCTCTCTGAAGGAGCACAACCACAACCGCGCTGAGCACAAATACAAGGTGAGATGACATAGTCTCAAACTGTCTCAAAACAGTTGGTTCCAAGCTAATTAAATGGGAAAAATCAAATTCCTTCAAGAAGTTGACTTAAGTTTGTGTGTTATAATACCCTTTGTCTCCCATGTAGATCCAGTGTAGCAATTGCCAGTTTGTGTGGTGCTTTAAATGCCATGCGCCTTGGCATAATGGGCTCAAATGCCGCGAGTACAGGAAAGGAGACAAACTGCTACGCACCTGGGCCAGCGTAATTGAGCACGGACAGAGAAACGCCCAGAAATGCCCACAGTGCAAGGTAAGAACTGGAAACCGCAGAGGATACAAGCTGTTATGGTGCAGTGGGTGTGTGTGTGTAAGTGGAAAGTTTGCTGACTGATGGAGGAAGGAAGCACTGTAGATCGATGATGGTTAAGAAGCATGAGAATGAGGACATGTGATGGATGTAGAGCCGTAGAGAAGCTGATGGACGCGCAGCATTAGAGCGCATGTTGAACAGCAGAGCAGAGGTGCACAGACAGCGAGCAAATTGAAAAATTAATGATGCCTCTGCTGCGCAAAACTAAATCTAGTCCAGTTCTCCTTGCAGCATTAAAAGACTTATCTCTTAGTCGAGCTGGTATACTCAATATCTATTTTGCCTCTGAGAAGATGACGCAAGCTTACAACAATGAAGCTAATTACTGGTACAAGGGAACTGTTTGCTGACAGTGGCAGACTTTTTCCATCTGCATTCGCCACCTTGATGCTGCATGTCTCTGAGTTAGAGGTCTGGCAGCAGGCAGCAAAGATCCCGTCTGACTGCGGAGCCAACAAATTGGTGTCATGCCGTGTTTAGCAGGAAAAGAGGCAGAGAGCAGCTGGACCGAACACCTAGTTTTGAGTTAGACATTTCACTACTACAGCAGCCAAAAAGCAAAGACCCGTAAAAATGTCAGCTGCATATACAGTCCAGTGATTTTAAGTAGAGACTAAGCCAGATATTCATCATTTTCATGCTGCGGGAAGACTTGGTCAGAGTTGCATCAGTGAGTTAGGGTTCTGATTATGCAGTTGAATGTGTTCCCATGTTATATGCGTGAAAGACTAGGTTGATATCAGTAAGGCATGGTGTACATAAACTAATAATCTTCTTCATTTGCTTTTTTTTTTCTATCTGTCTTCAGATTCACATTCAGCGAACAGAGGGATGTGACCATATGACGTGTACACAGTGTAGCACTAACTTCTGTTACCGCTGTGGGGAGCGCTACAGACACCTAAGGTTAAAATCCTTGATTGTTTTCAATGCTTTGTTTTCAACCATCTTGCCTTTACTTTATAGGAGAGCTCAATAAATGTCTTGACATACATGAAAGAGACGTTTTCGGACAGGAACCTATGATCACTGATAGGAAGTATAACCTATAGTAGGGGTGTCCCGATACAACTTTTTTACTTACGATACGATACTGATATTATAGCCTTTAGTATCGGCCGATACCGATATTGGTCCGATATTGGCACAAACTTGTGCATGACAAGTTTTGCACTCAGCAGCAATGTCTTTTTCAGACTGTAACGGAAAGTACTGCCACACAGCCGACATTATTCATACTCCTTGCTACTTTTGCTGCGTTTGAGTAACCTCAGAAGTCAGAAGTCCAAGCTGAAAATGAAGTCACACGTCATGATGTCAGTTGGAGGCGGAAACAAGATGGCTACATCTACGCAAGTTATTTTAGCGCCTACCTTGTCCGAATATAAGGCAAGTGCTAAAATAACTTTCGTAGATGTAGCCATCTTGTTTCAGGTCTCCGATTTTGCTTTTTTCCGACTTGGTAACTGAAACGCTGGGAACCCGGGTGTGAAGTCATTTTCAACTCTGACATCTGACTTCCGAGGTAACTGGAACGCAGCATTTGTTTGTACCTTAGTACACACGGTTGTTGTGATCACGTGGGCTCAACATGCTGGATCCGGGCACTGCTAGCTAGAGGTGCCGGAGCGGAGTCTGGAATGGACTACTTGTATGGGAGTGCTGATATCAGAGATTTTAGATGCAGGCCAATATAATCCGATATCCGTTTTTTGGCTGATCTCGGATCAATATCGTATCGGGACAGCCCTAACCTTTTGAGGCATGCACTTTTACTACTGAGCTACTCCAGCATCTCTTTTGGTGACTGTTTATTTATTCAGACTAACCTTTCATGTCTTTTCACATTGAAATTCCTCTTTTCAGATTTTTTGGGGACCATTCATCCAACCTCAGCGTATTTGGGTGCAAATTCCGCTATCTACCTGATAAACCTCATCTGAGACGACTCATTCGGGGGTCTGTGTGTGGTAAGATTATGTGTTTGTTTGTCTGAGGGCAAAGAGTAACCGGAATCTGCTTTGTTGTTGACAAGTGATAGCATTTTTGTAAAATAAGCAATTTAAGTCATGCCTTTGGAGTGTTGGTTGGTTGATCAAGCCAGCATAGTCCAGCATAATCTTTTTTAAATTTTACTTCTTTGGACAATTTTTAGAAATGTTAAATTTAGATTTTTATTTCATATTATTTAGTTTGAGAAAGTTACAGGGGTGTCTTACAGAATAGACATCATGTAATGGGTAAATGTAGTAATTTGTATATCAGCTAATATTTGAGCTTCTCATACATGAACTGGTGGAAGAATCTAGTTGATCTTTGAATGTAAATTCAAGATTTTCTGTGGAATACAGGCAAAAAAAAAAAGTATACTTTGAGGAGCTCAAACTACCTCGGCAAAGCTACCAGAAGAGCACAATAGCTGACATTTGATGGGAGAACAATTAGATGGCAGAGCTTTGATTTAAAGTCTCTACTCACAGAAAAACACTGATTGAAAATTAAACTATGTCTTGTAACAAGTATTGCTTATGTTAAAAATAACCCACAGGCTCCAGTTTCATTATACAAATCAGGTTTCTTTTAAATTAAAGTTACTACATTAAGTTGTTTTCAAGTGCAGCTAAGTCTGACTGTTCATTTAATAGCAAACACCCCATACAGCCAGCAATACATGATCCTTATTGTTCCAGAAATGTTCACCTGCTAGGTCCTATATAGAAAAAAACATATTTGTTTCTAATCTTCTGTTGGCCAGCTTGATTCAGAGCTATTTCTGGTGCCCTTATCCACAGAACTGTTCGCCTTTGTTACGTCTTGTAGTCTAAGGATATGGAAGCAGTCAGTGGGCTGAAGTTGTGTAGCCTCTGTGTAGGCATTTGAGGTAGTAACATGGAGAAAACAGAAGTGCAGCCACGACAGAGCTGCCCCCTTCGAAGCTCCGGCTGCTCTGACTGTAACACCGTTAAAATCACTCTCTAGGATAGCACTATGACGGCGTTCATTGGTCCTGTGTGACAGTGGAAGGGTGGTGTGATTGCAAAGCCTGATTAAAGTGCAGAATTATAGAACATAAAGGGTCTGCGCATGGACAGCCTTTAAGAGTTGTGAGCACGGCTGCAGTTTTTCCCCTATTGGTCAGAAATCCTACTTTGTTATTGCTAAAGCTGCTTACACTATGGAACTAAAGCTGATGCACCTTTTACTCAGAGTTTCTTTTTATAAATATTTTGGGTTTAATTTGGAAATTAATTATTGTTGGTAGTGAACAGTTATCTTTTCTGGTGTACTGACATTCCTTCAGCGGGTTGTATTTTTGTGTAACCTGCTTTAGTAAGTGCTTTTCTGCATTGTTGACCCAATAATTGAGTGTAACAATGCTGCACTCTCTGTGATTGTAGATTACAAAGAGTGATAGACAAACATTTAAAAAAAATATATCTTGTCAAGCAGTGGATAAAAGGGTTAAAGCAGATTTGGCTCTGATTTATTGTTTTAATGTCCCACTGAAGCTTCTATTAAAAGCAAGCCACTGTTTTTAAACTGAGAGACATTGGAATCAAAACTTCTGTGTGTATTTTTATGATGGCATCACACATCAGATTATGTTTGTTATCACTAGCCATGTTTACACAGGCAAAAATTGGAATAAATGTCCCAATCGGGAATAAAAATGCGTCATGTAAACATGTCAATCGAAAGATTCTGATCCAGTTTGGTTCAATCGGAAAGAAATTGCTATCCGATTGAGAGGGGTGGTTTATGCCGATCGTGACTCTCTTACCTGACTTGATCTTCACTTTTTAGACTTTGGCTTATTTATTGAGGTCAGTACAGGAGGTTTTATTATTAACACTACGTCATAAAACACAACCACAGGAACCACGGTAACATGACAAGGCGTACATACAGCGTAATGATGTCACATCTGCACGCACAGAGCAACCTTTGACAGAACAGTAAAAATAAGTACGCAAGGGTGCCATCTAGTGACAATATGTAACAGGGGGGCCACTACCACATTTGTTGGTTTGTTGACAGCACAGGCGTAAATACAACTCTTCTTCTGTCCAAATACTTCTAATCTGAATAAAGCTTGGTGCATGTATACGCACGTCGTGATCGGATTATTTGATTTTGCACCCATATAAACAGTGGATTCAGATTATCCAATCCCTAAAACTTTTAATCGACTCAAGAAATTTTGCCCATGTGAACATGGCTACTGTCTTTTCACAGGATCCTCTAGATCAGTGGTTCTCAAGTCCAGTCCTGAGGTCCACTGTCCTGCATGTTTTGGATGTCTCCCTGCTCAAACACACCTGATTCAAATGATGAGCTCGTTATGAAGCCAATACAGAGCTTGATAACGAGCTGATCATTTGAATCAGGTGTGTTGGAGCAGGGAAACATCCAAAACATGCAGGACAGTGGCCTCGAATTGAGAAACACTGCTCTAGAGGATCCACTTTTTTGTATGGATGTAGTTGACTCTGCTCTCAATAACAGCTAATGCCAGTTTTGTCAGTCTTCATGCTGCAGACTGTTAAAAGTGCAGATTTTTGAACGTCATGAGGGATGCCTTTCCAGAGATAATCCACAGCCCTAATACTGCACACTGCACACAAACATCAGAAAACTACAGCAGGGATGCATTCAAATTAAAATTCTAACAAAAGTCACATTATATTCACTTTCACTCATGCAAATTCTTTTTTTTTCTGTGGTGTTGTTTCATTAAGAAAATTCTCCTTTTTTTTCTTTTACCTTATGCAGCGACTAAGGTGCTGATCGCTCCAGTGGTCCTCCTGCTGGTCGTGGTGCTCGGAGCCCTCGCGCTGGTCATAGGTAACAGGATTACACACATAGATATAGATGTGCACTGGTCAGGGGGGGTGACAGCTCTCTGGATTGGGTTATTCTGAACAGCGCTGTCTGTTCAATAAGGTTTACAACGATTCAATAAAAATGTTTCATGTTTGTATGCATGGCTGAAATGTGCTCAGAGTGCTTTTTTGAAAACACAGTGTCTTTGTGAAATGCCAAAGCTTGAAAGCCAGATAATTTCTCTCTTCATGAAACGGAGACTACATTTACAGATAATATCATCCAGCTGTACTCGGTGAAACCGTTTTATGAGGCCTGAGCTGAACTGTAATTAGTGTTAATCTCTTTCTCATGTCTGTATGACTGACAGATGACCTGCTGCGGGCTAACATGCCGTGATAGAGGGATTCGTATTTATTTTCATCACTCGTGTGTCTGTGCTGTGCTGCTGTCTCCCTGCCGTTCTCTTTTTCTGTAACTCATTTATAGACTAAATCTGTTTGTTAGTTTCAAGAATCAATATATTGTTAATTGTTGCTGAATAAATATTGATTAATCGATCGATTCCCCTCCCCTCAGGTTTGGTTGTATTCCCAGTGTACTACATCTGTAAGAGGAGGAAGAAGCAGCGCACTCAGGGCTCAGGACGCTGGATCTGAGGCCTGTCGTGCACCCCATCCGGACCACACCCACACAGACGCACACAGCTCTCTAATAGACGACGCCTACTTCTCCTCAGGGACGAACACGCCAGCCTGAGTCACGGGGACATTAGCTGCAGCAATTCGAGAAGAACGCAAACGGATGGAGTGATACCCGGATGATTGCACGTCTTCATTTTCAACCACAGAGGGAAGGAGATTTTTGTCACAGCCATCGGATATCTTATGCAGCTTTCAATCCAATGTCTTTCATTGAATCACACACCGGTAACACAGATGCAGTTTTGTTGCACCCTCACTTGAATAGATACATGACATGACTACAAACTGAACACCAAAATGCGACAGTGTCCAAATGTGGAAATTATAAACTGCAAGAGGAGTATCGAAGAGCACACATAAACGTTTAGAATAAACGAGTGAGAGGAAATACTTTCTTCTTTATATAGATTTTCAGCAAAGTTTTTTTTTCTTCTTTTATATTTGCTGCAGCTGCAAGGAAAAGGTGCAAGACCGAAACCAAATCTGGAGCAAGCCATGACGTTGAAAAAAAGCAAACGGTTTCCCCCAGAGGTGTAATCTAGCAGGACAACGAATGTGTTCATCTTTCTAGACTCGGTTTTTGTCTCACCGAGTCAAGAAGACGCTTCTCAAACGATAAGATTCAACTTGAAGGAGGTTGATACCTGTGTACTCTTAACTTTGATAAAGTCTATTATGCTTCAGGTGTTTGCAAAGTTGCTACCTAATCAATGACCCTTTTGTCAAAGCCCTCCACCTCTCCTCATAAAGGGGGATCCTTCTTCCAAATGCAAATATTGGAAAAGCCAAGTTAAGTTTTAACAAGCCTCTACTGCTCCCGGTCTCTGTGTCCCTGTTGTCCACACTTTCTGTAGCTGGTTGGATAACCACTCATGCACTGTCCTGCCCAGCATGTTGTCTGTGCGGTGTCCACATACTGTTTGCCAGTGTCTGTATCATCAGAAAAAAAAAAAAAAAGAAAAAAAAAAAGCTGAGCTGCTGTGCGGCAATTGTGCCAAAACAAATCGCTGAATATGGCAGGATGGTCCTGTCCTGTCCCTTTGTTTGACTTTTTGTTATTGTGTTTTTTTGTGGTTGCCTGCTGCACAGGGTCGAGTGTTAACGCTCGTATTGTGGTGGAGTCTGCGTTAAGAAAAGGACTCTGACATCCGTAGGAATAATGTGTGTTTCGATTGGTGAAATGCAGATGCAAAACTGACTGAGCATGCTATCTTAAACGTGCATGTGGGGGAAAAAAAGAGAATTACAATCTTTATCTAGTCTGCTGATGGGCTTCATTCGTAAGAAATATGGTCAAAGATTATCAGACTGTAGTGCGCTCAATGAGTTGGATTTGGTTTGGATTTTTATTTCAATGTGATTCAGTTTTCAGGGTTATTACAGAGAGTTTGGTTTTTGTCTTTGCGGTGAAAGAGAGAATTTCTGACGATGAATTATAGTGCGCACACACCTGCATAACTTATAGCTCATTCATAACTCAAATGCTGCAAAAAGCACACACACATTAAGTAAGGAAAGAAGAGATTTTCAAGAGCTTTAAAGCTTGCTGTCCTCCTCTTACCACCACCATCTCCCTATAGTTGATTAGTTTTCTTCCTTCTTTCTCCTACAGGGAGAACTTTGTTTTTTGCTTTGTCATAAGCGGTTGGAGCACTTTGAGGTTGAGCACACGTAACCTGCGCCTAAGACATGTACGGATGTCAAATAATGGAATGATAAAATTGTGGTTTAAGTGAGGAAATATCTACAAGAAACTCTGGAGGCTGCTTTCAAGTGTATTTTAAAATCTGAAGTGGTGGATTTCTCAAAAGCGGGGTTGATGTTAATTCCCACAAGCTTATCTTTCTGTCCCAACAATCTGAATCTTTTCTACATCAAAGAATCTGTAATCGTCAATTCAGGAATCAAAAACTTAAGAAGACCATAGACAAGATGTTACAGAGAGCTCTCAATCTGTTAGGACTCCAGGTTTGAATCCCCCTTAAGGGAGTTTGTTCTCTCCTCGCTGTACTCCGAGTCCTTCATCTACACAAACTGTGCCAGAGAAATCACTGAGAGGGAGTCTCTACTTTGCAGAGAAACCACAGGGCAGTGCTTGCAAATATAATTGCTAGCAGAGAGTTATAAAATTTGAGAAATCCAAAAACCTCAGTGATGCAAACACTGCGTTTCGCCCTGACATGGAAGTGTTGTGAATGCTGCATGAGGATCAGATATCAGGTCTGGAGAGATTAACTTGAAGATATGCTGACACTGGGTATTTCAATGTGTTAATAAGTTCACCAAATGACACATTAGGACTACTAACAAATGTTCACTTGTATTGTTTCACTTTGATCTGCTGCTTAGCTAGTACTACACTGACATGTTGAACTGTTGATGTTGATATGAGTGACTGATGGATGTTATTAGTTTCACTCTCTTGAGCACATAAAACTACAGGTTTTGTTTGATTTTATAGCGTGGCCTTGACGCTTAGAGGTCCGTCTAAAAAATCAACACTAGAAGGTTAGTAAAACAATAATTTGTCAACTGATTAATCATCATTTGTCAAGGCAACCTACCGCAGACTGTATAAAAGAATTGAAGGTTGCTTGTGTTGTCGCCTATAGATCATCTTCTTGAAGCCTCAATTTTGGTACGAGTCTTTGTAGTGTTTGTCATAAGGTAGACATATCCTTTAAAAAAAAAACAATGCTTTATTTTTGTTTTTCTTCATTGAAAGAAAAAAAGACTATCATGCTGTATTAACTGACATCAAAAAATGAAAAATCAGGGTAACTTTTTTTTTTATGTTGTGTAATGCCAAGGCAGTTTCCCCCTGCTGGCCAAAAGAATTCAGTTCTCAATCAAAAGACTGTTCCTGACTCAACATATGATAAGACGATGAAGGAAACGTGTTTACGGTCACACTTCATGGGGTCATCCTGCTGTCGTACACTTACTACACACATTGAATTTTCGAACAGCTTCAGGATTTCGTTCACTTTTTTTAAAGAGTGTGTTCATTTGGAACTCTCCTCTGTGATTCAATGTTCAGACGCCATTTATAAATGCCACAGTTTTGTTATACAGTATTTGTGTGTATCTCTGACATTGATCTGTACACTTAAATGCTGTTTTGCTGCTTGATAGTCATTGTGGCCAATGATTATTCCTTCGCAGGGAGTGTTGGCTGGCTAATACCCCTGATCATTTTCTTTGTGTTTCAACCCCAACATTGTAATATTAGCATAAGTGCCTTCTCAGACATGATAAATCTGTCATGGCTGTGAGTTGCCAATGGGGCTCTTAAGTGACCCCAAAAATGCAAATGAGTAAAATCTATCACAGAGGTAATGTGAAAAGAACTAAAGCAAAGTGTTATATCTACGCCTAGGGCATCTGACATCTAACAGACACGGCAACGTCATAGTTTTTATTGACAACGTGAGGATTTTTCGTGCTAAATTTAAACCAAACCTCTGAAGTTTCGGTTCAAATCAGTTCAATAATACTGGTGGCACTTTTGACCCAAATACTGCTGCAGGCTACTCTTGCACAAGTTAAGATGTTTCTTTATTTCTCTACACACCAGTGTCAAAGTAAAACAGGGAAGCTGTTGTACAATGAGCCCTGTTTCAAACACTGAATTACAGTCAAAAGCGTCACGAAATGTCATTCTTTTTCAAGAATTTAATGTAATTAGGATTACTTCACAGATGGTTCATTTCAACTCAGGAGGCATGTGATATTTTTTTGCAGTTAATTGTATTTTATCACAAATGTCATGAGCCCACTGATAGAAGAACTAAAAAAAAACTTCTTTTTGCCTCAACACTTCTGTATCATGATATTTTTAATTGAAAGAAATGTGTTACTCTTTATAACTGTGCTGTTTGAACTTCAAACAGATTCTTCCCCCTGCCATGTTCAACGTGTCTGCTGAAGTTATTATTCCTCTCTCTGCTTGGCACAAACTACTTATCTGAGCATATGATGAAGAATAAAGTACACTGGGTCAAATGCTAAATTGTCATGGTGCTAGTTATTCCTAAAGATTAATGCATTTACAGTCAAGCATTAAGTATTGAACAGATTTTTTAAACCTCAGATTTGTTTAATGTTTTTGAATCAATGAAACTGTTTCAGCAACATTTATCATGTACTCTTAAGTTTCACGTCAGCAGGAGTGATAAAAAAATGACGACTGGAGACCTGACCCAAAAATCGTGACAAAAAATCGTGACTTGACCTGACATAAAAGTCCTGAATTTTTTTCGTTGATTTTGCTTATAAATCATAAAAGAAAATGTTTTGTCTTGCAAACCTCATGCCAAAAGTGAATTGTGACCAACCTGGAAAATCATGAAGTAAGGGATGTCCACTGTTACACACCCATCTAGGGGATAGGTGGGCAACATAAAATTTTAAACAAAGTGCTGTCCAGTTTTACAGTTTTATAGTGATTTATTAAGATGCAGAAAGAGGTACAATGGAAAGATTTCATTAATTATACATAAGCGTAAACAAAAAATAATCAGAATGAGCGTCATCTTTTGAAAATCAACATGAAACACTAGCTTACCTTTCCAAAAAGAAAAAAAAGTAAAAAGACATAATTAGACCTAAAACCCTCTTCCTAGGGAATGGATGCTAAAACTGCAAGTCATGCTGTTATTTTTTTATTGACCTCCCTCTCTCTTGCCATCCCGGGGGTAATATCTTCACAAAGGCAACGCATGATTCCCCTGACTTCCACTCAAAGCAAAAATCTGCATGTGGAGGACTGGAGGCCTTATCTGTGGGGGGCAGAATGACTACTTTTTTATACTTTTTCTCCCTTGTAAGCTTCAGGCACATTTTTTTGCTTTGGCAGTTTTCGTTCCGTGGATTTTCTCTGGGTAAACACTTGCAACAGGGGTTGTGAAGGCCTTACCTTTCTATGGCATGGTATATACTGTCAACCTGTGGTCCTGATTTCTAACCTCAGGCCTGCATCACTACCAAGGGCTCTTAGTATTTTAAAACACAAACATATTAATTCTGTTAGGGCCTCCTTTAAGTGCTGATGTGTGTACTTGTCTGTGTGTACTTTTACCAAATGACTTTGTACAAGTACACACAGACAAGTGGAGTTTCCAACTGGGCCAAAGTCTACTTGTTGAGTTTTCCTTACCTTTGCCAAAGCCATGTACCTGCCCATTTTTTGATAGACTGTTTAACTAATAATAATAATAATAATAATAATAATAATAATAATAATAATAATAATAATAATAATAATAAACTTGTTGTGAAGAGATACAGCTCCACCTTCAGGTCTTGGTTATGGTTGGAGGGGTGGGGTTTGAGGTGTGTAACTGTCAGTAAAAACCTATTATTCCAGGCAAACCTTCATGCTGGCCATGTACATCTACAAAGTAGGGTACCACTTTGTTGGGTCAAGAACTGTAGTCAAGAACAACAACATGCCGGTGTGGATGAAGCTGCGATAGCGTGAAGCCACCTGTGTGTGGCAGCGAAGCACCGAGTTGCTTAGTCCGTCGGAAATCAAAGAAGAAGAAGAAGATGCGTGTGTGTGTGTGTGTGTGTGTGTGTGTGTGTGTGTGTGTGTGTGTGTGTGTGTGTGTGTGTGTGTGTGTGTGTGTGTGTGTGTGTGTGTGTGGCTGTCATAGACATAGATGCCTCAAACACTGGCGCGTCCTATTGGAGCTGACGTATCACCGCGGTCGCCATCTTGGATGGGTCCTCTATGTATTATTATTATTATTATTATTATTATTATTATTATTATTAATCAATAGTAGTAGCAGAGAAGAGAAAGTAGTAGTAGTAGTAGTAGAAATAGTAGCAGTAGCAGAGAAAGTAGTGGTAGAAGTAGAAGTAGTACTAATTGTACGTACTATGTACTATGAACTATGTATTATTACTATGTCTTATCTCCTATATATTTATTTCTACTGAGGAAGGTGGGTATGCCCAGCTATTTAAATCACAACTCCCCGAATTGTAACCCGATTTTCACAGTGTTTGTTTTTTAAAACGGAAAAAAAGATGTAGATATGATACAGGATGCTGTCACACATAAATAAGAAAAACAAAAATATTCTTACTTGTCAAAGGTAATCCCATGTGATGTGGGCTCACAAAATACAGACATAGTGCTCGTTCTCGTTCTCTGTTGACTCTAGTTGGCTCTAGTGAGAGCCTACCATGAGGAGGCCCATCCAATATGGCGGCGATGCTGGATTACGCTCCAACGCAGAAGAGGCGTCTACGCCTAACACGTCTATGGCTGTCACTGTCGCTAACTTCCTCTGCTGATATATGAAAGAGTGGAGTGTGTGTATGGGAGTGTTTGGATGTGAACTGCAGACAGCAGCTCCAAGTTCCGGTCAAGTTTTCTCGGTCTATTTCACCGCCTCAGAAACTTTCCAGAACAGACAGACACTGAGGGGAATCTGCTCGACATCAGCAGGTGAGTTTTCCTTAAAATGAACCAATTTAATTAGTTCAAAACACAAAACTATTTCCCGATAAACTCCTCGGGTTTGGTTTTGGGAGTTGAAGTTGGCGTTTGTTGCATCCGGCTGCTGATCCGCAGTCAGGGATGTCTTCAGGTTTGTTAGTCCGTTCAAACTGTGTGACTTTAGGTCATTGAATGAAAAGATTGTGGTTATTTTTCCGTCGACGGTTATGTTTTTTTCTCTTGAGCTCACAGAAGCTAATATCGCGACTCTTTGAGGAGAGTTTTTCCAACAGGGCGAGGCTCTGACTAATCCGTGGAAAAACAAGTTAAACTAACGACCCTTACCGGATTTAACCAAAGACTGTGTATACTTTATACTGACTGTATATCTCCAGTCTACGGCTCTTTAGACGAGTGACTACAGTCAGTATCTGATGTTGTTCCTGAGGTTCAGGGTCAGCCTGCGTCCTAACTGTCTGTTTACAGGCTGTTGCAGAGACTCATAAAGTGCTTATATTTACATAAATATATTATTGATAATACCCGTGAACACAAGGTTCATATTAACTCCCTGTCTGCTAGAAAAGTGAACCAGCTGCAGATGACCATGCAGTATAAACTCTTTATTTCCTGCTGTGTATTCACAGTCAGATTAAACTTCAGCTCCTGACAGGTACAGAAGCCCTGAGCAAAAATCGACAAGATCGTAGAATCGCAATTTAAATCGAATCGGCATCCAAAAAAAGCATTGAATCGGGAGAAAAGCATATCGTCCCAGGCCCTAATTAACAGTGTTGGTAAAATATGCAATTTGATGTACTGCAGTACTTGGTTAAAAAAAAAAATTAAATCCTCTCTTTATTATTTTTGTCACAAGTCTAGATTGCAGTCAGGAAAGCATTGCTTTACATTCCAATTGTGCACAAGGTGAAGATAACAAAAAAATTTCATTGAATGAATTTAATAAAAAAGCAGAATTTGCCACACTGTGCTGACACTGCCCCCTGGCAAAAACTCAGTTTCTGGCACACATGAAACCATTATCTCAATGTAGGGCTGGACGGTATGGAAAAAGGTTTATCATGATATATTTTTTTTCATATCAGTTGATGACGATTTGTATCACGATATAAAAAATGAAAATTTAACAGTGCTTATTGGTAGTATGTCTTTTGCTATACAATAAGCTACTGCATCTGTGAGGTCTTTGTGTCTCTTTATCGTTTTGTGGTAAGGAGTTGCGCTAAAGAAAGTGGACTAAATGGTCGGCTGTTTCGGCTGCACAGGCGTTATGGGCTCCTTGCTCCACTCAGTGTTTGTAACCTTTTGCATTGTGCGTGCTCTGCCGCCTGGCACTGCTTCAGGTAGTGAAAAAGATTTGAGGTATTACTCCCCTTTGCGAGAACATGGTATCAATTTGCAGTGCACATTACTTCATGTCCGACCTTGAAAAACCAAAATACCTCCACACCACTGACGTTTTCGTGCCAGTGTTGTCGACGATGTCATCATCTGCGTGTAGCTGCAGTCTGCTACTACAAGGTTGTTTGCTACTTGGTTCTAATTCAGCACATGATTGGTTCAGCGCAAAGCAGACCCGGAGCAACTCCACTTTTCATTGGATTTTACCAAAACATGGCAGAATACCAAGTATCGAAAAGCATATTTACCATGTTTTATTTTGATATTGAGGGACATTAATTTTTGATATTGTTATTGTTTTATCGCCCAGCCCTATCTTAAGGTTATCCTGAGCTAAATTATGCACAAATAGTCCATGGCCTAGGACAGTGGTTCTCAAGTCTAGTCCTCGAGGCCCACTGTCCTGCATGTTTTGGATGTTTCCCTGCTCCAACACACCTGATTCAAATGATCAGCTCATTATCAAGCTCTGTAATGGCTTAATAACGAGCTCATCATTTGAATCAGGTGTGTTGTTGCACTTGTAGATAACACATCCTCAGCGTCAACAATGTAAAATGAAGTGTTTTCTGTGTCCACAGCAGCATGAGTCTGAGGGAAATCAGTGAGAATGTCAAACTGGCCCGAGAGTACGCTCTGCTGGGGAACTACAGCTCTGCCAGCGTGCTGTACCACGGCCTGCTGGAGCAGATCAAAAAGTACGTGTACACGGTGCGGGACAGCAGCTTCCAGCAGAGATGGCAGCAGGTAACCTGGTTTGATAACACATGTTAACAATACGCAGATTCAGGAGAGAGAGAGCGTGAACCCTCAGATATCTGTGTGTGCTTCATTTTTCAGCTGTGGCAGGAAATCAGTGAAGAGAACCGACAGGTTCAGGACATCATGTCCACCTTGGAGAACTTTCAGCTGGATGCCACACCTGCTAAACCCAGTAACCATGACGACTTTGAGATTAGGCCTGTACATGCGGCGCAGAGGTGATGCATGTGTTAATTTACATCATGTGTTACCATAACGTCTTTAAAGAGGTGCAAGCTGATGTTGTGTAAGATGTTTGTCCGTAAAAAGCAGCTCTGATGTAGTCTTGTGACTGAGATTAGAAAACCTGATTCCCTGATCTGAGCTGGTTTTGTTCCTGCTCAGCTCTCCTCAAAGGTGGCCTGTAAACCGCAAACTAAGTCCTGCTCTGGCCTCATGTTTCCACACTTCAGAAAGACATACAGGGATTCTGTTTAATGACATAACGCTGCAAATAATTCATAGTTTTGTGTTTTTAATATAAACATCAAAACAAACTTGTGTGGGGATTACGCAACACTTAATCTGATAATCAGAAACAGGAATAAGAAACATCAAACATGAGAGTGTTTGGAAACACTGGACAGAGAGGAGGGATGTGTCAGGGCTGTCTCTGTGTACACAACAGTGATAGGGAAGGGGCTCCATGTTGGATCTGTCAAAGATTTGGTCTGAATCTCTGAGTCTGTTTGAGCACAAATGAAAACATCAGATATAGAAACACTCACTGTCTAATATCAACGTTCCCTTTCCTCTCACAGACACTCCCCCTGTCCTGTCAGGAGTGTTTCTAACGCCAACAAAGACAGTGCGCCACCAAACAATCGCCTGAGTGCCGCGGTGAGGGCCCAACAGAGACACTCGCCCCGCGGTGCCAACGGGGACAGAAACAAATCCTCCAAGGGTAAAGACAGGAGGGAGGCGAAGGAGGCGAAGGAAGCGAAGGAGGCTGCTGGCAAAGCGAAAGATGATAAGGTGGAAAAAAAAAACATGTTGGCAATTCAAACTCAACACAAAACACTTCAACTGTTTACTCTGCTTCCTCCTGCTGTTTACTTCTCTGCCTAACCCAACCTGTTAGTTAAGTTAATAATGCAAGGATTGAAAGAGACCACATGTGATTATCCAGAGGGTTCGGTTGAGGATGAACGATTTGTGTCTGTATTTCAGAACAAAGCTGATGTCCAGGAGAAAGAAGTGAAGAAGTTTGATGGGTCAGGATACGACAAAGACTTAGTTGAAGCTCTGGAAAGAGACATTATCTCTCAGAATCCAAACATTAGGTGGTACGTATTGATCAGTTTTATTACATACATGTTATAAAAAAAACACACACACTGAGGCTGCGAGCTCTGCTGCCTCTGATCAACCTGACTCAGCTCTGAGCTGAAGATGCTCTAGAGGAAACGTCAGAAACTACGGGTGATAGCTTTACCATCGCTCATTGTCTGTCTATATGATCTACATTTATTTAAAGGTTTGAAGCTTAAGTGTAAAAACAAAAAAAAGGTAATTGAATGAACATTCAAGAAGTTTACTGTTTTTTTCATAGACTGTATATAAAATGGACTGCGTCTGCCGTCTTGCTGGGTGAAGCCACTCTGGGAACAGCACCCTCTGGTGACAGGCTGCAGTATAGGTCATAAATCCCGCCTCCGCCAGCAAAGCTTATGGAGCTGTGGACAAACTTTAGAAATTTATTACACAGAACATACATTTTTCTCCCCCGATTACGATGTTGACATGTAGTTACTGCAAGACTGGTTTGTGCTCAAGTGCTCCTCTTTTTTTCTGTACAGCTCCATATTTAAAAGCTACTAGGGGGTTCATGTTTTCTATGATTGACATTTGATACAGCCTATGAGCGTACAAGGATTGCGTAGCTCACCCGGGGGATACGCTGTTTGAGCCGAGGGTCATTATAGCGACTCTCACACCGAATGCGTACAATGGTACTGCATAAGTGGTGGAGTGCGTACAACACTACTGCGCAATGTTGGTTTCGGGAAGTGGAGAAAAAACGCAGAATTACTGAGAGCTTTTCAGCTTCAAATCTGTATACTGGCAGAATGCGGAGCCAAGTTGTCCATAGTATGTACAGTCTATGGTTTTTATCCAAAGTAAACAAAAGGCTATAAAATTAAACCTGTCATTCTGAATTATTATCTGTCGAGTGTCAAGTCTGTGATAATTACCTGTCAAGTGTAATCTCTGTCATTATCGCCTGTCAGGTTTATTCTTTGTCATATTTTGGAGGTGTCACCTGTCAGCTGTAATATCTGTCACATGTCATGTGAAGTATAATCTCTGTTGTCATGTTTACCTGCGTGTTCAGGGATGACATTGCAGATTTGGAAGAGGCGAAGAAACTCCTAAAAGAGGCGGTTGTTTTGCCGATGTGGATGCCGGCGTTTTTTAAAGGCATACGCAGACCCTGGAAGGTGAGTGTCCTTGTTTGGAGTTGTTGTTGTTCATCATTACAAACAGCACTTAACTGCATTAAATTGTGATGGGTGTGTTTCTGCAGGGTGTGCTGATGGTCGGACCTCCAGGCACAGGGAAGACTCTTCTGGCCAAAGCAGTGGCCACTGAATGCAGAACGACATTTTTTAACGTCTCGTCATCGACTCTGACGTCCAAATACAGAGGAGAGTCTGAGAAACTGGTCCGCCTCCTTTTTGAAATGGTAGGACTACAATCGTACTGATGCTGCGTGTGAGTTACCTCAGGAGTCAGAAGTCTGAGCTGAAAATGACATCACACCCGAGTTCCCAGCCTTTCAGTTACCAAGTCGGAAAAAGGCAAATTGAAGGGCTGAAACAAGATGGTTACATCTACGAAAGTTATTTTAGCGCTTGCCTCATAATCGGACAAGGCAAGCGCTAAAATAACTTTTGTAGATGTAACCATCTTGTTTCCTCCGATTTAGCTTTTTTCCGACTTGTTAACTAAAACCCTGGTAACTTGGGTGTGACGTCATTTTCAGCTCCGACTTCTGACTTCTGAGGTAACTTGAACGCAGCTTATGCCTCAGTGAACTACATTTTTTTTTGAGTGCCCGCTTTTTGCTCCCTGACCTTTTGACCACAGAATGAAAACAAGCTCGCCTGGTTTTCTTTTGTTTTCAGGCTCGTTTTTATGCTCCCACCACCATTTTCATTGATGAAATCGACTCCATGTGCAGCCGCAGAGGGACGTCAGAGGAACACGAGGCCAGCCGCAGAGTCAAAGCAGAGCTGCTGGTGCAGATGGATGGTATAATAATCATGAGATGGTCTAACCCACTGGGCATTGTTTGGTCTCAAAGAGGTCTAATAGACGTCTAAATGTAGCCTAGACGACTAGTCTAAAATCAGGCTACCACAGGTCTAAAAATGAAAGTTTTTTTTTTACGTCTAAATTTAGACCCAGTCTAAACCTGGGCTTTATCTATACTACACTGTATATTGCTCAACAGCTATCATAATGATTTTGGTTAAGTACTTGGAGATCAGTTATGCAACTCACAGTTGCTTTTTGAAATAAATAGTTGTTGAATAATGAGTTTAAGAGCAATGTCTAAATTCCATCTAAAAATATACAGAATTTAGTTGAAATTCGGTCTAAAAAAAATTGCTCAGTGGGAAAACACTGACACCATCACAATGACAAAGCTTCTCATTAAGCCCTTAAACTGATTTTGTCTGAACACTTTCTTGTAGGTGTGGGTGGAGCCTCAGAGAATGATGATCCATCCAAGATGGTGATGGTGTTAGCTGCCACCAACTTCCCGTGGGATATCGATGAGGCTCTGAGGAGACGGCTGGAGAAGAGGATCTACATCCCCCTGCCTTCAAGTACTGAAATCTCTCTTATTTCTTTATTGGTGGTTTAAATCACATGGTGAAGTTAACTCTACGGAGAATGATTTAAAGGTTTATCTGAACTTACCGATGACCCATGGTTTATCTAAACTAGGTGACTGGAGTGACTGCTGACTCAAGATTTATTTAAATAGGGTGTCTGAAGTACCAGATGACTCATGATTTATTGAACCTGATTTAGTTTAACTAAGCGACTGTTTCCGCTGACTCAAAATTACATTTTCATAGGGGCTGTTTCTGTTGTTTCAGGTACTATTTTCACTAAGGGACCATAACTGCTGACTAATATTTTATTTTTATCGAGGGACTGTTACTGCTGACTCAGAAAGTGGCAGTTTTTCGTGACACGTGTACTCTTACCACTGAGGGACTGTTTCTCCTGACTGATTTATTTAAACTAGGGAACTATTTCTCGTGTCTCTGATTTACTGTTTTAGTTTACTAGTGTTTACGAATGTGTGTTTGTTTTCTGTATTCTGGTGCAGTGTCAAAGTTTTGGCATGTCTTGTGCATTTCAGGGTTGAGAAGTCTGGGTTTTTGGAGTGGTAATGATTACCCTCTTTTAATCCTCTGATGTTTTAAGAAGGTCCCAGTGTTCCTGTTGTTGTATTTGTTGTAGACAGCCTCTGAGTGGTGTATACTTGACTGTCATGGAGTGATCAGCTCCACGTCTGCTCACCTTTGTTTCTGGTTTTCCTGTGTGTCTGCAGCTAAAGGACGAGTGGAGCTGCTCAGGATCAACCTGAAAGAACTGGAGCTGGCCACAGATGTGGATTTAGACAAGATTGCAGAGCAGCTGGAGGGATACTCAGGAGCAGACATCACTAATGTGTGCAGGTCAGTCATCTGATAGATTTAAAGGGTTAAAACCAACAATCAGCCAATCAGCTTTAATCCTCTTCACTGTAATTTCTCCAGAAATGATCAGTGTGGATTTACTTGAGCTGATCATCTACTGATACACATGAATTCAACCGTGTTTTTAAAAATCCTTCATTGAAAGGGCAACTGCACTTGTTCTTGAAGACGTTTCTCCCCTCTTCCAAGAGACACCTTCAGTTCCCTTTTAACAAAGAATTGGTTAACCATGATCAGGATGAATGAGAACGTACACAGACGATTTTTAAAATGTCTTTTTCACCAACTGTCCTGTAAAATATCAACACTGTAGAAACTTAAGCATTAATAAACCTATAAATATCTGTAGGGATGCATCTCTAATGGCAATGAGGCGGAGAATCGAGGGCCTCACGCCGGAGGAAATCCGTAACATCTCCCGGGATGAGATGCACATGCCGACTACCATGGAGGACTTTGAGTCGGCGCTAAAGAAAGTGTCCAAATCCGTCTCTGCTGCTGACCTGGAGAAATACGAAAAGTGGATCGAAGAGTTTGGATCCTGCTGAGCAAGGGCATGATCTGATTGGTCTGGAGCACAAATAGCCTAGCAGTTCTAATAGTGCCTTGTGTACGCAGGCAGCTGGGGGTCGATTCTACCCTGTGGCGTCTTTCCTGCAAGTTCTTCCCCGCTCTCTCCCCTGTTTCTTGATCTGTCCATTTTTCCTATATCTGTCAACAAGGGCCAAAAATAAATCTTTAAAGGATGTGTAAATACTGTGAGGCTGGCCAACTGTGTGGATGAATGCATGTTTCTGAATTGAGGGTGCACTAATAAATATAGGAATATTTTTTTTAAAGTGAAGGTGTTCACATGAGGAGCCTTAACGCTATTGAATCATCATGGAGAGCTAAACTGACAGAGCACAACACCTCCAGACTCATCAACTGACCAACTTTATTTCTTAATCTGGGAGTCTGATTCAACAAAAACAGATAAACCCGAGTGTCCTAATGCTGATCCTGAGATGCTCCTGTTGTTTTATTATGAAGGACTGATTTTACTGTCACTACCTGGTTCCTCTGTGATTGGTGGAGATGTAAAAACTTTGCAGAATTTTTGAAGAATAAAGGTCAACATCAGTATGACGTTAAACTTGGTCTCACCGTTAAGTTTGTTAATAACATGTTGAAATGTTCACCCACAAATACAGCCATGTCCGAACAATGGTGGACAGGTTAAAGGTGGGGTAAGCAGGAGGCTGTTAAAGAAGTATCTTTTTTTGTGGTGTATAACCAAAAAAGCTTTTAATATTAGTCAATATTATAGACAATATTAGCTTTGGGAATTATTACGATATCTCTGTGCTCTCTTATGTCTGTGTAGTCAACATTTTAAATTTTAGAGTGCCCCGCTCATTCAGACTGTAAACAAAGCCATTCTCCGCCTCCCCCATCCTGATTGGTTGCGAGGCGGACACTGCTCCTTAGTGCTGATTGGTTGTGAGGCACGCTCCACCTACTTGAATAACGTTCATGAGCTCAAACAAAGTTAGCGTGCTACAATATCAGACAGTAGAAACCAACCAGAAAATTGTCTAAATCCTCCTTTGGTCCGACTGCCAACACAAGCAAGAAAACAAAGTAAATACCAGAGACTCTGGTGGAATAACGGGCGCCTAAAAAGGAGGTAGACCGGACAAGAGCTAACAAGCCGAGGCGTCATCAATGAAGCATAAACGCTTCAGGATCTTACGGACCCTGCAACTTTTCTGCTGGACAGGTAAACCGCTTTAACAAAGTAAGCCAAGTGTATGTAACAGAAGTGTTTCTTGTTAAATGGGACCTGCTGCGTGTCGTAGCGGCGCTAAACTGTTTAGCTTGGGTCCTGGACTATGTCACTTTATGCTAGTTTTAGAAGTCCTGCAAACATTGTGTTTGCTGTTGGCATCTACAGCCGCACCAGTGTTTTTTACTTAAACGTTGACTGGGCCACATTTGTAATTATCTGAAGTATTTATCTGCATTATATCTGAATTTAATTGGAACAAGCGAGCGCAAGCATTTGTTTGTGGGCGGGGCTTGCTAGAGCAGAGACGGAGGGAAGAGGGGGAGCTGAGGGGAAAACTGGTTGGGAGCGGTAGTGTTTACATTCAAGATTTCTCCTAAAAACTGGCACTTCCTCAGATCCTGCCTGCCCCACTTTTAAGGACTGGAGGACATCAGGGGCCGTATGCACGTTGCTTGGCAAAACGCGTTTAGCGGGCTAAACGCGTTTAACTCCTAAACGCCAAAAATGTCGGTATGCACGTCACTTCGTATAGCCGTTCCTATACGGATTTTCGCGTTTAAAGTTATCGCACCTCTGGGGGTCCAATAGCGGGTCTAAACGCGTTTAAATACGGCGGCACTCTTGTTGTTCCAAGGAAGACAGCGGCGACAATTGCGTCGAAACAGGATTTTTCGTGACAGAAAACACCCCTTCGACACGTATGACCACCACGAAGTGTTCCGTAAGTTTAGATTTCGACGGCACCATATTCTCGACCTCACACAGGAGCTGAAATTGAACTTTCGAACCGAGGATTCACCCTCACTCCACTACAACAAGTCCTCGTAACCTTACGGTACTGCGCCAATTCTTCTTTCCAAGACGTGTGTGGGGAGTTGGTAGGAGTGGATCAGTCGACAGTCAGTCGAACCGTCACTCGAGCGTCACACGACCCGTTTAAGACACAGTAAACGCCGTTAGCTATACGGTTCCGTTTACAGCATTGTGCATACCAAAATCGTATAGGAACTAAACGCGTTTAAGGCCCGTATAACTAAACGCGTTTAAGCACTAATCGCGTTTACGCTAAACGCTTTCAACGTGCATACGGGCCCTGATGGATACACTAAGTCTGTAAAGGACCAGGGACACCTGATGGACATGAGAAGTTTGTGAAGGATCAGAGGACACCTGATGGACAGGTAAATCTTTATTCAGAATGATTCAGACTGAAACACACAGTCCAGCTGTCAGTGACACATTTAGGATCATAGAGGTACATGAATTTACAGCATTAAAACAGGACCAATCAAATCCACTGTTTACTTAATCAGCTGCTTAATTATATGACATCATACCTCACAGGCCGTTTTATTTACAGGCTGATACACTTGCAGGCTGGTTTCACCTGCCGCTCCTAGTGGCAGAGTTTAAACCTGGACTTAGAGTCATCATGCAGTGTCCTGTTTTAGAGTGAAGCTGGCTGAAAGAGCAGCAGGTTCAGCTTTACATGCACCTTCAGCTTCGCAGCACATCATGCAAATCCGCAGATCACCACCTCAGCTCCACTACGGGAATGATTTATTCTAAACATGATAAATAAATTTGGGATGAGCAGCTGAGTCTGTCGTTAACTTAACACTTTTTTTAAATGGATAACCTGCCTTCAGTCCAAACAGAGTTTCACTCCAAGTTTGTAACAGGGTTCTTTTTTAGTCATTTTTATCAGTACATCAGTCGAGACACAGCAATAGTGTTTATGTTTAGAGTGCATAGACAATATGAAGACTCTCATTCACATTCTCAATCATAAGTAACAACAAACAAACAAACAAAAAAACAAGCCGAAGAAGGTGAATCAAAGCTATTTTTTTCTGTTCAGAGGCATTGTGAGGAAACAATCACTGTATGAGCACTAGGAGAAAGCTGTGCAAGTTTGTCTTTTTTTATCACATTCAGAGTTCAGAGAGAGGAAAGTCATCACAGCGGAGTGTTTTTAAGTCCTTTACCTACACCTTTTTCAGAGCCCCTCCAAAATAAAAGTCCCCAAATGATACTTACATTGTGTGCAAAAGATGATTAACTTCTGTAAATGAGTTAATATCTTGTACAACAAAGATATTAACTTTTTACATGAGTCAATAACTTGTCAGCTAAAAATTATAATCTTTGTGGAAATAAGATTTGAACTTCTTACATCATTTAAAAGACATCAACATGTTTTCTCATGGTAATACCTGGTGCACCCCAGTTATCTTGTGGGAAAAAGTTGATACCTCACAAGTCGTGAACTAGTTTTTTATCTTGTTTTGTGTGACCTCAGGGGCTCCGTACTGCATCCATGTCAGGTCAGGTTTCCACAAAATAGATTCAATATAGAGTCCGGACACTGAGACTCTGCTGTCAGTAAGTGAGAACACTGAATGACCTCTCTTTAGTGCACTTTTTAAAATCTCTTTACTTTTTAATTTCAGTAGGAAACTTAAGGAGAAACTCAAACAGTGTGAGCTGAACAAAGTGCTACATGTGGCAGGTGATTTGGTGCACATAAAGAGCTTAGTGATACTGAACGCAGCTCCTTAAAAACACTCAGTTTGTTCATATTAATGCGTTTAACCTGCTGTCTCCATGTCTGTTTCCAGAAATAGCTCTCTGTTTAATTCAGAGGATTTAATGACAGCTTACAGCAGGGGAAAAAAAACAGTTTCACCATAAAGTCCATTTAGTTTCAGTCTGAAGAGGTTGATCATGTAACATGATGGACGAAGAGTTTTATTAAAATGGTTTAAAAAGGACATATTTTTTTTGTCTTCTTTAATGTTTCAGAAAAAAGTTTTCAGTCAATCTCTGCTCAGTGCCGGTCAATCCCACAGAAAAACCAGCCTCTATAATCCTGACCCTTTAAGAAGTCGGTGTGTGTGGAGCCAACAAACGGCTCACACTAAACAAAACATATCCAACAAACAGGCTAGCTTCTCTCTTTCTCTGTGTTTATACTGGACTCAGTTTGCCTGGAGCCCCACATGAGGGAGATGTTATTGTCAAATCAGAGGCGAACTGCTAATGAGCTTCTGAAGCTCTACAGAGGAAAAGCCCATGAAAATGACACAGGTAGTGTGATTTTGGTTTAAAACTTCATAATCACAATTTAACGACCACTGAGAACACTTTAAATAGTAAAAATAAATCAATCAGAGTGGGACTTTCAGACCCTGATGAATTCCTTTTAATTTGGAACAATAAGCAGGACCATATTTGACCTTGACCATCGATTGAAATGTTTAGGTTAATATTTATTTGTCCAGTAAGCAGGCTGTAAAAACTTGTCACAGGAACTGATTAATATCTGTATAAATAAATTGAGTTTCCTCCCTACAATGAAGGATACCCCTTACATGAGTATTGTTCAGCTATAGGCTGACTGTGGTGATTACTTAATTTGGTAAAATGTTTTTATGCTGTCATGGTGCTTCTCTCCCAGAGTGACCCATTCTGAGCGATACAACCAACATCCTGTAAGTTTTAGTGTTTCATTTTTTTATCCGTCAGAAAACTTCTCCCTAACCCCGTCAGAAGTTTGTTATACTGGAGACAACTCTGAGTAGCATTTAAAAAGAAAAAAACAAACACGACAGGATTAAACCTGTTCCTTAAAGAGCTGAACTACTCCTTTAAAATCTGAGCGTTCAAAGGTTTTAACCACATGACATGATCATCTTCATAAGTGCTGATTTTAGGACCTTGAGGTTAAACTGTTTTTCCAGCTGATGTCTGAAAAATGTCTCAGAAAACTGAACTCAAACCTTTGGTAGGTTTTGTTAATAGGTAGAAGATCAAATGTTTAGCTTGTCCATTTCCGGTTACTAGTGTTTTTTTTTTTTTAATACTAATAACAGAACGAGTGTTAATTGTGATATACTGCACATTAGCGCTGCTGTTCACAGGAGCAAATTGTTCAGTATATTGATCGGACAGCACAGATGCTGCTTTACATGCTGCTGGCTTGGCAACACCCAGACTTGAAACAATAGTTTAAGTGCTGGCATCAGATTCTACAAGATAAATCCCTCTAAACCAGAAATAAACTGATTTGATGGTTTCAAAAAACATTAAATGTGCTGCCAGAGCGTTTGCTGAAGGGTACACTGAGATTAAATAATCGGGTATTTTCAGCCAACCCAAAACCAGGACATGCTGAAAAAAATACATGATTAAAACTGAGCGTATAAATCAAATCAGAACAGACTGGTAATACAGGAGCTGACTGGGCCCGCCCTCCTTAGGGTTTCTTCTCCTCTTCATCGGCCTCTGTTTCTACGCTCTCCAGGAGATTGTGCTTTTCCTCCTCCTCCGTCCGAGCTTCAGGGTTTATGTGGAAAATGTGCCTAAAGTAAAGAAAAAGAGAGTGGTGATCACAAGTAGGGCCCGACCGATTTATCCGCGAGTGGATTAAATCGGCCAATTTTAGCTCGTTTGAGACGAATCAGCCAAAACTCGCTGATTTTCGCCGATATTTTCAGAAATAAAATGCAGAGAATAAGATTCCGTTTCACTTCGAAAATGTTCCGCCATCTAAAAAGTTCCCCGACTTATCCTGTAGATGGCGCAGGGACCTCATGACAATCTTCATCCACTAACTACCTCACAGCACAGCAGAGTGACGGAAAGTTGAAAACGCTTTTCTGGTCCAAGTTTGATCAGTCGGTCTTCCTGTCGGCGTGAAGAGCAGTAACCTACAGTATATTTTTTATAACTTAATAAAAAAATTTAAAAACTGGTCGATTAATCAGTAATCAGATTTTTTCCCCCCTAATAATCGGTATCAGCATCAGCCCCAAAAAATCCACACCGGTCAGGCCCAACCGGCCCGGACGTAGAAAATGAAACCCGTCCCAAAAAGACAAAAACTGTAACCGAGCGAAAGTTTCAGAGTCTCGAAACACGTTTACTCCACATTTCTTTGAAAAATAAGAAGTGTAGTAACGTTGCTCTGTGGATATTCCAGTGGGCTGTTTAGTATTGTATAGCCTGTTTAGTGAACTTACTTTTGTTCACAACTTGGGAAGAACATGTCCAGAATCTTGACGATAACAGCTGATCCAACAACCCCGATCACGACCACCCACATGACCAGGAAAAAAAGGGGCAAAGACTCGGAGCAGAAACGCCTCAGACGCTCCCTCAGCTCCTCCACCCACTGACACACCACCTAAGGAAAGGAGAGGTAGAGATGTAAGAACAGGTCAGGAAATGGGGAGATATGAACCAGAGCTGACTTCTCTAAATCAACGTGGGCCTCAGAGCTGTTTTTAAAGTCTAATATCAGACTGGACTCACAGAGTAAGAGGACTTGAGCTCTTTGGGTGGATCTTTAGTCTCGATCTCGTCCTTCCTGCTCAGTTCCCAGTCCTCATAACCATTGTTGTATCCCACATCGTTCAGCAGGTCCGGGTCCATTCGTAGGGGGGTCTCTGGGAGCTTTCCTGGAGCTGCAATCTCCTCCTGCGTGGTCTCTGTGTGCTTCAAAGGATACTGGCTGGTGGTCTGGGAGATCATGTGCTCTTCATCTGATTTAATGTGGAGGAAATCTGTGAGCGTGACTGCTCTAAAGAAACTGGATGATAACAATGAGGATCAGACAAGAATCGTGGTTTTATACCTTTTCTAGGACTTGGAGGATCTGTGATGACCACATCGTTCTCTCTGGGAACCCTGAAAATCTCACTGTGTCCAATGGGGTAGATATTAGTGAACTGAGCTATCTTCTGGAAATCTGGACTCATCAGTATCTTCACCTCACACATGTCAGGCTGCTGGACCTGAAGTATTCACAAAAACAGAATTATTAGTCAATCATTTAAAGTCTTTTTTGAACTGAAAACAGTAAGAAGAAAGCATATCAAATGCTGACACAGAAACTATTTAAGAGTTAAATGTAATCTTTTTATGATTCAAGGTTAACACCCTTGTTAAAGAGAAGTTTTCTCCTGCCACCGTAACTTGCTCGAATGACCCGCAGACACGCTTACCTCTTTGCCCTCCATTTCTATCACCTCACTGAACACTTGCAGAGCCACCACCTCCTCCAAGTCACTGTACAGCCGGTTCTGAACGACCATCACTCGCGTCACCGTGGACACCATGTCCCCGGACTCCAAGTCTCTGGTGCTGTTGAAGCTGTCCACTGAAAAGCAGGTTAGGTGTAGTCAATAGACTACAGAGACAGCTGCCGACTACTCGAAACAACACAACCCAAACTCACAATTTTATACTTACAAAGAAGTGCTGGACAGGTGAATCTGGTGACTCCTGACAAGTCCACGCGGACATCATTAACCAGAACCTGCTCCTCCCCCACAGTAATATTCAAGTTTATCTGAAGGAAGACGGAACAGATCACCTGTGAGATACTATGTGATACTCTGTGAGATTTACATTCACCATCTGACAGCTCTGTGGTTTCTCAACATGATTTACTGGAACAGTGGTTAAATTTGTATAAACGACATGCACGTTATTTAACTGGTTCATAGAGTGTATGTTAAGTTTAATTGATTTATACAGTGTACCTGAAGGTTGTTGGCATCCTGCAGCTGAGTGTCCTCTAGTGTTCCTGCTGTCACGTTGATCAGAAGGTTTTCCTGTAATCAGTTAAAAGCAGAGAGATAAGGTGGACACGGAGGTTCTGAGATGTTTTCATCAGCTATTTAAAGTGCTTTTAACACCTATAAATCAGTAGATTAACATAGTTTGAATATTTGAATGCCTGTAAATCAGATCAAACATGTTGACGTGAGTTTGTCTGAGTATCCTGGGTCCCCCTGTAGCTTCAGCATTCCCTTTGACACCTTTAAAGGCATATTTGTTTCCCTGATCCAAAACCTGCTTTTTCCTACAGGCACGTGTTCAGGTGATTTTCTCCTAGCAATAGTGATAGAGGGTAAAGTAGGTTTGGGTGGATTTGATAGCTGCATGTAGGGAATAAGGTCAGTAAGAGTGGTCCTGGAGTTTGCATGCTATCTTTATTTAGCACAGTGGTTATGAATAACTATCACAAGGTAGTGGTTTTCAAGGGAATTTATATGGTGATAAGAAATATTTTAGTCAGCTGGTCATTTTTACTCACTCAAAATCTGCCATATTTTGGTTCTCTCTCCTGCAGCTCTTATTACTATAGTGAGGGTGTTACTAATTTTAGTGATAGTGTTCTAAGATTAGGGGGATTTTACTGTTAAACACAGGTAAATCCAAAGAGTACATTGGTTTCATGGTTTGAACACTGGATAACCAGTAAGTTAAAGTCTTTTACGTTTTAAAAACCTGTACATTAGGAAAAACCATTTAAACACCTGCAAATACAAAGATTATGTTGGATTTACACTCCCACACATTCACAGTTGAATAAATTAAAAGGGATTTACAGTTCTAACACCTGTTAATCATTAAAATAAGGTGGTGAAATGATTTCACGTCTGTTTATTAATTAATAAGGTGGTTTTGCAGTTTTAACAGCCGTTAATCAGTCAAAGTAAGTTGATTTTTATGTTAAACACCTGTACTTCAATAAATTAGGGATATTTTAATCATGTTAAACATTTGTTAATCTTTGAATTAAAGTGGTTTAATAGTTAAAACATATTTTATCCAGCAGCTGATTTTAAAGTCCAAACACCGGTTCATTAGTCGATGGTGTGGTTCTGGTTCTGGCTCTGTGTTATGCAGGCACAGCCACAGACAGTAGCATCTTTGCTAAGGCGAGGCTAACATAAACATCATGACCAAACCGACTGTTTCCGGTCTATGCGTTGCTTACCGTGCTCAGCTGCCGGACCGGAGACTCTGTACATGTCGCTGACACAACAAGAAGACACAAAACGCTCAAAGAAAGGCCACTCATTTTCATTTTCATATTACTTTTCCTAAAGACAGCGTTACAAGTCAAAACAACGCTGAGAAAGATTAAAGAGTGCGCATGCGCGAGAGTTGTCGCATCCACACACTGGTCTCGCGGGATTAGTGCGAGTCCAGCATGGCGGTGCTTCTTGAAACGACGCTGGGGGATCTAGTGATAGACTTGTTTACAGAGGAGCGGCCGAAAAGTAAGAAGACTTAGCTTTTCATTATTGAACAGCTCAACAGATAGTTAACTAGTCACAAGTAAAGGTAGCTGTATGAAGGGTGGACTATGAAATGGACGCGTGTTAGCTCAGAGTGTTAGCCTGCTGCTATAGTGCACTACCGATTCATTCACTTCACAAAACAAACACTTGATAGGATTAGTCTGTCAGGATTTCATTCAAGTGATAACTCATTATTGTTGTTATTATTATTATTATTATTAATAATATAAGTAGTAGTAGTAGTAGTAGTAGTAGCAGTATCATTGCTGTTAGATTAAAGGCTTTAAGTCTGTTCTATTTTAATTCTGTGCTCATTTCTTTACAGCTTGTCTGAATTTCATTAAACTCTGTAAGATAAAATACTACAATTACTGCCTCATCCACAATGTTCAGGTAAGGCTCCACGCTTTCTAAATTAAACATCATTTCATGTCCTTTGCACCCTGACTGACCTGAAGGTGGCGCTATAACCCCAGACTTATCATAAAACATGCCCCATCCAGACTCTTGAGTACAGCATTTATATGTTGAAGTAAAACTTGTCGTCCTAGATGTAGTAAGATATGTTGAATATTTGTCTTCAGAGAGACTTCATCGTGCAGACGGGAGACCCTACAGGATCAGGAAGAGGAGGAGAATCCGTCTACAGGTCTGTTTTCTGCATCTCACCTGACCTCTTAAAGGAATATTCTGACGTAAAAATTAAGTTAGGGTCAAACACACTGTAACACCAAGTTAGACATCCCCTCGAGAGATGAGTGTTGCCGACTGCTTGCTTTTCTAGTTATACTAACTTTAGTAATGACTATAGGAGCCTATATGTACTGTTGATGAAGTTAGGTGCTGTTCTGAGCATTATTTGTGGTTATAGAGTGGCGTTTTGGATGAGGTTTCTTTATGGCTCCTCAGACCGCTGTGTATTGCTATCGTGCAGTCGTTACTAAATTTGGTATAACTAGAGAAGCAAGCGGTCGGCAACATTCATCTCTTGAGGGGGTGTCTAACTCGGTGTTACGGTGAGCTTGACCCTAAGTTGATAATACGCCGGAATATCCCTTTAATAAAACAGATGTTTAAGAAGGATATTAACACTCCCCTCTTCTCTTTTAGCAAACTGTATGGAGATCAAGCTCGTTATTTCGACTCTGAGAAAGCACCACGCATCAAACACAAGAAGAAGGGGACGGTGTCCATGGTGAATAATGGTAACGATCAGCATGGATCTCAGGTAAAATATAAAAGATTTATTTTTCTAATTGTATTTTGTAAACGGGAACAGTCAACTGTATCACCTGATCAGACAAATATAGGGTTAATTCTATTAAAAAAAACAGCTAATGGTAAACTGCAGACAAACAGTGATGCTGAAATCGCAGGTTTGTGTTTTCTGTGTGTGTTTTTCCTGGAAGGTGTGCTGAATCACTGAATCTTGTGTATTGATCAGTATTGCGATTGATTGTATGCGCTGTTGTTTAAGATAAATGCACAATTTGCTGTTTGAAGTTTGTCCCATCCTCAGCTGGTGTCTTCTGTGTCAGAAGTTTTTAAGGATTTTATACAGTTATGGAAATATTTATAGCTCGTGTGTGAATTTAACATTTACAGACGAGCTGCTCAATGCAGGATGAGTTACACCGTGTACTAAATTTGTCCTCAGTTCCTCATCACAACAGGGGAAAACCTGGATTACTTGGATGGAGTCCATACTGTGTTTGGGGAGGTGACAGAAGGCATGGATGTTTTGGCCAAAATTAATGAGACCTTTGTGGACAAGGAATTTGTCCCTTTTCAGGATATCAGGTGAGTCAAACTGTCTTGATAAAGATAAAAAAAAAAACATGTTTTAGGGCTTTACAGTCATGAGTTTTGTGTCATTTTTCTGCAGAATAAACCACACTGTGATCCTTGACGACCCCTTCGATGACCCGCCTGACCTGCCAGTGCCTGATCGATCACCTGAACCCACTACAGAGCAGCTTGATGTGAGTGAGGAGCTACAGACTGATACCAAAAACAGTTTCAAACAGCCTCATTGAAGATGTTTCTGCTTGTCTTCAAATCTTCAGCTCTGATAGACACACTGTGTTTTGGTATTCAACTTGTAGAAATGACTGATATCTGTAGGTCTCTGCTCTGTGGTGTTTAGGTCTTTAATTCATTTAGTCTCTTCTCTGTGTTTTCAGAGCGGTCGGATCGGGGCGGATGAAGTGATCGACGACTCTGAGGGGAAAGGAGTGGAGGAATTGGAGGAGAGGTTGAAGGAGAAAGAAGCAAAGACTCAGGCCATCCTGCTGGAGATGGTGAGCAATCATCCATTGTCAGCCTTTAAACTGTGAGACCACAGGTGCAGACAGATGTGCATTCTGTTCTTGTCCCCTCAGGTGGGCGACCTGCCTGACGCAGAAATTAAGCCTCCGGAGAACGTACTGTTTGTGTGCAAGCTGAACCCTGTGACCACAGATGAAGACCTGGAGATCATCTTCTCTCGCTTTGGATCCATTAAAACGTGATGCTGTTTACATGTTGATGTTAAATGGTTTTATTTCATTCTGGCAGCATCAGCTCTGTCTTTAAAATACAACTTTTCTTTGTTCCAGCTGTGAGATCATCAGAGACTGGAAAACTGGAGACTCGCTCTGTTATGCCTTCATAGAGTTTGAAAAGGTGAGTGTGCAGTTAACACAGCTGAAAATTTGAAGGTGTTTTCAAAGCGAGGATGTGATTTATCCGTGATCATTTTCTGTCTTGTGGAGTTCAGCCATAGGACTTTATTCATCCATGAAGATGTTAGTCGGTGTTCAGCTTAGGGATGAGGGCGAGTACTTGAAGAATGAAGTACTCATTGTCACTGTCATTACTTTCACATGTGTTCTTGTTTTAAGTATCATGTTGGTCGTGATCAGATAAAAGTGAAATAAGCATTTTGGCAAAACAGCGACAATAAGATATGAAGTTTTAAAACTGTATATCATTAAAATACTAGTTCCATGTTTTACCACATACGCTTAAAGCACAGGGAGAGACTTCTGAGTTGGGCAATGGCGGTTTATGAGAACGTAGTCCTGACTTTTTAAGTTAGAAGTCGCCCACTACAACTCTAATATAAATCTATTTTTGATCAGAATGGTTTTTGATTACAGGATTTGAGAATGTCTAAAGTAAAGACAAAGAAGTCAGTGATCAAAAAATCTAATTCAGCTGTAATAATCATGTGATAAAAAACATCTGTATCAAGTAATGATATTATCATGTAAAAAGCCATTTGATGACACATCGTATAATAAAGACCCATTATAAAGCCATTTGATGTTATCACCATGTAATAAAAACCTCATTATAAAGCTGTTTAGTGATGTAACTATGTCAATAAAACATTTCTGTCTCTGTCTTTCTGTCTCTGCAGCAAGAGGACTGTGAAAAAGCGTATTTTAAAATGGATAACGTTCTGATCGATGATCGTCGTATCCACGTGGACTTCAGCCAGTCTGTTGCTAAGATCAAATGGAAAGGGAAAGGTACTCACTGTAGCCTTTGTGTGAGAGCATTACTCACTCGTGCTTTCCTGTGTCATATATTCAGCTTTATTTACATATATTCAGGTTCTTCTAACCCCTGCTCTGACTGTGTGTTTCTCAGGAGGGAAGTACACCAAAGACGACTTTAAAGCTTATGAAAAGGATGTTGAGAGCCGCTCCAAACTGGCTCTGAAGGACCAGCTGAAGCCCAAACAGGAGTATCCTGTTTCTAAACATTGGAATTTAATCTTTCACTTTGAACATACTAGAGTAGGTTTGTTTGAGTTCAACTCTGAGGACTGTTTCATCTTTTATCTCTTTTGTCCAATATTGTTGAACTGTTTTTTTATCTGAAGATGACCTTAACTGTCCTCAAAGCTCAAAGTATGACCTACTGATGGAGGAAGATGAGGAGGAAGAGCAGGAAATGGAGGCCAACAGCCACAGACACCCTGAAAAGAAACACAAAGAAAAGCGGCATCGCCATGACTCAGGCAGCGACAGCAGGAAGTTAAAGAAACACAAGGTACCCTCACAGATCTGTTCGAGTTTGGAGGGACAGAAAACAGCGGACAGAGAGTACCAGCGTATCCAGACGCTGTTTTCATCTTCATATTAATGTTCAGGCTGACTGTCTTCAGCTTTCAAAATAGATAGAATCCAGGAAGTGAGTCCTCATAAGCATGCTGTGTCATTTCTAACTGAGTAGGTGTTTATTTCCACCACAGTCACACATGTACTGTTTACATTATCATCTACAGAAGACTGAAGAGCAGCTGTTTCATCATCTCACTTTGTCATCGCTTCATCTTTCACTTTGGTTGTTTCTGTAATTCCCTCAGGAAAGCGAGGACAGCTTCAGAGAAAGGAAGATGGGACGCCAGCGCTCTCGATCTCGCTCCAGAGAACACAAACACAGCCGGTCACGAGGCAAACATGGAAAAGAAGAGAGTCGCCGCTCCCCGAAGAAATCGAAAGACAGAGATAGGAGCCGCAGTCGCTCCCCTAAGAAATCTAAAGACAAAGAGAGGAGTCGACACAGATGAGGGAGCTTGACGGGTCGCTCAGACTTTATTTTCAGGCTGGATTGTTAGGAAAGCATGATCTTAACATCTAGACGTTTCAAGCCTTTAACTACCAGTTTTCTTTAAATTCTTGACTTTCATTGAAAAAGAGTTTAATGATTATTAGGTTTTGTTGACTTTGTCTTGATGAAAAACAGTTTGAGAAATGTTTTTTTTACATGTCCATTAAAAATTTGAACTTTTGACATCAGTCTCTGACTGTAGTCTTTAACAGGGGTTTCTGTAGTCATGAGGTGTTGGCATGGAAACCTGCTGGGTTTAGTGTGTCACCACAGCTCTGAGGGGATTCCCAGCATTGACATTATATATGTAAATTATGTCTATGAGTCACAGAGTCTCTTCTACTTCACTAATTTTGGATGTTATTATTGGGCTGCTTGTATTCACATGAATTTAGAACTAGAACAAATACTACCCTGGTTGGAAACTGGAGCCTCATTCTGCAAATGTCTTCATTACCTGCTCTCCTGACATTCCTGTAGAAACCTCTGAATATAAGAACAACCCTAAACTTGAAAATTTGGATTTGGAGTTTATCAAAATCACGGCTTCTCCCCATTACTGCAGGATGCTGCCTTTAAAATCTGGAAAATGGAAGTTATATGTTTTTTAGATCTATATATCAATGGCGTTTGTGCTTCATTCGCTCACTTGAAACAGAAATATGGTCTCCCTATAGAACTGTTTTTTTTAGGTACCTACAGATCAGGAACTTTGTCACAACTAACCTGATTCAATTTCCTCATTCACCAAATACAATAATGTCGGACAATATCCTGGAAATAAAGGCGTGGTTTCTCAGTTATATGAGAATATTTGCCACCTTTGTTTCCCCTTCTTATCTATTATTAAAAGTCTATAGGAAGATGACATTAATTTAGAAGCGGATGCATTAAATTCTATCTGCACATGCCACGGACTCCCACAGTTCAAAATTCTCCATCCCTGACACTAAACGAAAGAGAAACTAGCTGACATTTAGCCTGATATTAACCCCACGTGCGCTCAGTGCAAAAATCAAACAGGGTTTCCTGTAAGTGGGGAAATGTATTCAATACTCTCCAGGGGTTTTGGGACCCCTCCTTACCAATTTCCACTGACATCTAAGTTGACCTTTCGAAATGTAAATTAAATTCAATGATTTTGCATCTCTAACTGCGAGATGGCTAATTCTGCAAAAGTGGAAGAACGGGTTCCTGCTCACTCACTCTCACTGGATTCAAGATTAAACACACTTTATACAGCAATGTAAATTAAATCCACTCTGAGTGGATCTACTGATAAATTTGATAAAACACATATCAAAAACTGCAAACAGGATCAGGGCAATTGTCGAAGAGGACATGAAGTCTGTTAGTAATAGTTCAATCACTCACTCTCAACTTTATTTGTATAGCACATTTAAAATAACCACAAGGGTAGCCAAAGTGCTGTACAGTGACATAAAAACAAATAAAACAATCAAAAAACAAGATAACGCAAGCAGAAATACAGTGAGTGGGTCTACTGATAAATTTGATAAAACACATATCAAAAACTGCAAACAGGATCAGGGCAATTGTCGAAGAGGACATGAAGTCTGTTAGTAATGGTTCTCCTGATGCTCTTGTTTGTTTTATTAATAAATTGTTATATTGCCAATATGTCTTGTTTTCTTCAAATCCACCAAACAGCGAACAAGAGTCAATTGAAGAATAACGAAATATTCACCCCACAAATGCCTATTTCTTACAAATGTGGCATCAGTCCTTCAAAAAGTTACATTTAGGTTCTTAGATGGACAAAAATGTCCATCTCCTAAAAGTGCTGTAAAAATATTATACATAAATATTTCTTTCCACTTTTTTTTTTTGCTTAAATCTTTTAATCAACTTAATTCCTAATCACCTCTATCACATATTAATTCATTTTCAGAATTTTAACCCTTCAAATGCCAGTTTGACGATATGATGTCACTGTTATTTTTAATGGGAAAAAGGGAATTTGGAGTTATTTTTCATATATTATATGCTGGGCAGGATTTTTTTTTTGTGGGGGTCTATGATTTGTCCATTATTAACAACAACATTAATTTTGATGCATTATGATGTTTGATTTATCCTTCAATCTCTAAAAAAGTTACATTTAGGTCCTTACATGGACAAAAATGTCTATCTCCTAAAAGTGCTATAAAAATATTTTACATTAATATTTCTTTCCACTTTTTTTGCTTAAATCTTTGAATCAACTTGACTTTCTAACAGCATAAGAACCATTGTTACATTTAAGAAATAAGGTACCAAACACAATTTTCCTTAGTTTTTGTGCTGTTTAGATTTTAAAAGTTTAGACATGATGGCCAATAAATGACACTTAGCACCTTTGCAACAGACTTCCTGTAGGACTCTCTCTCTCTTTCTCTCTCTCTCTCTGATGTTCACTCAACATTCTCAACATTTATTGCAACTCAGCGGACCAGGAAGAGCCTTCAACACAGAGCCAAAAACCCCTCAGGCTCCCAAACCACAGCCTAACTCCTGAGGAGGAAGTATTGATCCCTGATTCACTCAGACACCTCTTCCTTACCACTCACAGAGTGATTTCTCAGCAGGCGGCACACACTTCCTAGCTAGACTGAGTAAAAGAGAGACAGAGGGACGGACAAGCCAACAGAGTGAGTGAGTGACTGACAGAGACACAAACAGATTGAGAAACAGAGAGACAAACAGGCTGTCAGAGCGAGAGACTGACAGAGATTGACAGAAAATTAGACAAAGAGAACCTCAATGCAGAGAGAGACTCCAATCACCACATGCTGAGTGTGTAAGTATAGAGTAAGTCATATGATAGAGTTGTTTTGTGTGTGTTGCTCTTTTTGTGTCGTTGAGTATTGCTGTCTTTTGCTATTCGTGTTGCTGTAGATAATGGTCTGGTCGTGTTCATACCTGTCCAAAGCAGCGAGACTTGAGTAAAGACCTTTCAGTTGGTTGTAGTGACAAGGTAATTTGTTCTCTCAGCCGTCTGAGGATTTTAAACGTTTGAAGATCAGATTTACAGTGAAAGATGCAGTTTTGTGCAGTTTGAATACACCTGGCTAAAGTCTATCCCTTTTGGAAGAGCAGGATGTCTCTAACAGAAACACCTCCACCTGTAGCAGTCAGTGACGGCGTCATGTTGCATCTCAGATAAAATGTTTTTATAGGAGACAAAAATGCAGACACACCTTTATTTCTTCAAACTCAAAGTGTCTGGATTTTCAAAAAGACTTTTGTAATGGATGTGTTTAGTCTGTTCATTTAAAGTTGCTGTTTAAAGTTGATCCACAAACTTCACTTCACTGGTTAGAGGAGATGTTTTTGTAGATTTTGTTCTGAGGTGTGAGGAGGAAGGACGACTGAGTCATTTCATTGACTATGGTGTGATCTCTAAATGACTGCAGCTCAGGGGGTTTCCGACTCGAAAGATGATCTAACTAACTAACTAACTAACTAACTAACTCGCTCACTCACTCACTAACATTGTCACTTGCCCACTCACTTGCTAACTTACTCACTTACTAACCAGCCCACTCACTCATTCACTCTCTAAACTTTCTTCCTCGTTTCCTCAGGTCAGCTCTGATTGGAGGGTGACCCCGATTACAGCTGGGTTGAACTCAGACCCTCAGCTTTCTCCTGACTCTGATGGGGCTTTTTTTAACCGGCAAATTGTCAGCCACCATTTGACACTGCGTAAGTAGTCATGAGTTTGAAACCACAACAGAGTCAGGAAGCACCAACTGACAAATAGAGCAAAACCCCCTGTGAGACGTCAACCCTGATTCCTGTGACAGAGTTACCTTCTTCCTTTTTTCGTAGCTGTCAAGTGATTCAAAACACAGCCGTTACCACGGAGACGACACCCAGTCTAAGTAAGGGAACGAGGAGGACTCCCCGCAGTCCTGAGGAGACAGACTGGATCATCACCAAGATGGACCAGCAGCAGCAGCACGCCAAAATGGAGCGCTTCTTGAAGCTGGGCTACAGTCAGAGTGACATCCTGCGGGTCCTGGAGAGCCTTCGCCACGATGCCCAGACCAACGACATCCTGGAAGAGCTGATCAAGACCTGCCACACCCGATCCTCCAGCAACAGGAGCACCCCGGGCAGTCCCAGGTTGGTTTCCAGAGGCTGCAGCCCGGGGCCCAGACCAGGACCAGGACCAGGACCAGCTCCAGCGCCAGCACCAGGACCAGACAGAGAGCCGGCAGCTGGATTTAGACCTGTGGTTATAGACGGGAGCAACGTGGCCATGAGGTGAGTCAATCCTTCATCATCAGGCTTCAGTTCAGAGTTTTGATTTTACAAGTCTGAGTCAGAGTGAAGTCTGACAGTCTGAGGGTTTGATCAACTTTAAGCAACAAAATAAAAAGTTTTTTTCATGCAGAACTGTTTGAATTTGAACAGTAAATTATGATATTATTAACAGTTTCTCTATTTGTGTGTTTGTGTTGAGATATCAGACAGTGAATGTTGGTTCAGTGGGGCTGAATGTGTGTTTCTTTGTTTCTCTGTTTGAGTTAAGACACTAAAGTCAGCGGCTGTTTTTCTGTGAGGGTGATTGTGGTCTGGTTTAAGGAAGGCAGATTTAAGGAAGTGAAAACATGACATGATTCTGCCTGCTTCTCTTTTTCGTAATAAACTCCACACCTGCAAGTTAGTCACACCTCACTTTCTGTTTTTTTTTGTCATGTCACACTGTGTGGGTGACACTGCTGAGACCACGTGTAACTGCACACCGAGCTTTTTCCAGGTGTGATCTCACCTGCACTCAGCCGAGGGTTATGAGGAAGTTATGAGTCACTGACCTGACGCCGAGGTGGATCAGCCTCAGTAAATTCAAAGTGTTTGAACAAAAGAGAAGTGTTGGTACAATAAAGATACCTGTTAGGACATGAAAGCTTAAGCGGACGCCACTTTTCCTGTCACACCTTTACCAACAGGTGAGACAGGGTAGCTGTAACCAGCCTCAGGTGTGTCTCGGCTGAACCAGGAAGATCTTATCAGGCTCTGAATGTTTCAATATGAGTCCTGCACAGTTAAGCATCCTGATCTGCTCTCAGATAACAGACCAACACCTGTCATCTCTTAACTGTCCTCTTTCATCTGTCTTCTTTTCACCTGTCTTCTTTTTATCTGTCCTCTCATCTGTCCTCTCTTACCTGTCTTCTTTTTATCTGTCTTCTCTCATCTGTCCTCTCTTACCTGTCTTCTATATCACAATCAGAATACTTAATTTACCCTGGGGGAGGTAACTGTCTGCTCCCATCTGTTTGATCATGCAGCTAAGTACTACAGTACAAAAGCTGACAAGTTCCCTACAGCAGGTGTGCATGTGACCAGAGTACAAATGTGAATGTGAAAATGTTACCCCGTGTTGTTGCGTGTAAGTGTTGCGTTGTTGTTTTGTGTCACAGTATTACATTGTTTTGTTGTGTTACAGTGTTTCATGTTGGTGCTACACTGTATTTTTTTTTGTTACATCCTTACATTTTAGTGTGTGTAAGTGAAAAATTGTGGTGTTATCAATGACTTTTTATTGTGTTGAGCAAGTGCAGTGTTACATTGTTGTGTTGTGATGTCATGTTACATTGGTATGTCACAGTGTTATGCTATATTACAGTATAACATTGTAATCTTTTTTTATGGAGTTGTGTCTTAATGTTACAATGTGGTTCTGTGATACAGTGTTATGCTGTGTTCGAGTTACCTCGGAAGTCAGATGTCGGAACTGAAAATGACGTCACACGCTTAGCGTTTACCTTGTCTGAATATAACAAGGACAAGGCAAGTGCTAAAATAACTTTCCTAGATGTAGCCATCTTGTTTCCACCTCCGATTTTGCTTTCTTCCGACTTCACTGATAACTCAGGTGTAACATAATTTTCAGCTCCGACATCTGACTTCCGAGGTAACTCAAACGCACCATTACATTGTCATATTGTGTAACAGTGTCACATGGAGGTGTTACCTGCTGCTAGTTTTCAACACCTGTCCCTAGTTTAGCCTTGGGTAACTAAAAAACAAAAAGTAAAGAATAATTTTACATAAAATAACATCCATGCAAATAACAATGTTTCGAAAAGGAAGGAAAGAAGACCAAACAATGAATATTTACATCGAAGTTATACAAAATTAAATCACAGTAACAGAAATACTCACCTCTTTGATTGTCATTTAGCCAACCTTTAATACCTTTCAAAAAAAAAATCTCACAATTAAAGGACATTTTATGAAAAAAAAAGACTGTCTAAAAGAGGTCTTTTGATGTTCTATTTCCACATTGTCACTGTGTGTCATTGTGTCAGCTGTGCCCCTGTTGTTCCTGATACTAATTTGCGACCAACTTGCACAAAACTACCAGTGCTAAATTTTGCAGACATTAAGAAACGTTTTCAGGTATACAAATAAAATAAAAAACTATCAAAATTGAGCAAATAGTACTGCATAGGCATGCGACTTCTAGTTTTTTGGTCATTATTTCAAAAGCCTGGTTATCCAAAGATGCAACAGACCTAATCATAGCAATGCTGTGTTACATTGTTGGGACACAGTATGATGTTCTGTGGTTGTGTAACAATAGAGATATATAATGATCCAGGACACACACCAACAAACAGCACAGGCTGTCTGAAGGTTCGTCCTGAGTCTGTCGCATGTCAAACTCTGTTTTTAAACCTGGTATATGCAAAGTCTTTCTTTACTTCCTGCTGACAGCAATATGGGAAATCCCCGTGGGCGTGCACTTGCACTTGCACTTGCATGGCAGAATGATGTAGTAAGTCGAAAATAGACTGAGATGAGTCTGTCCAGGGCTTGGGGTTAGGTAGGTAGGAGGGTAGGGATAGGTACGTAGGCCAGGAAGGTAGGAAATTAGGTCATTGGGTAGAAAGGGTGTTGGTAGGTAGAGCAGCAGGACAGTTTCTTCCTCAAACAGTAATATAAAACATCTGCATTACTGTAAATGCTTTGTGCACGGAAACAGGAATGAAGAAGTGAATCTCTCGTTGTCTCTTTTTTTCTGTGTCTCTGTAGTCATGGCGATAAGAAGGTGTTTTCATGCCGGGGCCTTCAGCTGGTGGTGAGCTGGTTCTGGAGCAAAGGTCTGCGGGACATCACAGTGTTTGTCCCACTGTGGAGGAAGGAGCAACCCCGTCCTGAGACCCCCATCACAGGTAGGCTCACCTGACAGAGTTGCAGAGGCTCTGCAGCCATCCCAGTGAAATTTAACATCAGTTGAAAGTCAATAAACACAACCTGTTCCATTTGCAACCAGACAGGTGTAACTCCAACCACACACCTCACGTTACAGTGATGTCACTGTAAAGGCAGGAGCAGGTTTTGCTGGACAAACAGTCAAGTAAACCTGACAGGGGTTGTGTTGCTTAATAGCTTCTGGTAGATTTTAAAGTAGGACAAACAAAACAGGTGTTTTATGAAAACTTTCCATGAACAAATAAGAAATCAAACTGGTTTAAAGAGGAACTGGGATTCAGACTTATTTAGGAAACAATCATGAATCTGTGTCATTAATGGATGAGTCAGATATTAGACATGTTCATGGACAAATAAAAGCACATAATGAATAAAAAAATCAGAAATCAATCAGAATAAAGACTCATTAATGGATTTATTCTATATCAGACAAATCAAAAGATGAATTAAAGTTCAGACTTATACAAGGATAAATTCAAAATCAGACTTATGGATGGAATAATAAGGAATCTGACTTAATAATGGATAAATATAAGTATTAAAATGTATAAATGACGGATTAGACTTACAAATAGATGAACCAGAAATCAGACTATATAACAGATCTATCGAAAATCAGACATTTAAACTATTAAAACTGGAATAATACTTACATATAGAACAATTGGGAATCAGGCTTATCAATCAGAAATCAGAACATTTAATGAAACAGTGGCGTTATGGATAAGGGTCAATGATTTCAGCTGGTAAATCCTTTCTCCGTCTGTCAGGCTGGTCATTCATTTATCGGGTCTTCATCAGGTTTTTATCAAATAGATTTCATCACTTTTTACTAAAACACACATTTCAGATTGTTATTTTTTTATGTTTAAAAGAGGAGTTGAAACACCAGCATGTGTTGCTGCTGGATTCAGTTTAAAACACTTCCTTTTCTTATAATAACAATCCAAGTTTACAGGAAGCAGATCAGATAGATCAGCCTCACAGATTTCTACCTGCTGTGAATCTCAAAAGTCTCAGTAGATGAGACTGTTCCCTTTGTGTCCAATCTGCCACATACCTCTTGACGGCTAGAGACTAAATTCTTGAAATTCATCTGTCTCTAAAAATAGACAGGTGAATTAATCACCCACATACTTTCATGACAGAACATTAATAAACCTGAACATCCTCATTATGTCTCACAGATCAACACATCCTTCATGAACTGGAGAGGAGGAAGATCCTTGTCTACACGCCATCACGCTTCGTCAATGGGAAGAGGGTGGTGTGCTACGACGACCGCTACATCATAAAGCTGGCCTTCGACTCTGACGGGATCATCGTGTCCAACGACAACTATCGAGACCTGCAGATGGAAAACCCGCAGTGGAAAAAGTTCATCGAGGAGAGGCTGCTGATGTACACCTTTGCTAATGACAAGTGAGGACGCTGGAATAAGAGGCTAACTGTTGGCTCATCTCCTGCAGGCTTCAGTAGGTTACTGTAGACAGACTACCTGCTGGCATCAGTAGATAACTGTTGTTATGAAAATTGGAGCAACTTAAAATTGCATGAGATTAATATTGTTATTAATCTAAACATTATGAGTGTTAAATAGGGGCACCACCAACCATAAAAGAGGGAAAATTGGAATTTAAAGATAAAATCAATCACATATCTTCAGCTGAAGAAAACACTATCAGGCAAGAACTAAATTATACATTTATCACAGGGTAAATAATAACACAACAAAAAAGGAATAAATCACATGATTCTAATGATGAGTAATGATTGACAAATAAATGGTTTTGGGTTAGACTATGACTATATGATAGTGAGTAAATATGCTATTATATGTTAATTCATGTTAACCATGGTGTAAAGGTGTACATTGTAACAAAAATCATTGTACATGATGAATTAAGATGAATTTGGAGTTGAATTTAGGATTAATCCAAGTAGTCAACCTTCAACCTTCGATTTAAAATAAAGTAAATGTCTCTTAGGGGTGTAAATTTCACCACAAGGTTGTCTTCAATACTCTTCAGAGAGATAACCTGCAGGCATCTGTAGGTCATTGTAGACTGATAACCTGCAGGTGTGTTTACCGTGAGTGTAGAGAGCAGATGCTTGTACAGGTTGATCAGTAAGAATCACTTTTAACCATGACTCCTGATCTCTGTCTGTGTCTGCAGGTTCATGCCTCCAGATGACCCACTGGGCAGAAACGGTCCAACTATTGATGATTTCCTGAGAAAGAGGCCGTGGACTCTGGACAGCAGGCTGCAGCACTGTCCTTATGGTGGGTTGGTTTACAGCTCAGTGTCTGCCACATAGAGTGATCAGATTTAGCTGTTTACTGAGGAATTAAAACTGCAAACACCAACAGGACTGAGTCTGAGGAGTTGGTGGGAGTGTGTGATTTTTCATGTAATGTATGAAGATGTTATTCGGTGATACCCTCTGGTTGTAGTTGATCCCCACCAGGAGTCTTTACTTAAGACCTTCTTTCTGTTTACAGGGAAGAAGTGCACCTATGGAGTTAAATGCAAGTTCTATCATCCTGAACGTGCCAACCAATCACAGCTCTCCGTGGCTGACGAGCTGAGAGAGCAAAGAGACAAAGCCAGAGTGAATCTGCAGAAGTCCATTTGCTGCCCTGATGGGACCCATCCCGTGAACATGGAGGACCCCACCCACTGGGCTTCACCCAGCACACCGCTCACCTACCACAGAGACTCCAGCAGTCCCCGAATGAGCCACCTCCTCAGCCCCAGTCCAGATCCTGATGAGGCCTTTGGCTCCATGGAAAGCTCCATATCAGGGCCCTACATCCAGAATGAGGCCTACAGCTACAGCAGTGGGATGGCGAGCTACAGCCTGGGCCATGAGGACTACCTCTCCTCAGGCTCCATCAGTGGAAGCCAACCCCATGAGAGCAGCTCAGTGCCCTGCAGCCAGTTCACCTGTGCTCATCAACAGCCCAGACGGCACTCCCCCCAGCAGCACCAGAACCACCATCAACCCCAGAATCACCAGCAGCACCAGTGCCTCCACCAGCATCCGTACCTCTACCAGAACCAGCACAAGTACCTCCACCAGCACCGCCAGCACCACCTCCACCCAGCATGGAGCTCCTGCCCTACTCTGCCTCCTCATGATCCTGAGCAGCACTCAGCTTGTTCCGCAGAGACGCCCCCTATGAGACTGTCCTCTAACAGACAAAGCCACAGCTTACACAGAGACCCTATTCCTCAGGATAGCAGCAGGAGCAGGACCAGGTCCAGCCAGCAGAGAACTGGCCTGAGGAGTCAGCTGAGCACTCTGTTTCCCCAGCACATGGTGGAGCATGTCATGGACACTTACCCACATGTTTCAGACCTGTCTGAACTGATCAGACTCATCCAAAGCTACCGGAGCAGTCTGGTCTCCCACTGGACCCAAGAGACTAGTTCAGACCTACACTGAGTCCAATATCCAGCCTAGTTCTCCACAATGAACCAAAGTGAAGGGACACTTTTAAAAAATGAATGTTTAGTTTTTTCTTAGATTTAAAGTGTGGAGAAACAGATCCACTTTATTTCTAAGGGCATTAAAGAGCAAAAGTCTATTAAAGTTGACTCAGTGGACTGAATGTAGACCCGTTTTTAAGTGCAATGCACTACCTATACATATAATCATATGTATATTTACAAACATAAATACATAGCTACCTTGTGTAGCTCTAATATATCTTTAAATAAAGCAGCATGTGTTGTTTTCTTATGTTTCCTCAAAGTGAGGAATTCGATCACACCAGCCTGAGTCTGTGAAGATAGTCTGACCTCTTAAGGTGTTTAAAAGTAGGTTATTACTGTAAAACCTGCCTTTAAAATATACTGTGATCCATAAATGTACTGTGAAACAAACTATTAAAGAGCTTTACTGCCTGAAACTTCTGACATGTTAATTCACAACACCTACTTTGTTTAGACTAAAACAATGCTTCATGCATTTGTCCCTATCACTAAATAAAGTCCCTCTTTTCTTCTTCTTTTTTTTCTTCTTCCTCTTCTTCTTCTTCTTCTTCTTCTTCTTCTTCTTCTTCTTCTTCTTCTTCTTCTTCTTCTTCTTCACTAGCCTGGTCACCTGGATGCCTTTGTGGTGATAAACCTCCTCAGCTCTTGCAAAAGTTGATTTGTAGATTCTGTGCTCAATATAAGCAACTTTTTGTGCCAGCACGTTTCAGTAGCCCTTAGGTTTCTATTCTTCTAGTTTTGTCTAGTCACTTCCACCTACAGTCTCACCACAGTTTAAATGTCAGGCTGAAATAAGACTGGATTACTGTAAATGAATAGAAAACCTACATTGGAGCGTGCTATTCACACATTGCATTGAGAAACTGGAAAACAAATTGGTCGCGTGACTTTGTTTTTTGATCTTTGGTGTCAAATGGCAAAAGGAGGTGATCACGTGACTAAGGGGAAAAACTGAAAATACATGACCTTTTCAATATTCTATTTAAAACAGTAGAAGAGAAAGGGAAAGTAACACTGAATTTATTAAATCATTATTCACCTAGTGGTCTCATGGAAAATAGTATTATAATATTTAATGAATTTAATATTTTTTGTCATTAATTAAAGGAAATGACTTATTTGGGGACTTGAATTCTAAACAAGAGATTGAAAACTTCAGAAGTGACTTTGAGAATTTTTGTTGTGAATGACAAACTTGGCATATAGTTGAATGATAAAGTTCATGACATTTACAAGAGCAATATTTTCCTTATTATCATAGCAACAAACAAAATCTTTGAGTTTAAGAGAATAAACACAGTTATCAGCCTATAACATATTAAATTCAATGTCTCTCCAAAATCTTTTGGTTAATTCACATTCAAAGAAAATGTGAGAAATAGTTTCTGTATTGTTTCATAGAAGTTCCACTCAGTCTCAAAATCAGTAAACTCAGCAACTTTCTGTGCCAGCACATTTAAATAGCCCTTAGGTTTTTATTCTCAGTAGTTTTATCACGTCACTACCACCTACAGTCTTACCACAGTTTATGTACTCCAGTTAAGACCTGGGCATGTGCGTTTTGTACTAACTGCAGATGTGAAACTGTCCAGCATGTGTTGTTGGATTGTGGAGGATATGAGGAGTAAAGAACACTGGCAGCAGCAGCAGAGGAAGCCAGGATGGCACTTAACATGGGGAACCTGATAGGAGCAGAGTCAGAAATTATTCTCAAGCATGTAATGTTATTTTTGAAAGATACAGGGTTCATGGAGAGAATCTAATCTCCTTTTTTTAGTTTTTTTATTTATTTTTTGTCTGCCAATGTACTGTCCTACACTCCAGTCCGGTAGGTGGCGGTAATGCACCTTAAAATTGGTTTGCCAACCGCGAAAAAAACTCCATTAAAGAAGAAAAAACTCAAGCGGACAGTTAAGGGAAAATATCGATGTCACAAATGAAATAGATCAGATTCGTTGTGTGTTTCAGATCTTTTCACCCATGACACAATCTGTGGTGGTCCAAGGTGAGTATAACTCGCTCTTTGTAAAGTTGAGTGACTTATTAAACAGTATGAACGGTTACCTGGAGCGTTAGTTGTGATGTTGTGATGTGAAATTATATACACCCTACTCTAACAACTTCACAGCTTGTTAAGTGAGTTTATTACCGATTAGAAGAAAAGTTAAACATGCAAACATTTCCCTTATTTATATTAACTGAACTTTAAACTGGCGTTTTCAGTGGGGCAGTGCGGAAACCAGGTGGGCTGCAGGTTTTGGGATCTTGCTCTGCGTGAACATGCCCATGTCAATAAAGTAAGTGTCAATACACACATTAACCAAAAAGAGGCTCTCTCTGAGAAACAACAACACAATTCAATACAATATTTAGATAATATAATGTGTTGGACAAACAAAAAACGGCAAGATACGTTATTTACTTAATCCTTTACCCTTTTCAAACAGAATTTTATGTCAGTCTTTACAGTAAGTAGTCTATGTTGTGTCGGCCAACTGTTCACATAATATAAGTTTTTATTTTGTCATTCAATTTTTTCAAGAGATGCTCAAATAAACTGTGAAGAGTTAAAAGGCACTGGCCCCTATACTTTTGTATAGTTTCGTCCATTGAAAACATGTATTTGTAGCCCATCCTGACCTCTAAGAGCAGTTTTAACACTCAGTCTTCCTCCCCCTGTCAGAAAGGAGTGTATGATGAAGCCCTCAGCAGCTTTTTTCGAAACGTGGACCTCAGGTAATCACTCTTGTTTCACCAGTAAATTATGTACTCCCTTAAGTCTTCATATAATATTGATTTAGGGACATTCTGGCGTAAAATTAATTTAGGGTCACACACATCGTAACACCGAGTTAGACACACCCTCGAGAGATGGATGCTGCTGACCGCTTGCTTCTCTACTTATACCAACTTCAGTAGCGACCGCACGATAGCAATACACATTGCTATTTTTCGGTCATTACTAAAGTTGGTATAATTAGAGAGGCAAGCGGTCGGCAACAGTCATCTTTCGAGGGGGTGTGTAACTCGGTGTTACAGTTTCTTTGATATTGGTCTGTTCTTCATAGAAGGAATGACGGAGGATCCTGTGGTGTTGGTGGGAAGATTGAAAATCTGAAAGCCAGAGTAAGTCCTTACTTTTCAAAGAAAACAGCTTGAGAGACATTTCTGTCTCACAGTCCTCCCAGGCATAACACTAGAGAGTTAAAGTTCAGGTCAGGTGAGGATAAAGGCATGAATTGTGAAGGTCACAAAGAGGAGTTATGGAAAGACAGCAGGGAGCCACTGGTGTTTCAGTTTATAGCAGTGATTAATGTGCTGGCCTCATACTGTTATATTTAAATCCACAGGCGGTGCTGGTGGACATGGAGGAAGGTGTTGTCAATGAGATCCTGCAGGGCCCACTGAGAGAGGTTTTTGACAGCACACAGTTCCTCACAGACGTGTCAGGTTCAGGCAACAACTGGTGAGAGTTAACAGGCTGACCTCGGATCATCACGTCCAGGGTTTTCTCCAGGAATGTTTGAAATCACCCCCCAAACTATTATATTTATGTTTTATTTAAGGTCATTTTTGCATTAACTTATTATTCTAAATCTGAAATATTTTCACGCAGGTGATTTTTTTTACTGTGTATATCTTCTCTGTCCTGTCTGTGACCAGCTTTTCAGATTTAGTAAATGTTAACTCTTTCACCTCCTCCCATCCAGGGCAGTCGGTCACATGACATATGGCTCAGCCTACAGGGAGCAGATAGTGGATAAACTGAGGAAGACAGCAGAGCATTGTGACTGTCTACAGTGCTTCTTTCTCATTCACTCTATGGGAGGAGGTAAGGGACAAAAACACTGAGCAGTTAGCTGCTACTGCTAGCTGTGGACATGGTGTTTTAGTGAAGAATGACCGCAAGACATTGGATACAGTGCAACCCCTCAAATTCACAATGTGTTGGAGGAAATAATTCATGATATGGGAAGCACCACATGTTGCTTTTATTGCTGTGTCATCATTTTTTGTGAAGTCATACCACAGCAGTTCATCCTGATGCGCGCCTTGAGAATACATGCACTGATACCCTTTACAGAACTGATATGGCTGCAGATGCTGTGAACATGCTGCCCGTGGTGCAGTGCAAATTAGAGACAGTAGATGGCAGCAGGAGCCAAACCTTATAAATGATTTATTTATGCTTAGGAAGTTCTGTTTGATCATGTATATATGATGCACCTGAGGAACAATAACCATCTGTGAACCACTAAGTGTGTTAATGACCATGATCCCTGCTCCTGTACCTGCTATGAGGGAGGTATGCTCACATGCTTAGCCTACTGTAAAACACACACTCATGTCAAAGCTCTACATGCATTGATTGAAGGTCAATCGTGCCATGTTCATCTCCTCTTGTTGCTATTTTAATGTTATGTCAGCAGGAACCAAAATTCTGATGCCTTATTGAAACCACAAATCTCAGAAACTTGAAACATGGTGGAAATTTGAAGTTGGAAAAATTATTGTTGTAAGAGGTTTTAAGGTCAAAAAGTCTAATGAAGCTTTTTTTGTATTTTCATACTAACCCTTTGAAACAGCTGTTTCTCAAGAGCAACCTCTCTGATTCTGTTTTGTACTGTGTGAGTATTTTAGGGCATTTGGACATTTCTTAACTGCATGAATGTGTCTCAGTTAATGAAATAAATACATTTCTACAGTATTTTTACACTCATGATAAAGACTAAGATAGATATGGACATGAATTTGAAGCCGAATATAAATGCAGTGATCTCAAATTGAAGGTACAGGCTCTGGATTGGGGACGAGGGTGCTGAGTATGCTGGAGGAAGAGTTTCCCGAAGTGTGTCGAATCGTCACCTCCATCTATCCATCTGCAGAGGACGATGTCATCACATCGCCGTACAACAGCATCCTGGCGATGAAGGAACTCACAGAGCACGCCGACTGTGTGCTGCCTATTGAAAACCAGGTGTGTGAAGCTCACATTGTCCATCTCCCTGCAGACATCCTTTGTGTTTGCGTGATTGAAACCTCCAGTTTTTATTTAATTTTCTGTCCCTTTTCCCTCCCGCAGGCACTGGTCCACATTGTAAACAAGATTAAACACATGTCTCATTGTGGGAAACCAGGCTCTGTGATCAAGACGGACACCACTGTCATGTCAGGCCAGGGCGGACTCAGCAGGGCAGAGAAGCCGTTTGACACGATGAACAACATTGTGGCTAACCTGTTGCTTAATATCACCAGGTATAGCATCACTATTTGACATCAGACATGTTCTCATAGGTCATGAAAACAAGAACTCCATCTGTGGCTCCTACAATGTCTGAGGAGATTTTTCAGGGTTGATCATCTTTAAAATAAGTCTGACATGGTTTAAAATGGTGCTCATGTGTCACCTCTCATTTTGTGTTGCAGCTCGGCTCGCTTTGAGGGATCTCTGAACATGGATCTGAATGAGATTGCCATGAATCTGGTCCCATTTCCTCGTATGCACTACTTGGTACCCAGCCTCACCCCTCTCTACACGCTGGCAGATGTCAGTGTCCCCCCCAGAAGGTTGTTTTTTCATCCTCAGAAAATATACACAATGTGATAGTGTTCAAACAACATTAAACTGGCTTATATTTTACAACTTAAAAGACTTTCAAATGTCACAAAACAAGGATTCATTTTGTCAAAATGGATCACAGCTACCTCAATCTCAGCGCTTGGCAGGAAAAACAGCGTCTGATCTGTTAACAGCCTCTCCCCCCCCCAGCTCCACCCTAAAAACATCTGCCATGAAAGTAGTCTGTGTGTGAACCCTATAGACCTGGTTTCGTCCAGAGGGGCTGCTTATTGATTTAAAGTGAGTGGTGGTTGTACTGAATAAACTCTCAGCGGTAAACATGAGACTAAAGCAAAGCAGGGTGTTGCTTAAAAATATCTTGCACGCCCAGCAGAATTTTGCTAGAATAAACACAGTCACAAGGTCTCTTCCTTCTTCTGCTTTACTTTTTTAATCAGCGGTCTAACTTCAGTGTAGCTCAAAGACCATTTCAGTCACTATAGCAAATTATGTGCCGAACAAACCATGAGAAAGGTTCTTATTATGCAGTATGCAAATCTGGAAAAATGATTTTTAAACTTTGCTCTGTCTCCAGACTGGACCAGATGTTCAGTGATGCCTTCAGTAAAGACCACCAGCTAATCCGAGCTGACCCAAAGCACAGCCTCTACCTGGCCTGCGCCCTTATGGTCAGGGGCAATGTGCAGGTGTCTGACCTCCGCAGGAACATCGAGAGGTAAGACCCCCAACCCCCCCATCCCTCTTCTATCAAAACAACCAACTAGTCAGCGAACCCACCCAAATAGTCTATGTTTTTAGGTTGTTTAGCCGAATACATGGCCAAGACATGGTATTTAATGTTCAAACTGATAAACTTTATAGTTAGGGTTAGGGTAATAATATTAATGTGAGGTTGGAATGATAGGGAGCTGTTGAGGAGGACACCCGGACACTTAACCTGTGGGAAGGGGATCAAGCTGACATATAGAGTGCTTGGATTTTTGGATGAGGGCTGAGATGTCAGAAGCAGCAGGATGTTGGAAACCAATGAATAGGTTGACACTGGGGGAGAGGTTCAGAGGAGGAAAGAGGTGTCAGATTGGAGTTTAAATGCTGGTGAATTTTGTGAATTTTTGTCATAAAAACAAACTAAAAAAAGAGTTTCAGGTGTTGGTGGAGTACAGATGAGCAGGTAGGGGATCAGGATTTGGAGAAGTTTGAAGAATAGTGAGAACAGTCTTGGTGTTTCTTTCATTTGAACTGATGAAGTTGGAGTAGTAGTTTGATTTTGCTTGAGAAAATAAGTCCTTGTACTGTAATATATGGGATTTATGCACTTCTTTGTGGATAGTGAGAGGAGATTTTCTGTTAAGACGCTCAAGTTGGCGACCTTTGGCTTTCATGGACCTGTGATTTTCCTGTCTTTGTTTTGTGTCCTTGATGTTCCGAGATGTCAAAGGGATAAAGTAAAAAAAAGTGGAAAAAGTATATCAGTATTGTAAAACACTGAAAAATATCGTGAATATAAGACAAACTAGGATACACACCAGCAGCTGAACTCCAATTTTCAGGAGGGGTGGTTTACTTCATGAGCTGATAACTGTGACACAGCTGCCCCTCAGAAAAGTCTATCATGCCAAAATATTAACTGCGGGTATTGACCTTTTCAAAAATTATTACCAGCCTTTTCCTCCTTGAGTGGTACCATTAAGTCATATTTTGTCCCCTGCCCATGAACTTAAATATTACCTCCACTCCCAGCCTGCTGAATAGTACCTCATTTAGCTTTGACAGTAGTGATTCATGACTGGTCCATTCAGCACTAAGCTCCCCTCAGCAGAACTTGTTTTTCTGTGGTTGTCAAGAGAAACTGAGACAGATGCTGCTGTGAGAGTTCATGTTTGTACATGGTACCAAAAAGAAGATTGAGAAGAAGGGAGAAAAGTGAACAAATATTGGCTGTCAGATGTTGAAACTGAAAAATGTTATTATTTAATGTAAAATATCTCTGCTATATATTATTGTCATCATCCATGTAGATGTTAAATTGATCAACTATGATCTTATTTGTGCTGAGGACTAAATCAGATGTGAACTCAGGCTCTTATGTGTTTTGTGACCTCAAAATTGAAATCATTGTTCAGGAATATTTTTCCAAGTAATAAGATATCAAATCACTCCTCAAATAGTACATTTCCTTTCTCATATTTCCATAAATGACATGTAAACCATCCTCTGAGCTGAACCCTGTTTGTTTCGTCCTCTGCAGACTGAAGCCTTCGCTGCCCTTCGTCTCGTGGAACCAGGAGGGCTGGAAGACCAGCCTGTGTTCAGTCCCTCCTGTGGGTCACTCTCACTCTTTGCTCGCTCTCGCCAACAACACTTGTGTGAAGCCCACCTTCATCGGGCTGAGGGAGCGCTTCACCAAACTCTACAGAAAGAAGGTGCATATTTAGTCCTGTATAAATCTAGATATAAAATTAAAATATGAGGCCTTACACATATTTTTTTGCTCTCTTATTGTTCCTTACTTGCTTTACTGTGTTGAACTGTGGGGCTTTACTTTTAAACAACTCAAAATTCGCAAGTTGTTCTGCAAAATAGGGTCATACGTCACACAAACCCACTGTTTTAAAAGTCCTACGTCATGAAACTTTGACTTATTTTACTACAAAGTAAATGAAAATAATGTTTAGAGCCCAATTAAAGTCACTTCCAGACTCTGTACAGAAGTTCTTGTCAGTTTGGGAGAGTCACTCAGATTTAAGGTATATTTTTTAGTTTAAAGATTAATAATCTAAAAATTTCCACAGGCTCATCTGCATCACTACCTGCACGTAGACGGGATGGAGCAGAGTTACTTCACGGAGGCCGTCAGCTGTCTAAACTCGCTGATTGAAGAGTACGATCATCTGGACGCCACAAAGGGGAGACTGATGCCCGACGCACCACGATTCAGCATTGCCAGATAATAGTCTATTGAACTGACAAGGTTTGTTTTTTTCCAACACTGAAAACCTGGAAATAATGACAAGACACGACCAAAACTTTTGTACATACCCTTATAATTTATACATGATTATAATCTAACTTGTGACCTGATTAAATATTTTCTTTGACTGAAAAAACATACAAGAACAAAAAAGACTCTCCCGAAGGGTTTTAGAAGTCTTTAATTGCTCTGAGGAGGTTGCTGTAATTTTTTTTGTACATTTGTAAATATCACACAAAGTTTGTAAAGTATTATTTCTCTAACTTAAAAACTTTCATAACCAATCTCTTGAATCATTGAAGCCATTCTGTCTTTAAAAAAATGAGGTTTTATGTGTCACTTTGGTCTCTCTTGCTTTTTCTTGACTTACATTATCATCAGGAAAAACAAAAAGGAAAACTTCAGTATTTTTCAATATGGGCCCCATTTTTCCATGTGTTTGTTAGAGCTTGATTGGGGAAAACAACCTCTGAAATTGATCAGTATTGAGACATAGAGCAGCGCAGCCATCAGTCAAGCACACAAACACATGGGCCCAGGTTGAAAAATACCAAAGTTCCCACCTCAAGTCTTACTTTTTCATATTTTGGATTTTAAAGGTCTCATAGCAGGCTACAAAGGACTCAGCCTTTACGGTTTGCATCACCAGCTGCCTTCACAAGCAACTTCTGTGTCTTATTTTGTTTTTGGAATCACAGTAAATCTGTGAAATGCTAAAGCTAGCTTGCAAGCAGCTGCAGCATCTTCTTTGTCTGTCCTACATTATATAAAAATCTGAGTACAGGACCACGTTTATGAATTCACAGTGTAGCTGTATGTTTATTTTTAGCACAATATCGGCATTTCATTTTTTAAAAAGACACTTATTGTCAAGTACATTACAACAGATCTAATATGAACATAAGCTCAACTGTGTTTTGTATATGAGAGTCTGTGTCCACGATGTTTTGTTGAACAGCAGCACATGAAATACAGAACATTTTACCTTAATCAACATCATATTGGAGGTACTTCCTCCCTTACACGACATGTCTTGGCCACTTGTGTTGCACTTTGTTGTAATGTTTTTCGTGAAGTTTAGACAAACCCTTTGATCGCTTGCTGTAGTCCACCTCGCTGCCAATCCTCTTCTCACGTCTCTGTTGACGTAATGCATCAAAAATTATGTGATCTTGCATCAGTATAGCACTGCCTGGCTGATCAGCTGAAAAGCTTTAACGACCCTTTAACTTACAGTGAAATTTAATTCTCAATGAGGCATTTTTTTCAGACTCTATATTTTCATTCTGATTCCCCTTTAATAGCTTTACATGATTTTAAAAAAGCCTCAAATTTAGGGTGACCATATGTCCTCTTTTACCCGGACATGTCCTCTTTTTTGGGGGCAGTCCAGAATTGTCCGGCTTTGTCCAGGGAAGTGTATAAAACCATTCAAATGTCTGCGGTTTTGTATGTTAGTTTCGATTTTGTGTCACGTGGACTTACTGAGTTAGAAGCGCATAAAAGACACACGATCTGACCCGAAAAACTGTCAAAATCAACTTTGTGCGACTCAGTGACTCCTCCCCCTCGTAGTCGTGTCCTCTTTATGGGAAGTCGGAATATGGTCACCCTTCTCAAATTTCTCATTGTGGTAAATTGACGTATTATTTCAGCCTCCATCTGAAACACTTCATTTTAGATGCTGTCTCTTTAAGGTCCCCCCCACTCCACAATTCTACTTTCCAATGATTGGCCACCTCCCTGAAGGCTTTCCAGAAGCCTCAATGTTTTGGCCCTGCCTCCTCAATTGTATTTTAGAGCGGTGGAACAGTGCTGCGGGTGTCACAGTCAAAGGTGTCACCATAGACTTTATATAGTATGGACAACCTGGCTCCGCCTCCCATCATTGTATGAATTTAAAGCCAAATTGTTCTCATTATTTCCTGGATTTTTCCCATTTTGTGAAACCACCACTTGGGCAGTAGTGTTGTATGCATTCGTCGTGAGAGTAGCTGTGGTGACGCTCTGGTCAAACAGCGTACCCCTCAGATGATCTACACAATCTTCTTCTGCCCATAGGCCGAAGCACCAGCTTTGGAAAAAAGAGGACTTGAGCACAAACCAGTCTAACAATAGCTACATGTCAACATCACAACCAAGAGGGGCGAAAAAAATTACATTTTGCATAATTCATTTTTAAAGGTTGTTCACAGCACCATTTGCACCAAGTTTGCTGTAGGAGGCGGGGTTTACGACCTATACTGCAACCAGTCACTAGGGGGTGCTGTTTTCGCAGAGGCTTCACCCAGCGAGGAGTCTATGGTGTCACCTCACAAGCTGTTGGAGGCAGGACGTGCCACTTGGCTGGAATTGGCTCCCATTTTGGGCAGTTTACATCTATTTTCTATGATTAAGACAACATACCTTTACCTGGTGGTTTGAGACTTTGTATATATCTAGTATCAACACTTAATTTGTAACTTTGCTGTTTTTCTTGTGAATGTGGAAAAGCATGATTCCACCCCTTTAACTCTTTGGATCATGCACTCTAGATTATTTAGATGTTGTCATCATGGTACGGTAATACTGTGAGTATGCATGAGTCAAGTCCTCAGTCTGACCCAGTAGGACTCGTCTCACGCGTTTGTGTCTCTGGACTTCTTGACTGGATCCATTACAGTAACTTCAGGTCAGAGAACATGTCACCTGGATCGTTGCACTTCCTCTGACACACGCAGGACGTCACCCACTGCATCTTCCACTGTGTGTTGGAGCCTCCCTTACACGTGAAGTTGACCTTGATCATGCGGGACTTGTTTGGGACGCAGCAGCGTTTGTCTGTACACAAACCGCAGTACGTGGGCTTAAACTTCTTGGTGCTGGTGCAGCCTGAGAGGGTCAGCTTCTCTGCTTTCTTTGCTTGGAATTTGGGTCTGCATGTTTTTCCCTTTGGCACCTGTGAAGGCATAACAGTAGTTTTATATGTAAATATATCATCCCAGAGAAGAATACTGTCAACCCAGTGGTGGCCCTCCCAGTCAATACTGTAGTGTAAAAAGAAAAAAAGGCCTTGTGGGTATTCCTTCAGTGTAAAAAGTATGGGAAAGGGCCCTCTGGATGCTCTTCCGTGAGATATAATGTAAAAACAGTCCTGTGTTTACCCTTCCTAGGGATGGGAATTGATAAGATTTTATCGATAACGATGCCATTATCGATTCTGCTTATCGATTCAACTTTTTAACGATTCCCTTAACAATGCCTTTCTTTAATTTAAAAGAAAAGGTAGACTGTAGATTTTTACTGACTCCTTATATTTGCTGCTGTGCCCCGTTGACAAATGTTTAAGCATGTTGCTGGTGTTTCCACCTTTGCATGTAATCACTGCTCGACAAACGTTGAACGTGGCGCTGTTGTCGTCTTTCTTAGTGAAAATGAAGCCACGCTTTGATAGTTTCTGCCTACTTTTTGTACCGTCGGCCATGTTTTTTTTCTCTCAAAGTCTCTGTCCTCGTTCGCACAGACTGGCTCTCACGAGACTGTTTTTCAAGGTACCCGGAAGAAAGGAATCATTAAGACAAAATGTAAATGATGTCGATGGATTGAACCTTTTTGAACCAGCTCTCAACAAGAACCGGTTCCTGATTACCGTCCCTAACCCTTCCAGTAGATGGAACCAGAAAAATGCTCTTTGTATGTCCTTCCAGTAGATGGAACCCTAAAAGGTGCCTCTGGATGGCCCTCCAGTCACCAAGAAAAAAAAAATTCAATCTAGATTGCCTATGATGATGTAGTGTAAAAATGGTGTCCTCTGAGTGACCTCTCAGTAAATGGAACTTACAGTAAAGTAGGGGGGCTGACTTTTAAAGTTAGGGGATAGAATAACAGTTTTGACCACTATTTCAAGGAAAATTATGAAAACAAATAGGAAAATATTAATTTGTGATTCAAATAGAATACATTTTAAATAAAAAAAGCAAATTTTGGAAAATCATTCTCGCATGTCGTTCAGCAAGACAACTGGCCTAGTTGTCCCCCCGTCTGTGGTCCTACTGGTGGCCTATGGTATACAGGAAGTACCCTTCTTTTTTTTTCCGCCCCTGCCTTTTAAAACAGCCCTTGTATGTCTCTGTTTGACAATATCTGACTGAGTTGTCACCTTGATACTCTTCAGCAAGCTCTTCTGGCAGGGTCGCAGCAGACACAACCGTCGGTCCTTCCTCATCTCACATTTGCTGTTGTCATTGTTGACGCGCACAGAGATGCCCAGGCCGCAGGTTTTGGAGCAGGGACTCCAGGGGGTAGTCTGGATCAGGCAGTTCTTCTTCCAGGCTAAGGGAGGATCCCTGTAAGCTTTCAGTGTTACAGTTAAAGGGCACTGTGTCAACAACACCCTACACAGAGAAACCCTCTGTGTGCCACATTACTGCCGGCAGAGCACGGATCAGAACCTATCAAAAGACCTAAATGACTCAGTTGAGCCCACCTCAAGGGAATGATATTTCACAAAGCACTTTTTATGCAACACAGTACTGTAGCTCATGCTAAGCATACAAACAAATTAACATTGGTATTCCACAGTGGACTCTGCTGTTCTTAATAAAAGAGGGCTGTCCCTCTTCCTGTTTATAAGTGGAACCATCTATCTTCTGTTTTCCTCTGTGGGACAGTCTAACCACAGGCAGCCACACCTCACCCCTCCCTCACTATGAAACCCTCCTCCCTCTTACATCCACCTAACAGCAGTTAGCATTACTCCTCAGATATACAAACAGCCCTTCTCCATAGATCTGCTCTACAAACACTCACCTGACATGTAGGTGGTATCCTGCTGGTGCTTCTTTGAGCTCTGGCCACTGCGAAGGCCAGCTGGCATGTTGCCCATCAAGGGGGCGGGGCCTAACAGCCCGGCAGGCTTCTGAATGAAGGCAGGGGTGCAGCCAATGGCTCCAGCGATGCATGTGCACTTGTAGAGGGGGCTGGGCTGGAAAGCTTCTCCGTTCTCATAGTGGACTCCATTCAGGTCACAGCCCACCGCCATTAGGTCTGAAAATGTGAGGGGGGAAGATCAGGGCTCGAACACTGAGGACATTTTTCACACATGAATGTTGTACTTCAGTGCCAACCCTTACCAAAAAAAGTATACCTCAAGTACGTTTTATGAAGTATACGGAAGTTCATTTTAGTATACTTCCCAAAGGATGACATGCAGCACATAGTCAAAGTAGGAATCAAACCCGTGACCACAGCGGGAACTACAGTCATTAACATGGGGCGCACCTTAATCCACTCGGCTATATGCCCACTGACTCTGAAGCACAATCAAAATTACCTTTTGCTATGCTATTATTTCAATAGTAGTACATATTTATATACTTGTCTTGTACTGCTTATCTATTTTAGGGGGAGTATACAATTAAAGTATACTCTTTAAAAGATATATGGAAGTATTCACTGACCAAGTATACTTAAACCAAAGGCACAAATACATACTCGAGTATATCTTGATAAAAGTTTATGTATAAGAATAGGTTAAATATATTTAGACTTTAAGTATAATTCTTAGTAAAAGCCAAGTATAGCCTACTTAACATTAATTTTGTCAAGTATATCTCTAAAAAGTGCTCATAAAGTAAACTGAAAGCATACTTAGTTTAAAAACAGTATACCTGAAGTACACTTCAACATACTTCTTTTTGGTAAGGGAGTGCATGGACTCAGGCACAACTATAACTAAGAAATAACAGATGCGTAATTTTTGACTTCTTGGTTATTGCCCGTGTATCAAACCCTATGTAAGGATCTTTTTACAACCCAAAGAATTTTTCGTTTTTTCTCGTTGTTGAGAATGATGATGTATTGAGAGTAAGCATTTTGCATATGTATGTCATTGGTTGCATCCCTCAAACATTGATATCTCGTCATTGAACAGGAAGTTGTCACTCCTTCATGCGCTGTTCAGTCCGCTCCAAATTGTCAGACACATGATCAGGGTCTTTGCCAGATATTACACAAGTACAGCAAGGATGTGGTTTTTCCAGGATTTCGCCTATTGCTGGATTTTTCCACCTGTATAGGTGAGCCACATTAATCATGACAACTGTAAAACAACATTAAGAAGAAAGAAGGTTACTGTGCCATAAAGTGAAACGTAGGGATAACAGGATATTCAGGCTTCCCTTCTTTTCTCAGTTTCTTCCTCACCCCTCTTCTAGTCTCTCCCTCTCTTTTTCTCCCTTACTTCCTCCTTCCCTGTCTCTATCCCTTTCCAACGCTCTCTCTTTCTTTCTCTCTCCTTACTCTCTTTCATTCTCCCACTCTTCCTCTCTTATACCCTCTTTCATTAGTTCTCTCTCTCCTGCCCTCCTTTCTCTCCCTTCATCTCATTATCTCCCTTCCTCTCTCTTCTACTTTTTATTTCCATGTCGCTCTCACACGTCCCTCTTTTCTTACCCCTCTCACCAGCAAAGGATAGGATGAAGATGCAAGAGTGACAAGTTTGAAGTGTGGAATGTAAAGGGCACAAGGCCAGAAAGTGGTATTGAAAAGTGTGGCGCAACTACTGCAAAAATAATACGCATCAAGAATCCATATGCAAGAAAAAGGGAGGACAAGATGACATTGGAAAAGTTATGGAGGAACACAATAACGACCAACTCCATCTCTTGAAGGCCAAGGACACAGAGATCGAAAGGCTACCAGACAATGTAAAAATGAATTGCAAGGTGGACATGGAAGCAACATCTCACATCGGAAAGTTTACAAGCTTCAGCAACTCGTCCCATCTGAAGACCCAAAGTGCAACAGAATAGCACAACAGAGAGGAACAGCAACCATATGTCTACTAGACAGCAATGGACAACAATACAGTGCACAGCTACAGGATGCACTGTACCCACACGACATGGCATCTTCTTAGCGGCAAGAGCAACAAACAGAGAAGCAACAATGAGGAGAAGAGGAGTCAAGAGTTAATCTTAAAAAAGAATAAAAATAGAGTAAGTTTGGGGAAGATGGATCCACTCACATGCACATACTCCAACTTCAAATCTTGGCTTGTCTGCAGAGAAATCGCAGTACATCCCCTTGTGGGGGTCACAAATATCCCTCTCATTGCAGGCCTGTCCAATCTGCCGGGCACAACTCTTGCAGCATCCACATCCATCCAGGACAGAGCTCACTCCTGGAGCGCAGTAAGGTCTTTGCCTGCACTTGCAGGGCCATTGGCAGAACTGACGCCTCTCCGACGCAGCTCGCCCATCTCTGGTCGCCAGCTGTCCATTATTCTGAGCCCTGCTGAGGCACTGAGAAAGAGGACAGTGATATATTTATGAATGCAGCCTCAACGTGAACACTTTACCCACATGCATGGTGCAAGTTTTTATAGCTGAGCAATCTCGGTTGATTCCTGACAGATTTACTGGTGGCATTACTGTAATGGATCTTACAGTTCTCATTGTGTAACATCTGGTTTAGAAGTGAAAAGGCGCTGCTGAATAACAGTTTAGCTGTACACTCTGTATACAGAGACTACAGTCCTTGTTGCACTGGTGTAGGGTCAAGTCAAGGTGTGATTTGGTGCATGTTATTCCCCCTGAGGAATTAGCCCGAATTTTACTCTAGAAACTGATCTCCGGGGTTCACTAACATTGGTAAAAGCAGAGCTGAGGGCACACGGTGGGAAACATGGCCCTGTTTCCGCTTTTAATTTTTTTTTTAGCAATTTATTTATTAACATTTTCTCATAACTCAACTTTATTTATAGAGCACTCAAAATACAAACAAAGATGACCTAAAGTGCTGTACGTAACATAAAAAAACAATAAATAGTTGTTTTAAAATACAATAAAAAGCAATAAAACAATAAAAAACAACAAAACAAATGCTGTCTCATGGTGGGTCAAAAACCCAGGAATAAAAGTAGGTTTTTAGACAATATAAACAGTATACAAGTTCAATAACAACAATAGAACTACAAATTTCACCCAAACTCACCCCCCTACCAGAACAAAACCCATGGGCCAACTAATACCTACATCCCTAAAAAAAAATAGTAATAGTAATGATCATAATGATATAAAAAATAATAATAATAATAATAATAACTAAACAAATTAATTAAATATTTAAAAGGTCAGGACATTGACAATAAAAAAGCACAGCTACTCCTGCACTCCTCCAGCATTTGTCAAAAAGATGGAGTTTCTTTTTCATATTGGACATAATTTTTTCAGAGGCAACCTCCCCAAGCCACAGTGAGGCAGTAGGTGGGTCTGTTACCAATTTTAAGAAACATGTTTCTTGCATCAACTTTAAACTGAGTGATTATTTTTCACAAAACAATCCAAAGTGTCAGTTTCAACTTTTAATATTGTCTTTTCAGTTCATATCGGCATTAAATTATATGCAACCCATCAAAATCTGTTCCTAGCGTCCAAACTTGCGCAATTTGAGTTGTTTATGGGGCGCAGTTCAAAAATTACAAAAGCAAATCATGACATAAGTACTTAAGAAATAGAATGAGCTATGTCTAATGAGCATAAAAGCTCAAACCAGCTGCACTCAAACTTTCAAATTTTGAGGTTTAATAGTGAAACACCCAATATCTTTCAAATGTTCATATAAATCACTTTGCTTGTTTGTTTCGCTTTTGCATTCTATTCTGGTTCTGTCATTGCTTGGAGCTGCTTGTGCTCCAGTTTTCCTGACTGCTCCAAAGGTCATGGAGGGTTATGCCAAAAATCTGAAGCCTGCCTGCCAGGTTTACAGAATGAGCTTGTTTCATGGTGTGAAAAAAGGGTCCTTCTCTTTGCTTTAAATGCAAAGATCTCAGACTCTGTGCTAGTCTCCACTCCCTGTGCTAGTTTCCACTTCAGACAGAAAGACTAAAATCCAAACTTTATCAAAACTATTCAAAGATTTTACAAGAATTGTGAAACTTGTAGAAAAATGTCAGGATTTCTCTGTGTTGTTTCCTACATCTGTAAATATTTGTGTCTATCCAGGTATGACAGGCATTGAGCGCTTCACATGCCTGTCTGTTTTTCACGCTCAAAAAGAAAAAGATAAATCTCTTCTTACCTGCTGAGCGAGGATGAGCAGGAGGGAACGGCAGAGCAGTGATAGCATCTCTTAAATGAGGAGGTTTGTGTGAGCTCCAGGAGGGCGCAGGGGGACAAGGGAACTGGAGGTGGGATTTGGGGAGGAAGACTGGCAGAGGAAGAGGTGGAGAGAGAAGAGAGATTGGGGGAGCTGACCTGCCAGGAAAGGGACAAAGCAACCCTCTGTCTCCTCTCCAAACACACCTTTCCCTGCCTTACTAATCTAGAAGAGAAATATTTGTCTTTATAACTGCTGGGCTGCCCCAAGACTTTCTAGACTGTCCCGCTTGTTTACTCTCAGTCTGTAGACTCTCACGTTTCTCTAACTGATGGATCCATGAACCATCAGAGACAAGCTGTTACTGCTGCTGAATCAAAAACTTTTCATATTTAGTTCATCCTTTGATGAGTTAAAGCTATTTAATGTATTCTCTGTGTGTTTGTGTAATGTGGTGTCAGAGCTGTCTGGACCCTCTTACTATACGTAGACTGACGTGTTTGAGTTCACATTCCATCATTATTTACTCTGAGAGAGGAGCTCCCTCTCAGAGCTGCCTTTCAGCAGCCTCAGAGCCGACACCTCCCTTAGAAGTCAACTGGACCAATCAGAGGGTTGATTCCAGGGCTGAGGAATCAAAACAACACAGACTGACATCAACTGCACCTCCTTAAACAGCCACAGGGGGTCACTCAGCCCTAAAAAAGTGGAGCGACTCCTCAGCCTCAGTGAGTTTGTGAAAGGATCAGTTGTGGTAGACGTGTGTCCTAGGATCACCTTTAAATCCTACTGGAGTACATGTCCAGATCATACAAACCCCAATTCCACTAAAGCTGGGGGACTGAGTAAAATGTAAACAAAAACAGAATGAGATGTTTTGTGAATCTTTGTTGACCTATATTCAACAGAATATGCTACAAAGACAAGATATTTACTGTTGAAAATAATTAACTTTATTGTGTTTTTTGTTTGTTTGTTTTGTGTGCTTTTTTTCATAATATCTTTTTAAATACTCAAGATATTAAAACTAATGAACTTCATTGTGTTTTTTTGTTTGTATGTTCTTTTTTCTAATATTTTTAATTACTCAAGATATCTACTCTTGAGACTAATGAACTTTATTGGGTTTTTTTTGTTTGTTTGTTTGTTTTGTATGCTTTGTTGTTTTTTTAAATATTTTTTTAAATACTCAAGATTTTTACTGTTGAAACTAATGAACTTTATTGTGTTTTTTTGTTTGTTTTGTGTGCTTTTTTGTTTTTTTCCTAATGTCGTTTTAAATACTCATGATATTGAAACTAATGAACTTTACTGGGTTTTTTTTTTCATTTGTTTGTCTTGTGTGTGTATTTTTTAAAATATTTTCCAAATACTCACTCAAGATATTAAGTGTTAAAACTAATGACTTTTTGGTATTGTTTGTTTGCTTGTTTGTTGTGTGTTTTTTTTTTTTCTATTTTTTTTTGTGTGTGTGTGTGTGTTTTTTTTTATATATATATTTTTTAAATACTCACTCAAGATATTTACTGTTGAAACTAATGCCTTACCAAGTTTTTTTGTTAGCTGCTTATGTTTCATGTTGAAATTTGCTGTCACAACAGTATAAGAAAAACTAAGTGGTAGTCAATGTTGTTAAAATACTTAAATCTCCTGAGAGGAGTTTCTGACTATTTATGAAACAGAATGAAATTAACTGGGATGTAGGGCTGGGTGATATGGCCTCAAATCAATGAGGCCAACGATAATGATAAATGGATGATAACCACTCCTCAAGCTGCTCACCCCCTCCCACATTAACTTTATCTACTTCAGTCTAAGTCTTATCCTGGTCTTTTTATCTTAGGATAAGGCTTGTTGTGAAGTGGCACTATATCAATAAAGATCAGTCAGTAAAGCAGTCAGTGAGGAACTCCCTGAAACGGAAAGATCATGATAGAGGAGGAAATTGTTTTAACCTTAACAACAGAGTAAATGACAAACCGAGTTAACCGGAGTGAGAGATCAAACAAGATTCTTAAGAGGTGGGGGCAGCCGCCTTCTAGCACAATGGAGAAGTCCTCTGAGAAACCAGTCAACCATTTTTTGGGTACGCAACAGAGCATTCTTCAGATTCTTGTCTGTTTATTGACTCTGTTTGATGTGCTGTCTGGATTAAGAGTCTGCTTGTTTGCCAAGAAGAAATACTTACTGTCAATTTCCACATGATAGTAAATCTCAACATTCACTCACTTGAATTATTCCTGGTTCAGACTTGTGAAATAAGTTTGATCATTACAATCTGAGTTTGTCAGTCTCAGATCAAATAAAAAAAACCTCTTAGACCTCAAACTTGGAGGAGAAGCAGAAATGGAGGACTGAATTGGGTAGAAAGGACAGAGATGCTAAAAGTGGTGCCCAAAAGCAGAAATGGAAATTGATTTTGCCCAATCTTGTCTAAGATAGCCCTACTGTAGCAGCTCTGTCTCACATTTTTGAATGGTTTTGATTGCTATATCCCCTTCAAGCCAAGTCATAGTGAGTATTTCACGTACAAAGAAAGCTTTACCTCTATGTTTGAGCCGTGAAATAGAAGTTCAAGTCAGCAGATGGCTCAGTAAGGCAGAGACATGGGAGCTGGTGATGATAGCAATGAATGGTTGGAGCTGCTGTACTGTGATTTCTCATGCTGTATTTATCTGCCTGTTTAGTGTCAAGGTCTTACACCGACTGATGAATTTGATGGATGCGAAAGTGTGCGCCTTTTAGCTACCGTGACATCCTACAGAGACCAACCGTCTGATATCAGAGGTCCAAAAATAAATTAGGACGTTAGAGTCAATAAAAAGGTGTTATGACACTTTTTTAATGAGTCTTGTTTGAGTCATCCAAGAAGGAAATTCATCAAAAAGTTGGATAGCAGTCCAAACTCTGACCAAAGAATAATCTTATTTAACTTTTTGCATAAGAGAGTTTTGGGGGGAGGGGAGCAGCTGTCCAGCCATCATTGAACAGCAGCTCCTCCCATGCAGGGAAAACACCTCCCTCCTACTTTACTTAACTCCTATCACACCCTCGGAGAGCTCCACAGCTCCCAGACATCCACAGGTCACTCCAAGCAGGAGTGCAGGTGTGCATCTCGGTCAGGATACTTTATCCATCTGCACATCTTAAGTTAACATCTGTTTTTATCTAAGAGGCTTGACTAATTCAGCTCTTTCTAACCCTGAGTTGGTTCAGATCATCCACTCTGAGCACGTCTTGTAGAAGAAAAAAGAGGGATGACTTTTGATGAGGTTCTCTGTGTTATTGGGGGCTTTGGGAAGTTCCAGAAGCTCCTGTTTGTGTGGATCTGTATACCTCAGATATTCCTGGCGTTCCACATGTTTGTGTCTGTCTTCACCGGGGCTACTCCTCCACATCTATGCCGCCCTAGGTGGTCTTCAGATGGGTTTCCACTCCCTCCTGGCTTCAACCTCAGCCTCCTATCCACCTCTGACGGCTGGACCCAGCTGTCCTGCAGGAACCCCTTGAACCAAAGTGACCTTGGAGATGGACTTTCCGCTGGGAGCTGCGAGGGGGGCTGGGAGTACAGCACAGAGATCTACCAAAGCACTATAGTGACAGAGGTGAGTGACCAACCTGCAGCTTCTCTGACAGGCTTCTTCTTTTAGCTTTTGAAGGATGTGAATATGAATATTTCCTGCTGATTTGTTTACCATGAGGACTCCGCACAGCTCAAGAATGTGGAGGGGCTTAGAAGATTTTGCAACCCAGTCTAGTGACATGTGAGACAGTATGAAACGGACTCCTGCTGTGTAGGCATCCTTCGCCCCCTTTCTGCGCTCTGGCACAGTGCCGAGTTTTGTAACACATGAAACTGAGCAGCAGCAGTTACATGAGCGCAATAACGGGATTGCATAAAACAACATGTTACGTGTCTGGCTGGAAGGAGATCTACTTTTGATTTTAAAAAATCTGGAGGTGGTTGAGAAGCTCAAGTTCAGTCTTGATGGGTATATCCAGCTGTGGATAAAAGTCACATGTGACTAGAAATACCCTTCAGTATAACATTAGAACTCTGTATCCTGATATAATGCTTCTGATGTGCCGTCTGATGGAGAGGGTTAAAGAGCCCTTTAGGTCAGTTTATTACACAGACATGATCCTAACCTTACTAACCCAAATCAGTTAGTTATGGTGCCTTAGCATTCACAAAGTGAGACAGCTTCTCATCAGAAAGCATGCTATGAAACATCTTCATTTTTATTCAGTACTGGATCAGTAAAATGTTTCAGAATAAGTGTTATTTACTGCACAACATAACCTGTTTATTACCCATAAAAAGTTTTTAGTTGTTTGTTTGTGTCATTTTACTATTCTAGGTAGTTCAATAAACACTAAACTGAATAAGAGGAAACTAGAAATAAATATGATCCAGAAACACCAGAGACGTCTCTCTCTGATCTGTGGTTGATCAAAATCTGATGTTCTTCTTGGAAATCCTAAACACAGCATCCTTCAGTCTTGTTCCAATCTTGTTTCAGGATAGTCAAAAGAGTCTTTAGATAAGAATTACAACTTTTCCCATTATCGTTTTAGGAATATTTAACTTGCTGCATCAGTACAAACTTTTTAAAATTCTTAATCAATTAAATTAATCAATGAAATCCTGATTTATGGCTTGTAATAACAATTGCCTCATGACTTCAGTCTGCAAAGAGCAACACTGACCAGCAATGCGGCAAAAATATTCCATAACTTCACTGTGGATGGGAGCAAAGTTGGAATCACTTCACACATTAATGCTGCTAGTGTTGCATACCCCTCCCACCAAGGGTAGCTGCGACCCTGAGTAACTTACTACATTCACAGAAAAAGGACACCAAATCTTTAAAACATAGAGTAGGGCTGCAGACAAAACCGCAGTGTTTGGGGACTTCGAGGTGAAACATTTTGGCACAGTATGAGCACTTTCAGCACGTCGTCAGCAGTCTGTCCTTTTTTTATTAAACATGAAAAATGTGGTTAAGTGTTTTTGGATGACTTGGTGCAGCCACAGCTGTTTGTCAGAAGGAAATTAAGGCCACACGTGACACAGAAGAAGAATGCTCAAAAGGGTCAAATACAGAATAAGTCACAGAAAGGGAGTGACTCTTTGAGTATGAACAAATGAGGGCGTTTTACAACTATTCAAGCAAAAAGATCTACAGAATCCCAAATTAAAGACATGTTTATTTATCATCTTTGCCTCTCTTCTTGCAGTGGGACCTGGTTTGTGATGATGCCAAACTGAACAGCCTGGGCTCCTCTTTCTACATGTTTGGCCTCCTGATTGGGGCCGTTGTTTATGGACACTTGGCTGATAAGTAAGTTTGACAACTTGCACCAGAATCTTTCAAAAAATGCTCCTGATTTTATTATACTGTGTCTGTGTGCCAGAAAAGTTGTCATATTTGAATGTAGTCACAGAGATTGTGAAACGTTTGGTTCCAGATACGGCCGCAGAATTATTATCCTTGTTAACCTTCTAATCCAGGCGGTCTTTGGGGTTGGAGCAGCGTTCTCCCCTAATTTTTACATCTACACCGCCCTACGCTTTGTGGTTGGGACAACCATCTCTGGAGTCATCATGAATGCATTTGTCCTTGGTAAGTATCTCAAATAATGCTAAAGTAGGGTCACTCAAACTCTTTATATATTGTTCAGCATTAATGGAGCCTTCCCAGATGTGTAAGATAGCCATGCCATGAATACTAATGACTCCTGTACCGTCAGCTCTTTAAGAGGGGTTGTCATGCTTTTTCACATTTACAACAAAAACTGCAAAGCGACCTATAGACATTATATATGTAGATTATATACATTACGTGCTGGAACATAATCCAGCGTCACCGCCATATTGGATTGGTCTCCCCACTCCAGGCTTGCTCAAGAGCCAAACAGGGTCAATGGAGAATGAGAAAATATGCCTGTTTTTTTGCACTCTATGGTTGAAAAACCCAATGCAGTACTGAAACCAGACCACATAGGATTACATATTACAAATAGGATTGAAAAATAATTTGTTTTATATTTAATGTGTGACATTATCCTGTATTATTGCTATATCCCTGCCATTGTAAAAAACCAAACAGTGTGAAAATCGATCAGAGATCCGGAGAGCTATTATTAATATGGTTGGGCATTCCTTCCTACCTTAATGCACTGGAGGTGCATGGGGGATCCATCCAAGATGGCGACTGAGCGGATATATGAGCTCCAATAGGCAGCATCAGGCTTTAAGGCATCTACGTATATAATGTCTATGAAGTGACAAGGGTTCAAGAGAGGCGGCCAATCAGAAAAAGGTGGGCTTGTGGTAGGGGTGCCCTAAAGAGACAGTAGCTAAAACAAAGTGTTTCAGATATAGGCTGAAATAATGATATTTTAATACACCACTGTGAGAAATTTGAGGCTTTTATGATCTGAAAAACATGAAAAGTTATTAAAGAGGTATTAAAAATGAAGTATAGTGCCTGAAAAAAAGCATGATACCCCTTCTTTAAGAACGGAGGATGTAGTGTCAAAGATTTTCTGAAAGAATTTCAATTTTAGTTTCACCAGCATTTCTGAATCATGTCTATATCTGGTTTCCTCTTTGCATGGTACAGTTTTAACCTCATTTGTGGACGCAGTGATGAACAATGGTTTTTTGATGTGTTTCACTACAGGGTCCTATCAGTTTTTTTTATCAGTCTGAAAATCAGGGCTATTCAGTTGTGGGTTTGATCTCAAACCTTGTGTCTCAAGTCTTCTTAAATTGAAGTTGAATTTCTCAGATATTCACAGATATTTACAAACCTCACTTATGTTTTCTCCTAGCAGCAGTTTGCCCAATCAAAAAGTCTGCAGATATGTTATTCCTCTAAAAAACACAGACAGAAGCACATTTTTCGATGCTTGATATCTTCAATCTGTTACCAAAGAAACCAAACAATAACAGGGAAATCTGTTTTTCTCTTCTGTAGTAAATATAAAAACATATCCATGTTGTTTTCCAATTCCCTAAGTGAAAATAAGGTCAGCAGGCTTTTATTCCAAAATGTCTTAGTGTTGTTCAGTATTTTGCTTCCAAAGTTGAATCTAAGTGAAGTTTCCATGTCCTGTTCTGGTCTCAGGTACGGAGTGGACAGGACCCAAGGAGCGTCTGTTGGCAGGAATAATCACAGACTACGCTTTTGGTTGTGGTTACATTATGCTGGCTGGCCTAGCATATCTCATAAGGGACTGGCGTAAACTACAGTTAGTGATTTCAGCACCTGGTTTCCTCCTCATCTTTTACATCTGGTGAGTCACAGAGCAGCAGGGTGATCCAGATTCCAAACAGTGTGAACTACTTCCCAGAAAAATGTCCTGATATGCTCTTGTTGGTTTAATCTGTTCCTGTGTTTGTAATTTTAGTGTATTTTTGATGAGGTATTCTTTCATGATAAGGTGCACTTTTATTATTTGAAGATAAAGGGGATTCTTTTAAAGGTGTAATAATGAAAAAGTCAATGAGCGGTGAATGGCGCCAAATTCCTCAGTCAGTACAGGAATTGCCCTTACCTATGTTTAAGTTACCTCCATTTCTTTACACACATTTTTTACGATAAAACAAATTTATGTCTAAAAGAAAGCAATCTTGATATTTCCAGGGTGTTGCCAAAGTCTGCTCGCTGGTTGGTGGCCAACAACAGGAAAGAGGAAGCGTGGGAGCTGATCCAGAAAGCTGCTCAGATAAACGGGAACCCCCTGACCAAAGACCTGGAAATGTGTCAGGTACAGATTAAATTTCATTTCACATTTTATGGTCTGAAATTTGAGTGTGGTGTTAGTTCTGGAAGGCTCTAAAACCAGGCTCCACTGCCAGTGCATAAGCTGTTCCTAACATCAACTTACAATGGCTAAGAGCTCACTTAATTTTGCTTTGCTGCTGCTCTCCCTACCTTAACTATTATTGTATGTTCATAAAAGAGCAAACAATAAATCACAAATAACTACTGTATTTTTGTGTACCTTATTGTAAAGTGTTACCGTTTATGTTATTCCTTGGGTTTTGTACCGAGACTCTACCTGGCAGCTATTTGCTGAAGCTACTAAACTTCCAAACCCATGTCTCCTGCTGACTGACAAGCAATAATTTTCATTTGCATGACCGTCTCTATCGGTCACTATCACCCGAACATGCAAACACTCAAATAGTGCTATGCTGTGTTCCTTTATGACTAGAAGTCACCCCATCACTCTCTGTTTCACCAGGTCCTTAACGTTGAAGAGAAAGGAGAGCTAAAGAAGACATACTCTTTCTTTGACTTGGTTCGAACCCCAACGATGAGGAAGCGCTCTCTGATTGTGTTCTATCTCTGGTGAGTATGAGCAGAATGTCACCCTCGTCCTTTTAGAGAGACTTTTGTTCAGCAGATCCATGCATGATTAGAGCAGGGTTTCCCTTTACAACAATACTATCAGTGTGGGAGATCATACAGACATCACTCCCCAGCTTTAGACTCAGTTTTGCCAAGAAGGAGCTGAATGTTCACTGGATTTGTACAGGTTTGGCCCAGAGCCTTTGTAGGGGAATCTCTTCATACATTTAGGCTAAGAAATATAGAGTAAGTATCTTTTAGTAAGAAGCCACAACTAATCTAGGTTGGCCTGCTCCTGCAGCCCCACGACCGTGAGATTGTAAGCAAGGCTGTCTTGCAGGAGCCCAAACTATCTGTCTGTTGGAACACGTAATCTCTGCCAGGGTCAAGACGAACCTAAACAAGTGTCGTGGGGCAGACATGACATCAGGAGGGGCCTTCTGGAGAATACACACACACACACACACACACACACACACACACACACACACACACACACACACACACACACACACACACACACACACACACACACACACACACACACACACACACACACACACACACACACACACACACACACACACACACACACTGTTTGTCATCTGTACTGATTTCTACATCTGTACTATTAAAGACGCCCAGGCTGTTCTTCAGATCTCATCCTGTCTCCTGTGCATTGTTTTACTAAGTTTATGTTGGACTTTCTACAACACCTTCACCTTTTACCAAACGCCCCTAAACCATTTTCTGCATCAATAAAGGATATAATATAGGATATATCAACTAACCTACTCCCAGTTTACAAGCACTGAGCGAAATTATGTCATCCTCCACTGCTGTAGGTGGCCCCCCTTGGTCGTTAGTATAGGACAAGGGGGGCCATGAAATTTCAAAATAAGTTTGCAAAACAATAAAGCTAACACTGATTGAAAATAGTGCAGGAATAAGTTTTTTTTAGATCTAAACATTTTTATTTGCTTTCAGATCCTCAGTCAGAGGACCTCAACAGAAGCTTGAAGCAGAAGAACCAAAACCTGCTTTACTGAAAATTTTAGTCCATGGACTTAAGACCTGATAAGTTGATCTGCTTAAACAACTCAGTATAACGAAGGCAGTCCTGTTGATAACAGAGTAACCCAAGGATGTCTGAAGTGACAACAATGGAAGACTGCAACAGGAGATGTTGGGGCTAATCTTCAAAGACAAACGTGGCAGAGTCTGTTATCTGCTCATTAAGGGGGAGGGAGCATGCTCATTAGATTTAACGATCTGTGCATTCCCGTCTTTTTCTTGACCTCCCACAAATCCAACAAACCCCTTTGTTTCTCTTTTAAAACCCCCGCTCAACACCTTCATCCTCAACACCTCCTCTCCATTTGCCACATTAAGTGCAATTCCACTTAAGCCGTTAAACGCTCCAATAACAAGAATGCACAGCTGCTGACTCACACACCATTTTGGAAGCTGCTGAGTAAGTAAAAGGTTCATGTTGAGGCCTGCTCAGAGGTCTGCTTGACAGACACTTAGTTAAACAAATGTAGCGTCGTAAAATTTCTCGTTCTTTTGAAATGTAATTAAATCTTTTATTGTTTTGGAAATAGCTCAAGAGTTCATTAGATGGGAAGTGTTTTATGCATTCACAGGGACTTGCAAAACCTGAGCAAGTCATGAAGACTGACTGAAAACAAGTGATGTTGGAGGACAAGTCTTCATTAGATTTTAAACTGCTTGCTGTAGGCCTACCAGTCCATGCACACGAGACCTTCACCTGATCTTGTCAGTCGTGATGGCAGCATTTGTTGCTTCAAAGAAGGTTTTCCTATTAAGAGACAAAGACTTTTACAAGGAAGACCTTCTTATTTCAGCAAGACAATAACAAACCACATTCTGCAGGGATTACAACAGTATGGCTCTGTAGTAGAAGAGTCCTGCTTGAACAAGAAATATGTACAGAAGATGTAGAGAAAGGGTATCAAACTGTCCTCCAGACTGATCATTTTTTCGACTATTTTACATCTGTTTCAGGTTCGCCAATGTGCTTGTGTACTACGGCCTGTCTCTGCACATTTCTGACTTTGAGATGAACATCTATCTGACTCAGCTGATCTTCGGCCTGGTGGAGATGCCTGCACGCACCATCACTCTCTTTACCCTCAACCGCTCCCGCAAGATCTCCCAGTTGGCTTTCTTGGCTGTGGGCGGTATAGCCTTCCTGCTCACCATCTTTGTCCCGAGTGGTACGAACGCAAATCCTTCATACTAAAACTGATGGAAAGAAATGTGTGTAAGATGCAGGGTTTTTTTTTGCCTTCTCTTTGTAGACTTGTCCATCATCAAAACCGTGCTGGCCATGATTGGGAAGTTTGGAATCACTGCCTCTCTTTCCATTATTTATGTCTACTCAGCTGAGGTGTTCCCTACAGTCATCAGGTAAGCACCTTCTTTTTATCCACTTTTATCAGTTCATGACCAAAGAAACGTTGGCCAAGTAACATTTTGATGCAAAGCAACCAGGAGTCCGTGCTTCATTTGCCTCTGTCTGTTTTCAAACTTATTTCTATTCTATAATCAAATTGACTATTATCGTTACAGCAAAGTGTAGAATAAATACAATTTCAAAGTGATTACTTCCTCCTTCCCTCAATCCTTCTTAAATGGTCTCATGTCCAGAGGTCTAAAGGTCTAAATTTCAGCTCAATGTAATTCTATTTTTCTGTTTTGTAAATAAAAGAACTTATTATGCAACACCAGTTGAAAAAGAAATTTTTTGGAACCATAAAATATCAATAATTCAGAATTTGATAGTTTTCAAATCATTTGAAGAATAAATTTTAAGTTGAGACATTTTTCATTGTGTTGCAACCCTCTCCCTTTAACAACACTGTGTACTTTTTGGCAACAAAGACGACAGTTTTTGGAGTTTAGAAAGGGAAATGTTGAGGACATGGCGTTCATGATTTCCAGGTTCAAAGGTTCAGAGGAGTCTCTGGTGTTCCTGTTTCGAGTCTCAGCCTCACCCTTTTGTTGTATATATCCTTGCTTTCTTCACCCTGCTTTTTGTGACTGTCTTCAGCTGTCCTAAAGGCAAAAATGGCCAAAAACGAACTTAAAAAAGTGTGATGTTGAAATGATTGAGGGATTCATTAATCTGTATTTGTGTATGATGTGAGTGTGTTACACACCATGGAGCAAATATTTGTCTGTGAATGTTTAAATCTATAGATAAATGTAAAATGTGTGGAGTAACAGCAGCCATGTTATTAACAGCTGAGGTTTATCTCAGTTGGACACATAAGTGAGAAACTATTTAGTCTGACTGATTTAATGAACTGGTTCTCCAGAACAAAAAAAAATGCAAACCAGATGTTGGAATAGCAGCACAGGGAGAAGGAGTGGTGTCAGTGCTGATGTTTCTCTGACTCATCTTACAGACTAAGACTTACAAATAAACAGTGATACAAAGCAAAACAAACGAGAGCTTTCAACCTGGATGTTACTTATTGAATTGGTCTTTTCAAATGGATTTAGTAAAAAGGAAATGCTGATGATTTTAGACCAGAATCACTTGATTATCATTAGCATCCAAACTCTGAGGGACATTGCCACAAACTGGGCTAATTTCAGAGGAAACATCCTTCTGATTTGTTTTTAATATGTTTTACACCTGTAGTCCTTCCTCTATCGTTCACAGACAGAAAGGGATTGGGATCGGCTCCATGTGTGCTCGAGCTGGAGGCGTCTTGGCTCCCATGTTATACCTCCTGAAGGGCATCAGTCCCAAGGCTCCCATGTTCCTGTGTGGCCTCTGCCCTCTACTGGGCTCTGCACTTACCCTGCTGCTGCCTGAGACAGCCAACATGCCACTGCCTGACACCATCGAAGATGTGGAGGGTCCTAACCATAGGTGTGACACCACTGCTTTGCTTGGGATAACACTCATTGTGCATTGGTGCTATTTGAATAAAGACTGATTGATTTGAAAGGGACACTTCAACCAATTTACCGAAAAAAACATGTTAACTCATTTTAACCCATCTGTTTGCATGTGTTCAGGTTGGAGTTATGAAGCAGGATGTGGATGAGCTGCAGCATCCACATAGACTGATGGACAACGGCAACACAAGCTGGCAGGAAGCATCCAAGACTGACGACAGGCCAGTGTGCTTCAGTGGATGTCAAACTTAGACTGATTTTTTATTACTCTTTGCAAGATGTCCACATCCTGAACTCGATAGAAGCCTTAGAATGTAAATAATTTTACGTATTTGGGGATTTTTGTGCAGAAGATTATTCTAAAAGTGATTTATGGATATAATTTTTTATTTTTGTTACTGTAATGTTGACTTTTTTGAATGTTATGTAGTGTCAGGATGAAGCATTTCCCGTATGCAATTGTGTATAATATGTTGTACTTAGTTAGCATCACAATAACATCTCAGATTAGACTTCTGTTGTCCACAAAATTACACTTTTCCTCGGACCAACTTGAAGTTTGTTTAGAAAACCTCAATACTCCCATACACAGCTCTATTTTGACAACGCTTCTTTTTCACCTTTGTGACAGTTTACATTTGTTTACAATCAGTTTACATTTGTAGCAGTTTTTATTTTTAGCCTGGGATTACCTCTAACCACATGGTCAGTGTGTCAAAAACACATTCTGCCACAGGTTGTCTTTTACTTGCTCTGAGCTGATGCACCTCCAGAAACAACATTTCTCTGTCCGATAGTCAGTTTTATCTGTGCAAACCAGCAGGTCCACACAGCCTGGAGAACAAAAGGACGCCATTAACAGCCTGATACGAAGAAGCATAACTGATTTTGGACATTTTTAAAAAAACACTTTTGCTATTCGAATATCAAATTGGTGTAAGTATGCAAATATTCTTGTTGGGCTGCTTCATGAAGAGTATTTGCAACGAGCACACTGTGCAGGACAAACTACAGAATGTGATGACTGACTCAACCTTTTTTTCACAGATGTCTTTTTTATTGATGCATGTTGGGAAACACACCTGTTGATATCACTATCTCTGGTTCTGATACTTTTACTCATTTGTACTTTTTCTGTTTGGTTTAACTTGTCTTTTGTTATTCAAAATCTGTTCATGAATCTACATACCTCTGCAAGTCTGGAGACCCCCTATCTACAGTGGAAGAGGGGTTGGACTCCTTGAACACAACAGTGCTGCATAGATCCAGTGTGTTTGCATTGTGCATACAGTAAAAGCTGATAAAAGTTCTCGTTTCAGCATTATCAGTAACATGCAAACTGAAGTTTTCCATAAGCTCTGGACTCAGTAAGAACAGGTCCTCCGATGTAAAAGATTCTCATGCAGTGAAAAGAGCGTATTTTACAGGGAAGTTAAGAAGTAACTCTGGTGCTCTGGTGGTGACACAAACCCAGGGTCCATATCTTCACAGACTGTTCACAGGCAGTCAGCATGTTTACAGGAACCACAACAAGATGTGCCTCCGAGGATACACTCACACCTGGTGGTGATCACTCAATACTACAACCTCTTGACACCTCCAGCATCCAATACTTGAAATTCTGTCAAACGGAAAACGTTCAATGTTGGACTTGGCTCTTTTTAGAGCTTTTGTAATATTGCTGTGTTTGTACTTTTATACACTTATATTCATTGATTTTGCAGAACAGAGTGTAACTGGTGGTTTGTGTTGACTTTATTTGTACCATAAAGATTTTTGAGAAAATTCATTGGGGTGTTTTTCTGTCAGACAACTCAAGCGCTAAGATTTGGCGCCCTAACTCTGACCCTACAAAGGCCTGACCGTCTCTAATAGCGAAAAGTGGAACAACATCCTGTCCTGCAATACGTGCAATGGCTGCAAAGGATTGTAGGAGCATTGCTAACCTTGACAGTAGAGGCACTTTTTACTGGCTTGTCTTATTACTGTACTCCCTGTGTTGAGTAAAATACTTGAGAGGATTGTCTTTAACCAAAGGTTGACTTCCACCAGCACAGCATACTCACTGGTCAGGACACTCTACCAGCTCAGTATTGCCATACATTGTCTTATATTTCACTGCAGCTTTTGATGTCAATGCCCTATTGCTAAGCTTGAATGTTTTGGCTTTTCGCCTTTAGCTTTTTTCTAACTGTAGAGATCTCTGGGCTGTTTTTATTCTGAAACTTTACTGATGATTTACCTAATCATGCTAAAAATTCAAGAGAAGTTCTATTATGCTGATGACTCAACTTCGACCTGTGCACCACGAACAACAGTAGAGTTGCTCAGTTAATCTACAAGCTGAGTTTCTGCCAGAGAAATAATACTGCAGCTGAGAAGAACGACAGAGATAGTGGACTTCTTTTTCTTCAATACCTTTCACCTGCAAGGAGTCAGTAGCTTACAACAAAGGCGGCTTCCTCTGACTGAGGAATTCAGATTTTTACACATCCTTTATACAGTCAAGAAACAGACACCCCCGCCCACTAACATCATCTCACAAGTAGCATGACATTACAACAGCATCCAAGTAGGGTACAGGTTGCAGCTGTGGTCTGTATTGGGAGAACAAAGACAGCTTAGTTCATCATCAGGTTCCGGCTTCAGTTCATTGTCACACTGCTGGGAAAACAACCTGTGAGTGAAATTTTAGCTTTCATTGAGTTTCATGGCCTCAGCAGAAAAGTATCAGTCCCAACTCCAAGACCATACCTCTCCTTTCCCATGCTCATTAAAAAGAAAAAGATATGACTCTGCAAGCATTCACACCAAGTGATTTTCAGTAAATGATGATTAACATACTTATATAACGAAAATATACATGTGATAGCATACACATACAATTTGCCGACCTGAATGAGGACAGAAATGTCAACATAATTATTCCCGTAAAAATCCTGTTCACCATGTCCAACTTTATCTTCAATATCCGCTTTATGTGAATCCGAAAAAAGAAGACAAGCTAGTGTTTGAACTTTTATTTCAGTCTAAGTTTCTTTCAGTCTGCATCAACAATTCATTTTTTTTACAATCACACAGAAGCTGCATGCCAATCACGAGAAGAGATGCAGTGAAGGACTCAGTTACTAAGTGCTTCTCTCCATGCAGACACAAGATGGCGCTCCAATGCACAGTAGATACAACAGCACACCTCAGACTGTATACAGTCTGTACAGCATATGCTTCAAACTTGAAAGCCGTTTATTTCAGCAGGAGTCAAACACAAAAACTCAAAATGTATATTGAGGTTTCTCTGAAACACAACTGTCTTGTAAGCCAAATGAAAATGAATTACCGGACAGCTCCATAACTTGTGTTTAGTTTTATTATTTATTTTTTACAAACTGAAACTTTGCTCTCTAACTTTCTCTAAATCATCTCATCAGGCAATGACATTTTTACGTTTTTAACGAAATAACTTCATAGACGTACCGCTATACTTCCAGCCCCTCCCATTATTCTTTTTGATTGGACTGCTGACCTGCCAGTCAATGTATAGAACCCCTTATGACCACTTCACTTGATACCTAACAGCTCGGAAAACAGGAATGTCTTGGAAATATGAGTTTTTTTTTTGTTTTTTTTTTTCGTTCTTTATTTTTGTTTGTTTGTTTAATAAGGCTATATATTTCAACTTCACATCTTGAGTCATCTTTTTTTTCCTCCATGCCAAAACAATAAAACAACAAAACAAACAACATAAAATGATTTAAAATAAAATAAAATGAAGTAAGTTGTGCAAATTGTAGTCAAATAAAACAAAGGGAATAACAATGGTAATGGTTGCGATTAAACAAAACCTTCTATTATTCTCTATAATGAAGTACTGTGGTCAAAATAAGAAAAAAATTTGGACTGACTTTTTGGATTAAAGGTGTAAATGACAAAAAATTTAAAGGTTTAAGTTGTTAAGTAAGTTAAGTAATTATCTTATGAGGGAAGTGCTGTAGTTGTGAAAAAATACCTCAAGAAAAAGTGGTAATTTTATGAAATCAAAAACAGTATAATGGCAGGCAATGTTAAGCCTACATTGTATGTTGTATTTGAGGGCAATGTCAAACGAACAGCTAGCCATCTTGGACTTAAATCTGAAAAATTTCTTTTAATTGTGAAACTCACACTAAAAGAAATTCCAAATGCTGTATGTTCTGAATTTTTGCCAACGCAGGTGGCTGTACTCCTGATGCTGTCTTTCAATACATGAAACATAAAATTACAATTTATTTTCACATTGTCTGAGCTTTTACATCCTAAATTTGATTCTTATCCTCCATTGTAATAAATAAATACATAAATGAATAAATAATAATAATAATAATAATAATAATAATAATAATAATAATAATAATAATTATTATTATTATTATTATTATTATTATTATTATTATTATTATTATTAATTTATCTATTTTAATTACTTAATTAATTAATTAATTAATTTTGTTTGTATTTTTTAGTAGTAGTAGTGGTGGTTTATTATTATCATTATTATTATTATTATTATTATTATTATTATTATTATTATTATTATTATTATTATTATTATTATTATTCTGCAGCCATTGGCGTCCTCTGTCATTAAAAGTTTCCACTCAACTACATACAATGGCAGTCAAATACATATGTCAAAGTGGCCTGCATGAATATTTCGGTAGTTGTTGAGCGTTTCAGTTAGATTTTGATTTTTCCGACAGTCCGTGAACGCAGCGTAGTTTCATTGTGGCCCTGCAAAGCTAACGCCATCACACGCAGCGGCTACGACGAGCAGTACGGAGGCATCGGGGCCAGCACAGCAGAGCTCCCTTTCTTTCTGTCACATTATTTACAGATAACGGAGATGGAATAAAGATCAGCGGATTATCACACGCGTTCAAACCGGTATGTGTGTCTGTTTTTTTAGTGTTACTCATCTCTCAGCTGGCTGCTGCCTCCACAGCCGAATCAATTACTCTGATTTTTTGAGGGTATCTTGTTATTTTGAACGTTTTTCTTCAATGTAATTCATGATCCTTTTGGAAAGTCTGTCCAGGGGATACGTCGCCTCCTCTTTCAACAAGGCAGACCTATATGTGTGTTCACAGAAATAGCCTGCACACATACACACACACAGCAGCGGCAGCACACATTTAGCCTGGTTAATCAAGCTAATTAGACAAGTAGGTTATCCACGGTTTGCGGCACCAAAACCAAAGAGTCCTCTGTGTTTATCACCACATTGGAGAATTTGAGCCTCCAGAGCATGTTGACGCATCGCTTTTAGCTCCTCTGCTCGTTGTTTACCTACTCCTCCCTTCTCTCCCCCCCTCCGCTCTGTCTCCCACCATCAGCAGCATCTCCTACTGATGCTCAGTGGAGTCAGATGAAGGACACAACCTCACATGACTAGCAGAGGTCCTCTCATATGTGTTTCATTTAGAGTCTTGGAGGAACAGGTTGCATTCCTGCAGATAAGGAGGCACAGGTGATGCATGTTGGCATGACTTGAACCCAATCTGTCCAAGCTGCTGGCTGTAATTCCTGATCATTGTAGTAGTTGTAGGTGAACTTACTCCCTCTGTTCCTCTTCTGATTGAGGTTAATTGCTTTAATCATTACCTTTTAAAACAATGTCAGGCTAATGCTAACACTTGGCTTTAACTTAATACAATAGCTTCTATCCCCAGAGAGATGAATGGTTGCCGACTGCTTGCTTCTCTAGCTATACTAACTTTAGCAACGACCGCAGGATAGCTAAACACAATGGTCTCAACAAACCTCAACCACAACGCCACCCGCACAGAGCAGCACCTAACTTCATCAACAGTACATATAGGGTCCCAGCCACAGCACTAGCCACCAAACATCTTTTTAGCTGTGCTTAATTTCTTTAGCGAAGAGACTAAACACAACTCACCTACTCGCTTTCAGCAGCTGCTTGTTTGTAGCGAGACCTCGGGCCAGTCCATTGCGGACTGCAGTGGGGTGACGCAGCTCAAGGAACAACATTTATGATAATTTCTTCATGGAAATGCAATCAGACTGAGACGCCAAGGCAGAAGAACTTTTGCGTCTGCGGTGCAGAATGATTAATATGGTGATTATTACTTCAAGGAAATGATGAAGAAATAATCATAAATGTTCTTCCTTGAGCTGCGTCACCCCACAGCTGTCCATAATGGACTGGCCCGAGGTCTCCGTACAAACAAGTGGCTGCTGGAAGAGAGTTGGAAGAGTTGCAAGTGGTTGGCAACATTCATCTCTCGAGGGTGTGTCTAACTCGGTGTTACGGTGTGTTTGACCCCAAATTAATTTTATGCCGGAATATCCCTTTAAGGCACTGTAGGTGCGAAGTATAAAGCCATGGTGCACTATGATATGATGGATTACCACACAGTGTTGTATGATGCTTTATGATAGGGTATGAAATGATATTCTTTTTGACTGGATACAATAGGATATGATACCATTTAGTGGGATACAATATAGGGATGCAAGATATTGTCAACATGATATGAGTATTGGCAGGAATGAGTATGTTTGTGGATTTGATTCCAGGAGATGCATTAGTGCAAGTGATAACAACTTAAACATGCTAAGTTGGCTGTTCAATTTCATTCGTGGTTAACCCAGTCATTTTATTTCAGTAGAGTTCTGTACTGCAGATGTCCTCATCTGACTCTCTGGCTTCCAACAGAAAAAAAGAGAAACTACTGCCATCAGGATAAGATACGGGTTCAGGGGCTTCTCCTTTTTCATGTCTTTGCTAAACAAAAGGATGAGGCATCCACGGTATCAGTAATCAAAGTCCCCTGAGTTTAGCCAACAGCTTCTTATTCTGTTAGCGTTCTCTGTGGTGCAGAGGCTGCAGAGCAAGCGGCGAATTTCTCATCTCAGTAGGAGGAAGCTGATCAGGCAGGGTATCACTCAGAGGTGAGGACATCAGGAGGGCAGCAAATGTAAAGCTGGAGGAGAAGTGAGAGCAGCAGACATGATCAGGTTGGTTTCATAAACAGCGTCTTCGCCTGAAGTCTGTCTGTAGATTTCATGGACTTTGTTTTGTAAGATGAAGATGGCTAAAATAATTGGCTCTGGGGCTGAATAGCAAAATGGGCCGGCTTCATTAAAGGGTAATTCTGGTATCTCTTAGACTTAGTTAACTCTGTTCTCCCTGGTTTATTGTGCATCTCAAACCTGTGTAACTTTAACTATGTCGGAGCACCAACAATTACAATGTTGATTAAACTTTCATGGAGAGTTTATATAGTTTAATTGTTATATCTAAGGTGCAGCTATTCCCCAGGGCTTCCTTATGTGACCCCCTAATCCATGGATCTTAATGGATCTTTTAATGTATTTTAATTTAATCTTTTTAAGAGATTTGGATCACAGGGACCCTCTACGTTGCAGCAAGAAGGAAGGTGGATGATCAGTGGGTTTATTTGTCAACTTTAACTCCCATTGTTTTCCGCGAAAGTTGAATTTCTTGTCAGAAGCACCGACTAAACTAAACCTCGAGCTGCAGGCAACCAGTGCTGTTATCCCGGATTTGAAGTTTAGTTCATTCAAAGAAAGTACTGATGAAATGGTCCTGCACATAGTCTCAGGGGCTCTTCGCCTCAAGCAGGAGTTTGTAGGCCCTCAAGTATCCTTAAAGTAGGATCTGAACACGCACTGTGCACACTGAGATACAAATAAACAATACCTCAGCTAAAAAAGCTCTTCTAAAGACCTTTAAGTCAAGTCTTTTCCCTTATTGTATAAAGATTGTTGCCCTAAAAGGAAATGCAGCAGGACTAAGTGAGTAAATGTAGCTCCCAATCCTCACTCTCATTAGTTCATAGATAGAGTCTAGATGTCTGTGTAGGTTCTCATTCATCCAGATCAGTTGAAGAAGCCTTTAGGAAGAGAGACAAAACGTCTTCAGGAACCTCAAACAAGTCCAGTTGCCCCTTCGATGAAGAATTGGAAAGATTGTAGACCAAGAGTTGATGTCATCAGACTGGGCTCGTGACAGGTTTGAGGGCTTGAGCTCCTACGTTTGCGTCTGCAGTCCCCGACACGTCTGTGCCGAGCGTCACGCCAGAACTTCAGAGGTCAGAACGTCACTACAACAGTGTGGTTCTTTGTGTCGGGCTCCTAGTGCAGAGGGATTTAATGTGTCTCCTCTCTCTGTCTGCTGTATCTTTTTCTGTGCCTGCAGTCGGAGGCTGAGTCATGACGTACTCCCTGACTGAAATGAACTTATTGTTACATATGTGTAAATGTTGAAGCAGGGATGAATACAGGCTGTGGCAGAGCCTGAGGGGTTGTGGGCTGACATGTGCAGTGGTGTATGAAGTACCCAAAAGCCAAACTCGAGTAAAAGTTCAGATATTGCCCCAGAAAAGGTCTTGGTAGAGTGAAGGATGTATATTCATATTACTTGAGCAAAGTCTCAAAGTATCTGATCATATGGGTACTTAAGGATGTCAAGTAAAAGTACATGATGTTGATTTTAGAAATGTGTTCAGAATATTTTAGATAACGAACATTTATTTCCAACTGCAAAGCACCAGTGTTAGTTATTTGGAGGCCTAGGGCAAAGAACACTGTGATTGAGAGAGTAAATATTATTTTAAGGCATCTTTTTTCAGTCAACAAAACCACAGAACAAAGGACTCAGCTGAATGTGAATTATAAAAGATCACAGACACACTGGAGCCACCAGTACCTCCTCATGATCTCACTACCGATGTTCACATGTACAAAACTTCTTCATTGGATGAAAAATTTGAGGGATTGGAAAATCTGAATCCACTGTATATATGGGTGCAAAATCAAATCATCTCTAAATCCTCTTTCAGATCCAAACTTTAGGTATTTTTACAGACTGTATATAAAATGGAAGCAGCCTGTCTCCTCGCTGGGTGAAGCCACTCCAAGAACAGCACCCTCTAGTGACAGGCTGCAGTATAGGTCATAAATCCCGCCTCCTCCACTAATCCCTACGAAGCTGTGGACAAACTTTAGAAAGTAATTACACAGAATATACATTTTTCTCCCCCCTGCTTGCGATGTTGACATGTAGTTATTGTAAGACTGGTTTGTGCTCAAGTCCTCTTTTTTCTGCACAGCTCCATTTTTAAAAGTTATTAGGGGGTTCATGTCTTCTATGATTGACACTTTATACAGCCTATGGGCGTATGAAGATTGCGTAGCTCACCGGGGGAATACGCAGTTTGAGCCGAGCGTCATCACAGTGACTCTTGGCGACTCTCCCGCCAAATGCGCACAATGCTACTGCACAAGTGGTGGATTGCGTACAACGCTACTGCCCAACCTTGGTTTCAGGAAGTGGAGAAAAAACGCAGAATTACCGAGAGCTTTTCGGCTTCAAATCCATATACTGGCAGAAGGCAGAACCAAGTTGTCCATAGTATATACAGTCTATGGTATTTGTCAATAGAAATGATACCTAAAAATACCCCCCTGTTGTTTATCATTGGGGGTTGGCACAGGGCCCTAAGCAGGCGCCTTGGTCGCTTGTGCCTTGTGCTGGCTCTGTAGGTAATGAGTCGTAAAGCGTGTGAAAGAGAAAGGTCAAGAAACGCTGAGGAAGAAGAGAAATTTTTCTTTGTCTACCACTTCTTAACTCCTCTTCTTTGTCAAGGTTTTTGTGCCGCGATGTTTAATTGCCACCACCCTCAGTTTTAAAAGCCAACCACCTACAAATAATCCAAAATTAACAGACTAAATTTCTGCCAGTTCTTGTAGTAAGATTCGTTGGAGGCAAACATTCATGAGAAGTAGCAGAGATTAGTGGGGAAACGTAGTAAAGTCAAAGTAGAAATTGTCAGAAATGTAAAAAATCAAGTAAAGTACAAATACTTACAAAAAATACTGAAGTACACTAAGGAAATACAATTACTTAATTCCTTTACACCATTAGACATGTGAGAGTAGAAATCCAGATCATATGATCACTTCTGAATCTGAACACCTGCAGGCTCTCCAGCTTTCCAGTAACACTACTGCTTTTATTTTTACATTTACATTTTTACATAATCTTCTTTGAAACTCAGGCATGTTTAGGGGCCAGGTTTGTACTGCTGGTCATTTTTGCAGAGAAAGGAAGGAGAAATGATGTGTGAAGGCAATACTCAGGCAAGAGAACTTATCAAGCAGAGCCCATGGAGACCTCCACCCGATGAGGCTTTTTTCCATCACCTGGGGTTGTTTGTTTGTTTCCAGGATCATCACAGATACTATCACACACAATCTGCCATTAGCCCGCCATGTCCACCTGCTGCCACTCTCCTTTGTGTGTGTTCGCTGGAAATAGGCACAGTCAGTTAAAGCTGCAGAAAAGCATTTTTGTTTCCATCTGGATTCCAGGTGAGGCATGGCTGTCTTCTGCTCCATGTTTTCCATTTTTAATCTTTCTCCTTTTTTATCCCAATCTCTCCAATTCTTTTTAGCTTTTCACTTGATTCACTTTACAACTGAATAAATCGAGCAAAAATCTTTAATTCTGAAAGCCGCCACCAACCCTGAGCGTTCCTGGTGCTGGCGAAGCACAGGGTCAGCAGGGTTTCTTGTAACAGGTTTCTTCCAGATGTGTCTGTCTGAGCACAGAGCATGAGGTGGTGGGCAGGGAATCAGCTAGACGCAGCAGAGAGAGCAGAATCCATGCGGGATACTTCTTATACTTTCTTATATTCTTCAGTACCTCACTGAACTGAAGATGTATTTGTTTTTCTGGAAGTACATTTGGAAAAAGTTGGGATCGACTTGTGTCTTGGAATTAATAATGAAACCCAATGGATTAATGCTGTTGTGTATGACATAATGTTGTTTTTGCAATATTAGCTTTAGAATATAATAGTATAGTGTAGCAAAGGGATACTCTGGCGTAAAATTAAGTTAGGGTCAAACACACCATAACACTGAGTTAGACACCCAGTTAAGAGACGAAAGACAACTTACCCACTCTCTTCCAGCAGCCTTTTGTTTGTATGGAGACCTCAGGTGAGTCGTTTATGGACTGCAGCGGGGTGACGCTGCTCAAGGAAGAAAATTTCCTTCAAGTAATAATCACCATATTAATCATTTTGCACTGCAGACACGGTAGTTCTTCTGCCTTAGCGCCTCGGTCTGATTGCTTTTCCATAAAGAAAGTCATAAATGTTCTTCTTTGGGCTGCATCACCCCACTGCAGTTGGTGGACTAACCAAGTACAAACAAGCGGCTACTGGAAGAGAGTAGGTGAGTTGTGTTTAGTCTTTTTGCTAGAGGAATCAGGCAAAGTTAAAAAGATGTTTGGTGGCTAGAGCTATGGCTGGGACCCTACTTGTACTGTTGATGAAGTTAGGTGCTGTTCTGAGCATTATTTGTGGCTACAGAGTGGCTTTTGTTTGAGTGCGTGGCTGTCTGTAATGCTATCGTGCGGTTGTTACTAAAGTTGGTATAACTAGAGAAGCAAGCGGTCGGCAACATTCATTTCTCGACCTAGGGTCTAACTCTGTGTTATGGTTTGTTTGACCCTGACTTAATTTTACGCCAGAATATCCCTTTAATGTAAAATTAAGACTGACAGGTTTCGGGGGATTAGCACAGACTCGTCTACAGTGTGTTTCCAAGAGTTTTAGAAAAGAATAAAACTTTTTATGTGTAGATGTTTTGACTGTAATAGATACAGTATTTTTAATGCAGGTTGCATCAAATTTGTAATGCACACTGACATTTTACAGTGTCCTTATACCAAAAAAAGTTAAATAAATGCACACTTTGCAAGAATTATGCTCTGAATTCGATTTATTCTATTGAAAGAGAATGTACAGCAGTAGACTCTTGGTATAATGGTATAGGGAAACACTTCTTTCTCTCTTTTTCTTAGTAGAATACTGCAGACACAAGGGCAGCTGTGGCCAAAAGCTGCTTCCCTGTCCACTCTATTTTTGGTTTTCTGGTCAATCCCACCAGGTGCAGAAATAGATATAGTCTCAAAAGGTATTCAGTTCTTGTCTCACAGTTAATGACCCTGCAAAATAATGGTCTTTGACTAAAACTCTGACATTTTGGCACTTTGCTTTTGGTGTCAAACGGTCCTCTTTCGAGAGTCGTTTTTTAGGTTTTTGCAAAATTTTCTGGTGTATGGCAGGCATTAGATAAAAACAAGTGAGCCTTCTATAGGAATGTTAATGCCTTTGAGGATGCTTTTTATGCGTAATTGAGTTGCTGTGAATTCTCCAGCTGTGTCTGATGTTATGTGTGAGTTACAAAGGCTATATTCTGTCCTGACACAGCCTTTCTGTGCTGCATGAGGAAGCTGGCTGCTGTTTAAAAATCTGAATTGCAAAGAAGCCATTAGGGTCCCTATGAATTTCATTGTTGTCGGTGATTTTGCTTTATATAGACAGATTTCCACTCAGAGCACAGTAGAAGAGTGGCTGTTTCTAAGGAGAAATCATTTCATGCAGTTACTATTTGTCAGACTTTTGCCAACAGCTTCTATTAGGTCTAATTCTCACTGCAGTACAGAGTCTCCTGAACCCTGCTGTCCGTCTGCCCCGCTCTGCTCTGTGCAGCGTCATGCCTCTGCATTGTTGATGTAGCGGCAAGATGCTGACAAAGGAGATGATTGCTCTTCCTGGCAGCAATGGGAAGCTGGCAAGCCGAACCTCGGACTTCACTGTCACACAGTTTTATCCTCAGAAGACTCAGTCACAGGTTAAACAGGCCCAAAGCCAGGGATGGCATTCCTGCAGCCATGTTTCAGCATATGTGAAAATCAACCGCTGGATTGAAGCCACATTAGCTTGCTTTGTTAATTTACTGGTGGTTTGTTGGGTCAAAAATAGAACATGGTTTTTGAAAAAGGAATTCCTGATTTTTTTTTTTTTTTTTTCGAGGCTTAAAAGACTCGCTTAACAAAAATAAAAATGCAATTTTCAGAAGATTTGAATACTTGATCCCTGCTCTGTTCTTTGCTGGTTAATGGAGACGAATGTGTGAATGATTCTGTCTTCACACAAAGCTTTCCAGCGTTTCTGAAGTGTTCACTCCTGATCTGTCAAAACATTCTCTCATTTTTCCCTCAGTAATACTTTAATCACCTGGTAAATCCTCCTCTCTGGTGGTGTGGATCTAGAGAGCCGGTGCGGATGTAGTCTAATGTGCTGTGAGGATAATTGTCCGTTTAATCCACTCTTCCTCTCAGCAGTGTCTGTCAGTCAGTCTCTCAGCCTGCCGGCAGTCCCCGTCCTGTCAATCGAAGCTCATCCGTCAGGTCTTTTGGGAACGGGGATGAAACAGTCTGAATTTACAAACCCCAATTTTCAATGAAGTTGGGACGTAGTTTAAATCATGAATAAAAAATGATGCAAAGATATATATATATTTTTACCGATATTTGACTTAATACACAACAAAAACAACGTACTGAATGTAACAAGCTGTGACAGGGGCATGTTTACCCCTGTGTTACATCGTCCTTCCTTTTAATGACACTTAAAGGGATCTTCCAGCATAAAATTAATTTAGGGTCAAACACACTGTAACACCAAGTTAGACTTCCCCTCGAGAGATGAAGTTGCTGACCGCTCGCCTTTCTAGTTATACCAACTTTAGTAACGACCGCACGCTAGCAATACACAGCAATCTATGGAACCACATACAAACCTCAACCAAAACACCACTCTATAGCCACAAATAATGTTCAGAACAGCTCCTAACTTCATCAACAGTACATATAGGGTCCGGGCTATAGCACTAGCCTCCAAACATCTTTTTAACTTTGCCTAATTTCTTTAGCAAAGAGACTAAACACAACTCAGCTACTCTCTTCCAGCAGCCACTTGTTTGTAGCGAGACCTCAGGCCAGTCCATTACGGACTGCTGCGGGGTGACGCAGCTCAAGGAAGAACATTTATGATAAGGATGTAACTGTACTTCCTTACTGTTTCTAAATTAATACAGTAAATAAAATTTACACTGGAATATCCCTTTAATAAGCATTTGGGAACTGAGGACACTAACTTTTGAAGCTTTGTAGGTGGATTTCTTTCCAATTCATAATGCACCACACATTTTCAATAGGAGACAGGTCTGGACTGCAGGTGGGCCAGTCTAGTACTTGCACTCTTTGACTACAAAGCCCCCGCTGTTGGAATACCTGCAGAATGTGGTTTGGCATTGTCTCACTGAAATAAACAAGGACATCCTTTTAAAAAGATGGAGCTTGGATGGCAGCATATGTTGCTCCAAAACTCATATGTACCTTTCAGTATTAATGGAACTTTCACAGATGTGCAAGTTACATTTGAGATGGGCACTAACACACCCCAATACCAACACAGATGCGGTTTTTGAACTTTGTGCTGCTAACTATCTGGATGGTACTTTTCCTTTTTAACGAAGGGGACACCGCGTCCGTGATTTCCAAAAACAATTTGAAATGTAGAGTCATCGGACCACAGCACACTTTTCCTGGAGAAACCAGCTGTTTTTCTGGTGTTGTTGGTATCTGGTTTTAGCTGTGCATGGTAGAGTTTGAATTCACACTTGTAAATGTAGCGACCAACTGTGTTAACTGACAATGGTTTTCTGAAGTGCTCCTGAGCCCATGTAGTAATATCCTTTACAGAATGATTTTACCACCTGAGGGATTGAAGGTCACAGGTGTTCCATTTTGGTTCAACAAGACTGTAATCTCCAGATTCTCTCATGCTTTTAAAGATATCATGAACTGTAGACGATAAACCATTAAATTCCTTGCAATTGTACGTTAAGAAACATTTTTAAACTACTTGCTCACTTAGTTTTTCACAAAGTGGTGAACCTTGCCCTTGCTTGTGAATGACTGAGCCTTTCTGGGATGCTCCTTTTATACCCAGTTATCACACTCACCTGTTTCCAATGGACCTGTTCACCTGTCAGAGTTCCCACACAGTTGTAATTTCCATACCCCACTTTTTGGAAATACCTACTTTTCTATTTAAGAAAACAGCCTATTAGAACTGTGGTAATGTAGTCTGTTAACATAAATATTTCACCAGACTTCATTTTTCATTTACCATACTTTTTAAGACCTGGAAATAAAATTACTTCCATACTTTTCCATACTAGCGTAGAAACCCTGACCTGTGGAATGGTCCAGACAGGTGTTATTTGATCGTTGCTCAGTTTTCCCTGTCTGTTGTTCCAACTTTTGTGGAACATGTTGCAGGCATCCAAATCAAAATGAGTGAGTATCTATGAAACATCAATCAAGTTTATCAGTTTGAACATTAATATCTTGCCTTTGTGGTGTATTCAATTGAGTATAGGTCCAAAATTATTCGTAAATTATTGTATTCTGTTTTAATTCACGTTTTATACAACGCCAGAACGTCTTTTGAAATTGGGGTTTGTAATTAGAGTTCCAACATGAACTCATGACGAAGTTTGTAAAAAAGCCTGAGCAGCTGACTGAATTATCAGTGCTGAAGCTTCCCTCAGTCTGCAAAGTTTCTCCAAATCTCTGTAATAGCTGTAGCCTGCAGCTGTAAGCTTTGCAAATGCAGCTATTATTGAAATGGCAGAGTGCCCCACTTACCCTTTAAAGACCGGTCCTGAAATGAAACAGGAGTGAGTGGCTGACAGCGACTTTATGTTTCACTGTATGAGACATGGCGAGTTTGAGCAGCATGCAGGGAAAGGAAAGTAAAGTAGTTGCCCACCATCAGAGAGCAGGGTTCATTTTCTAGCAGAGGAGCCTCCTGCTGGGGGTGGGACACTGTCCTCATCCCTGACTCCATTAGACTTTACTTGTGGAGTTTTCTCTTCTCTTGTTGACAGTAACATACAGAGAGCAAGTCCTTCTTTCCTTTCCTGATGATTTTATGAGTCTAAGAGCAGTTTCACTGATATGTGCAGCCTGAGCAGACAAAGGAGT